TTAAGCATTTTCTTCGCGCTCGTACATAAAAACGGGACGATATCTCTAAATGAAATCAAGTCACAAGGAAAGCACAGACTTGTACTTTATAATTCTGCAATTATCTTTAGATAAGCTGTTTAAATGTGACTGTGTTGGCCGCAAGAAGAAACACGATTTCGCCTGTTTTCAAAAATGGCAAATTTGACCTAACTTCACCATCGAAAAAAACAATTGGTACATGGAATTTCAACATTAAACAAACACTATTTTAAAGCACATCCTTTGCCGTTTCTTGTATTAAAAAATTTTTGGCGGCATTACAAAAGTGCGTCGCTGAGACACCGAAACGTGCAGCGTATTTTCTCTCGTTGGAACGCTGAAAACAAGCTAGCCGCGAGTGTAGGTACACAAACGTTTTTGCTAACTTAGCTTCTTTTACAAGGGGCACATTACGGGAAGTTCTTAAAATCTTTTGAAAAAGGCTTTTCAATTTGATGGTTACAAAAAAGAGCTAAGTAGGTTAACACTGCATTTGATTGCACGCAAGTAGCTGAAAAAGACAACGCTGTTAAGTTCTCATGGAGTGTAAATATTGACCTCGAGTTTCTGCACCTAAAATGAAGCCGCTAGAAACGGCGTGCTAGCTCTAAATGGGATTCGAGATCTCTAAGAATTACTTACCACAGTCGTTTCAATCGCAAGTGGCCGCAGTTTACTGAAGTCTTCCGTCGTTTAGCCTCGGACTAAACCCTGTGATGCGTGATGAAAGCCCATGTGTAATTTGAGTCTGGTCACGCAACTGTACAGAAAAGGATAAATCATCGCACGAGTGTACAAGAAAAAAATAAAATGACAATTAACACTGTTTTTTTAGTTTTATATTTTATATTCCCAAAACACGTGGAACTAAACTTGATTTTAGGATGTCACCAGCCGAAAATCAAATAGAGAGAGAAAACAAATAGAGTAAGCCGAGTCTGCAAAACTTTTCACACTAGTTTTCTTTTATTTGCACTTAGCCTTCTGAGCCTTTGCTTGTAATAAACTAATCTTAACCCCGCTTAGCGTGTAGACTTCTTTATCGATCACCTCAGTATGAATTGAGGGATTTAGGTACACACGTACGCCATATGCAACATGAAGGTAGAGCAGGGGAATGGAAACGAGTAAAACTGTTTTAAGAAAATTGGCCAATGCTCCGCAAAAGAACATTCCTGTAAACCACAAATCGACATTGGACAATGGACACATTTGATGAGCGAAATACAAGTATTTAACATGTTTAAACTAGGTATACCTATCGATAGAGTGCCAACGAGCAAATCATGCGTATTTTGCTTAGGAATAAAATTCCTTTTTTTTCCCATCTGACCGTTTCTTGTCACTTTCTTGGTCCCTTCCTGTTGCAAGGATTATTTTCTTGAAAAGTTCTCAGATTCAGTCTGGTGGCTTTACAAACCTGCTATGTAAAAGTGTGAAGTGCCTTGAAAGAATAAAGTCAGCTTTGCAGAGGAAGCGATCGGGAATATTATTAAGTCCAGCTACAAATCTACTGTCGGTTCGGTTTCACATTGTTGATAAATATTTGCACAGTTTAATCATTTAAACCTCCTTTCAAATTTCCCGAGGCTTTTTGATATCGGATTGAAACTTAGAATGATTCGCTGGGCCATCTGAAATGTTTCCAAGGACATGCGATGTACGGCACGTCGGTATTTAATTTTAGTTCATTATTTTTATACTGAACTCGGCCAGGTTTCCAAAAAAAATGGCGTTGTTTTCTTTTCCTTTGTCGTTCGCTTTAGGCTTGTAATTCGTTTTTGTTCTCATTGTTTTTGTTTGCTGGTTAGATTTTTTCCCCAACACCAGACTTTTTAACAGAAGCGACTGCATTCTTCGTGTCAAGCTTTCCTTATCTCCTCGTGTAATCTGATCCTTTTTAGTGGTGAGAATATTGCTTGCTGCACATAGAACACTTTTGCTGTTTTACAAACTTCTCTTCGTTAAAACTTAACATTATGGCCCCTAAAATTAATAGAATATATCAAGTGCTCATGTCTCTTGACTGCGGTGGCCGGGTTTGACGAAAAAATTTAGGTCAATGAACACAGGAGGTCACGACGGCTGGAAGTGTGTGAAATTTTCTTTGTTATTCAACTTGAGCCCGTGCGCCAGGTACTGCCTTTTGATTGGTTCACAACTGACCACTTGGTCTCAGGGGAATCTACATTACATTGGGTTACACTTTTTTCAGCTCGATCGAGAATTTTTCTGCCCAGTCTTACCCGGCTCTATTCTGCAGCCGCCTCGCCATCCGAGCGTCTTCGCTCGGATGGCTCGTTGGCAATTACTGAAAGTAGTATTGCTTTGCTCCTCTGCAGCAAGGGCATCTTCTGGCGAGACCTTAACCTGCTGTTGACGAATTGTCCAGTCTACACAGTATGGAGTTAGATCAGAATGCACGTACTGCTAGCTCCCGCCTGAAAAAAGGAATAGTCACCTGGCTCTGTCCGCCACCACCCCCCGGCACTTGTTCGCAGGCTAGAAATAAACCAATTCACTGACAAGTTCTTTTTCATAACGTCAAAATCCGTCGCGTAAATGAAAAAAATGCTTTAAAGTGCCTCAGCCATTTTACTTACTATCTTTTAACCAAATACGTTGCGGAGAAAAGAGATAAAAGGCTGAAAACAGCCTTTCATTTCGATTTAAAATTTCAGATGGAGAATGCCCTTTTCGTAGGTCTGCACCTGCAATGACTTGTGTGCTAAAACTCCTTCATGGTGGTATCTCTCAGGCAAAAACGTCCGCCTAGCGGCGAGGAGCGAGGAGAGAAGTCCGTGGCCATTTTCGAAAAGAAAAAGAAGTGTAAAGGCAGCACCTTCGTCGCTCAGAAAACGTCTACGTCTATAATTTTCTTCAGGCCGCACAGAGTCATCAATTAATGTGCTTTTACGGACCCCTTTTAAATGAGCAGCCAGCATGGCCAGTAGGCTGTTCCGGAACGGAACAACGTGATTTGTTCTCCGCCACCCGGAACCAAACATTTAGCAGTGGTGAGGAAAAACTTTTATTTTTATGCGCCAATTTTGTGGATCAAACAAAGTCTGCTAGCTCTAAATGTAGTGATAAAGACATGGATTGTTGTAGGTGTAGGGTTGATCCTAATGGAGAACCCAATGCCAACCAACCCACCCATCTCCTCCTCCTTCCCTAAAGTAGACTTTTCATGACGTTAGCATAATCACCTGAGACCTCTTGTAAAGTTCACTAAAATAATAGCAAGCACCTTCGTAGCCTGTTCACAGACCCTCTACTTTTTCGTTAGAGATCGTCCATCTATTTTCTCTTTGGAGATCGTCGATTTTGCGTATGAAAATAAAAGCCGCGGGGGATATATTGACCAGTAGAGAAAGGGGCTCTCTCTCGCTCGCTCGCTTCGCTCGCGTGCTCGTCTATTTTCGAAAGGAAAGAGGAGTGTAAAAGCTGCACATTCGTTGCTCAGAAAACGTCTGCCATATCATTTTCAGTTCAGGCCATACAGAGTCATCAATCAATGTGCCTTTATGGACCACTCTATGAGCAGCCAGTAGGTTGATCTAGAACGGTACCACGTGATTTGTTGCACCGGTACTCGAAACCAAACATTTAAAGGTAGTGAGGAAAAACTCTTATTTTCATGCGCCAATTTTGTGGATCAAACAAAGCTCACCTAACGTAAATGCAGAAAACCTTACCTTTATCATTAGCATGGTAGGGTCGATGTTTGGTTATTTCCCTACATACTCACCTTACTAACAAGTCAGGAGCATACCAAGGTGACTCACGACATCTTTTCTATGATCGCAATACATTCAGCATTACTGCTGCCACAGGCACCACAAACCAAGTTTGAATATGTGCGCGATTCTATACGAACATACAACAAAGACTTGCACCGTAAAACACTTACACCAGGAATTTCTTTTCCGGCGCGTTACGCGTCACGCACTTCCGGAATGTCGTCTTCCCTCGTGTTGACAGATTGAAAACATATGCAAACTTAACTTCGATTCTGCCTTGATGCAGAATTTAGTTAGCGGTACTGTGACCCCGTCTAGCATTTAAATTCAGGTAAGTAAATAACTTTTCTGATTTTAAGGTTTCAATACGATTAAAACTTTTGCAAGTGAGTATTTTGACAATAATCCCCTCTACTAACTGTGATTTCGTCTCTTCATTATGGTTTATCGCAAAAATCAGTTGAAAGGAATCATGTTAAACCGAACAGAAACGCCGAAATATAATCTGAAACCGTTACAACTCTGACTAGGGTTTAAATGTCGAAGTAACTTACGTTTGCGAAGGATTAATATTCCAAGCGTCGAAACTTGCTTGTTGCACGCGCTTTCCTGGTGTCAAAATACCCTTCAGGTTTTGGTCTCTCGACGGTGCGCATTTGGAATGCCGCCAGAAATATTTTAACACAAACAACAGCAAAGGATATGCTTCAATACAGTTCTTGTTTCATATTAAAATTCCGTGTACCAACTGGGTTTTTACGATGGTGAAGTTAGGTCAAATTTGCCATTTTTGAAAAGTGCTGAAACCGTGTTTCTTCTTGCGGCCGGTACAGTCACATTGAAACGGTTTATTTAAAGTTAACTGCTGAATTATAAAGTAAAAATGTGTGTCTCTTTTGGGACTTGATTTCATGTAGAGATATTATTCCGTTTTTATGTACGAGCGCGAAGAAAATGCTCAATTTTCGCTAATTTCATACTCGAAAGAGCGCCGATTTAGAGTTTTTCAAACTTTGCCTGATTCCTGAAAAAATAAAAAGCTGTTACAAGTTTTAACGTGATTTTTGAAATTAGGGTACTATAGAGATTATTTGGGCAATATATGAAGAAATTCAAAAATTCACGACTGTCAACCGATTCTCGAAAATTACAGACATTGGCTCTTAAAACAATAAACTTAAAACTTGAAACTTAATTCTTCGCCTTCTTTCAGGTATTTATTTCAACCGACCTACAATGTCCCTTGCTCATATCAGGGAACATGACATTTCCAAAGAGGAAGTCAGGTTTCTTGAATCAGAGGGAAAAGACTACTGTCTTTCCCATGGAATGATTTATAAAGACAAGAATGAAAATTTCCAGCACATACCGTTTACTCTGTTGCCGTCACCATTCCCAGAAAAACTCTTCACAGCTGCCAGAGAAGTTCAAGTGGATTTTAATCTGCTTGTACATAAAGTTAGCCAAGATTACCACTTTACCAAGACGGCTTTACTGAGGTATTGTTTCGGTCGAATGAATACAATATCCCTTTACCAAATCTGTCACTTATTTCTGTCATTAAAATATCTTTATAGTTTGTCATCTTTCCTTCATAGCTGTCTCATATTCCACTGTTTTTTTTAAACGCATAGTCGTCCTGAACACAAGAACAACCAAACAAAAAAAACAACAATGTACGGCTGGAACAAATATCTATAGCTACAATCAGATAGCTAAAGTTTTATTGAATTGATACAGCGTACCTTGTTCCCAGGGTTTTCTTCTACCCGTCGATAGGTAGGAGAGAGAAACTGGGAACGCGATAGAATTGATCTTAGAAAAACAATAAGTGCAACTAAAATGTTTTGCAGATAATTCAACTTAAATACATTTCACTTTAATAAGCTCAGAGTGTTTTTCTGTTCTGATATAGCACAGTCGCTGCTGATCCCTTCACGTCCAAACTCTTTGATATTTATGACAAAGTTTGGAAACAAGGAAGTTCTAAGGTACGTCGTACTGCACGCGACAAATCAACCATAATATAACCCTGATAACCATGATGTAGCCTTTTATCTTATGAATGAAATGCGATGGAATCTAATTAATTAAATTGCGGTGGAGTACAATTAATCTCCGACAAATTTTCTATTTACAGCCTGAACAAATATCTTTAGGAATCTTCAGATCGGACTATTTGATCGATACAACAGGGACCCAACCAGATGAATGTAACAATTATGATCATAAGGCAGGAAATGGAGGTATCGCTGATTCAATAAAACAAGTTGAAATAAACACCATTGCTCTGGGTGGAATTACATTTTCATGTTTGGTTCCCAACATGCACAGGTAATTTTTTGCAACTTTGTAGAAAAAAAAGATAGCGTTATGCAAGAGAGAATAGTCTAATTCTCTCCTATATTATGGTAACTTTCCGGAAAGTTATGATTGAGTCGCGCTTGCATACCAATGGAGAACTTAAGAAAGTGCCAATAATATAGTTTGAAAATGTACTTTTGAGTTGAAACCATTTACAGTAACAACAGTACATTTTTAGATGAAAAAGCGATTAAATATCGTAGGTCACTGAAACTTGCCACCATTTGTGTCAGAAAAAGAGCCTGTTTGACCAGCATTATCTTTTCATTGTTTGTTCCAGATATCTATTGCAGTTAATCGGTCAACGTGGCTGCAAGGTATATTCAACTTTATATACATCAATAACACTACAAATATTGTGAAATATGTCAGTAATAACCAGTCAGTTATCATTGGCTGTGTTTAAGACACATTTTAACCGTCTGGACGCCGAGTGAGACATTTCGGCGTCTTCTCAGTGTAGAAAAGGATCTGAAACGGTACCAGTCTCGAATAGATGGTTTGGGATTTTACCAAAATACAGTGTGGGATACAGGATTGACTGCACCCCGGGAAACGGGATTTGCCCAAATTTTGCACGGATGAGGGTCGGGAGAGAAAATGATAGTCTTCGGGATAGTGGTGAAAGACGTTCGGGATGTGGGATTCTCCTGACGAGGCGGAAATGCGCGTGATCAGGAGAAGGCTTAAACATCGAGGCGCGAAATTAAAACGTCTGTAGAGTGTATCACGTGCGTTTAAGTTCTTTAGGCGCCTAAGAGAACATTATGGTTAGGTTTCTTTGTTGAAAAGGGGGGCAATAAAAAAATAAGGTAGAAAATGTACACACTTAAACCATTACCTAGGCTAGAATAGTCTCTAAACCGACTTTTTTTTGTAAAGGTTTCGGTTTGCCAGTTGTGCGAGAGAGAATTCGTGTTAATAATTGAAGATGTCTATTCTCCAAGGTCCCTGCTAATCCTGCACTGGATGAAGCCGCAGCTGGGCTCATTAAGGCCTGGGAACTATATGGATCAGCCAGGTATAAACTGAAGAAATGTAAAATCACACGATATCGTCAGCACTCAATAGCCAATGTAGTCCAGATTGTGGGATGTCCTACTATTGAACACGGCATAATCAAAGTAATAGCACGCTATTCTTGATATAGATTATAGAACAATGTAAAACTGAGCGTTGGTCTTATAGGGCCACAACTATACAGGAAACCGGCTAAGAAAAGCCTGGAATCTAGCGTATGAAAGACATGGTTGGCGTTACTACTGAAATGGCTTTTATATAACTTAAACAATCCTATTTATTTATTTATTTTGTTGCATTTTAGTGCTGTGATTATGTTCGTTGTGGAACGTGAAGAGGTAAATGTATATGATCAAAGGTTGCTGGAATATCACATAAAAGAAAGGTAAGCAATTTTTTAAAAAGCTGTAAGTACTTTTTGTTCTTCTGTCAACATTGTGTCAGGGATTTCGAGCCAGAAGATACAGAAATTTTGCCTGAAACATTCGACTTTTTTACGCAACGGCCTTCACAAGCGACCGGCGGCGTCGTATATTGCTTTAGACCACTTCAGCACCTGATTTCGTTTTATATTCAACAGAACCTCTGCTGTATGTGTGATTAGGAGGAGCCTTGCAGATGTTTTTCGTAACAGTGAAACAAAGAGCGATCAGCGTTTGTTTGTGTAAGAATGTTTTATTATTTTATGTTGATGACAACTCAGTGAGTTTAAATGTGTTGGTGCCAAGTAGTAACCAATTTGAACTTGCATTAGTCTGTGTAGCTGGCGCTGTTAAAGGGCAAAGTGCTTTTGTATTTTAGCGGCGAGAAGATTTTAAGCAAGTCTTATTGAAATTGCCGCTCTCGATCTCCGTAGCCAAGAAAGTACATACCCCGGGCATAACCATCCTACACGCATCGCAGGCTAAACTTACACGCGCTTTCCTGATGCATGATCTGTTTCATTCACTACTAATGAAAAGGACAAAACACGCTTAACTCAAACGTTTTGTTCAGCTATCATATCGTTCACAACTGTCAAATTGTAGAAACAGGTTAATAGTATATGGTGAGTTCTTTTGAAGTAAAAGCGTTCATTCTCAATAGGGATGGTCTGGAAGTTGCCGTGGTGTACTATCGGGCAGGCTATTCTCCGAAACACTATCCCACTGAAAAGGTACAGAGACAATAAATTATCAAAGCTCCAATATTAAAAGGCAACTCCATATATTTCCCCCGTATTTCGAAAGTTACGCAACAATGCCGATGCTCATATTTCGAGCTTGGGCTACCTGTGTATCACCTTGAAGGTAGAGAGTTTTCAGTTTAGTTGAGTGTAGAAAATCTAGACCTCGGTCAACTTGTTATTCTAACCAATCAAAGTAGGTGCAGAAGCCTTACGAACCAATACCAAACACTCGAATCGAAAATATAGTAGGCCTGAATTCCGAATTATCTTAAGCCTCTCATTCAAAATAAATCACGATACGTGCTTATCGGCGTGTTATTGATAAGTCCACGCCGTTCTGATAAAGATGTTTAGGGCATGTCGGAAATCCGGGGCCGGGCGATACAGACATACAGCTATAGCCAACCAAGATAGTTCAGAGTCACTTGACTTTATCAATATTTTGCTGTTTACAATCGGCGACGAAATTGTTGAGACACTGTGATACAAAATAATATTTTTTACGTGCCTCAGTAAGCAGAGGTGTGCTTTACTTTTTTCTTATCCAGGAGTGGGAAGCTCGTTTAACAATGGAGTTAGCCCGTTGCGTAAAATGCCCCTCAGTTGGACATCAATTGATCGGAACCAAAAAGATGCAACAAGTTTTAGCTAAACCTGGCGTTTTGGAAAGGTATCAAGTACCGTATTTATTCGATTAACCGCCCTGGGCGCTTATTAAATTTTTGGACCTTGAGAGTGGGCGCTTTATAGAGGTGGGCGCTTATTCGAGGCTGGGCGCTTATTAAATTTTCAACACTTCAGCAAGTGCAGTATGTTTATTTTGCAACAAAACAATAAATAGTAAAAACAAAACGCGAAGATGTAACAAAGCAAGGTTTCTGTAAAATACTCTGAAGAAAACTCCGTCTTCGGGGAAGTCTCCAAGTCTCTTATTAGTACTTATTCAATATTTGGGGGGTGTGAGGGGCAAGGGGGTAGGCTGGGGTAGGCGCTTATTCGAGGCTGGGCGCTTATTAACTTTTTCTGCCTTTAGGATGGGCGCTTATTCGAGATGGGCGCTAATTCGAGGTTGGGCGCTTATTCGAATAAATACGGTACTCGAATATTCAGCGCTTAGTTTAGTATCGAAGGAATTAAAGTTGAACGCCATGCCGCCCTGAAATTGGAACTTAACAAATTTTATTCGCTAAGGATATAACATTCACAACTTTGCCCAGGTTGTGACGGAAGTAGTTTTTTCCTTTATATAACGGTTTCTTTTGTATCTCTGTTTAACATATATGTCTTTCATTACATTCTCTAGGTTTTTACCTGACAAGGATTCAGTACAAAGGGTCAGAAGAACTTTCACTGGACTCTACACACTTGACTTGGTAACTACTGTTCCAATGAACTTCAATCAATCTATCAGTCAATCAATCAATCAATCAATCAATCAATCAATCAATCAATCAGTTAATCAATCAATCGATCAGTCAGTCAATCAATCAATCAATCATCAATCAATCAATAAATCGACCTGCCAACCTTAGGCAAATAATAGACCTGGTCACAACTGTTCCAATCATTTATGTATTAAAATCATTTAATCAATCTGTCAATGAATCAATGATCAAATCAACAATTACTCATCGTATTCCTCAAATGACAACCTCGTTCCCAGGGTTCTCTCCTATCCGGCCCTGCGGAGCTCCGTAGGGACGGTCAGAATAACGAGCTTGAGAACGAGGTTGATAAAATGAATCAACCGGTCATCGACCTACCATGCGCCAACCATAAGCAATTTTAAAATAGAGATTAAAAAAAAAAAAAAAAACCTTCAATAGGAAAACGCTGATCCCCGCGATCAAGTTTTCCCTCTACTTGTCGGTATTGGTTTTTCCTTAAACTTGGCGTTATATTTTGTTAAATTATTATCTCAATTCTGTCTATTACAGGGAACAGAAGGAGACCACAATATGAAATACTGCTTAAAGGCAGTGAAGAAATACGTGCTAAAGCCGCAAAGAGAAGGCGGAGGTGAGTAATGCCATGCTTGTAGGTGTGCTTGCTCTGAAATGGCCCTTTTGCTAAAAAAAAAAAAATCTTAGTCAAACTCTTGGAGTTTCTTACATACCATGACCAAATCGTATACGTTTTAAATCTACATCTTGTTATGTAATAGCAAACCTTGAAACAATTCTTTTTTACCTACCGCCGTCTAGAAAGGAAGACCGTTCTATTACCGTATTTTTTTTTTTACCATGTTAATGCATTCCTATTTTTATGTTCTTATCACAACAGTTTTTTATCCTTTCAATTGTTATAAAGGAAACAATATTTACGGAGAGGAAATCCGTCGTATATTACTTAGAACACCGGAAAGCAGGTCGCAGTTCATATTGATGGACCGAATTCAGCCCAAATTAAACAAGAATATTCTAGTTCGTCAAGATACACCTGTTTCTGAATGCATTGATGTCATTCCTGAACTTGGAATTGTGGGTATTATTATCAGGTATGTCCCTAGTTACAGAGGTGAGTAGATACAATGCCAACCCGTCAATCCGAGGTGTCCATCGGCGTCTAACGGAACACTGACGCCCCGTCCACACGTATCCGTAAAATTTTCAAATCCAATTTGCCCGTCCACACGTATCCGAAGTCACTGTCAGTTCTTCAACTAATTTGTATAAAGCGATCTTCGCCTCATGCAAAAATTTTATTGCCAATCCTCTTCAATAACTGTTTCCAGCTGTTTCACTGACAAAATTGTCCCACCAAGCACTATTTCGCTCGTTTAACTTGTTTACGGCGTCCAATTTGTCCGTCCGACATGGAAAGAAGCTTCAAAATGTCGAGCCGCCGTTTGGCATAATTGAAGTATAATCATAGCTACAATCCTCGTCGCATTAAGTTGGCGGGACACCCGGTGCAGAAACCATATTGCGACAAAACGTTGGGCTCTTTCCCTCCCAGTGTTGAACTTTTTGCTTCTGTGATGCCAACTCACATAAACCAACATTGAGGGGGCAGCAAATATCACAACTGTCTCAACTAATGTCACGAGATACGATTATTCTAGGTTTAACTGCACTCACGTTATAAAACTTGAAACTCTAGTCCAAGAAGCAAAGAAGCGATAAACTCGGCACCGTCTTAAACATTCACGATAAAGAACTGGGCTCGATCCTGTGACGTCATTGGATAAACAAAATATCCCGATCTAGCGACCATTCGAATCCGGATTCATAGCGTATTCAAAAATTTCCACTCTGGAGAGCGGATTCAAAAATTTGGGGATTCGTATGCCGGATACTCAGAATAAGTGTGGACTGAAGCCGAATCCTGAAAGAAAATGTTGCGGATTAAAAAATCTCCGGATACGTATGGACGGTGCCTGAAATGGACGCTGTCCAGGCATTTACTTGAATTGAGTAATATATATTAGAAAAAAAGTTGCTGGTATTGTGGATGCAATAAATGACATCAACCGTAAATCAACTCTACCGGTAGTTGACTGCTGTTGGTAACGACCGACCCAGAAAACAATGTTTTTACCGCTGAAGTAACTCACGTCCCTGAGGCTGTCATTTCGTCTCCAGGGGATAGACAGATCCACCGCAGACAAATTCACTCAGATCAATTACGATTGTCATTGCTTTAATTTTGTACACTTCAAGTACAGTAAGATTACTTATGTACAAGAAGATTTTCGGTAAATTTCTCCTTTCACCTCAAAATTGTACACCTTTATAATCTTTATCTCCCTATTTCATTAAATATCCAGTGGGAAAACTTAGGTTCTCAAAAATTGCTTTATTTTCAGTCGTGGTGATGAAATACTTCTCAACAAAGAAGCTGGCTACTTAGTGAGGACGAAGACCATGGATCAAGAGGATGGAGGCGTGTTTGCTGGAAGAGCCGCTTTCGACAGCCTTTTTCTGATTTAACGTTGTCATTGTGCATATTTCGGTACGTTTAAAGGCGTGGCCATATCTCTCCACGAAAGATCTTGTTTGTTTTTACTCTCGAGGATGGGAACACAAAACAACAAGTTTCTTTTTCTTTTCCTGCATGAACTTTGATCCAGTCGTTTGAAATTCAACTCCAAGAGAAATTGCAGCATTTGACGAATTAAACGAGATGGAATAAGTGACGTTTTCGTAGCCGTCGCCGCTCCCACATAGCTAATCGAGACGGGTAGTTAGAGCAAAAAAATTTGGTACCAAATACAAAAATTATACAAAAAGTTACGCTTAATACATGTATGGCGCGAAATACAAGAAGTTACAGCTAACAAAGAACTAAAGTTACAAGGTTATTGCACCACGATCATTGTTAAATGTTTTTCATTATATCAATAAATTAAGATGTCGCACGGTGCGAGTTTTCAGATTTCGGGATATTAGTTAACTATTACTAACCGCGTCCTGATTCACAGTTTAAAGCTAAGGCAAAGAAACAGTCTAGTATATGGTGCTATCCGATAGGATCGGGAAAAGAACAACTCATGGTTTTACTTGCTGGGTAACATCACCATGGTCTGAAAGCCAGGGCTGTTGGCCACAAAGGGTGGATTGGGGAGAAGAGTCTGAGGGGACTGGATTAGCCTGTTCACAGCAGGTGGTTCACAGACCCTTTAGTCCGTCGCAACCTCGTTCCCAGGGTAGGAGAGAGAACCTGGGAACAAGGTTGAGTCCGTCGAGCGCGGGTGTTGCGCGGGTGATAAAATATAAACCGCGGGGGGTTTATTGACCGCCAGCGCAAGGTAGTGTTCTCGCGTGCATGCTTGGCTCGCGAGCTCGCCGATGTTTTTCAAGAGAACGAAAAGAAAAATAAAACAACGCCTGTGTACAGGCTAGGACTGGAGTGGACGGAGAAGGGATCAGGTTCGGTTAGGGAAGCAGGCAACAGCCGGCCGCGCCAGGAGATGAATACCACTCCAACAACAACCCTTGAGAAAAACACCAACAAGAAATTTTAATTGCGGTTGCACTCGATTTATGTAATACATATTACAACTGTATATGGAACAACATGCTAATAATCTTTACCCTTTTTTGTCGCCAATAGCTAACAGACCCCTTACACCACAGTTAAAATCTATTACAATGGTCGCTAACTACCAATGATAGCCCTGCTAGTTAATATTATACACATGTTTAACATTAAACTCTATAAGGAAAGCATGGCCCTCCTGGTTTCATGCTGTTTATCAGTTGTCCAGAGCTCAACTCCTCGGCCATACCAGTAAACTACCGACCGTTTTGCCACTAACCAGTCGCGGTTTGTTAACCATGTTCTTATTTGGACTGGTTATTGGAGAGGAAAGCATGTTTACCAGTAAAAAGAACCTTAGTGCTAAGTGCTCTCCTTAAAGTCACAAACAACTTTGATATTGACATTTGAAAATACCCCCTTAGTTTACATTAACTAACTGAGCAGCAACGGAAGTTATGAATAAGCCTCTTAAAAATTACACTGCCCTCGAATTATTTCTAATGTTGTATTGTATAATATCATTAGTAGCTAGTTTTAGTTTTCTTTTTTGTAATACCTGAAGGACTTTGCTAAGTCTTAAGAAAGTGATATCTTATAACTAGAAAACGACTTCACAAAACTAAGGTGATTAAATAATACCCTTTGTTATTTTCTTGCTATTATATTTTTTATGAAAAACAATGATTAAACTGAAAAACGTGCTTTTAACTTCAACCTGACACTAACAAAAAAGCCTTTTAAAACGATCACTTGTCCTCTACTCTTGCTATGGTCTCCTTGTATTTGAAAACAAATGTATCTACAGCATAAAGAAAATGACATGGAGTCCTGTTCAACTTTATGCAATCTAAATTAACATGAATGCTTTGAGCATCTACAATTAATCATAAGCATGCACACTGGTATAATAACATTACTGGGCCTAGTTGTTCAAAGGCCAATTAGTGCTTAACCTGGGGTTAAATTTAACCCAGGTTTCTTTTGTTTGGGTTCAAAAACATTTTCTCGGATGATTTTCTCTGTTATTTTTAGAGCTTCAAATCATCAACTCGCAGAAAAAAAGAATTAAAACTGAAATGCTTTCTAAGCTTTCAAATATGAATTCAAATCTCGCACTTACCCTGGGTTATCTCAACCCAGTTTTGAACAACTCGACCCTGAGGTCGTTTTGCAGATTGGGGGGGGGGGTAGGTATGTTCATGGCCTGAATTTCAAAACCCTTCCCTTCAAGTAATAAGGAAGAAGCCATGTACTTGTCAGTATTTTACTATTGTATTTGAGCTTGTCTTTTGTGGGTCCTCCATTGCTGTTGCAGTATGGCAGTGCAGCTGTCTTCATCTGTCTTATAACACTGTTTCAAGGCCATATCACTTGTCAGAATTTACCCCTAACAGGACCTCATTACTCTCTTTTAAAGAGATGTAAACCCTACTTAACACAACACTCAAGTCTTGTTCTCAACTGACAAATTCTCCTTACTTGGATCATTACATTTCTTATTGTGCTTATTGGGAGAATTTATGATCAAATTATTAGAAATGATGCAAATACCAGAGGGAATTAGGTGAAAAGTAACTGAAGGTTAGCATAAGAAAAAGAAAAGAAAAAGGAAAAGGAAAAAATTCTTCAATAGCTTGACTATTCTGCCAAATTGACTAATTTCTTTTCGTCAAAAAAGGAAGAATTTGACATTACTAAAGAGTTGCTCAGGATTCTATCTCACCCACCTATCCCTAAGCTTCTGGGCCCAGTTCCTGAAAGGCCGATTAACGCTAATCCAGGATTAAAATTTTGTTCCACTTTTTGTATTTACCTTCCTATGCATCGGCTTAGAGTAATATTTCATGTTATCATTTCTCTTTTTCGAAGTAAAGGCACAACACTATATTGTAAGCTCCAGTTACATGTTCTCAGACACGAAAAGCTTGCTTAAAATTGGGCTAAATCCTGGGTTAAACTTAACCATCTTTCGAGGAACTGGTCCCTGTTGTAGACATAATCTAACCCTTGTTAGCAGTGTCTGCAAAGTCGTGCCAATATCCTCATTCTTGGCAAATTACCAGCATTGCATTTTGAATTTTCCTTCAACCTCATAAACTTGAACTTTACTTACAATGTTCTACTCATAATGCAGTCAGGTGATCAATAAAGCAAAAGAGATCAAATAAAGACAACTAGAAAGGATTTCAAGAAATTGTGTCCTTAACTTGTGTCAGAGACATCATCTGCTAATCATTTCCTGTAGTTTTCAACAAGACTAGATCAACCTTGACAGGGAACTGTCACCTTCCAGCTCTCTATAGATCTTGCGCTGTCGGCAGTATAGTACAGTCATCACAATGGTTGTTATACCAAAAAATACAGCAAATCCAGTAGCCACCCACTTTCCACTCGAACTACCTGAACCACCATTGCTGTTATGATGCCCTAAAACAAAACAGAAGTAACCCTAGCCTCTCAATACTACAGAGGTATTACAACTTTTGAAAATGTTACAGGTCAAAATTACAATTATCCAGGTTATAATTTTTAAACTAGGGTGAACCTCAGTTTCCTCTGTCTCCTAACCCTAGGTCATGAGTAATTAGGGCTAGGAGAAATTATTAAGGTAATATTGATAATCAACCTAGGTTAAAAAATTGAAACCTGAATTTAATTTTGACCTGTAACAAAAACACCCGGGGCAAACTAGTTCAAATTGTGTTCAGTAAGGGTTTTGTAACGGAACTTTGTGTCAGTCAGTTTTGTCCGTATTCAAACTCATCAGTCTGGTAAAAAAAATCAGATGAATGTACATGATTAGACTTAATTGGAATTTATTCACAGGCAGACTCAAAAATTCAAGTTACAGTTTCACATCCACAGTAGACTGCACTCACACTCTGAAAGAGAGATGTTAACCTAAGTTGTGATCGGAAAGATATAAGAGAGCAAATAAGAATACATTCTGCATTTAAAGATTTAAATATTAATTTTTGTATAAAGTATAATCAATGGTATTTACTAGAATTTGCTGGCATTATGTTGATTCAAATATGATTTTTAAAAAACAAATGAAGCCGAAAGTGCTTTATGAAGGTACTGCAAAAAGGACAAGAAACATGTCATAGATTGTACACATGCAGCAATAACAAAAGTGTTTTGGGTAACAGTATGAATAGTTAACTCCTGACACAGTCACCCCAGCATTACCAGTAACGGAAATACCAATCAAAACTTTCTGAACAGCTAAACTAAAACATCTACCTTTTGGGGTTGGTGTCACAGAAGATGGGTTCACATTTGTGGTTGGTGCTGTTGAACTGTGGTTTCCAGGTTTGCTTGTAGGTGTTGAGCTGTGGTTTCCAGGAGTGGGTACTGTACTGTGGTTTCCAGGAGTGGGTACTGTACTGTGGTTTCCAGGAGTAGGTACTGTACTGTGGTTTCCAGGAGTAGGTACTGTACTGTGGTTTCCAGGAGTGGGTACTGTGCTGTGGTTTGAAGGTGTGGGTGTGGGTTTAATGCTACTAGAAGTAGCTCGCATTGAAGTAGGTGTTGATGTATTATTGGGGCCTGTTTGAAGTATGGTTGGTGACTCATTAGCAGTGGTTGGCCCACCTGAGCTGGATTGCACTGCAAAATTATTAGATTAAAACAAAACACAACACTTACTATTATTGTCAAGTGAACTTAATTAACAGTTTATATATGAGGCTGAGTATCCTATGAAGAATTATGGAGATCGAGGAGGGTGTTATCTGTCAAGGCTGTAGGCCGAGGCGGATAACACCCTCAGAGATCTCCATAATTTTTCATGATATGAAAGCTGAATTCAATAATATGTTTTATTGTTCATCCAAAATAATTCCTAGTTTAAAAACATATCTTCGATAGTGCACGTTTAGGGTTGTTCAGCTCTGCAAATATTCTCCAGATAGCAGATGTCGCCCTTCGAGTTGTCTTCTTGCTGTTCTTGCCTGTTCTTAGTGAAATGCCCCCCATTTTTGTTTTCACAAACAAAACAACTCAAGCTCGTTCCAAGGTCTTCTCAGTTAACGGTGCAGTAACCTGCAAGGAAGCTGCACTTTTGACATCATCGGTTGATTAATCGCAAAATTCTTTCAAATTTGGTCATCAGTAGCTGGTTATGGTGAATTGTGCATGTGTTTTTAGCCACTCAGAATCGGGGAAATATTTGAATAAATAATAACATGTCTTAATACATTATCTATCTACCTAGTGGAACCCAGTTAATATGTCACTAACAGGCCACAAGAATTTGGCCGATCAGCAGAAAAAGGTCAGATTTCACTACTGCTTTGTTCTCTTTTTTATATGACATTTTAGACACTGTTAGTTAAAAAAGGAATAATTATGTACTTCTAATTACCTCTGGTCTGTGATTTGGAAAGCACATTTATTAAATTTTGGGTGAATTTGTAAGAAAACATTAACAACCACATTAATGAATGAGTTTTCCAATAAAAAATTTATGGCATTTTGCCAGGACAAGTCAAAGAGGCTATAATAGTAAGGTGGTAATATAAAAGGTTCTGCTGCACTACAAATACAGCACAGTAAATCCCCTATTAATAAAGGGGCTGTGTCATGGCTGTCCAGTTCATTTTCTGGTATTTTTCCAGTTACTTGTCCTCAATCGCTATGGAACTTAAAGTAAGAAAAGAAATTACATGTAAATGACAAAATCAGAGATCCGAGACAAACAAATATGTCTCCTCAGCATTATTTTTGAAGTTGCAAGCAGCAGGGATCAACTTTGAAAAACAGTTAGGCTGAACAGTTTTCAAAAACCCTAATATCAATCCACTTCAATCTTCTTCAGTTTTGCCCATCAGTGACATCTGTTGTTTCTTTTACTTTTTAACCTTCCTTTAAAGTTTTAAGCAGCTATTTTTATGTTTCTCTTAATTTAACAAGCATTTTGTAATTTCCTAATTTAGCTGAATTTCGTGACACAGCTCCTTTAAGCCCCCTCCCTTAAATAAGGCCCCTCTTTTAAGGGAAAGAAAGTTCATCAGCACCCCCTTCTCTTTTTACATCCTCCCTGATCCTTCTGTCCCTCTCATTATCCTTCACTTGTAAAAAAATTTGATAGACTGTATTAATCAATCATGACTGTCATACTTAATTTGCACTGACCCGGGATGGTTTATTCAAGTGTTAGAAATTCAGATTTGTTTTTAATCCTTGGTTGAGTGACCTCCAAGGCCTGGCGCACGCTACTGGTGTACACGGCTAAGAATCTCACATCGTTTGGCTCTTATGAACTTATTAAAACTCAGATCGCATCGATATTTGGCAAGAAGTTAAAGTTTATAAACAGCTTTTCATTGAATATTTTTTTCCTGGCTGTAAGACCAAAATAAAATTGAAATATGAAAAATATGGCTCAAAATGGGACCATTTTTTAACAGCTCGCGTAACATTAATTTTACAGTCTAACCACGCATATTGTGGGATTTCTCTGTTTCTGTTAATGGTACTTTGGAAAAATTTCTCCGAAGAGGTCAGTGACTTATGAGTACTAACTGTATTAAAAATTACTGATCATAATGGCAAAACAACAAAGTTTAGGGCGTTTTCAGAAAGATGTTCTGTCTACATACGATCTCTGTGCAGCGCGAACGTCAATTTAAAAGATTGCTTTTCATTGACTTTCTGTTGTTGTTCAGAGAAGAAATAATAATTTTTGGAATGCTCATAAGTTAAATTTTCCTTATAGACTAACTGTTAAGACTTCGGGAAACCCATTTTTACGCTAAGATCAAATATGTAAGGTTAGACAGCATTTTTTAACGTGAAAATTCGTAAACCGTGCGTTGGACCGAAAATCGGATTCTAGAGTGTGCTTTGGCATAAAGATTTTGTGCCTAAAATGTGCCTAAGATGTGCATAAAGTGTGCATTTTAGTTTTGAAAAACGTGCCTAAGCCGTGCCTAAGTTGTGCCCAAACTGTGCCTAATCTGTGCACAAGTTGTGCCAAAATATTGAGTCACTCGGAAAATCGTGTCCAGCCTATCGAGCTCCACAGCGAATGAAAAGGGCGCACGGCAATTATGTCAGTTTTGAGGTTTACGAAGTCTAGAAACACGGTCTGACGACTCAGAATACGGTTAGAGACAACAGGGAAAGCCCCGACAAACAGGAAAATGGAATCTTAAACAGGTTAGCGTATTTAAAGTAAGTGCTCAGCTCAATTACATAGTTGATATTATGCTAATTTCATCGATGTTAAAAAATTTCCAAGTAGGTTTCTTCTCCCCTTCTTAATGGAGCGTTTAGTTGGAACGAAATATTTGTTTTTTTCAGGAGGGCAGATTTGCATTCAAAAAAAGAATTTACTTGTGATATGACTTATAAAATGAAAACGAAAAAATTGATTGCACGCTGATGAGTTTTGAAATAAATGGCACATCTCATCGATTATTAAACGATGATCAAAGCTTAATTTGCTAACAGAGCCAGAAAACAAAAACAAACAAGCAGGTTGAATTATTTTACTACAGTGTAAATCCTACTTTTTTAGTTAGAGAAATATTTTTAAAAAGCAGCCGCATTTTGTATTTAAAAAACAACACGCGTTGGCATGAAGGTTTCAAATTACCACTTTGTACTTTTCATGTTGTTATGCAAATTCAGGCCAATTTTACCGCGATCGCAAAAAGTATTTTCTACGACTTTTATTGGCTATTTTTGTGCCTCACTTCTTTAGCTTTGTTTTTGTTATTATGGCTTCGACTTTCTTTCACGATTTCTTTTAGAAACGAAAGAAAGCGAGTTTATAAAATTGCATGGCAATCGAAAAGGTTCAGACCGGCATATATCGCGTGTGAATTTCCACTTTATCCGCGGAGTAAACACGGACTGTCGAAGAATACTTTAATTTTCCAGACTTTCGGCGCGGCTCAAAACTTACACTTCCTATACTTCTAACTGTATCGTGTTTGATCTGAATTATTTTTGTAATTCGTACCAAGTTTGTTCTTTTTTGCAAGTCGGGTTACAAAGATTTTCAAAAAAGTGCCCAGCATTGAATATTTGTGCCTAAACCGTGCCTAAACCGTGCCAAAACTGTGCCTAAAGTGTGCCTTAGCAATATTTAAAACGTGCCTTAACTGCGCCTAAGGTGTGCCTAATCTGTGCCTTTGCATGTTTTTTTCCCGTGCTTTGGCACAAAAACCGTGCCTTTTCTTGAGCGCAAATCGTGCGTAAGGCACGGTGTTACGCTCGTGTACACCAGTAGCGTGCGCCAAGCCCCAACTTCTTGTATTTGAGCTTTTCCACTTTGCATTCTAGTTCTTTATGGAAAACTGATACCACCATCTTCACTGAATTAAAGAAGCCTCCCTCTAAAATAAGCCTCACATGTCAATAAAGATAAAGACCCCCCCTTCTCAAAGGTTTTTGAAATAAATAAGCCCCCCTCCATCCCCGAGGTTTAATTAAGGATTTATTGTAAATTTTAAAGGATTTATAAAAACTTGGCTTTTTTTGATCTGATGAAGTCAGAAATTTTCAGTTTTTATTTATTCTGTAACAGTTTCTGTTGATTTTACTTGCAGTTTTCAAATGGTCTCAATTTATGCATCCATCGTTGAACAAAAGCTTAATTTAATAATTGGCTCACTACTGATTAGCCTGAGAAGACAGGTGACATTTGGCAATGCTGCCACTGGTTTCCCCGCCAAATGATGTCTGAGAAAAGAGTGCAGAAATTCCATACTGATGACGTGTCACTATCCAGATCTGGGAAGTGCTTCTGATTGGTTGAATCAAATTTCCCATGTGGCACGAACAATCAGAAGCACTACCCAGATCTGGGTAGTGAAACGTCATCAGTATGGAATTTCTGCTCTTGTTTCTCAGACGTCATTTGGCAGGGAAACCATTGGTAGCATCGCCAAATGTCGGCCGTTTTTTCAGGCTAACTACTGATTTAAAATATTGCCACAACTGCAACAATATTTGCTGTAACTAAGAAAATGCGAAAAAATAGGCTAAAAAATAAATCAAATCATTTTATGAAATGACTTCATAGTCTTTGAATTTATGAAAGACAGCATTTTTTAACAGATGGTAAGAATTTAGTAGACAGTATTTATCAGTGTATGCAGTGACTGTCTGTTTTATGAGGATTTTTTTATATTGGCCCAGCTAAAGAACTTGGTCAATATCCAACCTTAATGACCTCACACTTTCATTAGCAGTATATCAACAAGACACCGAGTACATGACATATTGTATATACTTCGACAGACGCTTTGCGTTCACTGTCAGTAACATTGTCGGCAATACTAATACAAAAAAAAAAGCAAACAAAAATAACAAAATTACAACTGAAGTTAGGGATCTATTCCAGCATCCATATGACTTAATGCCTCAATACCCTTCGTAAACAATGTGTAAGCATTTTTTCCCGTTTGAATTTGATCGAGAAAGTTGAGTATAAAAACGAGCAAGTAATAATTTCTTACCCAATCCTTATCCCTCTACAAATACGTCATTATTTACAAAACATCTTAACAAAACGCTTAATGGATCTTTAGTCTATTTAACGAAGAAGATCGAAATCGGACTTTTAAACTAACAGTGTAAGGTTACATCGCTTACATGTACGCGAAAAAACTAAAAAAATACAAAGCTATAAAATTGCAGGTTGTCGCTTCTTCTATGATTTTCTACCACTCAATTTCCCATTTACGTGGAAAATATTGTAAACATAGATTAATCAGACTCACCACCTATAGATAAAATGCAGAAAACTGCCAGCAAACATTCAAGCACCATCCAAGCACGAGCGAGCGCCATGATGATTACCGAGCTTTTTGGTCACGTGACATTTGGAAACACATTTCCTGGAGTTCAGACTCCTCGGGGGCGCGGTTCAGCGTATTTCTCCTGGGATTACAGCCGTCGCAAGAGAAATTGAAAACAATGCTTATGCAAAATTTTGGGTGGCGTATTGCATTGCCCATTCACTTATCTTGTCTATCTTTAGGATTGTTCCTGGGATGTATCGCAAACAATGGTTATGCAAAATTTTGATATGAAATAGTCAGTCAAGAGTTTTTAGCACTCAAAAAACTAAAATGTATGCATTGTCGCTGTGGTTATCTTTGCATCAAGAAAAAGACCACGTTGCTCACTAATGATTGGGGCAATGGGCAGCTTGTAATCTGTTATTTTTTATTAAAAGGCGCTATATTAAGTGAATGATTATTTTATATTTTTACCACACATTCACCAAACAAAACAAGGAAATATTTGATAAAAGTGCTGGAAACTTTTGTTAAACAACTTTTACTCTTAGCCTCCAACAAAGACGTTCTTTATAGGGATCCGTTGGGGGGGATTGTGTGACGAGCCAAAACAATGTCTGCGTGAGAGGCTACTTTTACCTCATGCTTAGCCAAAGTATCAAGCTGTTCTTGGGAACAGGGGAGGGAAGGGAGAAAGGTAAGGTAGAGCCTTCACCTTAATCCTCAAAATGTCCTGTCCTTAAAACTCCAAGTCAGGTGCTGATTTACACTTGATTCATCGCTTGCATAAAATGCATAATTTTTCCATAATAGTACAAATACTTAGAATATGAATGACAGCATACACGTTTCATTTTTGACAATATCATTTAATCTTTGAGTAAGGAAACTCAAGTCTTTCGTAATAGGACACATAGAACTAATAACATCTTTTTGACAACCACATGCTTGCTGAACGGTTGCCTAAAAATCAAGATTAATATTATTTTGGAAAGAAGGTTTCCTCAGATGTAAAGCACATCTAAACACGTAGACATCCATGACTTGGAAGTTGAATATGTTCTTAAATCTTTTCATAGCATGGAGTTTAATCTTTTCAAGTAATAGAAATGTACAACAATAAGTTACAATGATATTTTTCAATAAAAGAAAGAAGATCACGCAAGTCTCCTAAAATGTTAAGACCTTAAAAGTACAAAATCTGAATTAACAAGCAACCAAGTACAATGGCTTTAGCTCTGAACATTCACTAAGCCGTCTAATTTGTATGACCATTTATGTGATAATAGTCAGACTTCATAAAAATCACCTGTAAGTAACTGATAATGCCTTTGATATAAATAATCTCAAGGCAGCTCAAGTTCACTATTAATTTCAATCTGGTTAGCCAGGAGGCAACTCTTGTTGTTTTATTTGGCCTGTGGCCCCTGGATCACTGGGATAACAAGCAAATTTCTAACCGTTACGGCTCTTTCTCAAACTCATCAATAATTCATGAAGAGAAAACAAAGGACACATTTATTTCTATGATCCATGATGCTGGATTGGATATCAGATTATCATTACCATAAAACGTTACCCATATCCAGACACACTGAAGTTCTGCTTGTCTAAAAGAACTCAACCTCATTTTTGACCAACTTATGGGTGTCTGATAGCCTAATTCAAGCTTATTCAAATAAATACGGTAATGACACTGGATTAGATATCAGATTTTTACCATAAAACGTTTATCCAGACACACTGAACTTCTGGTTGTCTAAAAGAACTCAACCTGCAAACAGTGTTGAAAGCCTTGTTTTTCTTAACTTCTGGTTACCCCCTGCCTTGTTCTGTACCAGGATTTGAGTACGTGACATTATAAGCCTGTTAAAAAAGCCATGGTCAATTTGCTAATCAGGTTGAAGGGAAATTCGAAATGCATTTCCAGTAATTTATTGCAGTGTGCAAAGAAAGTAGTGTCCGATAGCCCAGGGCTAGTACATTTTGCTATCGGGCTAGTGAAATCTGTTCCTAACTTGCCTGATGGGCCAGTGAAATTTTCTTTGGAGGGGGGGGGGGTGGGTTAATTAAAATTACACAAGAGTAATAATATTGTAATCAATCCTGTTCATTAAAACTTTTTCGGGCTAGTTGAAATGACTTATGGGCTAGTACATGCTAGCTACAGCTTGCCCAATTGGCAAGCTGTAAAACTGACTTTCTTTGCACCCTGTATTGAGTCCATAAAGGGCCCAGAACAAGGATGTAGGTGCTGCTTTGTAAACATTACTAACACTCTATGCCTGTCCATGGAAAAAGCATCAGTCACCCACACTTTGTTAAAAATAATGAGACTACCCTTATTCAGAAGTATCTAACTGTTAAAACAGACTACTAATTTCCACAAGAATCTGTATTATTTCCTATATTACTTCAACAACAACATCTTAGCTGTCTCCAACTAGTGGGCGCTCTTGGCGTGCTTTGAACACCAAAGTTTTCTGTCTGTTTAGAGCTTTCTTCATAGAATCTTGATCCCTCTTCACTTCTGACATGCCTTCGTAGAGGTTTTTCTCTAACTCGCTGATCTGTTTGTTCATTGCTCTTGTTTCTTCATCCTTTTGTTTGGCAGGAAAAGCATCACTGACTGGTCGCTGCTTAAGGTTCATTGCCTTACCTCTGGTGCGTGATAACTCCAAGTTCAGCTCATTCAAGTTGGCTGTGGAGTCTTGAAGCTGCAATAATTGCAAACTGTGTTAATGGTTCAAACATAAAATACACACTAAAAACTTGAAAGAAAAGAAAATACCGGTAATGCTGAATTTAATCAGGGAAGACAAATTTGTAAAGTAATAAAAGCCCACACATGATAGCTGACAATGGCTCTACTAGGGAAGAGCATTAACAATGTACATGTACCTACCATGTAAAATAGTATTTTTTTTAACAAGAAGTCAAGTTTGGTATGTTTTCAATGATTTAGTGACATACCCAGCTCCGCACCAGCTAAAAACTACGCCTAGAATCTTCAAACACTTTGGGTTCTTTTTTCACACTATTTTAATCTGAATTTTTTTTGTTTTGTGATTTTGCATGTAATATTTACGCAAGACTTTGATATAACAAAGGACCAATTATGTGGCAATTAATTTTCTGCATGTTCATGAACATTATGACCACTACGAGTAGTCAAGGACCCTTTATATATTTCGTGACCGGTGGATGAAGGTTTCAATGCTCTATGTATTGCAGTACTTTCCCCAAACACCCTACCCTCCCTAATTTCTTAATGAAGCATAAAGGTAGACTAAAATTAATACAATATGCAGATCATAACTTAGTTTGGGACAACAAGGAGTAGCATTGAAGCTAACAATTTCATTATTCCCAATGATTAAAAAAAAATAAATGTAATGAATAGATTAATAAAATATTAATTATTCACTATTGTTTTAAGTAAAATAATAAAGAGATAACTACCAGCTGCTATATATTCCAGAAATCTATCTGCCAAACTAACATTTAGGTACATTCACGTTCAGAGGGTCATATATACCAAATGTCCATTCATCGATTAGTATTGCAGAAATTAATTTGCCTAAATACACCTCACTGGGAAGATGTTCTCATGCTTTCAACAAACAAAAGAAAAATCACTGGGCCTTGGGGTTGTCACAAACTTTGACCTCTGTTCTATTTTGCATACACGACAATCTGTAATACTATATGATTAATTCTCCAAAAAAAAAACAACAACAATTCTGCAGAAATAAAGTTCCTACCTTTGAAAGTGCATTAGTAACTGCATGATCTTGGGTTTTCAGTTTCTGAGGTAACTCTGCATAACCGTGCTTCTCCTGAAGCTCACGCAGCAACTCAGCTAACTCCCTTTCACGAAGTTCTTGTAAATAAGTCTTATGTATGATCCAAGCAGCATCGATATACAGTTTCAGATCCCGCTTTCCCCAATCGTTGTAGGCCCGATCGCTGCAAAGCTCCTCAGCTGTATCGTTCCAGAATCGCCAGTATTCTTTTGTCATTTCGGCGTCCTGGGATTCGATCTCTCTGTCACTGAAGATTCGAATTCCTCGCGACCGCGCGAAAGGATATTTATCTTGGCTATTCGTTGCTGCCTTTTCTGCTTTTTTAGGAGAACTTTTCCTCGACTTCTTCTTGGGTGGTTCGTGATCTTCACCAGCTTTCTCTTGTTCCTCACTAGCGCCATCTGCATTCGCAGAAGTTCCCTCCTCGTTTCTATCGCATGGTTGTTCAGATTGAACTGGTGATTCGTCCGTTGGAGGCAGAGTTTCTTCTATCACGTTATCGCTCATCTTTTACAATGATTAACGGGTTCTTAGGTGATTATTTCACTGCAGAAAGCGATAGTCTGCAGATGCAAGAAGAGAAAAAAAGCGATCAACACTACGAGGTGTGCGTCGACACTGTAACCACCCCTCCCTAACAAAGCGTCCAGTCAAATTAGTTCCCATACCCTAGGCGCCTTTTTGATAGGCTCGCAATGTGTCCAGACAGTCGTCCTTGTGGTGCTGCTTCTACGGGATTGTGTAACATAAAAATTGCTTTTTCCTTTTTCTTTTTTACATATTTTGGCTACAACGAAGAGCGTAAACAGTAACGTTTCGAGCGCTATTACTTGGTCAGTGTGTCTGTCCGTAAAAGAAAACAGGAGATGAGCTATTATCCATGATTGTCACGCGGCGGGAAATTTCAGAGAAAACAAACCTGAATGGACTACAAACAAAGCCCAAATGCCACATGAACTAATGCTCATTTTTAAGCTCTCTCCAGGTCCATTAATACCGTCCAATTTTCTCGCGTGGGTTGATTTTTTTTCACGCGCGCCCCCGTTTTGCTCCCCTACTATCCCCTGAAAGAAAAAATGGGGAGCGAAACCGATGTAGTCTACTATAAGGATTAACATACTGAAACATTCGAAAATTGCCCCTTGATTATAAATATAAGCCCAAACCGGTTTTGAAACGCCCTCCATTTTGCCCCTCCAAATATAAGCCCTCAAAAACTGCCTTTGGAAAAAAGTAAAACAAAGCCCCGGGGATTATTTTCTGAATTTTACGATATTACATATCCTGACTGTGCAGTTCCGGACGAACGTATTACTATAACTGGATCAAAAAGTGTTGATACTGGTTATTCCAGGGTTTAATTTAATTAGTTAGGGGCCCGAGAGAAACTTATAACTAGGTGTTTCAATATACCTTTTTGATACCTTAACAAAAGCAACTCAATCATAACTCAGTAAATGACAATTTATTGTTGCAAATTTGCTGTAGTTGTTTTGTAACATATTTCATTATTGAAAAATACAAGAAATACATTTCCTGCATGGCACAGAAGGAAATGGAATATCTCTTCTCTCCTCCTTTCCTTTTTGAGATCTGTCAACCTGATTGTAATCTCCTATGCAGCCTTTTTAAGTGTGGCGAGGAGCATTGTGTGACAGCTCAAAGAACAGCTGTGAAGGAGACGACATGATAAATAGGAATGACATACTTTTATGATAGCATGTCTTATGTCCTTAAGTCGAATGCATCTTTAATACACTTCAATTACAGTATAAAACCCTAGTTAACAATACATTATTATTCAAAGATAACAGCACATGCTGATTACGTGCAAGAACTCTGCATAATTTCAAAATTCTTTTTTCCAAGTATCAGTCACCCCACCATAAAATTTGACAATTCCCTTTTTTTATCACACAGAGTTGCTTGTTTATTTTTTTTGTGTACCGTGAGCAGAATAATAACAGAGTGATTTTCATATGATCTTGAAATGATGATTACCAGTGAACATGTTTATAACAACATAAAAAAAGAAACGTCCACACCGATAAACAGCTCATCATTAATTTAACATTTATCATTTATAAAAACAAAGAAAAGAAAAAGAAAAAGCTATAAGTGATTGATGGCTGCCTTTTATAACCAGCGTCACAGCAAAATCTAACCCCAGCAAATAACACCTGCGAAACAGAGGTGAGATCCATGTTCTGAACCCCAATGGACTCAACAAATACTGCAAAGATGTGTATTTCAAATTTCCATTTAACCTGATTGGCCAATCAAACAATGACTTTTTAACAGGCCAATAATGACATGTACTCAAATCCTAGTACACAACTGGGGAGCTAGAACAAGGATTTCAGCACTGGCTTGCAGACTAACTTAACCAGAGGTTAGTTTTGTCTGTGGCGCAGGCTACCTTTCCATGAAGCTACTGCCTACTACTGGATAGCACACACTAAAGGAAACCATAACTTTTAGAGGCCACATGAAAATCACTCACTTAAGTATAGAATGAAATTAAATAGTTAATTGCAAATTATAATGCTCTAATTTTCTCTTTGTTTTCATTCTTCTTCACATTCCTTAACATATTTCTCGTACTCTTCTTCTGACATGAGAGGCTCAGAGGGCTCACTGCTGACTTTGAGTTTTATTAACCAACCTGAAAAGACAAATTACATTATTACTGATTTACTTTATTATTAGAACCTTTTAGCTTATTCGGGGATTTTAGGGGTGTAGGGGGGGGTGGGGTGGTTTCCTAAATTTTTGCTTGTCTCTCTTTAGTCCAGGGGCACAATTATGGTCCTTTAGTACTTAGAGAAATAACCTAATTGAATAATGTTCCTCAGAATAATTTATGAGCTGTTCCCAGAAGATTACGATGTTATTGTTTGAATCCCAAGGGTATTACTACTAAGCCTGGAATCCTTTCAGTGTATTGATCTTGTCCCTAAGTTTTTAATGATGTTAAGAGCACCAACCCCATCCAGAACAGTCTTTGTTTTTATTTTCCTCTTGTGGGTTGTCTTGATTGCAAAATCCTTATCATTATTATTATTATTATTATTATTATTGTTATTTATTACTATTATTACTATCATTATCATTATCATTATTATCATTATTTTTATTATTGACATTAGCTTTGTGAAATCAGCAGCTGAAACACCTTAACTTAACAGAAGTTTGATAACATAAATACACACCTTTTTCATAAGGAGACTCATTTACTAGTTCTGGGTTCTCTTTTAATTTGCTGTTAATTTTGGTCACTTCTCCTGTGAGTGGACTGTAAACTTCTGAAACAGCTTTGACACTTTCAACAGCACCAAAGGAATCTGCAAATGTATTTTTACCACATATAAAGTAACTTCCATTATTTTTGCTGTTGCCAATCAACAGCTGAAATCATCCACGCTCTAACAATAAATTAGCCCTCTTCTTTGAAGAAGCAACCATCATCTCCCTCAGTTAACAGCTCTGTTTGCTTGTACCTATCCTTGTGCCTTAACATTTTCTGGTTTTAGAGGTGCACCTTAACGGGACGCTCAAGATACAGTGTGCAGTCAAACCTAGACTGCGAGCAGTCTCTTATTTTTCTTTGCAAAGTTACTGCACGCAAAACCTAAGCACGCGAGCGGCAAAGCCGGGAGCCGCGAGAAACGAGGGCGTAAACCCGAGAAGAAAAAATAAGAGACTTGCTGACTCTTTTGTTTTGTCTGGGGACAACGAAGCTGTCAAGGTAATTTAATTAATCAATTAAATCCGAGTGACTTGAAACGATTTATAAATAGACCATAAACAACTGAAAAAATTACACTTTCTTTAAATCCAGTAAGATTGCCTTGAATTCGTTTCCCTCTATGAAATTGACAACAGTTTCCTCCTGTAAGATATCCTTAAAAGTTTTATTACTGGGATTACTGCTTGGTTCGATATTGTTTGCAGTTGGTTGTGACGCGTGACTATTTTTATTGCTTGCAATCTCACCACAGACCAGTCAATTATCTGTCAACAGCTGTGCAATTGGCCAATCGGTTACTTTGTTTCTGGGCTGACCGAGGGTTTGTTTACTACAAAAGAGTCAGCAGTCTGTCTTTTCTCGCCTGGTCTCAATCCTCAATCCCTTACTATAATAATAACGTCGTGGTTTGCAATCGCGCTGGATGAGGTAAGAACTAGACAGATTTTAAGAGAAAAGGTTGACTGCAAGCAGTCTAAGTCAAACCTGTATATACCTGTATAGTCACCCTCGGGACATGTGCAGGTGACTGTATATACAAGGTGACTGGTATATAGGGGTCTCCTTTGAACTCTCTTGGAAGTTAATGAATAATGCTTTTATGGGAAAATATTCACTCTATTTAGAGATTCCAAAGCCAAACACAGTCTAGTAAAACATAAAGCGAATGCGGATGGTAGAGGACAGATACTACAGTTGTTCGATAAGATCAGCACTTTCACTTCTACTCTATCAAGGTCTGTGGAAAACACATGTCTGATGCCAAGGATGACATTTATTTGAAGTTGTGTAATGTACATGTATTTGTATTTGATTGATACTCCTTCCCTGGTAGCAACAATGTATTGAGCTTTTGAATTAAGTTTGTTATGATTCGCTTTCATTGTTTGATCTTAATCCAATTTGGTGATGGTTATATACAAGTCAAAAAAAAGAAAATGTGCATTTGGGAAGTCACAAGGGTCACTGCGTCTGTTATATACACGTGACTGCTTTCTACATGTCAACTTTACAGAAAATAAAAGGCAAAATTTTCACAAAATTGTCCGGTGCCCGTATTATATGGGTGATCTCTAAATACAGGGGTGTTACATAAAGATTGACTGTTTGACAGCTTACATCCTAGTTAATATTTATCTTCTTATCGTACCTCCTTCATTAAATGTTTGTCCTTCTTCAGGAAGATCAACATATACAACATCACCTAATTGATTCTTTAAAGAAAAGGAAACATCAGTGACACACTAAAAATTCCATGCCCTTTAGAATCCCTATGTAACAAGTACATGCATATTAATTTTGTTCCCTCTTCTTTTTTTACCTCCAATACTCATTCTAAATAAAAATTGAAAGCACAATTAAAATTTTTAAAATAATTTCAAGAGCTGCCCAACACAAAATTCTGCCCATAAACCTTTTTTCCTGATGGGCTGAAATAAAAAGGCAAGTCACCTCGTACCCACTTATCAGCCCATAACGATACAATATCAAAGAAAAGAAAAAATTCTACTTAGCTTACAAGACCAACTTGTTAAAAATCCCCTTCTTAAGACAGCAGTTATATCTGTCTTTTTTCTGGATACTAGGTAGTCATTACCCCTGTGCATGTGGTTATTATATGACAGTAATAATCCACTACAGGTAAGGCCACAGTTCTTATTTAGTCTTTTCTTCAGTCACAGCTCAAGTTTTCCGTTATGTTATTTTTCAGTATTTTTCCCTAAATGTTTCTTGTAACAACTCATGGCATGTTTCAACATTCTTTCTAATACCACTTTTAAGCCCACCAAAGTGTAAGTCCACCTTTCTAATTCTTATAACTAAAATTCTATTAAGAAGAAGCAAAGTTCATCACTGAGAGCTTGCTTTAAGTTTTATATTTTCAAAATGTGACAATGTGACTAACGATGCAAAGAAATGGCGTTATACTGAAACATTTTGCAAACATTTGAAAACAATTCCCGAATGCTTCCGAAAGATTTTTAAATGGTTTTCAACATTTTTAGGTTCCATTAGATAACATTGCCAATGCTTTAAAATGCATTGGGAATGCATTGAAATGCATTCCAATGTTTCAGAATGTGTTGTGAATGAAAACTGGCTCAACGTTATTTCCATTAGGCCTGGTTTTCACAAATAGGGTCACATTTTATTTTTCTTTAGTTAAGAAACAACAGATAGTGACTATATGTGTTTTATGCTACACAAGATTCTAAAACAGGGATTGTTGTCCTGTAGAAGGTTATTATAAGATAATGTTCCTCCTAATGTCCTTATTAACCTGTTGGGGTACAAAACGTAAGAAGCACCCCTATGCCCAAGCTTGGGTCAAACATCCCTTCTGCCCCATGGGTCTGAACCCTGTTATAAGGCTCCTTCCCACATCCCCTAGCGTCTGAACTCTGTTATAAGTCCCCTTCCCACCTCCCCCAGAATCTGAACCCTGTTACAAGGTTGCTATAATAAATAATACTTTCTTTATACCCACCTGTGCATAGTCTGTTATACCTATTGTTCCAATGTCACCATCCATGGTAATCCATTCATGCTCTTTGGAGTATTTCCTTTCTAAAATTTTAGAACAAGCGCACACTTTTAAACAATAATTAAAATTGCTTCGTTAAACAGAGGAGGGGATTAAAGGAGAGTGATTGAGGCAGCAATATTGCACTTAGGCCTACCTCATTCTGGACAGTCTGACTTTTATAAACTGTCAAACTAAGGAAACTGTGAATATTTGAAATATTTCAGGAATTACGACTATGTTGTGAGTAATAAAATAAATTCAGAACTTGCAAGCAAACTACAAAACCATAGAGAAATTACCATTTTCGCTTTAGTTTAGTTTTCTCATGCTTCATTAGCTTTTTCATTGTAAAAGAATAACATTACTTTTACTGTTCTCAGTTTTCTGATTATTGAAATTCATAGTAATGATTAATTTGGTTTTACCATACTCCCTATAAAAAATTCACTCTGAATCATATGTACATTTAACTTTACATAATCAGCATGACCAAAGAGAGACAGCAAAAGGACAAGTCACCATGAACTGCAGCAGCACAACCAACTAATATATCGTGTACTGTCATTTACTTTATTATTATTTTTATTCTTATTATTATGCAAAAATAACACACGACTTTACAGGCAACTATGCAGTTTAACAGTGAACATAATCGCCTTCTTTGCAAGAATACTGACTTCTACAACCCCAACCCACAGCCACACCAACACACTTTTCTTTCAGTAATGCCAGTTTTAAAACTACTATATCCAGCTTTACTGTCATTTACTGCTCATATAAAGGGACAACAGAAAACACAACTTATTGACCTTTTTTTTATAAGAGCATTTTAACAAGTGGATAAATAAACTAGGTATTTTATATGTCTATGTCTTTTTATTTGTTTAGGGATTCTATGAAGCTTTCCACCCTTGTAACTTTACAACTCATAACCGATCAAACTTACATCCAGGTTAAAATTTTTTAACCAAGGTTGATTACTAATTTTCTTTGTCCCAGAATTGGGGCTAGGAGACAAAAGGAAATTGAGAATCAACATACAGTAGGTTAAAAAATTTTTATCTGAATTTAATTTTGACTAGTAACATAGACATAAGCGAAGGCATGTTCATAGGGAAGGTAAGAAACATCTTGTTCCAAAAATATCTTCATGAAAACCATCACTGCTCGGGCAAAATTTGTAGAAATTATTAAAAACGCGCCAAGGGGGGTGCAGGTAGTGGACTGTATATTGTACAACAAGCTAGGATATGCGACAATTTCTGCGGTTTTTTTTAAGTGTACCAACGGAATATAATAATCAAGTACAACAACTCTTCCATTAATCGTTTGCATCATTTCCGGGCTTGTGTGCCTTAATATGGTGTAAGCCAGACTAAATATATTTTTGACGTCGATTTATATCAGAAGATGTTTTTAATTGGGCTAGGCGAAAAGGTTATTCAATTCGAATTCAATTCAGTAAAGCGCACAGACTTGCTAGATCATGGAAGTAAGACTTAAGCTCAGATAATAGCTAAATAAAGAAGAGGTAAAAAGAGGTTTGGAACATAATATGTTAAAACAATGGTCTACATGAAACCGATGGAGTGTAAACTCAATTGAGTAATTTTACGCAACGTGGAATCGAATGAAACGAAAATCCAAAGTCAAAATAGAAGAATCCTAAGCGACGTTACCTGCCAGAAGTTGCCTTGCAATATGAATAAAACGTTTACTTTCAAAACTGGGGTTGCATAACACTGCTCTTCGAGAATACCAGCTCAGTGCCTGAGGTAAAACCCTGCAGAATCTTCCCGCAAGTACGGCCGCCATGCTGAATAATCTTGTGCTATCGAACAGTACTGGGTTCCACTGTCGGTTTCACTCATCATTCTCGTCCCCAGAGTCACACGGCTGCTTTTTCCGCTGGACAAGTGTAACGCGGACTCTGAGGACGGATGCGTAGTGCTAGTGCGCATGACTGCACGTGCATTAAACGTAATGGCGGCTTTCTTCTGAAACTTGTAACTATCGATTCGTGTTTGCTTGACTTTACAGAAACTGAGGACGTTTAACTGGATCTATTGAATTAACGTCGTTAAGGAGTACCTTAACAAGCTGCTGGTGTATTGATATCAAAAGATCTGGGGATCTAGAGGTAAATGTTTAACAGAATATGTATGCGTTCCTGATCATTCTCCTTCTGCTGCATGCACCAGTGCAATGTTGTTAATCGTCTGATTTGATAACTTTCGCTCATATGTTGTAAACTGCAGTGACACACATTGAATACATCCAAATACATGTATAGTAAATGAGCGATTGCAGAATACCCGGCCCACTGAATATCTTACTCGGAATGAAACTGCTCCAACAGTTGTTTTCCATTCATGAAATCTAACAGTGAGTGAAACGAGTGCCCCCCGCAGTCGATGTCAAGTGACTTGTGTGCTTATAGAACGAGGTATACTAGTGCTTCTGCAGTCCTGCACTCCTGCAGTCAATGTCAAGTAACTAGCTAGTGTGCTTGTCTATAGATTGAGGTATACTAGTGCTCCCGCAGTCGATGTTAGAATTAATTATACAAATTGGATGAAATTTGGGACTGTAGCAACAGTTTTTTAGGTTGAATATTTAGTGGGCCAGGTATCGCGGTAAATATTATACCTTGAACTAATCAGAACTTAAGATATTGTTGTTCTTTCTTCAAGGCGATACTATCTCTCTTTTATTCTGTCAGCCAGTTACAAGAACAACCAACTCTACCCCCCCTGCCTCAAACCAAGCATTTGACGTTTTGATTTAGTCAAACTCCTGTGTTGGAGAATGTGAATGCCACCATCCTTTTATTTGGACAAAATGTCAAATAAAAATTAAACACTCCATTTTCTCTATAGTCAATTGACAACCTGGCAGGCTTTGTTTTGTGTCAAATTTCTACCTTTACAGAGATAATCTTGCATTCAGTGCCTGGAGTATAACTGGAGATTGGGAAGATAGGGAATGGGTGTTCTTGGAATTAACTGAAACATAAAGGCAGTAGTGGGCATGCAAGATGTCAATTGTCTCACAATTTATGGAAATCTGCCACTAAGGCAATAACTGTTTTTGTTACTGTACTTGTTGTTTTGGTTATTTCCAAGTTGACTACCTGTTCCCTGTGAGTTTCTTCCAGTTTGTAACCAGTGCTCTTAGGCTGTTATGTTGGGTTAAATGTTGAAAATAGGTCTTTGTCCCTCTAGAAAAGAAATCTTGTTGTAAGTTCCTCATTTTCAAAATATGTCCAGCTGAAGGTTCATGTATTTATCAAGTAAATCTAGCATGTACAAACTCTAATGTAGTGGATATGATGAGTAGTGAAACTGGTGTAGACTTCCACAAATATTAAACCTGTTCTTTTGTTGTAGTTAGTTTTTATCTCAGGTAATTTTAATTTTTCTTTTGTTTCGACTTCATCAGCATATATTACCATAACCATAAACAAAAGACAAACAAAAAATTACCTGAGATAAAAAAGTAACTATAACACTTTAACCTCTTCACATATAATGCGCTATAGGTGGGTTAAGGTAAGCTCATATAATGGACTCAACTGATAACAGCTGCCAGTGGCGCCCTGTATGCTGATATCTGAGCTTACTGTTGTGGAGAGAACAGATTTCACTGTGTATACTGATGTAGGGGTTTAAGTGGAAATATATTGTTTTGCCTTCTACAGGACATCATGCACCTATACGCACTAACTCTCCAGAAAGCATCTGCCATTAACCATGCCATTCATGGTAATTTCTCTGGCTCCAAGCAACAGGAAATTGTTATCTCAAGGGGAAAAATCATAGAACTCTTGCGTCCTGATCCCAACACTGGCAAAGTATTTCCTTTGTTGGCCATGGAAATGTTTGGTGTGATCCGAGATCTGATTGCATTCAGACTAACTGGTGGTTCAAAGGGTAAGATATAGTGAAGACCTTATGACAGGGCTTCTGATATTTCACAGAAAAAAAAGCAAAATTTCGCAGGATTTTCAGGGGCAAATTCGCGGAAAAATTGGCTAATTTTGCAGGATTTTCGCGGAAAAAAAGTCAAAATTTGTGGAAAAATTGGCCGATTTCGCGAGATTTTTGCGGGAGAAAAGTCAGAATTTGCAGAAAAATGGGCCGATTTCGCGGGATTTTAGCGGAAAAAAGTCAAATTTCGAAGGATTGTCAGGGCCAAAATAATTCTCAGAAAAATCAGCCGATTTCGTGGGAAATTTCGGGGGGAAACTTAGCCAAGAAACAATCAGTAAAAAACAGCCGATTACGCTGGATTTTTTTTGGCAAATTTCGCTAAAATCGATCAATTTTGCGTCGATATGACCAGTGTTGTTTAACGTTTTTTTAACAGGGATAATCATTTGCTCTTTCAACAACAGTTCACTTGAGAAATGAGCGAATGCTAAAGCTATTAACATTATGGTTAGTGCCCAGTTTTTCGTAACGTTCATCTAAAAACGCCTGGTAGTTTTGGGACGTTGTTTACTCATTGCAGTGACGAAGTTTCAAGATAAATTTGGACGTTTGGGGTGAATAAAACAGGTCTAATGCAAGGATAAGTATTAAATATGTTTTTTTTTTTTTTTTTTGGCGTGAATACTTTGACAGTTTTCTACAACAACAAAATTGATATTCTTCGTAGCTTTTAGATCTAACTGCTTATCGCAATTCCAAAAACATGGGACAAACTTCTTTAGATACGTGAATGCTAGTGTCATTTCCTTCAAGCTACACTTTACTGCTATACTGTTTCACTTATCAGGTTTTATTTTTCCTTTGAATTTAGTTTGTTTGTTTGTTTGTTTGTTTGTTTTTTTTTTTACAAATTTAGTTTGTTTTTTGCCATATAGATATATATATTTTCATAGTTAAAATAACAAGTATTTGTAATTAATTTTTTTGTTGTTAAAAAAAAAAAAAAAAAAAAAAAAAAAATTAAATATGTTTTGCCGACATGTATTTGGAAATATTTCTGGTGGATTTCGCGGTATGTCGCGCTTTTTTGGGAATTTCGTGGCATTTCGCGGAAACACCTGAATTTCGCGGGTCCGTGACAGCGCGAAATATCAGAAGCCCTGTTATGATTATACATAAGGAAAAACAGCAGCAAAATAGCATCTCTTGTCTTTCAACACCCTTCACACATTATAGCCTGTCAGTGAAATAAGTTATATCTTTGTACTGGTCTAAAAGTCAACTTGTAATAACTGGTGTGCCTTATAGGGAAGGGTGGTTTTTATATAATAAAGTTTCCCCTTATTAGCTATATTCAAAGGAAGTTACACTCTACAATGTACAAGTTGTAAATTTTGACTAATGTTTGCAATTGTTTTTCAGATTATGTGGTGGTTGGAAGTGATTCTGGACGGATCGTTATCTTAGAGTACATTCCATCAAAAAACACTTTTGAAAAGGTAGCATAAAAGATGTAGTAAATGAAGTAGATTTATTTTATGTATTGTGATGGACAGTCAAATTAATAGTAATTCAACAAAGTTAAATTTAAATCTCAAACATTTCTTCAGTATAGGAAACACATTTACCTGTACTAAATATTGTGTTTGGAGAATAGTCACGGTTTGATTTAAGAAAATGTTAAATGCTTTAATGACCTGCACACTTTCTTCTGAAAATTTCTGTGCTAGTGTTATGCACAGTAGTACATGTACATTAAGCTACATGTAAAAATCTCTTTCGAGTTCCCTGAATTTTGTCATATTAATCTTCAGGTTCATCAAGAGACATTTGGGAAAAGTGGATGTCGACGCATTGTTCCTGGCCAGTATTTAGCAGTTGATCCCAAAGGACGTGCTATCATGATTGGTATACTTATTAAACTTTTTTTCTATGAAGGGTTTTGTTTATCATTTGTCTCACGATTGTCACTTACATATTGATCACATTATTTTGGCTGTGTGAAGCACGTCTTCATAGCTAGTGTTGATTTACTAAGTAGGGCTATTAGTACCACCGTGGTTGTTAGTGTTTGGTGAATCTTGACCCTCACTCATGGTCAGCAGTTTTCAATCCAAAGCATTGTTGGCATTTTCAGAGGAGGGAAAAGTTCCCTCAGCAGTCCACTGATCATGGACATCCACACTTCAGGAATCTCAATTCTCAAATCTCATATCTTAATGTATACTTTCAAACTATAATTTATTCCAATGTATTTATCAATATTGTGTTTTAGGCCCTTAGTTTTTCAATATTTGGCACAGTAGTGAGTCATGAACACTCAAGTCGTCAACAGCAGAATGAGTTGAAATAATAAGAGCTTGTTGTGAAAGTCTCTGTCACTTCACATTGGTGAATTATATAACATTCTGCCAGCAATTGTTTTTTACTAAACATGCAATATTATAGTATGCCTGTGGTAAATTGAAATTTTCAGGTGCTGTGGAGAAACAGAAGTTGGTTTACATCTTGAATCGAGATGCTGCTGCTCGACTTACCATATCATCTCCTCTTGAAGCACACAAGTCACATACTTTAGTTTATCATACTGTAGGAGTTGATGTTGGCTTTGAAAATCCAATGTTTGCCTGCTTGGAAATGGATTATGAGGTAAATAATGAGCTATATCAATGATAATGAGATAACTTATGTTGTTATTGAGTCTTCAAGTAAAATCCTGTAGTGTGATCATTCAAATGGAACTTCTCAGCCATACTTTTTTGATGCTATTTGCTACTTTGTTATTTTCTATTTTATTACAAAATAATAGTTCATGAGTAAATAGAAATTTGAGTCTTGAGCCTGAAGTGTAAAGCATAAACTGTACATCTGCACAATATTGTGTATTATTGTGTTGCTGCAGCAAAATTTTGTCTCATTTTCCATGTGAACAACCTCCCCCCCCCCTCCTCACTTCCCCCTGAGCACACTATGCCTCCTTTTTCTTTTCCTCCATCTACCCCCTTTATGGCATAAAGCATAGCCTGAGAAAACAGCCTCCTTTTCATGAAACCACGACTGATTTCCCCGCTAAATTAAGTTCAGGAAACGACTGCAGAAATACTGATGATGTGTCACTACCTAGATCTAGGTAGTGCTTTTGATTGGCTGAAGAAAATTTCCTTGTTGGCATGACTGATCAGATGCATTTCTCAGATCTGGGTAGTGATATGTCATCAGTATGGAATTTCTGCAGTGGTCTTGTGCAGAAACCGCTGATAATTATTTTGTTTTCCTTAAACCGTGTAATTACCAGTTTAATAATACTCTGAACAATGCCTATCATCTTATATGTTATCACATCTCTGTTTAGGATGCTGATTCAGATCCAACTGGAGAAGCTGTCCATACAACTCAACAGACACTGACATTTTATGAACTGGACCTGGGATTGAACCATGTGGTGCGCAAGTACAGTGAACCTCTTGAGGAACATGGAAACTTACTGATTTCTGTGCCTGGTGGAAATGATGGCCCCAGTGGAGTGTTAGTCTGTTCAGAAAACTACATCACTTATAAGAATTTTGGAGATCAGCCTGATATTCGCATGCCCATCCCACGTCGAAAGGTTCGTAAAATTAGTATTGTTAAGTTTAAGTCCGTCAAATCGTAGAGTAATGTTCTTTTCCTAGCGCTGAAGAATTATTTTAACTGCAGAAGTCAGTGAAATGTGAAGTCAGTTGTAATAATCTATGAGTTTCTGAATGTGAAAAACAAAAAGTGGTACACAAGCTTCACTTACCGGGTAAATAAAAATAAAATAATTGCTTTGAAGAATACACTAAATGAATTTATAACATTGTCTGTGTGTACTCAGCGATAATATTGTATTGCTTTAAACTCAATTTCAGTATGATCTTGATGACCCAGAACGTGGCATGATTTTTGTGTGCGGTGCTACTCACAAAACAAAGGTAACTGATTCATGAGCATCAAATTTATCCTTGTAATTTTATATCAATGCTATTTAAAGCAGATTGATGACAAGAATTAAGGACGTGATCACCAAACAAGTTGGTACTTCAACAAATTATCCCCACTACATCAGTAGGAAATGTGCAAGGGCACCAAATGAGAATTTACCTTTTGATATGAGGGGTTAAGGAGTTAATGTCAGTATAGGTTGCTATGATGGACACACTTTATAGTGCTATGATGGGCAAAGCTTTTTAAAATCATGGGAACAATATATTTGCTTTATCTTGTATGATTTTTGGATATCCGTCAAGCCTTGAACTTCTAACCTCATTTGTGAAATTCCCTCAGGTTGAATTTTTACTTAGTTGTCTGAGCAGCTCAGGGTAATTTATGTATGACTATGTGGTCTGTACTATTCTCCACACATTTCTTGTTACTTTCTTGTTTGATTATGTAAAAGATAGTGTAAGGAGTTTGGGACTCCTAAAATGTTGTTGATATAAATGTAATGAGTATGATATCTATTGATAATAAAGATTGCTTCTGTTGTCTTCTTTTTCTCTAGTCTATGTTTTTCTTTCTGGTGCAAACAGAACAAGGTGACATATTTAAAATCACAATGGAAGTTGATGAGGACATGGTTAGTGCAATATTATTTTTTAATGTTTACAGATTTTACAAAAGAATACTTACAACACAGATATTTGTCACTTTTTCCCGCACAGGTTACTGAAATCCGCATGAAGTATTTTGACACTGTTCCTGTTGCGGCAGCCATGTGTGTCCTCAAGACCGGCTTTCTTTTTACTGCCTCAGAATTTGGAAATCAGTATGTCCTTTTGATCAACAAATTAATTATTCTGTTTTGTCTAAATTACAGCCAACCACCCTTTACCTGGATATGCACCTTTTACTGTTCATATGTTACATTTGTACTTCATTTTTTTTTTTTAAAGATTTTGAGGTTACTTTTAATTTCAACATTAAACTGATGGTTGTATTTGCCAGACTTTACTGTGGTTGTTGGCTGTAATAGTCAGTTTTCAGTCTAATGACAACTGCCCTAAAAATTCTTATGCTTATCTTGCGACCAATTTTTTAGCTACTTGTATCAGATTGCACATCTTGGTGATGACGATGATGAGCCTGAGTTCTCCAGTGCAATGGAGCTTGAAGAGGGGACAACTTTCTTCTTTACTCCCAGAGGCCTCAAGAATTTGGTGCTTGTAGATGAACTGGAAAGTTTAGCTCCTGTGATGTCGTGTCAGGTTTGAACTTTTATGTCACTCTCTTCACCATTTTCATAAACTGTTAATTCAGACAAAAGGCTCATATTGCTGGCTACATGTAAAAGCATGAAGGCAGCCTATTAAATTTGTTTGTGTGGTAAGCCATTTAACATAGCAGTAACTACCACATGTAGGAATGCCAGATTTAATCCCACATACTTGTATTTTGTTTTGTCAGCAACTGCTGCAGTGTATTTTACATAATGTACAATATTGAAATGCAGGTAGTTGTAAAATAAAATAGAATGAAGCATGTTTTCCTCGTCAGCACATAGCCTGCCTGAAGTATTGGAATAAAACAAGGCTAAAAAAGTGGCATAACTTGATTTTGATCTCCTCTTCTAATTTTACTTCCAAGATCAAAACCAATCAAAAGGTCACCTCAATTATTTTTGTGTAATAGTTTTAACTACAAAGAACTTTTGCCACTTTGTAGATTGCTGACTTAGCTAATGAAGACACACCCCAGTTGTATGCTGCTTGTGGAAGAGGTCCTCGGTCCTCCCTGCGGGTTTTGAGGCATGGACTTGAGGTACATGTTATTCACTTGTTGTTAACCCATTAAGCCCCAGTATCTACATACAAATTCTCCAAACTGATCTCCATACATTTCCTTAAAGAATTAGTTGAGAGAATTTGATAACAGATCAAAGCATTTTCTCTTTAGTGACCATTTTATAACTCTCATAACCATTTCTCTTGGCAACATATGGACATTGTTAGGAGAAAATTGATGTTGGTCACAATAGGGACTCAAAGGCTTACAAGAATTTCTTTAGATTGACTAAGGTCATAGTTCAATTTCCACTCAAGCTTGAATGCTTGTAAGGTATATTTTCAAAAGGTTTGTTATTCATAAATAAATTAAGATTTGTGAACAAGAGTTGCTTCTTTTTATGTCGTCCACTAGAGACATGTTTGCTAAGCACAATAATGTTCATTAGCATGCAACTAAAGTAATTTCATCCTGCAGGTTTCTGAAATGGCTGTGTCTGAGCTACCTGGTAATCCTAATGCAGTTTGGACAGTAAAAACACACAAACAAGGTTTGATAATAATTACATGTACAGTGTACCATATTTATTTGAATAAGCGCCCAACCTCAAATTAGCGCCCACCTCGAATAAACGCCCATCCTAAAGGCAGAAAAAGTTAATAAGCGCCCAGCCTCGAATAAGTGCCCACCCCCTCCTCCTCCCAATCAAACTCAAATAAGCGCTCACCCCCACCCCACCCACTTGAGTGAATAAATTTTAATAAGAGGCTTTCCCGAGGACGGAGTTTTCTTCAGAGTATTTTACAGAAACCTTGCTTTGTTACTTCTTCACGTTTTGTTATTAGCATGTAATGTTTTGTTGCAAAATAAACATTCTTCACTTGGTGAAAATGGTGAAAATTTAATAAGCGCCCAGTCTCGAATAAGCACCCACCTCAAATAAGCGCCCACTCTCAAGGTCCAAACATTTAATAAGCGCCGAGGGCGGTTAATCGAATAAATACGGTAACTATACTTTGAGATCTATTTTAGTGGTGCTGTAATCATTTAAGTGAGCCTTATTTACTTGTGCTGCTGTTTATTATCAACTCTGACACTGCGAAGAGTGGTTCTGCGTGTAACTTTTGACTTTGTGGAATTAAATGTTTTCCCAAAGTGTAACAAGCAAGTGTGGGTTCTTGTCTGAAGCTCTTGTTTGCGTTCTGTTTACTGTGATGTACACTGGTTGTAATTTTTGAATTCAGCGAATTCCTTTTGGGTGGCTATTCAAGTGAAAGGCGAATGCTGTATCATTTTTAACACTTCTCAGTTTTCTTAAACGTTTCAATTTCGGGATGAAACTCCAAGGTTCAATCATTTGATATCAAGCATTATTGTTCAGTGATCTTGAAAATTGTTATATCTGAAACTTGTCACTCTGCGCCGTTTGATCTGGTTTGAGGATTATGCACCTTCATTGTACAGTCGTGGACATCAATGCAGTATTCACAATTTTCTGTAATTTCTTGGTACCCTCGAAAAACAGCACATCCTTTTTGACAACTGCTCGCGGTTCTCTCTCCCCTAACCCTCTACATTGTTGAAACTTCGAACAAATTCTGCATACTCGCGTCCAGCGTTGTTTGTGGGCAGGGGAAGGGGTTGGGCATGTGTGAATTGAAAAAAAAACAAAAAAAAAACCACAAACGCAAATTTGTCTCTAGACGTTTGTTCATCATTGTAGATTTCAAGTTTCTGATGAGGTAATTATTTTGCTGCTTCATTCCGTAGATGAGTTTGACTCGTACATTGTGGTGTCGTTCATTAACGCTACTCTGGTGTTGTCTATTGGCGAAACAGTTGAAGAAGTGACTGACAGCGGTTTTCTAGGTACCACTCCCACTCTGTCCTGTTCACAGCTAGGCGAGGACGCCTTACTACAGGTAATACAGCGTAGAACGTCCTGTGAGAGTCTGGCTCTCCTTGGTTAACACTTGCTACTAAAGATTAATTATTGGAAACGGGGAAAAGTATGTCGCTTTAGTCACGCACAGCATTGGTTTTAATCTGAAAACACGTTAAGAGTAATTATTATTGAAGGGAAAACTAAAAAGGCAGGAATGCGTTGGCCTGCTAACCTCGGCCACGAGAACCAATCCGCAGAAAAGCCAGCGATGACTGGTTATTGATCCGTACGACTTTCTCTTGACGCTTCCTCGGCTCACCCGACTCGTTTTCGAGTAATTGTTGACTTGCCTGACTAGTGTCTTCAACTTAACAAAATGCAGAACCAATCAATCGAGAAAGATGTCAGAAAACCCTGTTTGTTGTCAGGTTTTCCGTGGATCTTTCGGATTAATCTAGGTTTCCGGGAAACTGCCCACCTACCCCTCCCTTAAGCCATAATTTTGCCCAAAGTAAGAAAAACTGAAAGCTGCGAAAGGGACAGAAATCACTTTTATTTTTTCTCTACCATCCTCCTCTCCTTCAAAGTCGTTTGTTTTAACGTGCATGCACATCTGACAGGACGCTGCTTTGCAGTTATAGTGGGCGAACATCTGTAAATTCTTCTGTAAGTTCTCCATGTTTGACAAGCGAAGCAAGCCGCGAGGGAACGCGCGAGCGAGTCACAAAGCGTGCTGCTCTCGCGAGAGCTTGCTCGCAGGCTCTATGTTCATTTACATGTACGTGTATGAAGTCAGTTTTTACTGTTTTGTATTCGACAGGTTTACACTGATGGTATCCGTCATATCCGATCTGACAAGCGTGTAAACGAATGGAAAACTCCTGGAAAGAAAACCATCGTAAAATGTGCTGTGAATGAAAGACAAGTTAGTTACTTAGTTCAAGTTTAGTGCATATTAAAAAGAAAGCGTTAAATTTCTCCAGCTGGTTTTCGAGTTCCATTTAAAAAAGGACCTGACCGCTAGCTGGATTTGCTGTCGGTAGCCCCGTGTTCTAATCCTGGACCACGCTTGTGAAATATCCAACTGTGTCGCCCCCGAACGGTTGGGGTTCCACATGTTATGTTCTATTCAAATTATTTGTTTCATTATCCGTGAAAAGCCCCCTTAGGGGAGAAGATAAAGTATTTAAATTGGAATTACATCAGACGATTTTGATTAAATTTAACTTTTTTTTAGGTTGTCATCGCTTTAACTGGAGGGGAAATTGTTTACTTTGAAATGGATCCGGTAAGCAAATGAAATTGTTCTTCTTATCTTCCGTCAAACAAACTGTAAACATGACTTGATCCAGCATTTTACAGTTAGTAGGCCAGCTTTGTAGCGTGACGTAAGCGTGAATTTTACAGCCCTAAAATTGTGTGTGTTTTTTGGAATCTGGTAAACCCGAAATATTGTGACATATTCAAAATGTTGGATATAACTCCCAGTTAACGCGTGTCGCAATTTGTTTCAATATTTTGCTTCATTTTATTTGCAGTCCGGTCAACTGAATGAGTATACAGAACGAAAAGAAATGTCTTCGGATGTACAGTGTATGGCCCTCGGGACAGTACCCGCAGGAGAGCAGCGCTCCAGGTTTCTGGCCATTGGTCTAAGTGACAATACCGTGCGGGTAATATCCCTTGACCCGCAGGATTGCCTTCAGCCTCTTAGTATGCAGGCCCTTCCCGCCACACCCGAGTCGCTTTGCATTGTGGAGATGGCAATGGGAGGATTAGAAAGCGAGTCTGGAAGGCTTGGAGGACTCTTTCTTAACATCGGATTGTCTGTATGTTTGTGGTTTTAACTCTTTTATCTCAGAAACTTTTGTCTGGGACCTCGCTTTTAGATCGTAGTAACTAACATTGCTTGAAAGTTGGCGTGAAAGTAGTTGCTTTTAAACTTCTATGATTTCTTGTGCTGTCTATACGAACAGCGCGCTTCTACTATTAATAACCTGACTGTTTTTGATACCTTACAGAATGGTGTTCTGCTTAGAACAGTGCTGGATCTTGTGACTGGAGATTTGTCCGATACTCGAACGAGGTAAGGATATGTGCGGCCCACTTAAGCTTAAACGGATGTTTTGGTTTGAACACATGTTGATATTTAGGCTAGGCACGGCCCAGCCACCGACTGAAGTGATCTAATTCGAAACGATTCGGTTTAAATGCGTTCAGCATCAACGGGGTACCCCACTGCTTGTGAAACGAAATTCGTGTGAAATAATGTGCAGGTCTGCACTGCAAATGCATTTTGTTGATTCTTACTGGTGAAGTGCTGAATTCGTCTTATTGTTTTTCAGGTATCTTGGCTCAAAGGCTGTTAAGTTGTTTAAAGTTAGAATGCACGGATCCGATGCGGTAAGTACCTAGCTCTGTCCTTGTTTCTAGAGGTGTCGACATTCATTTATAAGAAAGCAGTACCCGTTAATAACATAATAGAGACCTTTAGATTCAAGGACGAGGACAACTACGAGTACGAGATTTGACTTCAAATTTTTTCGGGTAGTCTGAAAATATAAACTGCCCGGAAAGGCTCATTTTACCATTTTTCGCGAGAAACGTTAGCACTGTTACCTTTAGTGAAGGAGGTTACACCCTCTCCCGATCGGAAAATGATAAAACTTCTAACATTTGATAACTCGTTTCCTCCACTTCGACATTCTCGCTAAAACTCGTAGTAGAGTGACGACGGCTACCTCGTTTTCCCGCCAAAATGACGCTGGTTCACGCGCGGACACTATTTATCACTGAGAAAATCTCGTACTCGCTGTCGTACTCGTCTTAGAATCTAAAGGTCTCTAATAGCCCAGGGCCAGGTTGCATAAAACCTACTAAAGATGAGAGGGCTCCCAACTTTTGTTCTGGAACAATAACCTATTGTTTTGAAAGAATAGTTACGAGTTCCCAAACTATGGAAAACAAAAGAAATGAACTGTATAAACTTGCTGTTCTGCCCTCCGTATTGCTTTTATTATTATTATTATTATTATAATTATTGTTATTGTTATTTTTTATGGACAAGTAGGACTGTAACGCGATGTTAGAAATTGTAGAAGCTTAATCCCTTTTGTTTGATGTATTTCCAGGTTCTTGCCATGTCAAGTCGCTCGTGGCTAAGTTACTCTTACCAGTCCCGTTTCCATCTTACTCCGTTGTCATATGAGACACTCGAGTACGCATCTAGTTTCTCTTCTGAGCAGTGTCCTGAAGGAATTGTTGCTATATCTGCAAACACTCTGAGGTGGGTCCTAGATTATAACTAAAACTAGGAAAAATGAGGTTATGGTAATTCGTTTGCACGAAACTGCACCCTCAATTTGCAGGTGAGTTTGCTTTGTTCTTTTTTAATACGTGCGACTTGATTAATTTGTCGTCATTATACGCTGAGCTGAAATATTAAAGAGTCGGAGATTTCAGGGACTAATCTGCCAGTAGTTGTTTTAGCACTCTTTTGAGGCAATCTCTTTAACCTGCGATCAGAACGCCTTATCGCAGTTTACAGTCTCTTGTGCCTTCTCTACAGTATAGTTAATTGTGTCTGGAAAGCCCTGTAAACACAGACTTAATAAAACGTATTTGTTTATGTATGTAGTAGATACAGTATCGATCATATTGTCTAGCCTATGAGCAAGTTCTCTGGGGGTGGGAGGCGGGAAAAGTCTCCCCCTCCGTGGAGTTTCCCAGAGAGCTTGCACGCAGTCTAGGTCATGCCTGCCCATAGTGAGTTAGCATAAGTAGCTGACAAGGCCTTGTAAGCTATAACTTAGTTTAAGTAGTTGTTGATAGTAACGAGTTATATATCGTTTGCTTTTTTAATTTTTTAAGGATTTTGGCTCTGGAAAAGTTAGGTGCTGTGTTTAACCAAGTAGCCACACCTCTTCGCTACACGCCTCGGAAATTTGCTTTCCACCATCAGAGTAACAATTTGTTCATCATAGAAAGTGACCACAACACGTTCACCGACAAGGTCAAAGAGGAGAAAAAACAACAAATTGCTGAGGTTTGTAGTATGACCCATGGGTTTGCAACCCTCTGTTTGTAAATAGCGGAAGTTACGGCCATTAAAACTGACTACTGACAGTGGGACAGGGAAACTATTACGACTTACCGTTATGTTGTTTGAACTTGCTTTTTTGTGTTTATTTTGGCAATGCACGGCTCGTGAACGCAGCAATTTCAGACGCTCCTTTTGACTCGTCCCATTTTCTTCACCTTTTTCGAGTTTCAACACGCGCTTTCGCGAGCAAAACATTCGCGCGCCCGAAGAAAACGCCTACACTGCAGGCTAGTGTGTTTGCAAACTTAAATTCATTGACCCATGATGATATGTAGCTTGGTTGGAGAGGAAGGCGTCTTCTTCCTCTCCTCAATCCCTCTCCCATTTTTCCTTCTACCCCATTTCTTGCGACGAATGTCACGTAGGCTAGATGGGTTAACAGTTGCTATTTAACAGTTTAAAAACCCTAAAATTCTGAATGTTCGCTTCTTTTGAGACTTCAATGTGTTTTAGCACTAGAGGTTCGTCTCCTGATTGGAGGTTTTGTAGTTCAGTTTTTATGCCTGGTTAAATTTTTCCTTTTTTTCTGTGTATGTATGAAAATGAGTTTTTAACAAAGCCATCATCAATTTTAATCCACAGCACGCCACACCAACAAAAGATGTTCAATCTGCGTATGTCCATTTCTTTTTCTCCCTTCTAAAGTATTTATTGACATTTTTATGTTTATTTCTCCCAGGAAATGGTCGAAGCAGCCGGTGACGACGAGAAGGAGCTAGCGGCTCAAATGGCAGCCGAATTTCTCAACGAGGATCTCTCTGAGCAACAGTTTGGAGCCCCTAAGGCGGGGCCTGGCATGTGGGCCTCTATTTTGCGCATGCTGGACCCAATAAAGGTACTCAAAGATGGCACTTGAGAAGAGCTTGCGTATAGTTAAGCGGTTACCACAAAACAGGTTTATTACGATCATGGCAGTTCCTTTAGCTAATTTACTTGTTCTTGAATTCTTGGCAAAGAAACCATTATTTTGACTTGAAAAGGACGGTGAAGGAAACGTTTCCTGGAGGAGTGTTTTTTCAGTTGATCATTGTGTGCAAGACAAATTTTACCCTTGGACATATCTTGTTGTTTTGAAAGGGTGCGGAGGAAGGGTTGTGCAGTTACACGCGCGCCCGCCTCTCACCAATATGGCCTGGGTTCGAATCCCGCAGGCAACGCCATATATGGTGTGAGTTTATTGTTGGTTCTCGCCCTTGCTACAACAGGTTTTTCTTTGGGTATTTCAGTTTTTTCATCTCCTCAAGAACCAATAGTTTCAAAGTCCAATTCGATCAGGAATGATAGACGAAGAACCGCTAATCTGGATGTGCTGCCTCCAAATTGTTATTTATTCATTTTTTATCCATCTACCCATCCTTCCGTTTTTCCGTCCGCCCATCCCTCCCTTCTCCCCACTGAAGCTTAAAAATGTCAATTTTCTTTGCAGGGTGAAACAGTTGATGAGGTTCGTCTGGAACAAAATGAATCTGCCGTCAGGTTTGTGTCGTCTTCACACTGTATTACTCTGCCGTCAAGTTTGTGTTGTGTTCGCTCTGTACTACCTCTTGACTGAAGAGTGCAGTACAAGTCGTTATAGGTGTTCGACATTTTCAAGTCGATGCATTTAGTATGTGCCAGAAAGACGAAAGAAACGTGATAAAGATGAGACACTTGCTAAGTTATCTTTCTCCTTTCTGAATGTCTAAAAAGAATTTATTATTGTCACAGTGAGTTTTCCTCGTTTGGTAGTCCACTCATTTTGTTTAATATTAATGAAGGAGTTTTTTTGGATCATTATGAAGTGCTTTTGCGTGAAGATGACTGATTATCGTAACCAGCTATTAAATGCAGCTCATATTATCGCAGAAAACAAGCAAGCAAGCCTTGCTACTCATGCCAGCTACATGCCTCTTGCAGATGGTTGCAACTCACTATATGTAATATTATTTTTCAGTGTGTGCGTGTGTAATTTTATGTGTCGTCCTGATGAGACTTATGCGCTAGTTGGCACCGCAAAGGACTTGACTCTTAACCCACGGTCATGCGCAGGAGGTTTCATTCACGCGTACAAGATTGCTGAACTCATTGATGGGGGATACAAACTAGAATTTGTCCACAAGGTAAAATCCTTTGCTCAATATGTATATGCTTAACTTAAGAAAACAGCCGAGATTTCGCGACGTCACCACTGGTTTCCCGCGAAATGACGTCTGAGAAACGAGCCCAGAAACTCCATACTGATGAAGCGTCACTACCCAGATCTGGGTAGTGCTTCTGATTGGTTGAAAATTTGCTTCACCCCTTTCTTAGACGTCTTTTTGCGGGGAAACCAGTTTTCGCGTAGCGAAATTTCGGCTGTTTTCTCAGGCTAGTAAATGCTTTGTCTCATACATTTGCCAATATTTCAGTAGAAGGGAGTGTCAGGCGGGTTTTGGTGAACTGAACATGATGCATAATTAGACTTTTTTGTCGAGTTATGGAAAATGGTTTTGTGATGGACAGAGTGATTTTACTTGTAAACTCTTGACGATTTCTGCTTATTTTATTTTTCAGACCGAAGTGGATGATATTCCTGGAGCTCTAGCGCCTTTCCAGGTGGGCAAATAATTCACCATTTTTTTTCTGACGTACCGTTCCTAAAAATTTCTTTTCGGCTTTAGGTTCCAGTTGCGTTGACTCTATTCGGGCTTAACGTAACCTTTGTGACTGAGCGCCTTGTCGCTATGCTGCAATTTACGGCTCTATAGGGAGAAAGTAGGTTGCTACACAATGGAATCGTTTAACACTGCTGTTTCGTCCAGCGAGAAATGTTTAAAGCAGATATTTTTTATTGTAGGGTCGCCTTTTAGCTGGTGTTGGACGCCTGTTGAGAATTTATGATCTTGGGAAAAAGAAACTTCTTCGTAAATGCGAGAATAAGGTAAGATAAGCTCTATTTCGCGCCGTTAGTCTCCATTTGAAACATGCGCGTGGCAGGGGGTTATTACATTGGAAGCAATAGACTGCAGCTAAAACTAAAGGAAAACGCGTTCACACAGAGACCCAGAACCTGCTTCAGTGTCTTCATGGTCCCCACCTTGTACTACCCTTGCTTGCGAGTACTGGCAAAGGGAGTGTTTACATTGTCATAAATACTCCCGGCCGCCAGCACCGTACTTAGGCACCAAGTGTGAACCCAGCCTTAGTTCCGGATCCGGTAAACACTGCTATGTTTGTTACATGTTGCAAACTACCATGACCAGAGATAACAGTGAAACAAATGGCAACCGCCATAGTAACTCTGTAGTTTTTTCTGTACTAATCCAAGACTGTGGATGGTGTTACTGTGTTGGTATTAAGGCTATTTGGTATTAATCATAGTAAGACAAGACGTGGTTAATTTTTGTGTTGCTTCGTAGAAACTGCCAAACTTTGTTATGGGGCTTAACACCATGGGGACGCGTATTATTGTAAGCGATATTCAGGAGTCCTTTCACTTCGTCAAATATAAGGCTCGGGAAAATCACCTGGTGATATTTGCTGATGACGTCAATCCAAGGTAATTTGAGATGTAATTCTGCGTACTGAGGTGACATCTACTTGGTTGTGGACTTAGCAGGTGTAATATATGTGCTTTTTACTCTCAATGTGATAATAATTTCTGTTCTAGTTCCGTTTGGATAACAGTTCGAGGGAAGAACCTTAATTCCCCAAACCCATCGTTACTCGACGGGATAGTGTCCTGCCAAAAATATTTAAGGCCCGGGTAGGCTGAAACAGCATACGTAATAGCCCACGTTCGATATATTGAAGCCCTAGGATTTCAATTCCCATGGAAAACATTTTTTCGGTTCCGTGTCCAGAGATCATGAGAAACCATCGGTAACAATTTTTTGGTTCCGTGAAAATTCATGGGAACCCATCCCCTGAATGTTTTAAATTTTCAGTCATATATTTTTTTTCTTCGCGTTGGAAGCCATAAACCATGTATAATGCTTTTTGGGAATGATTCAAGATGGAACTGATAGATGGTAAACATTTCAGTTTCATATATGAGTCGTAACTAAATATAAATGCCCCTCTAGTGACAAAAAATAAAGATTTTCCCTAAATGTATCCATCCCTAAGACTGAAAATGTCAGTGGGAAACTATTTTTTGTTTTCGTTATTTTAAGACCACGGTAACAACACTTTACCGGAAACTTTCATTACCGTGAAATCCTAGGGCTTGTGAATAAATAAATAATATCGAAATTCTAATGACTCCGAGGTTTCATGGTCATTTTTCTATATTTTGTTTGGTTTTCTTTGTGCCCTAGTGTCCTCTGGGAATTGCGAGACAATGGAGTTGTAAAAAAATTGCATTTTTGTCCGTAAAGCCTCGATATCGAACGTGGGCTATTGAATTCGAACATATTCGTCTAATCACTTAAAAAAGATGGAGTTTTGTTGAGCAGATTCACTAGTTTCGTGTAGGCGGAATGCCGATTCTTATATGAAAAAAAGCTGTTTCAAAAATATCTGGACTCGTGCGGACGGGGCCGAAAGGGTTCTTTAGGGCTGAATTGACCAAGTTGTATGGGGATAAAATGAAAGATTTCAAGGATTGTGTGTAGAGTTCAATCTAATGGTTGATTTGTTTCGTTAAGGAGTCTCCGAAGTCAAAATTGCCATTTATTTTTAACCTTGAAATGAATTTTCTTTGCGTTGCCATCTTTTATTTCTTATCCTTTCCTAGTAGTTTAAAGATAAGACATTCCCATACCAGATTTTCCTTTCTCGCTTCTTGGTGAAAGGGTGGTCACTGTGAGAGACCTTGGCGAGGAAAAAATACATTCTTCATTTATGGGTTGTTTTTAAATCGTTGGTATCAAAGATCAAAGAATCGGTTCTGTAATGGCGAGTTTCGACAATCGTCTTTTTATTATAAACTAAGCGCCATTTTGAGACGGAAAAGAACGAGAGGTTAGAAACTCTTGCATTTATGTTCTTAAGGTTTACTTATTGCAAGTTTAATTTTGATTATAGGTTTTAATGTGCCGCGACATTATGTCATCAAGCACCCTTATTACCCATCTCATTGCAAATGACGCTGCCTTCGACTTGTCTTAAACCATGGTTCGCACAGGCCTTGAAAAGTCCCTGAAAAAGCATCATGTCCTTGAATGAATAGTCTTTGAAAATTGAAAAATTGTGGAATATCCTTGAAAAGTCCTTGAATATTTTTGAAAGCTCCTTGAATAAAAATAACCTTTGTTAAACAAAGTGTTTTGCGCAAAGGAAAGATTGAAAGCACAGCAGTATACAAATTTTCTTGGTGGTCATGAAAGTATGTTTTCTTTTGTTTTCAATGTTCCCGGAATGGTTAATTTTCCGTTATTTGAAGTACCCTAGTAACCGTGCCTTCCTGGGGGAAGGTATTGCAATAAGAAATCTCTCCTGTACCTACGAATTTGAAAGGTTTTTAGTTCATGCAATTCTATGTCAAATTACAGGGAAAAAAGTCCTTGAAAAAATTGTCTTACTCCTTAAAAAGTCCTTGATTTTTTCCCCCCAAATTTTGTATGAACCATGTAAACTCACCGGTGACGTAAAACAAAGAAGTCAACACATAAGAACCTAGAAAAACAAAAGCTGTAAAACAAAGAAAAAGTTCACATGTTCTTACACCGAAGTAAACCTCTAAATTGTTTTCCTCTTGCATGCCCGCTATCGGATGTTTACAAGTATAAATTTGCATAAATATAATGAGACAATTACAAAATCTAACAGCCCAACCCCGCTAGATATGAAACCGAACCACTTTGTGGATAAAGCAAAGGTGTTGCCATATACTGTATGCTGAAACTGGCGCGTTTAGTGGGGTTGGGGTCTATGACTTAAAGATGGTTCAAGTCCAGCAAAATACATTAAAATTTAGTTGATTGAGGCGAGTGTAGAAAAACCGGCATTGAATCATATCTGGTGGAGAACTGGTGCCCATATGACTATTTCTGCCAATTTGTCGATGAAGTGTCGTCAGAGATGCTGTTTTTTTTCCCTTAATTAAAGAGTCATACACTCCCTTGTAGATTTCACTTGAAATCATCTTGGTGTTTGTCATCGTTAATAGAAAACTTACCTGTGAGAGTATTTAGTCACTATCTTACTAAGGTTTTCTTTCAAACCTAGCGTTTTAACTGCAGTCTCTTCTAGTCATTTCAACTGAAGACTCAGTCTTAAACAGCTCGTGTATAGGTACTTTTGTCGTGCGTTTTTTCCTAAGGTTTTACTCAGATCAGTTAATCGAGTAAGATCATTGACCTAAAAGCTCAGAACAACAGTACTTTCTCATTTCACTTGTCATGATACTGTATGCGGTTGGTGTTTACGCTGTTTTCGCTTTTCAGCACTATTTTTCCGTGTTTGACGCTAATGAAACAAGGGACGTCAGTGTCAAACCAGAGTGGTTGTAATGGCTTCGTTACTTCCATCCGAGCATTGTTCTCTTTCTATCAGTGATTGGAGCGCTTTTCGGAAGTCATTCTTAAAAAACGTATAAAGAAGAGGGTTGATAAGTGCTGTACTGAATTTTAGAACCACAAATATTATGCTTAGAGCAAAGGGGATACGGTTTATATACTCCAGATCCCACAGCAGAGTAAAGATAAAATATGGGAACCAGCCAAGGACAAAAGTTACCGTCATTATCACGTAAATGATCGCCGCTTTCCGATCGTTTTTTCGACGTTTTTGTTGTTTTTCGAGAGGCTTGCTTTCCGTGAGAGCTTGACGCATTTTCTTTTCTTTGTGAATGTAGTAAAAAATGTGACCATCGATGCAAGCAATTATAGAAAATGGCACAAAAGCTAATGCCACCAAGCAAAATATGGCATAGGCAATGTCTAATCGTTTGATTTTTTCTTCCCGTGGTCCTGTAATCCAGGCGAGTTGAATAAAAGAAGCGCCACAAGAGAAAAGCCACACGCCAAGCAATAACAGCAATACTCGTCGTTTTGTTACTACCATGTTGTATTTAAACGGTCTCTTGATTTTAAAATAGCGCTCTGAAGTTGCTACCAGCAAGTGGAGAATGGTAGAAATGGAGAGGAATCGCTGGCATAAATCCATGCTGGTACATATTTCGCCCACAAGTGTCGTTGAACATGCTAGAACAAGCGGTAGAGACACAAGACCGGCAAGGCAGTCACCAGCCGCCAGACTAACCAAGCAATAGTTGGTTCTTGTTCGTAGATACCGCGTGCTGATGAATAGCACGAACACAAGGGAGTTGGCGCATATTATAAGCACGCTTTGTAAAGTTAAGAAGACAATCACCGCTTGTCCTGTCTCTGTTTGGTGCAAAGCTCTTCCTGTCTGTTCCATTTCAAGCGAAACATTGTCTTTTTCCTTTGCTAAATCTCTCCCGTAGTTTCTCGTTACGTTGTCCATTTAACTTTCGTTTTTTTCACTGTTAGCTGTCAACTCTGCCGGTTCAACACCTGTATTCTAAAACACTGTTTTTTTTTTCTTATGAAGATGCCGTTTCTTGTTGCGTTGGTCGAAGTTTACACCCTGTTATAAAACACACAAGAAAATGAATAAATAGAATGCGTTAGCTTGTGCTAGTTTGTTTTGTACAAAGGACATAAATCTTATTACCTTAAAAAGTCTTGAGACGTTGTTTTCTGGGAAATAAATCCTAGACTGAGCGCAGTTTATAGTTTCTTTTTAACATATAGTCCTCCTGGCGACTAATATCATCTTGTGCAAATTTTTGCAAATAAATTAGGGAGAATGTTTGCCTTGTCACCCCAAATCGATGATTGTCTAAATGTGTTGGTTGCTTTTCCTTTATCGCTCGAAAATTAGTTTTCTTGGTGACAGTTTTCAATGAGTGTAAGAAGTCTGCGTTTTGTGTAGTAATCTTCAAAACTGGGGGACAATATCACACGTTGTTATCTTTTTTAGGAGATTTCCGCTTTAATTTAAAGATATTCTCCCTTCCTGTGCTTTGTTTCGTATTTTAGTTGCACGCTTTTGTTCTGTTTGTGTCTTGCAATTACCTTCATCCTACTAAAATGTGCTTTTCAGAGAATTTACGCGGTTTAATGGTCCAGTCGCACACTCAGTAAAGTGATTTTCCGTTTTTCTCTGCGTTGACCTGGTAATTTGTCACTTGATTTTAACAATTGGAATCCAGGTGCAACAGTGCAAAAACCGAATAAATCGATTGCGGGAAGCTATTATTTTGCATTTGGAAAGCAGTCACACATATTCCAAGTAAAGTAAATAAAATATAATTTCCCAAAATTAGAAAAATGGCGGTCGCCATATGGTTTGTTCGAAGTTTTCTTCAAATTTCGCTCCACTTAAAGAAAATGTGTTAATATTTGTAGCACTTAATTTGTGTAGAATAGAATCTTGTAGAGTAGAATTTGGTTTTGCTTTATGAGAGTAACATCGAAGGCTTTATGCTAGAAAATTCGCCAAACATTTACTTTAGTCTGAAATGGTTTTAATTTCTCCCGAAATGGACCGTGTCTTGTCAGATAAAGGGTTAATTTACACGTCAGGCAACGGGGATGACAATTAAACTAGTTCAAGTGTCTTTCTAAAGCTTTCCTTGCAAAGTAGAATTTGAAATTATTTCGTGTTGTTTTTTCTGACTGGTTATCAAGAACGTTTTGGTGTGGAATGAGTATTTTTTTATGGTTGCATTAGCTGTTCTGTTGATTTAAAAATGCTGACTGTTTGAATGCCAAGTAGTTATATTTTTCGTAAGCTTCTTACTATTTTTATTCTACTATTTTATTGGCAGATCCTTATCGCTTTCTCGCGGTGGCTTTCCGGCTTTAAAGCTGTTATTGGGCGTCTTGAGTTAAAACGGCCTTTTCAACCTTTTCTTTTCTCTCCAATTTCTTGATAAGCTGCTGTGCACTGTCTGATTTTACCTATCAAATAATCGCCTATTTTCTCGCCCCATTAAATTTGTATCATGCTGCAATTGTGCTCAACTGCTTAACGCCTTCAGACGGCACTCTTTTAGCTCCGTATATTGACTTCACATTGGTGCCAGTTGCGATATAGTTTTTCTTTTCTCTGTCATTTACATATCCTTTGTAAAAAGCACTGACAATGTGACAGTTTTTCATGGCACTTGAAGGTGTTTGTTTGCAGAAGGAAAGTGAAGAGAAGTGCGTTCAATAGTCCTATATGTTTTACAGACTGAGTAATAAAATAAGAGATACTAAAAACCGATTTTCAACTTTCATATCCATTAGAATTATATTGATTTCTGGTAAGGTAACCGTATAGCGCGCGTATCACTAGTGAACTTACGCAACAGGACCGGAGAGGAACAAAGACGGCAAACCTTTTGTTAGAAGCGTGACAATAACTTTGTGTGAAGTAACTTTTCACCAAACTTCACTCTCCTTTAAACCATAGTTAGCAGAGGAGACTGGTTTGGAAACTCGGCAAACATTAAAGTTGAAAGCAATGGCGCTGTGGTTTATGTTGGAAGCTTCCTGACTGTGCACAATCCTTTGTATTCTGTTCACAAATTATGACTGAATAAATTTAATGCAATGTTTCTATTGGTCAATAACTTCAAAATGATAGGAATGCTATTGAACGTTGTGCACGATCAGGTCCAAAAAGGCTAACAAAAACCTATAACAAACGCTTTCCCAACCATTCCACTTTAATTAACTATTTTTAAACAGATCTCTTTGTTAAGACCAGAAAACAGTAATGTTAAGTTAAGATCATGACGAAACACGCAAGTGATAGCCCTGTCGTGTTGGTCACACGCAAGCGTTTCGCCGTCCTCTTCCTTTTACCGTCCTGTTCCGTAAACTCCCTACTAATTAAAGACAACAACTTGAGCGCCGATTAAGTTTGATACTGTCATGGGTCGTAGTTCACAGTCACCCCATGTAAGCCTATCCGGATTCCAGAATCCTGGAAATTTTTGTTTGTGGACTCTATAATCCTGGAAATTTTTGTTTGTGGACTCTGGAATCCTGGAAATTTTGTCTCGTGGAATCCAGAATTGAGCTCAAGGATCAGAATCTTGACAATTGGAATCAGGAATCCGGAGTCCAAGTGCCAATGACAAGGAATCCAGAATCCCGTACCTAAAATCGTGGAATACCGAAACCAAGATTACCTTACGTGGGGTGACAACACCCTTTTGTGTTGTCTTACATGATGCTCTTAAGCAACAACAACAACAACAACAACAACAATCATTATTGTGCTCTTGATACAAAAGAAAAACTTTAATCATAACTTTCAAAGCCTCTGTTTCATACCTGACTTCGTAATTACTCTGCGAATACAGCTGTCGTTCCTCGATCTTTGCCGCGAAACGTCCCTAGCGGCGTATTCACAGGTTAATTACTCTGTAATTTCAATGCATCTTTTTGTGAATAAATGGCTTTCGTGACTGAAACCATTTGAACAAACCGGAGGCTCTTTTTGGCAAGAATGATTTTGATTTCTGGTCAATCATCTTAGAATTGTTTGGGAGTGTTAATCCGAGTCAATAGCTCGTAGATTTGACGTTAAAAACAGGTCGTTTGTAGACAGTGTGGATATCAGTTTTGAGGTATTGTAACTCGTCGTAATATCGAGTGAATTTGGATAGAACCTATTATGCGAGAGTATCAGGCGTTTCTGGGAGAAAAGGGGAAAGATGGAAGAGAAAAAGGGAGAGAGCCCATCTAAAATCTCCTCTCCCCTAGCCCCGTTAGGAAGGCCTAATACTCAGGCTACTACTGACGACTAGGTTGTTGACCAGTACTGTTACACGGTTAAGCGCTTGTTATCTTCATTTTACTAAATTAGGTTCAATCATTTTTCATTTTAGCCACTGTAATGGTAAAACGATACCTATAAATTCGTAAATGAAAATGCAACCTCGGGACACCTCAGCAACAGCTGTCTACATGGAGCGTTCTAGCTGTTTTCTCGTTTGGAAATGCATTTTCCTTATTTCGTATTTCATTGTTTGTTGGTGGATGGCAATAATTATTCAACGTTTATTTGTGCGACTGTAATTTATTTACGGTGAAACTCGTCCCTCCCTTTTTTTTCCTCCAGCCGTTCGCAGGAAATTGATTGACTTGCCCGTGTTTTATTTTGTTTTTGTCTTTCACGATTAATTTTTAAATCTCATTTGACTTTTAAGTGGAGTGGTTACGCAAATAAAGTTCTTTTACTTGTTCAGTGTAAACAGCTGTGGTTTACACCCAATTTTTTGCACCGTTTGTCGATAAAAAGGAAAGAATTAAAGCTGAGACCGCCATTTATGTACGAAATCTATTCATATATCTTTCAAATGCCTGTTGGGTTTTGTAGCTTTTTTTCCCATGACTGTTTTTAAATCAACGCTGCGTTGTTCAATAAATCTGTTAAAATTTTCAGTCTTCCTTGATTGGGGAGTACTTCAAACCGGCAAATTTCTTCTTGTCGACTTAAAAACAATACGTGTAAATCTGTTTTTTTGAAAGTGATTGTCCGGCTGTAACCTCAAATAATTTAAGGTTAAGCTTATAGTCTATGAGTTACCTGCAGCACAAGAAAGTCAAGCTGTATCGCTCGGCTAAGTTTCTCTTGCCCTCTGACAGTTGTTGTTCAACTTCACGCAGTTCTGCTCTGTCTTCGAAAGAAATAATTGCGTTGGTGTAAATATTTGTTTAAACACACCAAATTGCCTTTTATATCTCCCTGTTTCAGTACCGTCCTGAATATTTCCTTTTTAAAAAGAGATTTTTTTTAAAAGCCCCGCAGGGCAGTATTTCCACAACATTTCAAAAACGCAATCTTGCTGTGATTTCATTTGTGCTTCATGGGATATCTGGTTAAGGAGCCAGTTAAATTGCATCTTTCTGGGTTTGTGGCTTCATAGCAAATTACCACTGAGACAAAGCATCAAAATTTCATTAATGGCAATTTCGGAAGTTTTTACGTTATGGAATATCCCTTTTGTGATTTCCCTCGCTCTTGAAAGTTTCACGTACTAGCTCTTGTTATAAACACGTTTAGCTAGATACACTTGAAACCCACACGGGATAGCTGAATGGCAATAGATACATTGTATATTTCCAATTTTGTGGTTAACTGGTAAATTGACGAGGAAGCAGTACGAATTTAATTTGTCACTTGTTCTGATCACTTTCAAGCTTGCGAAATAGTTGCCATTTCATGCGAGTCTTTTCTAGTAAAGACTATATAATCTTGGAAGTATTTATATAAAACCTTAAATTTGTAACAAAGCAAAAACTTGTACCTACGCTTGTGATATTTTAATTAGCGACTCGCCCGTGCCAGGAATAGAAATCTTCAAGTATCAAATAAAAATGTAAATTTTTGATTGGTCTGGTAAAATATTTTTCACAACATTCTGTTTTTTCTTTCCTCCTTTTTTACAGCTTTTGTCACCTAGTCTTATCTTTTCAGTTTATTACCTGATTTTGATGTTTGGAAATGTTTTCAAGTGAATGGGGTACTTTAATCAAGTTAAGTTTTGGGGGAAAGGTTCTCTCTTTGACCTTGACATTACAGCTGAGTTAGCCGGCCTCTTTGTTGTTTGTTTCTCTCCTATTATTCGTTGATTATAGCATAGATTTGTCACGTGAATAATGCAATACTTTCCGTGCTGTATCGATATTTGCAAGAACGCTTAAACTTTAACGATACAGTTTGCACCCTAAAATAATCACAGATAAGCCACTGAGGTTCGCTTTTTAAAAGGTTACATTTGCTCGAGCTGTTTAGAAACAGGAAACGGGAAAACCCTTTTAAATATTCCTGCTTTTTTATCAGCCTGTTTTAACCCTGTTATCCACGCAGAACAATAAACGTTATTGTCACCCAATTTAAGATGGGTGATTTCGAAAATTCAAGACCTTTTAAATAAATAATGGACCAAGTTTGTTACTAATTGCTATATTGTTGCTTTAAAGTACCGACAACTGTCCCTGGCAGGTAAACCTACTAGGGTCAAAGGATTCTAGGTCATAATGTTGATCAAGAGGTTACTCGTATTCCCTTAATAATAAAGAATGAATAAACGGCTGTCGCTTTCTCCCTCATTCATGTTCTTTCCCGCGTCACCTAAGGTGTTAAAAAATGCTTTTTGTGGTGTTTGGAGTATCGACCATAACGATTGAGAATGAAGTATTGCGTTTCCTCCCCCCTCCCCTAACCCAGTTCACCCTGTCTTCTGGCATTTTTTGCGCCTTTTGCAACAGCAGCCCATTTGCAGACTATTTTCCCGCCTTTTTTGCGTAGTCTGTCGTCTTATCACGTGTATCTCTTTTCTGTTTAGGTGGTTAACCTGCTGCAGTTATCTGGACTATGAAACGGTAGCTGGGGCCGATAAATTTGGCAACGTATTCGTGGTGAGTACATCGGGCGGCACTCGGTTGTTATGAATACGTGTTGTGACGTTTTAAGTGAAAGCCAAAATGCGATTGTTTTCCGCACCTTTTTTGATTATGATGATGGTAACAGTGCCTAGTGGTGCTGCTGGTGCTGGTGTCAGGTAGTCTACAGTATAACAGTCATTTTCTAAATATTATGTACGTGATTTGCTTGTAGATTCGCCTTGGCGCCAACACGACTGACGATATTGATGAAGATCCTACTGGCACTAAAGCATTTTGGGATAGAGGACTTCTAAACGGCGCTCCGCAAAAGGTAATGTGCTTTTACGTTGTTGTATTGTTACGCACTACATCACTGTTGTTGTCGGCCACCAGCCTAGCTCTCCACTCGATTTGCGGAAGATCCATGGCTTTCGCCCTTTTGGTATCATAAGTAAGTCAAAAATGATAGACTGTATCACCGAGTTCTTGGGTGCGGTTCTTATTTTGGCTAGAGATTTTGTTTTTCCTTCCGTTGTTCCATTTCCTTTGACGGCTGCTTCTGAGATCGAGTTCGTGATTTAATTGTTAAGTCTCCATTGCTAGGTACGAGCTCATGACTTATAGCTGACTCACCCACACTACTCGTTGTTGTGCTATCGTGTTTCCACACAGGGCTTCTACAGTCTGTAACCAAGCCGCTCTGCCTTGAGCTGCCCTTACTTCTTCATTGAAGGAGACTGCTACTTCTTTTTAATCTATGTTGATTGTGCCCCTCTACCTCATCCGTTGCCTCATTGTAAAACCAACCTGATTAAGGTCTGGCCGTGCGAAATTTGTGCCTCTTTGTCCTGTTGTGACCTTATGGTTTTGATTAGTATTGATTATTATTATTTTTTACCCCCAGGTTGAAACTCTGTGTAATTATCATGTGGGTGAAACAGTTCTGTCACTCCAAAAAGCCACTCTTATTCCAGGCGGATCAGAGTCTTTGGTGTACACGACATTATCCGGTGGTATCGGCATGCTGGTACCATTCACGTCTCGAGAGGTGGGTATCAGCTGTGGCCAACATCCCTTTTCTCCTAGCAATATCAATGCATAATTAAGAGAAAAGGTTATGAGAAATGATAAAAGAATCACCAAAGGGGAAATGCTTTGATCTTTTATCAAATTCTCTTTACTAATTCTTTTAGAAAATGTATGGAGATCAGTTTGGAGAATTTGTATGTGGATATCGGGGCTTAAAGAGTTTAGTGAAATCGTTTCCTGTGTTATATGCTACAGTTTACTTGGGTACCTTGCCTTCAATGTTAATCACGTATTGTTAAGAATGCACTTTAGCCAATCAGAAGGCTGGAAACATCTGTGATATTTCAAGGCCCACATTCACCTTAGATACATTGTGCGTGGCCATTTTGAGTGGCCTGGCAACTTTAGTAACAGTACACAATCTAAGCTTTCCCAACAAACAACAGCCCATCAAGACAGAATGAAGATAGGCCGGCTGGTGTTCAGTGATAGTTTTGCGGATAACAGTCATAATGCTGCTGACCTTAACTAAATGTTATGAGGCTGGTATGGTCTCTGGTAATTCCTTTCATAACGTGACCGAAAAACGTTTTTTTTAAGTATCTTTATTTACTCTTAAAATGTATTTAAAATTGTCGTAAATCTTCAGAAGATCGTCAGAGGTATAGTGTAGTAAAGTACGTCATAATTAGCTGTTCAATGCTTTCTCCTGTTTCTACTCTATTTGATTTGCGTTCATGAGCTGCAAGCTGAAGCCTAGCCAGACGGTCGCGGTGATCACGTGTATATCACGTCATTTTTGTTTGATCATTTCACAGGATATTGACTTTTTCCAGCATCTTGAGATGCATTTACGCGCGGAACAGCCGTCTCTTTGTGGCAGAGATCACTTGTCCTATAGATCATACTACATGCCAGTGAAGGTTTGCATCCTCATTACGCAGAGTTACCTCCTATTGATTACGTGCTACACTGAAACCGGCGTTAAGTGGACAGTGCGCAATCGAAATATTCTTTACTAGCAACTAAATAGGGTAGAGGGAATCTGCAAAGATGTGAAGCAAATTTGCAAGTTTACTTGTGTAAAATACTGTAGCACATTTAGTGTATTTGTCACTTTTTGTGATTTCTGCCGCTGACCTGAACACCTCTGTTGCTCTAAGCAGGAGTGCGCCTCTTTGAATTCCTAAAGAAAGACTGCAGCAGGGCAATGGACAGAGTTTAGGAGACACAAAAATACACTTATTTTCCACAGAGCTGCAATGTTATTGTACAGTAGCGCATGAAAAGAGTACAAATATCCCACTATAGTTTATTTCAGTAGTTTGTTATTTTTACAGTAAGGTGTTTGTGTAATGCAAAACTAGTTTGAAACGTCTCCGCGCTAAAGTCGAATTTCTTGGTCCAAAGAAAAATCGTAACCGGTAATCTTCATTTTCAAATTTGAACGGTCTGCTGTGGACATAGCTTGAAATTGATGCATTTTGTGTTCCAGAGTGTGATTGATGGAGATTTGTGCGAGTATTTTAACTCACTCGACTCCTCTAAGCGACGCAGTATCGCCGAAGAACTGGATCGAACCCCAGCGGAGGTGAATTTCTTTGTTTGTTTAATTTTTTTCTTCTTTATAATTTGTTATCTGCAGACATCATTGTGGTAGCCATACACGCAGTGGTTCAGCATGACGAGACACCACTTCTTGTCTCTTAGAAGAGCCGCAGTGCAGGAAAATATTCTCTTCCTCCTTTAGTCGCTCTTCCGTTAATTTCTATTAATGATTACTGAAGAACTCACCGATTACGGACGGGTGGAAGTTCTTGTCTTGCGGAAATTAATTGTTTTATTCTTGTTATCGAAAACCTTGGATGCACTAGTTATGCAGATTGACTTTGACTTTGGTAACCATTCACCCACGTTTTTCACCTACAGGTTTCCAAGAAATTGGAGGATATCAGAACGCGATATGCTTTTTAGAAAAACAAGTGGACCACAGACACTCTACAAAAGAAGAGACATTTTACCTCCCGTCTATTGGACACCCTCTAGTCTAGGAATTCACTGCCGTCTGATTTAAGAATTTTTTTTCTTTGTTTGCGGATATTACGTCTTATTTGATGAACACCCGCATACACAGATCAAGCAGTCTTGATACCTGTCCTTCCGTAAAAAATGTTGCAGTCTATTAGATTGTAGATACATGAAGCTGCGAAAGAGCCGCACCGCTCGTACCCCTGCAGGGGAGGAGGTAAGGGAGGACCTCCTCCCCCCGGGGATGGCGGTAGAACCGTACATGGTCCTCGAATCAGTTTGTAAAAAAATCCAACCGACTTTTCTTTCCTCGCCGTCTCAGGAAATATTGCTTTCATAACTTAACGAAAACAACCTCCTCTACTAGAAACAAGTTTGTTTTATGAGTATTTAAGTTTGTTCATGTATATAAAAAGTAGATCAGCTGACTTGACTGTTTCGTTTGTTGTAAGGATTACCTCTTTTACTCGTTATAACCTCTTAGCCTTTTTGTGGAAGCAGGATTATTTGCAACAAACTTCCTCTTCGTAGCCACCCAAAAGGTTTGCAAGCAAATCTCTTTTTTACGTTTTGTTTTTGACTCCCCTCTAGTCTTTTAGTATTTTTTGTCGAAGTTTGGAGTGCTCTATTTTTGCTCATGGGAATCCGTAACCATCTCGCAGACCCATAGTAGCGAGCTTTAGCAACGACGACGGCGACGGCAAGGAAAACGCCAAAAGAGCAATTGGTTTGTTAAGTAAAACAACAACTTTGCACGTGCATCACGCTTTTTTGTACATTTCTTTGCCGTCACTGCACGACTGCGACGTGAAAATGCCTCGTGATTTCACTCTTTATGGTGACGTAAACAGGCGACAACGAATTTTTCTTTCTTTTTCTAAACTTGAATGCGGTCCCCAAGAAATCAACTCTAGGGAAATCCACCTACATCTGAAATTTTCAGCGGATTTGGATAAACGCGTCAATGTTTTAAAAAACGCGAATGCCTTTTCGTATAGTGACGTTTTCGCTACCGTCGCCGTCTTCGGTGCTAAAACTCCCTCAGTGGCGAATCTAGGCGTCGCATTTACAGATCTTTACATGCAGTATCGTTACAGGAAAAGTTTGCAAAACACCGGGACAGCCCTTACTTCCTTACTAATGCGCGCCAGTCGGCTGAAGCATTTGAATACCTTACTTCTGATTGTTTAGAAACGGCAGCCGTAATCGATTATGGCTCCTGTTCAAGAAATGATGATACATAAAGTAAGGAGTCCACCCTCCTCTGTTAACGATTGCCAAAAAAAAATTGCAAAAGTGTTAAAAAGATCTTGTAAACAGCAACCTTAAGTATCTTTTTCATGGAAGAATTGTCGATAAACCAGTCAGTTTATAAACGAAAATGAAATGAAGCATTTTCTTGTTCACATATGTTTCTTGTCTTTATGTAAGAAAGCTGTTGGTAATGAATTTTTCCAAAAAAAAAAATTATGTATGTCAATAAAGGTAAACTGCCTACTTCAGGCATATCTCAACCGATTTTGCAACTCGTTATACCGGTATTAAATTTGTCCAGTGATCGTCGGAAACCCTTCGGATTTTGACGCGCGCGCTTTGGAGCTCCGAAGAATTTACGATCTTTGTTTCCCAGCGAGGTAACCGAGCCAAATTCACTTGCGTTGCGTGAAGGTTACTTGAAGGCCGGTGAGGCACGACCAACCAACAGAAAAGGTAATCACACTCTTGTACATGTTATTGTTTTGTTGTTTAGTGATGTGAAGGCGGTGATAATATTTATAAATCGGCAGTATTCGTCATTAGTCGTTCTACTAGAGGGTCAAATATCGGCAACAATTCTGATGCTGTGTTCGCCACCCGATGCAGCGGTCGACCTCCTTGTCACTTTATCAAGTTTAAATTTATTTCCTTCGTGTGTAAAATACCCTCTTAACGCAAGGGTTGACCTAAATTACTGTTTTGCCGGTATTTGCAATGGCCTCCTACAAGAAAGGTTTTCTTTCACCACGTTTCTGTTGACAAGCGAGCTTCGAAGTTCGAGCTTCCCCGCCATTTTCAAACGTATCCACACGTTTTTTGACGAGCCGCTTCTTTGAAGGTATTTTATAGTCTTGTTACGCAATCTTCAAGACGAAATCTTGAGTTCGGGCCTTGTTAAAATACTCGAGGGGAATCACCTTGGATCTTAAGGCTACTAAGCTGCTATCGTGCTCCTCAGTAGAATTATCATTCATGATGGCAATCAATATTTATACCATTGATCTGCTCTACTAATTAACCACGTGGGAATTGTCAAGTCTTTATCTGAATCTAGAGGCTACAAACGAAAGGAACTTGAAAGTAAGATTTTTCGGATTGCCGAACAAAGCTTTTGTATGCCATTGCCAGATTTGACAGTAAATATATGTGTTACAAAATCAACGGAAAACAAAAGAACCTGGAAAGGGAAATGAAAATATTTTGGCAACGATGTCGAGAGCGTCATGTATAATTTATACTGGATTGACACTAAAAGCCTCTGTTAACTAAGGTTTTATCCATGATCGTTCTTTTTGAAAGGTGATCATCATCGCTTGTATCATCACTGTCGATAGACGTGTATGGATTCCTCTTTTGGGTCCTTTTGAAAGAGGTTTTTGGGAGAAAGCTTGCATAGTTGGGTAAGCCGGAAATTCCGAAGTTTCAGGGATAATCTGAAAGAAGATGATATCTCAAGCCCCGATGTATAAAAGCATATTCTACTTTTCTTGTATTTTTACTTTAAATAATTATAGACAAATAATTATTAAAACTATTTACTCTAATTCACTATTTTTTTAATCAGTTAATTCTCTGAAAAGGTTTTTGAAAAGTGTATAACTGAAGTGAATCTTTTAATCAGAACCTTGAGTGGCGTGTTTGTAAACACTTTTTGTTATTCACATGTGCCTGCCACAAAGAAACCTGTTCAATTCGAGAACCAATGAGCATCTGTTTGGCATAATAATCCAGATTGAAACACGAGGTAAACCATGCTAGAATGGAAATATCCGCGCTTTTGCATTGAAAACACTGGCGTCTGAATTAGGGAACTGACCGATATCACATTGATGGTATTTCTCGCCAGACTTGACAAGAAAGAATTAAGGGAAATAAAGTTACATGTGATAATGAGACATTTGCAGAAACAAGTGCATCTTCAAGTGCACCTTTGTCGATGAAGACTTGGAGTAAATATACAGAGAATTCTTGTTTTCACGTGGGTTAATCATATGTGGACTTTTAGCCTCGTGGTTAAAACATCGTAACAAGAAAAAAAAAACTGGTCTGGGATAATACATGTAGATAGGTTCATTTTGCATGTATACCTGTAGAGATGTAACAAATATAAAATAAAAAACGAAAGATCGAACGCGACACATGTTGAGAGTTGCATTGTTTCTTTATCTTGCCTAAATTTTTTTTTTCGGTTTCCGTGAGCTGTTGTAGGCTTAAAATGCAGAAGAAATTAAAGGGCGCTTTCAATTCAACCAAAAAGTACGATTTGAATTTCGGCAACTTCCAGTAGCGGGTGGAACAGCATTTTCCAAGATTTCCAAATAGAGCCGGACAACCTCGCGAGGTATTCCCAAATTTTCGGAAACTTTTTCCCGGAAGTTTTCTTTCCATTTAACTTTGCTCCCGGAATTTCTAGAAGTTTGGGTTGAATGGTTCGCATTTCGGAAGTTCAACTGTTTTGGGAATTTCTAGAAACTTTTCCGGGAAATTTCTGTCCCATTTGCCGCTGTTTCCAAATTTTTGAAAGTTTTGATTGAATGGAAAGCGCCCAGAGCGTAGCGGGATTGACAAGTGACAGGTGACGTCTCATCCGAAATCGCCGAGGAAGAGTGCGAACGAGGCTGACGAAGATACACTTCTTTTAGATTGTGGACACTCCACGGCCCTCGCAGATTTTTCAGTCCATTGTTGACAGGGTTCCTACAAGCCCTTTTGGTTGACAAGAAAACTATGATTGCTTTTCTGCTGATCGGGAGGGGAAACTGCGGTTTCGACTTAGAACCCCTGCCAGAACCCCCCTACCAGGTCTTTGCAAGATCATTATTATTTAAAATATGAAAACCCCGTCAGTTCAGCTTTTGGTTAAGCGTTAACCTTGTCTCCTAAATCATTCTTCCTGGTCAATTTTTAGGGACATAAAAGAACTAACGCTGATCTTTGGAGCCGGCCCTGGAACGAGGCGGGGGGGCGGGGTAGGGAATCTCACAGGCCTGCCGCAATTAGCTTAAGAAATGGTAGAAGGGGAAAAACTGAAGTAAATAATTTGAAATAAAACCTATTATTGAATTAACAAACCCATTTCCTACGTTACGCATGCTTAGTAGCGCTTTTCAAAAGAATGTAACATGATTGTAATATGTTGTTTCTATTTATATTGCACGGTAATCACTGTCGTAAAGGGTAAATGTTTACATCGGGGGCACCCAACGACTGTTTTCTGTAAAATATCTGTTCGGAGAAGCAGAAGTTGCCTACTTCTTGAGGACGGCTAAAAATTTTTAGGTGATCCCTCCATTCACGTACAATTTTCGAAGCTTATTTAATAAATTCCATACGATTTTCTTAAGTTTCATTTTTCACATTTCACTCCCCACGGTATGATTTTTTTCATACAAAAAGGAAACCTAAAATTTTCGGATTCAAAAATGTGACGGAGAGAGGAATCAGAAGAATTCTCAATTTCGAAAAACGTTAAATTGCAACTAAAATTTTCGGGAAAATAATGCATAAGTCAATTCCACCTTCGCCCATCTCCCCCCTCCCCGGGCTGACCCCCAGGTATTAGCACTGTTTTTGCCTTGGATGGCAAATTCCTGGGGGTGGGGAGCTTTTCTCAGCTGGAATTGACCGATGCGTAATTAATACTGAAGCCCTTGTATTAAATTTCGAAAAGATTCAAGTTCTGGCCCAGGATGACAGAACGGATGCAAATTTTATGGCGATATGTCTTTCATCGAGTCTTTCATCACACTAGCGTAGTTAATACTTGACGTGACACGTTAGATTTTAACTTAATTTATTTACGACGATCCAAAGCCTGCGAAGTTCGAAAACGGAGGAAGTAATCAAAAGAACAAACCTTAAAGCGAAAGGAGAGAGGAAGGTTGAAGGTTATTTTGACACGAGAGGTTTGTTTAATTAGTTGCATTTGTGGTCGTGCTAAGTTTACATCTTCGCATATGCTGTATGGCCTCTAACCCTGGTTTCGAGAACGTGTGCTGGGTTGGTTATGTTCATCATTTAGTTTCACAGTAAGGTTTTTAGTTAAGATCTATCAGATTTGTTGCTTTTTAAAGCCATTTATAACTCAACTTCATGATGCTTTTCGCTTTTGTTGCGCTTCTAAACTGCAGATGTTTGGTAAGTCAAGTTTAATTATTCTGAGAAGGACAGCAACTTGCCTGTTTACTTTTTAAAAAAATATTTCTCCATCCCTCAGTAATTCCTGTCACGTTCAAACTAAGATGAACACGATTTTTGTGGTTTAGCTAAGGGATGAAATAGTGAAATAGCGTGATCTGAAACTGGCAGAAGGAACTTGTATGTCAATCAGAGGTCGATCCGTTCTCAAACTGTACTATCCGCGCGGTCCACGGGTTTCAAAGGCTTTTTCCATGACTTGAGGAAGAAAGCCAATCTTTAATCCTCTTTCAACCACTAATTTTATAAGATTATGTCACTTCACTCGAGTGCGTGTGTGGATTGTTTACAACCCCAATAGATCAATGCTAGGATTGATGTTAGCCAATGCTTTAGACCTTGTTTACACTTGTCTAGATCAAATTTTTAAAGGACGAATTTTTCACCGGTGCAACTCGTTCACACGGAACTGTGCAAATTCCGTCCCAGATTGCAGTATTCTTTGCCGTTCAAAAGCGGGTCCCGCGCGTGTAATTGAAAGGTGGATTTTTTCAAGTTTTTGTCCGTTCAAAGATTTGCCCGGACCAGTGTATATGAGGTCTTGGAAAGAACTATATATGGAGCGCAAAAAAAATATTTTTTGTAATATATCTCCGGATTACACCCACACAAAGTGTTAAAGTTAAGTGCATAAAATATAGCCTCTGTCAAGAGAGATCGTCCCTATGTACAGAGGGCATCGGAATGGGGTGCCTGTGTACAGGCTACATAAAATAGCTAGATATTGTGGTGATTGAGAGTATGTTCGTGATAGTATTCCCCAGAATATTTTAGTGTTTCGGCTACGCATTCTAAACCAACAGCACCAAAAGCTCTTGACCACAAGATAAAAACACTTATCTAACACTTTTCTGAACGGCACAATTATTCAAAAACCGCTTTTTAAACAAAATATTACACGAGGGGGTTTTCTTTAAACAATAGTGACTTGTGTGGTGGAAACGGAAAAGCGATATTAAAGCGGAAACGCACTTTTTTGTTGTTGGCTTTAGACAACAATGAAAATGCTCCCATTTATTTTGTCGATGAATGAGCTTTTTAAAGAAATCAACTTTTAAGCGGTATTAATCTTTGATTAAGTTCTCTTAATTTCTCTCTTTTGACCTGTTTCAAATTGAATTCAAGTCAAAAGAATAAGTAATTTATTTATTCCACGCGCAAGTAACCTCCTGCAAAGGGAAACTGGAAATTTGTAGTCCTCGTAGAACACGCACACGAAATATGAGGCCGCGCGAGACATGCGATACGCGCGAGAGAGAGAACCGCGCGCACGTAGTCGCGGCAGCGTCGCGTTTCAAATTTATCTGAATTTGTGTGGGTAGAGAACATTTTAGTTGTTTTTTGTGGAAACCGGAGAAACAGGGAAGCTTTTTCAAATTTCTCCGGATAAGCGTTTACAGGGCCTCACTTTTTGGATTTTTTTCCAGTGTGGCAAGCTAAAGAATTTTGCTCTTTCTACAACTGACCAAAGAATTAATCGCTGAACAAGCACAATTTTTCTCGCGTAGATTCCCGCACAACGACCCTCAATAAAAATAGTTTTGAATATTTTACCGATTAAAATAATTGCAAATCTCTATAAATTTTAATTAATTTTGCACATTTATTGTTTCGCGCATTGTGCGCTGTTCGTCCATGTGTCAGGATCCTACCGTTCCTCATGGTGTAGAATTAGTATTATTTCCGAGAAAAAAGATTGACGTTCTGTCTTTTTTATTTTCCTTTATCGGAATTTATTGCATTCTGTAACTTTTCTAAATGAACGCGGCTTGTTTGATACCGGATAGGTTTTCATGTGGACTTCAAAATCTATCCGGGAAAGTAGGAACACCTGTTCACGGCACTTAGCTGCGTCAGAGTGACAAAGAAAGCGGATCAATTGAGTTTCTGGATAACTTTTGCCCAAAGTGCGATGTAAGTGTTATTAGGGAGCTTAAGCAACAACGAGGGCGACGGCTAAGAAAACGTCACTTAAAAAGTGAATTCACGCTACTTCAAACCTTGTCGCGCTTATTCCAACTCGTTCAATTCGTCAAATGCTGGCATTTTTTTCTCGTGTTGAATTTTAAAAGACTGTATCAAAGTTCAGGAAAAGAAAAAGAAAGTCGTTGTCTTGTGTTCACGTCCTCGACAAAACCTGAAATTAGACACTTTCACGTTGTAGTCGTGTAGCGACGGCAAAAAGCGCGATGCACGTGCAAAGTTGTTGTTTTGCCAATCTAAAGCTATTGCTTTTTTGTCGTTCTCGTCTCCGTCGTCGTTGTGTAAACTCCCTAATTTTGACTTAAGGGAGGGGTAGGTGGTCAGTTACCCAGAAATCCGCTTTTACTATACGGTAGGTGACGATTCACTTTACAGATGTAGTGTAGACCTGGCCGAACTAAGGCATTTCTGACGTCCTCGGCGGCTTAATTTCTTTACGGCAATTTCTCAATGTAGTTTACTGCATTTGAACCAAATTATGTGCTGTTTTTGTTCCTCGTTAACCTTTTTGTTGACATGTTATCTAGCTTGAGCGTAGCGTCGTCTTTCCAAGGATTCTCTTGCTCTGCAATTTTCGTTTTAGTTTTTCTTTGTTAAAACATGATACCAGCAGAATAAAAGGTGTGAATTACTTGGTTGCTTTTGTTTGCCAAAATGATATTTTCCTTATTTAACAAAGACCAATTTCAAGTTATTTTACGCTAGAGCAGGTGTTATATGTTGTGTCCAGCGATATACTTCAGGAGGTCGTTATAGAAATGTCCCTCCGCGAATATTTTTCTTTGAAAAAAGATCACATGAAGATATATTCAAAGCCGGAGAAAAGTCTAAATACAATGCTTGGAAGGCATGATAATGTGGACTACATTATCTTTTGTTTTATTTAAGGTGTTTTGATTCGATGTGATAAAAAGTGGAAATATTCCCTTTATACGTCATGTTGAACTTTTTGTAAATTTCAATGACGCCGTTTTTGTGCCAAATTAAAGCTCTGGAAGGTCCATTAAGTTAATAGGCATTTTAAGGGACGAAAAACAAACATACAAAAAAGTAAAGGAGAATTAATTTATTCGTCTGCGATTTCAGAAGAGCTCCGAAATGTTGCAAGTTGCATAATCGAAAATCTATTGGCCTTAAGTTGTTTTTACCATACTATACAGACAGACAAACAATATCCCTCTACATAAGATGCAACTAAGAACTCGTTTTCACTGTTAGTCGTAGTTTTTGTTTCCTATCTAGTTCAAGGCAAATTTATGTCCATTATGTATCTTGTTACACCGAACGAAGAAGAATAACTAAAATTAATCCTGGTCGATATTTTATGTGTCTGAACTATACGCTGTGCGAATTTCGTTTTGTATAAGGGTCTTGACCACTGAGAAACGCACGCGTTGAATTTATTATGAACGCAGAGGGTTGAAAACAATGATATGCGGCCTTGCTAATTAAAACTTTGCACTTCTTCCCAAACGACGCAAACAATTTTTTTTCCTGTTTTTGTTTGGGATTTCTTCCAGACTTCTTAAGCCAGTCCAGACTTATGTAAGTAGGGATTACTTTTATATTTGGCGATATTATAAGTAATTAGGGTAGCGGAGCTCCAAAAGGCAGCGAGGTAAATCATGTGCGTAGTCTTGACTAAAGACCTGCGAAATTTTTCTCTGTGTGGCTAATTGTTGGATTTGTACAATTTTAAGAATTACAGTTGGAATACTGAAATGGGTCTAGAGTAATCGTGAATTATTAGAAGGTCTAAATTAGCGTTGGAATATTCTCAGTTATTCGGTCGTTATCGATTTCGTAAATTATTTTCCCCACCCTAAAAACCTAAATACTAAAAGAGATTTACGCACAAGTACAACGCCGGTAATCCATTGTTATCTCATCATTGTTTTGTTTTTATACGAAGCGACACCGCCGCAAAGATAATGAATGTTATCAGTTTTGGTTGAAAAATATGGAATATCTTTTATACTGGGCTGTTATTAAAGAAAGTAATGGCACTTCTCTTGTGTCCTGGTTTCTTTCACTTTCAAACACTTGAATTTTGAGGGAATTCTTTACTTTTCCTTTGCGAGATCAAAGCTTAAATTTTGCTGATCAACGATTGAAACGGAGAGATGTACTTGGGAGCTATTGAATAAGTGAAATTATTCCAGCGGGTTATAGAGTGAGAGGCTGTTCAAGTTCGACGAATAAGTAAGGATCTGGAAAGTGAAATTGCCGTAAAACAGACTGAGTGCTAAGTAACATTGCATCATTTTAGAATATTTTATAATCAACCGGCCACTTTTGCCGTATATTAAACAGTTTTTATTTATGTAAACATTTTCTGTACTGTTCTATAAGTAAAACGAATGTATAGGATCTTACAGACGCGTCTAGAGTTGAATAGGTCACAGGCTTTGGACGACCAGCAGCGAATATTAAAGGAAGGAAGAAAGCGAACCAACTTCCATGAGGAAATTAGTTTGACGCTTTTAAAAAGAATCAGTTAGCGGGGGAAGCGGTAGGGCACTGGGCACTTGTCCAGCAGAGGCCCTTGTCATGCGAAGGATTTGTTTGTACTAAACTTGAGTAATACTTCGGTGGGGGCGTTAAAACAGGAAGACTGGTGGTTTAATTGCTTTTCTTGATAAAACTAAATGAGCACCCTCAGCGAAATTTTGGTTTTCGACTTTTATGAGGAAAGCTCGGGAGAGACGATAGGAGAACTTTGGAAAGTTAGGCAGACGTTTTGAAAAGTTGCGATCTTTTTGCAAGTCATCCAGTGCAACTGGCCTGAAGTACAACCGCAAATAGTTTCAGTGCTTTTATCAGGTAAAAAGATAACTTTTAATCAAACTTTTTTTTTTCATTTTTGATATTGCAATACGTTGTAAAACATTTTTTAAGTATCCCAGCCAGCTTTGAAACATAAGACGCAAAAGCTTGTCAAGAGCTAGTATCTTTTCATTTTATTATTTTTTTTTTAACAATGTCTTGAATTTTCGCCACAGTTGCATCTGTCATAATATCCTAAAAGTATGCAGGATACGTGACACAAACACCGAGCCAAGCAAAAGTCTTATTTTATTTGCTCTAAGGAGCGCCGCGGCGCTGATTAAGTTTTACGACTTTTTGTTAAAGGGCGGTGTTTATTCGGAGACGGAATTTATGTGAAACTTCTCTTTTTTCGAACAACACAGTTGTACGCATTTTTTCCTTCTTTTGTTTAGTTTTGTCCCAAAACGACAACATAATCAGGGGAAAAACGGAGTAAGAATTAGTTTACGTTATTAGCATTTTAGCATCAACCAAGGTCATAAGGCATTTTCGAGAATAATTTGAGTAGAATGACAGAAAGCAGTAAGTAGATATGGTTCATGTGAAAAAAAGCTGAAAACTGAACACAAAATAAGATATTAAATCCTACTTTAAGAAAAACACCCTTTGAACTAAGGTTGTGTTCACAATGTGCAGGATAGCCTTTTCGCCGGAACGAAAACCACACATGATAGCTAAAGGACTTCTGTTCACCCATGAGAGCAGTGACTCGTCGCGATATTTGTTACGGAGCTAAGCTGCGCCTCACCGATCTCTAAAAGTGGATAGTCACATATCAGATAGGTTTAAATACTAATACCGGATAGCCTTTCGTGTCGGCAGGAAATATCAGTGAGTGACATTGTAGATTAATTACATTTTCGATCCATTATGAATATATATTTGTTATTTAGGGTTATCTCCACGCTGCCTAGGCGTATTTCTAAAAGCCCAACAAAAGACGGATTTTTTTTTCGGGTACCAAGCAGAAAAGGCGAGTTTAATTAATTTATGGCAGGGAGAATCAGCCGGCATTTTACGAGCATAATTTAGCCTAGCCTGATTCTTGCCAGAGTAAAAATGAACCTTTTATCACGGCCTTCGGCTCGCGGATATGTGACTTATTTTCTCGGAGGATATTATCCTCGATCGATCGATCTGCATTATTCTTTATATCATACTCAGCCTCTTTCTACTGTCGTTTACTACTTAACAATTACTCGTGTTATGAAGGTGGCCCATGAATAGCTCATCGGCATTTAATGTATCGCGGCAACAAAATAACTAGCAGGCACCTCGCACAGCTGTAAACAAGGCATCACAAGATTGGTTGGGAAAACTTTGAACGAACAAAGACTAGCCTCAAAACAAAAGAGCTGGTCAGCGGTCAATGAAATAAGAGGTGCGAGGCTACTATCAAATGTTAAACCCGCGGGTGATGTACGCAGTTAATTTTCAGATAATATTACCAACAAATAGTAAAATCTTTTGGAATTCTCTTTCGTGCTTGTGGTCAGTTTGGCGCGCGTAGTAAGTTTCTAAAATGCAGAACGTAGAAAGGGAGCGAGCACCAAAAACGCGAAAATGAAAAATGGCAACAAAGCATAGAATGTGTAATGAAGTTCCCAGTAGGGCTTAGGGTTTTAGTTGGGTTTTGTAGACATTTTTTTTTAAATTTTTATTCCCCGCTCTTGTTTCCCGTTCACCGTTGGACTGTTAAACAGCCCGCCTAAGGAGGGTGGGGGCGGGGGGAGTGGATCTCGGTGTTGCGCGGAAACTATTTGGTTCGCTTTTTTTTCTTTTCCTTTTTTGGTGTGGGTATCGCTTTCCTGTAGGTGAATACAGTGCAAGCATTTTTGGGTAGTACTATTAGAATGAACTGGCTCACTATTATGGTTTATGCTAATTAATAAGAGATATTTCAAATGAGATCCAGGCAGATGAAATACGCAAAGTGTTCAATGTATTATACACGTACTCCAGCATTATAAGCGTGTGCATCATATTTTGAGTGACACCGCAAAAGGCAGTTATATCACAAGTAAGTACTAAAAGGAACTTGAGGTTAGCAGTGAATAGACAGTTTAGAATGGCAGAATACAGAAACAGCTATATACGGCGTAGTACAGACTTGCGGTCGAAATATTGGGCGGGAGTCAAAACTATGTAAGGTTTTCTTTTAGTACTGAATAGTTAGCTTAGTTTATACGTAGAATAACCTGTTGATGAACCTTTTTACTTTTCTGTTTATTTTTTTGTGTAAATGGGTGATTGTTTCTCCAAGACTGAAGAATTGATCGTGATCATAACAGACATTATACAAAGCACAATACTATTTAGTATGTAAAACAATTATCTTCACTGTGAAAATTAAATGTCTACTAATGTCTACAAGTGTTCGAGATATTCATGAATTGGATAAGAGCACGCGGTTTAAACGCTTTTATCGACGGAATGTTTATTTAAATTTCGAACGTTATAAAATATGCACTTCGAGTGGTGTAATTATGTTGCTCGGATACAAAGGCTAGAATGGGGCTGAAATCATGCGATCGTTCATTTACGTGTATCGACGTTTCTGCTCAAATTAAAGACTACGCATTTAACGAGAAAGTCGGGGTATGCATATTCCTCTTTCGCCTACAAATAGTTTTGACTTCACATAAGATTCAGGGAACACCGTGTATTTAAAAGGAAAAAAAGAACGTTTAATAACGGTAGTGTCCTTCAAACACAATCGAGTACCTCCCTCGACTACCCCAAATGCTAATATATCATAGCAGTTACAGGGGGTCTCTTTCGAGAAGAAGTTGGAACAGTCCATCTACTTCTAAAGAGAATACACTATATGCAATTTCCAAGTTACGTACATAGAGTACATGAAGTTCCATGTTGTCACTAAAAGTTCTTCGGATACTCTGAGAAGCGTAGTATATCATATGTTGTGATTCGATTTTATCCTTTTGGGTATGGTAATGTATGACAATGAGTTTGAAACAAAAGAAACTAAAATTTAAACCAGTGATAAAATTGAACCACGATATACACACCAATTATGGAGAAACTGTGCGTCAAGTAATCGCTTAAATCGACTTCTAAAGAGAATGCAGTGCGAGCAATTTCTAAGTTACCTACGATAAGTGTAGTTCCATTATGTCAATAAAAAATCTTTCCATACTCTGAGAAGCGTAGTATATGCAGCAAATATAGAGAGGCTAAGAACAATGGAAATTCTAAAACCGTAACCCCAAAAAGTGGTCGCAGTCGCTTACGAGGGTTTCCAACTGTAGTGATTTGACCGCGAAAATTTTGGTGTTTTGGATAGGTGGTCGCATGGGAGGTCGTCGCCCATTAGCCATTATCGGTGATCGTTATATTTACTAAACCCTTCATTTTTCGTTCATTTCGAAGGTAACTACTACACTCCCTCATTTTCCCTTGTTACGGTACTTATTACTGAAGTATGACTTGATTTTAAGGCCTCAAACTGAATCCAAAAGTTTGATGATGATCTCACGTTTGTTCTGTAGGATGATCGCAAATTACCGGCACTAAAAAATAAGGTTGATCCGGGACAGGTCCAAAGTGGCACATACGAATTTCTAGAAATTTCATAGGTGTGGTTATCTCAAACATGATACATATTTTGATTTGTTTTGTTTTATTTTATTTTTTGAAGTAACGTGTAATCTCTGCAATCAGTTTAAGACTTTTTTCTTATCCGTTGATTTAATTTGCAAAATTTTTAGTCTTTAAAAAGTTCATCTCTTGAGGTGATTAGGGTAATTGAATGTCTGAGAATTTGCCGACAGTTTGCACCGACCGAGTACAATTTATTCAATTGTCTTATGTTCGACATTGATTCTTAAAAAATAATTCACTCTTTGAGGTGGTATTGTAAATATTTTGCCCATGCTTTAAAATATGAAACTTTCCCGCTTTCCCTTAACCTTAAGTTTTGTTTAAACGTTTGAGGAAGGCGTGATACTCTCTTGTTCGAGAGACTTCTAATTTTGAAATCAATGTCATGGTGAAAAGGTTTAATTGTCTTTTAATTTATTGTACTTTTGAGATTTAGGGTAGTGATCGGTAAGGTTTTAAAAATAGTGGCTCAATTGCTCTTTATGGCATGTTAAAAAACATGAATTAAAAAAATGGGTTTTTGAATGGGCGTCAAACCCTTTTGTCTGAGGTCGAAAGATCGTTTTATGTTCTACTTTTAACGAAATTATATCGAAATTGAATAGAATAGTCCGAAGATAACTGTCAATTAGCAAGTGAATTGCATGAAGTCTTTGATGGAACGCTTGGTTGTGGAGGAGGCCGTTTGGGGTAACTTTATAATGCAATCGAAGTAAGAAAGAAACTTAAAGCGAAGGCGCCATGCAGACATTTTTCATTTTGTGGGCTCATTAGTCGTGAAAAATGCCGCAAACATTTTAAACCACTAAGAAATTTCCCACTAAGTTTAACAGCAAAGTATTGACGAGATTTTCCTTAATACTCCATTAAAATTATATGTTTTCGTCCTGCGTCATAGAGCTTACATGTTTCCTACTGGTCAAATATTTCAAAATATGGGCTTACCTAGATAAAAACTTGCGTGTATGCGTGTATCTAAAACACCTGTCCTCGACCGTTAATAATCTAAATTTACGAACACCTTAATCAAAATAAACTAACATCCAGGGTGAAGATAATGGCTTATGTCTTGACCAATCGTAGGCTGCGTTTTCTTTCTTTTCTCATGAGAAACCAAATGCGAGGGCTGTGATTGCATGCGTTCACCTTTGACCAATCTAACTCCACTAAGGAGGAGAGTAAATATTCATGGCGTAAGGACGACAACGCTTGTTATGACACGGCTGGGTGTTGTGCGTCCATTTTAAAACAAGGCCTTTAATACAGACGTTTCAATTGTCGGCGGGTTTTTTCAAGCGCACAATTCATGTCCTTGTTTTCCTAGAAAAAACGTATGGAACTCGACGAGAAGAAAGTGGTGTTGAACGGCGACGTGGACGGCGAAGTATCGCCTGAAGAGCCGGACGACAGTTACAAAGTGGATGTAGAAATCAATACGGAAGAACGAGAAAAATGGGGAAAGAAGGTGGAATTTTTCCTGGCTTGCATTGGATACGCAGTGGGGCTTGGTAACGTTTGGCGCTTTCCATACTTATGTTATGAAAATGGTGGTGGCGCGTTCCTTATTCCCTACGTGTGTATGCTGCTTCTTTGTGGAATGCCATTGTTCTTCATGGAGCTTGCCCTCGGACAGTTTGTCAGTTTAGGCCCCGTCACATCTTGGGCTGCCATATGCCCCCTGGCTAAAGGTATGAAAAAATGTCTTTTTTTAAGCAAACTATTTCCGCGGTAAAAGAACTTCCAGCACATGAATTTGCATACATTACGTTACTCGCTTACACGCTAAATCATCAATTGTGGAATCTCACTGTTATTTGTATTGTTTTACAATGATTAGGTCTACAAGTTCTAACATTTTAGCGCGTTTTTTTTTTCTAGCTTTACCGGTTTTTTCCACTTGAGAAACCTTTTTTCAGTCGTAGCAAACAATGAGTTAAAATTCTGATAATTCATAAATTATGTTGCAAAATTCAAGAACTAATTGTTCTGTAACTAGTTTAAGAAGGGTATTTTTTCTGTCTAAAACGTTAGAAGCCCTACTGATGTCTGTAACGTACGTTTCCAAATACGATGAGTTTTTAAATTTGTGGAAAAGACCAGGTAGGGACGAATGCGTCGTAAACGATGTGTAGTGATATATAAATTAATTTTTAAAATGGAATACTGTTACAGTCTTGCTCGCAAAAAGCATGTAATATTCATATCAATTTACACATTGTCAGTTATTTTTTCTTTTCAAAGAACTAAAAATTTATTTCTTTCGCAACACGAACCAAATTAGCTCTCGGCCGTGATACCGCTTCCTGAAGTCCAATTATTTCATATTTACGTATGATGAAATACAATTTTTTTTTTCAGACACTACTGTGTTTTTATTTTTTTCTTCCCTTGATTTAAGCAAAGATTAGGCTTAGATAATACCGTATATCCCAGTTGTTCGCTATCGGAATCATGATGTTTCTCTCAATTTTTAATCTATGTGTATATATCTAGTCTTTTTGACGACCAAGATAAGTGGTGAATTTTGTCAGAATTGGCGTGCTTTCAATTGACCCTTGAACAAAATAAATGAAGCAAGCTTTTTGCGTAGAGAAAGGGTAATCTGATTTTTATCGCTTCGCGGGGAGTGCCATATTAGGGCATCTGGTTAGAACAAAGGAGTAAAATGAAAATAATATTTAGACTCTTTAGTTATTACATATTCGGCGGGAAATGTTTTACAAATCACAAGGCATGCCTTCAAGTACCTTGACCTAGCCGCAAACACCACAAAGCAATATTATGTAGTCTAGACCAAAAAATTCTGCTAAGTTTGGAAATTTTATGGAGTTTTCTGACATATGCGTGTGCCATTTTTTTTTTCTTTAAACTAGAGAGACTAAAATCATTTTTTAATAAAAATATTTTTCCCATTATCTCACTTTCCTGGGCTATTCTGCTCTCAATTTACTCTAAAAGTATGTCGTGTATGCATGAAATCTCAAAGTGTAAGTAAAATATTTTCTATGGTTTTTTCGTATTTTTTCCAACTGATAGATCTTATTCATGAATGGTTGTAATCAGCAAAGGAAATGTTTATTGTAACCTTCAGCCGGTTTTTTATCGTCGGATGTTCAAAAGAATAATCGAGTTTCAGATGAAGTGGCTAAGAAAATGCTCGAAATGATTATCATACACAAGACGGAAGTCACATATATTTTTTCAAATTTCGAATCTTTAAATTTAACAATTTGCTGTTCTCTTGTTTTGCTTTTTTTTTCGTAAAACTTTTCTGCGTTATGGTTTTTTTTGCGGACGTTACGTGCCTGTGTGTTGATTGACAATATTTAGCAATATGTTAAATTCAAGGCGTTTATGGCAAACACCATTGGTTGAGTACTGTAATTCAGTTCAGTTTAAGCATTTTGGATTTTCCAAATATATCGAGACAATTGTGTCATTCAATTATTTGGCAATTATTTCCACAAGTGCGGTTTTCAATTGTGACAAATTGCACTTTGAATTGTTCAAAACAGCCCTAACGTATCGATCTTCAAGGAAAGTCAATAACACAAAAGTAAAAATGCCCAGAATTTGTTCTTTTTTTTCCTGCGGGAATTTACAAGTTATTTCCTTACTTAATTTTCAAATTTAATCCTTGCAATTTTGACGCTCATTTTTAAACCATAAGGAATAATATCACCCCGCTATTCGAATTTAATGCTCGAGGGTTGAATGTTGTTGACGAATAATTTCTTGCAGTCACTTGTCATGGCTGACAATTATATTAAATTCTAAAAATCGAACATTCAGCGTCATCTCTATTCGCTTCTGTATTGCCAGCATTCTTGGTTTGCAACCACGTGACAAGGCGGCCATGTTGGGGGTCAAAACAAAGAATTTTTCTCGGAGAATTCATAAGAAAATAGTGTTTAGTTCCCAGAGGAGAGAAATGCTTTTGTTCTCGACCATTAACATGGCCGCCGTGACGTCACGTGCAAACCAGCAATATGGAGTAAAAGGTGCCAATGAATGTTGTTCATACATCGTATTTATTTCCATAAATCGAGCTTGGTTTACAGTATATTAAACACCCTGCAACAAAAAGACAAAAAAAGCCATAAGTGACCAGAAAACTGGAAACGAACAAGCAAAAAGGCGAAGAAAAAGTGTCTCTTGGTTTGAAAGGTAACTCAAATTTGAATGTGTCTTAATAATTCTTGCTTGTCGCTGTTGCATCGCAAGCCGAATACAGCTTCAAATAGTTCGGTTAAGAGTAATGCCTGTCTGATTTATTTGCTCGCATGGATCAGCCGCAATTACCATATATTTTCAGGTGTTGGTTTTTCCATGTTGGTCGTTTCGTTCCTTTGCTGTGTTTACTACAACGTGATCATTGGCTGGTGTTTGTACTACATGTTTAAGTCCTTTGCCAAAGTCGTCCCATGGTCGAGTTGCAGTAACTCGTGGAACACTCCTAACTGCTCGCTCTTCAAGAAATCGTCGGCTCCTACGAACAATGGTGACGGTATCGTACCGACCAACACAACTGTATTAGCGAACTTCACATACTGCGTCAATACAACTGCTGCAACGACCATTGCTTCTACTGTTACCCCAACTACTGGAAATTTGACAGCGGGAAACGTAAGCTCCACTATTGTTCCCGCCACACCTCTGATCACGCGCGTCTGCTACAACACCACTGCCAATGTCACCGCCAATGGGACCATGGCTCCATCCTCATTGGCCCCTGCTGCGGCGGCATTGGGGGGCAACTCTCCCAGTAAAGAATTCTGGGATCGTTATGTCCTTCAAATAACAGATAGCATGGATGACATGGGTTCTTTGCGGGTTGAGCTGTTGGTAGCTCTGATTGTAGCCTGGGTCCTAGTGTATTTCTGTCTATGGAAAGGAATCAAGTCCTCGGGAAAAGTCGTATACTTCACCGCTACCTTCCCCTACGTCGTGCTCATCATTTTGCTTATACGTGGGGTCACCCTACCTGGCGCTTCCAAAGGTATCGAGTTCTACTTGAAGCCCGACTGGAAGAAGCTTGGTGATGCGAAGGTGTGGGCTCAAGCTGCCACGCAGATTTTTTATTCTCTTGGAATTGGATTTGGCTCGTTGATAACAATGGGAAGCTTTAACCAGTTCCATAATAACTGTTTAAAGTAAGAATGATAATAATTCCCTGGATTATACTTAGTCAACCTGAACTTAGCTATACTCATCAGCAATTGACGGGCTTTCAATTGGTGCCCTAGACTTTAGCGGGTAAGGGGCTGGGAAATCCAGGCTCACCAGGAAGGTATCTATGGCAGCCCCGAAGCGAGAATCACCCCAGCACCGGCTGTTAAACTTAACTTAGTCGAGTGAAAAAGAATGGGGAAGTGAGGGTGAGCGCAAGTGTCCTTAACATTTCTCTAAACAAGCAGTGAATCGCAACACTCGCGAATATACTAATCGCGGTCGCACCACAAGTCATGAACAAAAATGGTTGTGACCGCTAGCAGCATAGATTCGAGGTTAGCCTTCTATTCGTTCCTCATGGCGCATAAGGTCTCAAACGTGGTTAGCCTTGCCTTAAATAGATTTAGTTTTAAAACTCTTTGAAATTGGACCACGGGTGCCGCATTCTCGTCAAGTCAATTGACCTTAGCCTTCTATTCCCCAGACATATCAACATCATAATAAAAATGTAATAATTATCGTAAAACGTAACTCACCGTTTATTCATCCTAGTCTTTTACCATAAAAGTCGGTTTCGTATAGTTGTAGCAATGCAAATGACTTATCTAACTCAGATCTTCCGGCTAAGTACTTTTGTCCGTTAGCCTTGTGAAATGATGTATACTGGTGTTTCGCCTGTTAAATAATATTGGTTGTAACTTGCAGCTGAATAAGTGTTATTTTTCTTTTCTTGTTTGTCTAAAGGGATGCCATGATAGTGTCAGTCATAAACTGCAGCACTAGTGTGTTCGCAGGCTTCGTCATCTTCAGTGTGCTCGGCTTTATGGCTCATGTTTCCGGTAAAGAAGTGTCAGAAGTTGCTACTTCCGGTCCAGGCCTCGCCTTTGTTGTATACCCTGAAGGCATCGCTCAGATGCCCATCTCGCCATTCTGGGCCGTTCTGTTCTTTTTCATGTTGCTGACCTTAGGACTGGACACGCAGTTTGCCATGTTTGAAGCCGTGGTCACTGGCCTCGTTGATGAGTATCCGAAGGTGCTAAAAAGACGTAAAGAGATTTTTATCGCGTTTCTTTGCTTCCTTTGCTTCTTGCTGGGAATTCCTATGGTTATGCAGGTTTGGGTTAATTTTTTTTTCTATCTAAGTTTCAAACAACTTTAAAATAAACCTCGGAAACGAAAACGCCCATAAACAGCAGTATTCACTTGGTATGAGTATTTAGCGTCAGTTAAGTGAAGGATGATAATTTAATATTCTATATTTACATTCTCGAATTCTAGAACCTAGAACCTTTTGATTCTTGCGCATAGTAATAAACAGCTCATCCCACTTTAGGGCTATTGATTGTCGCACCTGGAGCGACGTAAGCACTTCCAAAATTGGATGGTTCTTGGTTTTATTTAATACTAATTCAACTACATGTCATCCATAGACTCAAAGAAGGTATTTTATATGTTGTATCCTGCAGGGCGGAATGTACGTTTTTAACTTGTACAACTATCAGTCAGGTGGAGTGTCTCTGTTATTCCTGGCTTTGTTTGAAGTGCTCACTATAGCTTGGGGGTATGGAGCTAATCGTTTTGCCAAGGACATCGAGACGATGATTGGATACAAGATTTCGCCATGGTGGCCCATCGCGTGGAAATTTGCTTCCCCCGTTGTTATCCTTGGTATGTACAAAACATAAAATTCTACGTCCAATACAGGGCTCTGCTCCAGCACAGCCCGATCGCCCTGGCACCAAACCTTTGCTCATGGGCGACTAGAAAATCTCAGATTTTTCATACAAATCATAATGTTGGGCACCTTGGCTTTTACAGAATCAAAGCGTTGGGCTCTCTTGAATTTTCCTAAGAACACAGCCTTGCAATATATACTTGCTGTAAATAATTTTTAAGGGACGTTTTTGACCAAAAGCATTTCAGCCACTTCAATTCAAGATCATCGTTGTTAAAGACGCAAGTCAGGCTTGCCGCGATTCGAACCCTGTCCTTGGTAACCAGTTGAACTAGCAAGCCAAATGGGAGCTGGTCGTTAACCCTTTATATCGCTAGGAGTAAATTGATTTTGGTCACTGTCGGCACATAAAGAGTTACATTGGTGGGTAATATACCCGGGAGAGAGCAAGATAAAGTTTATGAATTTCAGATATTTGAAATGCGGTATGAAGGAATAAACTGCAAAGAAGGCCATCTCAATTAAGGAGCTTTCTTCCACTCCTACGCTCTTTTTACCATTTGGGACATAACTGTATACGTTCATTGAGGTCAGAGGATAACTTAAAAAATAGTTCGACTGGTAGTGGACCCGAACCTGCGTTGTATCATGTGATGCAGGCCAACGGAATTCCCTTTTAATAACTGACTAATATTGAGTTTGACTTGAATGGCTTGTGTTGATTTATAAAAGAACGACAAAGTCTTTGAATTTTTATATCTTGGTATTGTGGTATTGGTATTGTATGTTGTGCCGATGCGTGATCCTACGGTCACGTGATATCCAAATTTTCTCCGTTGGATAGACAGGAGATTCTCTCCTGTCATGCGCGCGAGAAGATCCCCTTAAATGGTATCGAGCAGGAAGTCATAAGGTGCGCGTGCATCCAACCCGGAAATCCCTTTCTGTGTATTTTTTGTAATCTAATTTGTATTCCATGGTAATATAAGGCGCACCGAATTGTCCTTTGCTGCTCAGTGATTTTAAGGCACTGTCAGGTTAACGCTTAGTCCTTCGACAACATGAATAAACCTTTTCTTAGTTTTTCGTCAACCAATAAAAAACCAAGACATTCATCAACCTAAAAATAACTAGAAAACCTGTCAAAGCTGTTAAACCGCCAAAAAAATAACACATGGCCTTTTCTTAACAAGATTCACTCGCATTTTATTTATGAGAAAGGACAAAAGGCTATCACGTCATCGGCGTAAATTTCCTCCGCAAGTTAATGATTCCTCCACAAAAAAGAGTAATTCGATGTGCCCTATACTACTATGGAATACACATTAGACGTTAACAAATACACAGAAAGGGATTGCACGTGGCTAGAGAAAAGTTCCTATCCATCCACAGCAGAAAATTGGGATGTCACTTTACTGTGCGATCACGCATCCGCACAATATGCAATACTAACACCAACGTGAAACCAAACCAAAGTGACTACCAAACCTGCTCAATGCTATTTTATACTATTTTTCGGTGCACCCTATACCACTACCCATTTTCTTGTTCATCTCCAGGTGTGTTCCTATCCAGTGTCATCCAGTGGGGTGGAGTCGCCTATGGCAAGTATCAGTACCCCAGTTGGGGAGAATTCTGTGGCTGGGTTCTGGCCTTAGCCTCCATGTTGTGGATCCCAGGTGTGGCAATATACAAAGTCTTTACCACTCCCGGTGGCTCTGTTTATCAACGAATCTGTTTCCTTTTGCGTCCCGACCAAGAAGAAATGAAAGCAATAGAGGTTCGCGAAGGGCTAGCAACACACTCAGAGATGCAAACTCTCTAGAACGAGATTCTTTGTTTCTCGTTATATTAAATGTTCTGTTTGATCTTAGGAATATTATCGCATCCATTTGCTTAATCAATTTAACTCGCAGAATTTCTGTGACGGATATCGCACACGCGTGCGTCCTTAATCTGACTAGTATAGAAAGCGATTTATAAGCCTTCTGTCTGTAATTAATATTAGTAGTCATAATTTTTAAACTTCTCCTTGAATTGGCAATATTTATAAAAGCATAATTAGTCCGTTAAAAGTTAGGGTAAGAGGAGTTTGAAGATGTGGTAGTTCTTAATATTAAGATCGTCAATTTGTACCACATGCTATGTTGAGTTAGTTTTTCGAGATACCCGGCCCGAAACGATAGAAAGCTCGTAAAGGAAATAGAGAAAGAACGTAAAGCAAGAAATTGAACGATGGTTTAATCAAGGAGGGGAAAAAATGCTCTAGATTCTCTAGTAAAAGACAACACCCTTTGCCATGCTGAATATTTACTTGATATTTGCTGTGTTAATGATATATTGCTGTTGCCTAATAATATTTAAACCATTGTACATTTTCCTAGTAGTTAAATGAAATGAACCTATCGTAAGTAAAAGGAACACATGCAGAGCATTCATGTGATATTTTCTTTAATTTTTCGTATGAAATTAACTTAAGTTTGATATTCTTATTTTTAAATTTTTTTAAACATTTTAAATTTAAAAACATTCAAATGCTTTCAGTCAAAAGAGGAAAGTTGCACAATTTGTTGACGTGTTAAAAGGCCAAGTCAACAAACGTACTTTTGAAGTTTGTATGATAGTTCACTAAGAGCTACCTCCTTCCTCATTTTTTTCTGAGGAGGGGAGGGGGCTGCTGAACAAATGGTAGTCATACCTAGTTCTAGATCAATGTATTTGCTCTAAGGGTGCCCTGGCCACCAGGATAAGAGAAATAATACTGAAAAGCGAACAACGGCTGGCTTCAACAAATGTTGGGTAGACTGATAGGTGAATTCATAGTAACTTTAACCACTAAGAACTGTATTTTCCCGAGCAGATGCAAGCAGCCAGCTTAAATACTGCATATTCAGTGTAGAAGATAATAACCTTGTAATTGCTTTTTTAAATTAAGGAAAGTAATTCCCATGTGAATAAATTTACGTTGTAATTTTGACATACGAGATTTAAGTAATGTTACGTATTTTGGTGTGACAGTGGCTTATAAATTATAATTTAAATACACTGTAACCATAAGTTCTCATAAACATCAGCAACTAGTGCGGCGACCACATCAATACATAAATAGCTTTACTACATCTTTTTCCTCAATTCTGAGCTTAAATTTCCCAAGGGTTCTCATCAAGTCTGAAATTTTAAAGTTCGTGATTCCGATAGTTTGTTAAACAAACCTGAAATTCGGTATTCTGTTCGATTTGACTCAGTTACGTCTGTTTTTTTTTTGTTAAGAAAAAGTGCTAAGTTTAGTAGCGCCTTATATACAGTGGGCTATGGAACATAATAGGAATACTTTCTCCTGTAATCTGCTTCTGTGACAATGCTTATAAAAGAAATAAACATTTCGAAACAATCCAGGAATGTGTGGATCTATGTTCACTGGCACTCGTATGTTGGATAGACTAGTTGAGTCCAGGGGCGGATCTAGGGGGAGGGTGCAGGGGGTGCGCACCCCTCCCCCCCTGAGATGACCCGCGGTTTTCTAATACAACTGGTATTCTGCCAAAAAAAAACCTATGTGGGTTATTGGTGTTGAAGTAGAGCAAGAGACGAGTGCACCCCCTCCTAAAAAAAATCCTGGATCCGCCCCTGGAGTCGCATCAATTTATAAGGACCTCCAGGGAATAATATCGATAGCTTTATCAGTAACATAACATACAAGAAAAATACTATTTAGTTCCTTTCGTCTTCCCCACCCCATCCCTCCACTTACACCCCTTCCCAGCACGAATGGAGCGGGGAAGGGGAGAGTAGAAATTTTTGACTTCATAACTTTTTAGCTTTTAATTTCCGTCTTTTTTTACGCTTCTAATCTTAATATAGAAGGGAGATGTTGCTCAAGTTAAGCATGAGAAAAAAAACAAAAACAAAAACGGACAAAGAGTCTCGACGGGTCTTAAAAGGATGACGTCATTAATTTAAATTGCAACCTTGGATCTGCCGCTTTTAGTATCCAACTTGCTCGAAAGAGTCATACGTGTATCGAAATAAGGTGGATATCACATACAATGTTCCTTTGTAACGTCCCTATAATATTAGCATATGGAAAAAATCCAATAGTTTGAAAAATCAGTACTTCAGCTTTCGCTTTGCCTGTCTGGTTTATTTCTTTTACGGCATGTTCTTATGGCTACTTAGTGGAGAAATTTTCTCCCTCTTAACTCTAAAGAGTAAGTCAACGTTAATTTTGTTTATCTCTAAACGCCGACGCATGACGCTAAAATATAATGAATTATTAAAGTATACTGTACTCCCCTGCCTGTTAAGGATTGCGAACTTGAGAAATGTAAACATTTAAAAACCACTAAAGGAGGTTCAGCCTGCTGAGATGAAGATTTCAATAATTGTTTTATTCTTCATTCAATATTTCCACAGATGCTTACCTCTATATAGAATTCCCTTCTTCAAAACATTTAAACCTTAACATTATGACGACATACAAATCCAGCTGTTTTAATTATGAGAAATCAGCTTATAGTAACAAAAAAAAGCTAAAGACAAAAGCTGCTTGATTTTTTCCGATATTTCGACGATCAAGCCGTCCTTTTTCTGGGGATTAAATGAAGAAATGGAAACTATTTACAATGTTTATAGTGTGAAAGCGTTATTGGAAACTTGATTCAAGTGCAAAATTTAAAACTTCAACAGACCAGTAGGACGATTTTTTTTATGTTCAACATGCATACGTTGGTAAAAGCAATGATGATGAAGACGATAGCAAAGACGTTCTGGCTATTTTTCGCATTTCTGGTAAGTAAACTATGATGACCCAAGATAGTTTCATGACACGATAAACAGTAAACAATTGTTAGCAAGCATAATCAAACTGAGAAATTTCGAGATTAGTGATTTTGTTGTGAAGCGTATCCCAATCTCGTTAAACGAACAATAAATTCTGTTTCCCCGCAAAGGGAAGAAAACAACCATGTTAGTAATGGTTGTTATAAATAAATGAAATTATGAAAAAAAAAACTGATGCAAAAAGGAAAAAAGAATCAGAAGCTATTAGTCCTTAAAAAAAAAATAAAAAAATAATAAATAAAAGCCACATCTAAAACCACGCAATTTAAACAAAGTTATCGCATATCGTTGATAATGGACTTGATATTTTACTGATGCCTTGATGCACTCATTTCCAAGCCAAACTAAGCCAAGCTATTGGTAGTCTTAAAACGTATTCTTTTTCCATGCAAAACAATTAACTTAGTTAACGTTACTTCCTGTATATTTCCTTGGTGAAAGACTAGTGATTAAGTAAAGAAAATGGCATTGGTTGACATAATTTCTCGAAAAGATACTAAAGTTAATAAAGGACATAATATTTAGTGCCCGTGGCTTTCTAGCACTGAAACAATTGAATCAATAACGTCAAATAACCCGGGGAGAGGTAAGTGTGACACACATTTATTTTGCTCCAATTCTATGATCCTCGTAAATAAATAACGGATAAAGGTGCATAGGTACCACTGAACTTAAATAAAACAATTATTTGAGGGCGTGAAGGATAAAAGAGGATGATCGGTTTAGATTAACGTTTTGCCTCCAATAACTACTGTTTCTAAATAATTAATACCACAGAGAATTGATAACTGCAAGTGGTGTAGGGTTGGAGTAACAAAGCAACATCTGCACTTTACTGGGCCTTGTTCTATGTCCGCACTACTGGATACGGATACAACAACAACATAAGCTAATTTGCATGACTATTTGAAGATACAGTATTGCAAAAGCTTTAAGATAAAGTTACAATTAGCATTAATAATTAATAGGGATAATAAGTCAGTTAAATAAAGGAAACAAACAAACAAAAAAACAATGATTACAATGCAATGATTACAATGGTCACTCAAGTGTCATAAATTTGCGAAAACGGAGACATTTGAAAACACCATATAAAATTTTCTTTAGTCCACAACAGCTAAAACGGCTAAGATGTCCGTTGTCTACTCCATTGGGAAAAAAAAACGTAACGTCCTCAGCGCGGTCAGTGTTGACGGTGTCTGTGCCTTTTTTACGCCGTTTTTTCTTTGCGGTAGCTTTTCGCGGGTTTGACTAGGACTAGTGATGGCGGTTGTGGCGGGAGGTGACACTATACTTTATTAAGAGCTAGAATAACTACAACCATGGTCAAAACGTCTTGGGACACCTGTGGCAATTAGGGACAAAGACGCACTTTGCTAAAAATTAACTGATATCCTACCTCCTAAAAAAAACTTGGGGATGTTGTTATAAGGGGCTATTTCTGCTGTCCCCCTCTCCCCCCAGCAGTGTTGATTGTGTTGAATTAAAAATTGAATGCATAACGTCAACACTGCACCGGGGGGAAGGGGAGAGGGAATGTGCCTAAATTTAACGAGCTATTACGTTAGTGTCCTAAGAGTTTTGGCCAGGGTTGTTGTTACTTTTTCAGATATGTCAATATTATTTTTTTCAGGTCGTGCGATCAAATGGAGAGCAAGGTAAAAGATGACTTGATAAGTAATATATCAAACATGAGACGCAATGTTTCATCACCAGATAAAACACCGAGAAGAGAGTTGAAAATACGACGCGTAGCGGAGTATTTTTGACGAACTTCGAGGTGTTTCATCTGGTCATAGTTAATTGAGTGGAATGGTTATGAAACCCGTCATACTCCCTTGTTATATGTTTTTGTGGACCTGAAAGTGCACAACGTTCAAAAGAATTCCTATCATTTTGATTGTATTGACCAATAAAAACGTTGCATTAATTTATTCCGTAACAATTTGCCGACAGAAAACAAAGGATTGTGCACTTTCACGGTGCTTTGAACATAAACTGCAGCACTGTTGTTTTTCTCATTGATGTTTGCCGCTTTTCATAACCAGTCTCGTCTAATAACTATGATCTGGTGATGAAACACTGTGTCGAATGTTTGATATTTCTTCTCAAACAAAATCATTTTTGAAGGAGAAATTAAGGATGCAAAAATGAGCAGTTTTTCATCCGATATCCAAACACTCATTAAACATTAATTTCCTTTGAATTTTCTTTATGAATTATTAATGAGTTTGAGAAGTATATATACCGTACGATGCATGATGCATTAATTTACAGCATGTCTACTCTTTTGAGGTGACTGTAGTTTGGGACAAGAGACAAGATCGTTATTCCCTCATACAGTGAAACCTCGATATAGCGAACCTCTATATAAGGAAGTCATCGGTATAAAGAACGATATTCCAAGACCCAGTAATTGAAAATATATGGAATAGTACTTCGATATACAACAAAACCTAGTTCTTCGTACCCAACATATTTTCACAAGACGAAAAAATGGATTTGCACAAATTTGTTCCTTGCAAATATATGTCTCAAAGATATAAATACTGAGAAGTAAGTATATGGCAAACATGGTAAATGCCACATTTCTTCAGTTATTTACACCCCCTGTTTTATAGTATGTTTGTACCATCTTTGCCCCTTGTTTACTCCTTAGTATTTATAATACATATATTATTTCTAGGCTTCTTTGCGACTCATTTTTAAGGACCAAATTTGTGCAAATCCATTTTTTCGTCCAGTGTTTGTCAGTCGTTTGGCACTTCGTTAAATGGAGCTTCCATTGTACACTGTTTTAGAGAGGCTACGTCACGTGGATATTGCTGTTTTGGCTAAATTATGTGCTGAAGTCCGCATTACTTGCAGTGCCTTTAACCCTAAACAAAATGCTACTGTAGAGTTATGAAGAAGATATTAAACAAACTGTTTACTTTTTTTTGTTGGTTCAATGACCACACGGCAGTTCAACAAGTACACAACAGATCAATAACCACACCAGTAGTTCAATGACCATACATTGGTTCATTGCGCGTAAACTACATGTAGCTGCGGCAAAAATAGCCACAAATACGTTAGTTATTTTTTAGTAAGAATGCCTAGCATTAAGTAAGTGGTAAATACTCATTTAGCTACGGTACGAGAACTAAATTGAGAAATAGCTATGTTACACTGAACTTATTAAGTTCTAGTGAGCTCACTAATATAGACAGGAACAGAGACTGATGTTAATTTAAAGATTTTAGTCTGCTCAGAAGGTCTGTCATTCTCATCAGTTAGTAAGTCATCAGTTTTTATTAGGGAACACTGGTGATTTTTGCCGGCGCAGCAAGCATAGCATTAAAACTTGAAAGATGGGCCAACTTTTTCAAGTGTCAATCCACTTCTATCCTTACCATCCGTTAAAACAGACTACAGGAAAAAATTTCAATACTTAATTAAATATAGTCATAAATAACAAAAATGGACCGTTATTTTTGGAATTCAATTGAGATGCGAAAAAAGATTTAGCTATATACCATATATGTTGTATATAAGCCCTAATAACAACTGAAAAAAAAAAAAAAAACACCAACACATATTAACAAACAGTACACTTAGAGAAAGTGAAAGTACAACACCGCAATCACTGTACAAGAATGGGCTCATTGGGCAAATGTAAAACGAAATACAACGGGTCGACTTTCGAGTCCCGGATACTCCTTATACCTGAACGAAGAATGTTCCAAAGTGGGGGACCAACACGAGCGAAGACCCTGTCGCCGAAGGTCTTACACTTTGTTTTTGGAACCTTTAATACATACGTGGTATTAGATCTCAGCAAATTGTAGGAAGCACTCTCCTTAAAACTTAGAAATTTCTTCAGGTAGACAGGCGCCACACCAAAGATAGCTAGGTGGACGAGCAGCAGGTTTCTAAATTGAATCCGGTAGGGCACTGGTAACCGATTACAAAGGACTATAGACTGATGTGACTGAACTTGAATAACAGGCAGACAATGTGTGCAGCTGCGTGTAGAATCCGCTGCAAGCGATCATGTTGGTATTTTGGAATGCCATAGAGCAGGGAGTTGCAGTAGTCGAGATGACGGCGGAGATGTCACAAAGTCGTGTACCAGGACTTTGGTAGCATCTTCCGATAAATACTTCCGGATCTGTCTGATGGAAAATAGACCATTTTGCAAGCTTTGCTCACATGAATGCTCATGGAGAGATTCTTAGTATCGAACCATGCCCAGAGATTGCGGGCGCTGGAAATAGGCTTGATTTCAGAATCCCCGACAATGACCGATTTGAGCTGGACCTTGCTCAACTGTTGGCAGGATAAGAAACTCCGTTTCAAGGTAGCGACTAGCATGACGTAGCCTCTGTAATCTTCGCAGAAGTCACCTAAATAACTTGACCTCTTTCAGCAAAGTTGTTTCATTGGCCTGCTAAACTGGCACATGTAATTTATACCTTGCCCTTTGTATATCTCATGAGCCGTAACACAGGCTTAAGTTTCAACTGTAACTGTATAAAATCACTTGATGCAAACAGGCAAAAACCAATTTAATGTCATTTTGTTTTTCTTTTGTCAATGCGATAGAATGCGATAAAGCTCTCGGAATGGAAAATGGTTTAATTGCTGATGGACAAATAACTGCATCGAGCTACTTAAGCGGCAGTCATGAACCCTTTTTAGCCAGACTGCACTTAAAACCGGTTCCTTTAGGTAGAATAGGAGCCTGGGCGTCCCTCTATAATGATTTAAATCAGTGGCTTCAAGTCGACGTTGGGCGTCAGTACAATGTTTCACGTATAGCAACACAAGGAAGAGAGGACATTGGTCAGTGGGTTACCAAGTACAAACTGCAGTTTAGTGAGGACGGAGTCATGTTTTATAACTATACGGATGAACTTGGACAGATAAAGGTGAACACACTTTCCTTGCATAAGTAAATAGAGCCTGGGAGAACAGGGTTTACTTATTGAGGACCTCTGATACCCTAACCCTAACCACAAATTCCTTTATTTAAAGTTTAGCACGCAGCTACATCTAAGACCGTATAATGTGTGCTTAATTATTAATAGTTAAGCTGGTTGAAGAATCGCGCCAGTGATTCGTACGTACAAAACTAAGATTATCATCTACTTCTTCATTTAATTTCATATCGAAAACCTATGTATGATATATTTCATATACATAGGAAACTATTTTGAAATTTCGAACCAAACCTCTGTTTAAATAAAGGTGTTTAGGTGCTGTAATACCTCATGAAACTCAGAATTTCAGAAGAATCGATAGTTTCTTAGTTTGAATTTTGATGACGTCATGTGAAAACCGAGAATTGTTTTTTGCTTTTTGGTCATTTTAGGAATTTACTGGGAACTCAGATTCAAGCACAGTTGTTTCAAACGAACTAAAACCTCCAGTCTGGGCTCGATACATTATCATCCTGCCACTGGCCTGGCATGCGCACATATCCATGAGAGTTGAACTGTACGGTATCACGAACGGTAATAACTTGATAAATTAGAGGGAGTGGGGTTCGTAACCCATATTTTTTATCTGAATTTCAAAACTCCTTGTTTCACATGCTGAGGAAAAAATGCCCTCCCTGCATGTGAGTATTTCAGTAGATGACTGTATATTCGCATTTGTCTTGTTCACTGTCGCAGATTCTCCAGATCACTGTCGGAAGTAAGACCATTCAGTCCTTTAATTTTATATCCCTTGGTAGTACTAGGTTTGTATTGATTAATGTCTTAACACTTATGGGAACGATTAACCTGAAAGTTTGGGCCAAACCAATACCCGAGAATGCAAAAATTTCACTTCCAGTTGAGTTGCGTCGCTTAAAAACGTCTAGCTCCCAGATATGTCGCAGGAAAACTAGCCTAAAAATTTGCAATTAAAAGTGCTTGAGTGAGACGTGAGACGATGACCCTCCATGAATTGAAGTTATCTTAAACCAACTGCTTTGCGTTTGGTAAGGCTTAGTATTTCTTCGCTCAACTTTTTCACGATGATATCTCAGCGATACTAATTACCGCACCGTTTATTTTGTACTTGGTAATTAACCCTAAATTTTGGCTATTTTTAAGATGGAGAAAAACCTCTTGGAATGGAGAGTGGTACAATACCAGATGATCAAATCACCGCATCCTCGTCTTGGGATGAATATCATAGTCCGTACCTTGGCAGATTACACTTAGATTCTATTTATGCGTGGCCAAACCACACAGGTGGATGGACAGCTGGAACGAATGATGTCAATCAATGGCTTCAAATTGATCTGGGCATCGAATATAACATAACTCGTGTGGCAACACAAGGAAGACAAGAAATCCCGCATTGGGTTGCCAAGTACAATCTGCAATACAGTGACGATGGAGTCACGTTTTATACTTGTGTGGACGAACAAGGGCAGGCAGAGGTAACTATAATTGGTTGTACATGTGCATTGAGCCCACAAAAACGCTATGTTATGAGATGCTGAAGCTTGAGGACGAGGGCTAAAATTTGTACAAGTATTATTCTTACCATTACTTATTACAGCTATTTTAGCATCACTTTCACTTTTCTATTGCCTAAAAGCCTCCTTCTCAAACTTTTTTCCAACAAGGATAAATCGATTTAACGAAACGTTGAATGCATTATAACTATGTTTTGCAACACTATGCAAAAACAGTTGTGAAGGAGCTACTCGTAAGGTCTTTACTGATTGGTCTCAGAAAACGATGACATGTCATTCTTCCAATTGTTTCAGTATTGTTTGGGGTCAGGGTTAGGCACCATTAGTGACTCCTCTTCCGAGCAGCTGCTACATGCTGCAAAAATAAATGAAACAAAACTCAGCAGAACCTTCATTTTTTTTTTAGGAATTTGCTGGGAATACTGACCAGAATACTGTGGTTTCTCATAATCTTAGTCCGCCAATAAGAGCACGTGTGATACGCTTTCGACCACTGCAGTGGAAAGATTTCATTTGCATGAGGGTGGAGCTCTATGGCTGTACAGAAGGTAATCATAACTGTAGTGGGTCTTCATAAAGTTGATTTGATTTATTGATTTCATTACGGTTACTCAACGCCGAGAAAAGGGCCAATGAAACAGGACTTGTGTCGCAACAGAGTAGATCAACTTCTTAATTACCCACCCACCCGACTCATCAATGGTTGACCAAGCCACTGGGGTTACGCCACCTACTCTCCTCAAACCAGAAGAGTTAAATCAGAGAACGTGTTCTATGAGAGCTCTCTGCTGTCTTAAACAAACGTAAACAAACAAACAAATACAAATCTAAAATAGGCAAATATTTGAAGCAAACTCGCTTTCCTTATCCAAAAAAATTTAGAATGTCATCAACCTATTGGCATGGCGAACGGTGCAATACCAGAATTACAAATTACGGGATCAACGATATGGAGTCCTTATCATCTCGCAAGTTATGGAAGGTTATTTTTCAAATTGCATAGTGCAGCATGGGTGGCCCAAGTTAATGATGGTAACCAGTGGATCCAGATTGACCTAGGTGGACAGCACATCAAAGTAACACGTATAGCAACACAAGGAAGATATGCATGTTGTGACCAGTGGGTTACCACCTATAAGCTTGAGTATGGCAATGCTAAAGAGCACTTCCATTACTACAGGACACAAGGACAGGCCGCTGACAAGGTAAAACAAATTTAATTCAGAAGCAAAGCTATGACCAACATAATTATGGGATGCTGGAAAAAGGTGGGTTAAATGTTAGAAAAAAAGCTTTACATTTGTAATGATGTGTTAACCTTTTCTTCAAAGGGACGTGGCTCAGTTTGCAACACCAAGGGAATCGAAGGTGGCCGGGAGGAGGGAAGCTTATTGGAGAACGATGAAGACATGTATTTCGTTTTTTCAGGAAGTGTTCCTGGATATTCTGACGGACATTCATGAGTAAATGTAAATTTTCTTTTTGGGGGGATGTCTTTGAGCTTAGCTGTTTTGACAGGTCAGAGGGAGGAAGGATTTTGGTTTTCCTGTGCCTATGGCTGTACTATGACAAACTCCATTTTCTCTTTTTTATTTTCCTGGACTGACACTGTTGATGGATACTTTTTAACACGCTGTTGCGAAATTATTGATGCGTTTTCTGGATATGTTATTTTGTGCAAAGCAGCTGTCAATGTTCATTAAGGTGGTTTTCTCTTTTTCCTCTTCTCGCTGAAGGTTTTCACAGCAAATACAAACCGAGACACCGTGGTTTCACACAAGCTGGATCCACCTATTAGGGCGCGTTACATCCGTTTCCGACCTTTGACGTGGCAGAACCACATTTCCATGAGGATAGAATTATATGGCTGTGCTCAAGGTACGTAAAAGGCTTGTCAAAAAATATTTACTCAGTATACAAATACACTGAATAAAATGAACTACAGTCCGGGAATCGTGGAAAAACAAAAGTCAAACAAAGACATTTTTGGGTACTCAAGCAAGGTCTGGCTTTAAACAGATTTTTCACTTTTATAAAGAACGGTAGTACGGTTAGAAAAATGTCAGTGTCAATGACATGACCAATGCCAATGCCAATGACAATAACAACGTCAATAGCAATGGCAATGGCAATGGCAAGGTCAATGTCATTGTGAATGACAATGATAATGAAAATGTCAATGGCAAAGACTATGGCAATGGCAATGGCCATGAAAATTTCAATGTCAATGTCGCTGTCACTGTCACTATCAATGACAATGACAATGTCAATGTCATTGTCCATGATAATAATAATGAAAATGTCAATGGCAATGGTAATGACTCTGACAATAACAATAACCATAACCATAACCATAACCATAACCATAACCATAACCATAACCATAACCATAACCATAACCATAACCATAACCATAACCATAACAATAGCAATAACAATGACAATGACAGTATAAATGAAAGCAGTGCCAGTTGTCTTTTTCATTGTAGAATGTCAGGATGCCCTTGGAATGGAAAGCGGTGCAATTGCGGATTCACAGCTCACTGCCTCTTCGCAGTGGGATGCATATCATTCTGTGCAACAGGGAAGATTAAATTTTCGAGAAGTTACCGGGCAGCTGTCAGGAGCCTGGGCAGCTGGAGTAAACAATGCCGATCAGTGGCTGCAGATCGATGTCTTGGGTTTTAGAAAGAGGTACACCAGGATAACGCGAGTAGCCACTCAGGGAAGAGATTCGTCTTATAGCGTACAACGTGTAACCACATACAAGTTGCAATACAGTAACGATGGAGTAAATTTCCAGTACTACAAGGAACGTGGACAACCAACAGACAAGGTAAAATCGTATAAACCCTCAGAGGGAAAGTTTAAATTCTTTGCTCTTTGTTCACATACACCTTACTTCAGTTTGTATGAGAAATTGAATCAAAATGACACTCTTTGATGACTATGCGTATCCAAAAAGCGTTAACGGATACTTTAAGGGGTGAAACCCGCCCCCTCTCTTTATGTGCTAGGGTTAATACGCTTTTGTCACGGCTAGATTTGAAATTGTACCCGCTGCGGACGTCGTGCTTGTTATTTATACCTTTAAGTATATTACCATGAAAAATTCTTTCATATCAACGGGTAAGCCAGCATGATTTTACTTTCTGCGTGGAGACATCACTTTTTTAGAGACTATTACCTTTAAAGTCGTTTTCCGACCGTGTTAATTACAGAATTAAATGAACTACTAAACAAAGAACACGGAGGCGGAGTGTTGTCCATATGGTGGCGGATTCTCGTGAAACCCAATGTTAAAAGAGGAGACTGGTTATGAAATGAGGAAAAAAAGAAAGATAAAACAACAATTTTGCATTTTATGTTGGGAGCTTCGACAAGCGACGTTTTTATTGGCAAGTAATATCAAAATGGCAGGAATGCTATTGAATTTTGTGCATCTTCAAGTCCATAAAAACATAAAACAGAAGAGTCTGAGGGGCTTTACAACCGTTCTACTCTATTTACTATGTCAAAATGGACTGTTGTTGGTTTATAAACTAAAAACAATTTTGATTTCCTATCTTTTTTTATCGAGGTATTTGCTGGAAACTTTGACCACAATTCTACGGTTCATCACGACCTTAATCCACCAATTAGCGCTCGTTACGTCCGTTTTCGACCCATGACATGGAATCACCACATATCAATGAGGGTGGAAATCTACGGCTGTACGCATGGTAAGATAAGATGTTATTTTGTATGGTATGCACCATACTAATAATTCTGACTGGATCAATTTCTTTAACCCTCAAATTATTCTCACTATAATAATTCTCAAACGAATTTTGGGGAAAAAATCTCCTGCAGAAAAATTTATTTATTTAACAACGAAGTTCATGTTAAAACAGCATATTCTTCAAAATTAGTTGTAATTAGATTTTTGCTTGATTGCAGTAAATCCGCATTGTTGATAAAGAGCGTTCATCCAAATTTTCAGTTTTTAAGACCGAATTCTTCGCTGTCCTAGAAAAGGTCAAATCGTCTATTATGCAAATATAGATAATATATAAATGAACGATATTGGTTTGCGATTAAAATCAAAGTGAGCAGACTTAAACACTGTTTCTGCAGAGTGTACCTCTCCAGCAGTTGGTATTGATAGAGGAAATATTCTGGACTCTCAAATGCAAGCTTCAACCGGGAATGCATCACTGGCTCGGCTGAATGGAGCATCAGCTTGGTGTCCTGTGAGAGAAGGTCTTGGTGAATATATACAGGTGAAAAGCAACAATATTTGAAATGCTGTATATGACCATATATTTCACAAAGTAAGAACACAGTCGTTATAGTTAATAACTCATTTTGTTTTGAAATTATTACGTTTAGATTGATCTTGGTCGACTGTACCGCGTTTGTGCCGTAGCCACTCAAGGAAATCCAGGAACAACTAAGTATTTCTTAAAAAAATACAAATTGGGTTGGTCCAATGACTTGATTACATGGGAAACAAGTACTGAGGTATGGATAACAGTATGAAGGCAAATTCTGTTTTAAGGAAAATTAATGATGTGGAACATGTACCTAGGACTACAATTAAATTACAGTGGAATCGCTCTTTTGGGACACCTCTAATCAGGGTACAGAGATTTTGGTCCCCGAAAAATGTCATCACATCATCTTTGTATCTGTTACCTATATTGAACGGACACCTCCATCAGGGGAACGGGGACACTATTTCTGGGTCTCGAAACCATTCAGGGGTCACCTCTTAGCGCTCAAAAAGTGAATGACCACAAAAGGTGTTGGTAAGTTTAAGTGAACACCAGTCCCAATGACTAGAGCTTTCACAACTTCATCTTCTCATATAAATTGATATACAGTGAACTGTACTTGTGGGAAGTAAAGCACAATATCGCGGAGATAAGTAATCATATTTTTGTTATATATTATCTAGCTGCTTGAAATAATGACTGCAGCAGATTCCGAGGTAAAATAAAAGAAAAAGATTTGATGGTTAATTCAGCAAACCCCGGTCCAACCTCCAATCAGGGGGCACTTTTATCAGGGGACACTTGCTTTTGTCCCGAGGGCGTCCCCTGCAGAGAGGTTCCACTGTAGACTAAAATTGATCAAGTAGGAAAAAGTTTAGAAAAGTTTGCTGACAAAGAACATTTCTCTCATCCTTGCTGCATTATATTCGTATGGTATACAATTGTCTCTATTTGCAGGTTTTAAAAGGAAATACTAATTGGGTAGACGTTGTGAAGAATTCTATTCCAGTGATTTACGCTCGATATATTCGTCTTTACCCTGTGAGTTGGTACATTAGAGGATGCATCAGAATGGAGCTTTATGGGCAGCCTTGGTCAGAAGGTGATATATTAAAACGTTTTGCCTTATGCAGGTTTCCTAAGTTAACTGTTTTCGATATAGAACTTGACGAGAATCATATTTGTGACACTGTCAAAGCCCAGAGAAAACCTTCGAGATCTTTTATTATTTTCCCTACAGATTTTGGGCTCCTTTGGTTCCATAGTTTTAGGGTGATGGCTCAGTCTTCTTTAGGAATGACATATTTAAGCAAAGACAGCATATCCTACATTGCTTATTTCCCTAGCTATAGACTTGGTTTTAGAACTGATAGAGGGTAACTGATAGAAGGCAATCACAAAATCTTTCAAACATTATTGCCTCTTTCAAGGGATCTGCTTTATTGTTCTGTTAGTCTTTTTTAGTCGTTTGGCCGTCCCTACCACGGCAAAAGCCAAGCATATGTTCTCCCTGATAAGGTTGCGTAGCTTAAAAGACAATGGCTCTAGAGATGAGTCTTATTACAAACACTTGTCAGGGACTCCTTTTATTCAGTTTTACTTTTTTGTCTAGTTCCAGCCAAGTTATTTGCCCCAGTGGCTCCTGATAAGGCCTTACTCGGTCACGTGAGGTCCACGTTGAATAACACCAACGTCATGGAGTGCTTTAAATTGTGCTTAGTAACCACGCAGTGCAAGTCTTTCAACTTCTGCCACCAGCTGAAAACGTGTGAAGTCAGCGATTCCACAACCACAAGCTCAGCAAATGGACTTGAAGATCACCAAGGATGTAATTACTACGAACCTGAGTCTTACCAATGGATTACTCCTTGATGAAAATTTAGAAACATGAGTAGAATAGTGTTTACCACTTAGGCTCCGTTTAAACTTTGCTCCGCTTTGAAAACCATGTCAGATAGGGCTTTGGTTCACACATAAGAACGGTCATTGCCGAGCAGTTCCTGTAATAGCAAGGTGGATAAAGGTCGGAAAGGAACTGCACCGGGCAGTTCTTGAAAGTTTATCGTCACATATCGGACAGTTTTCTGTGCCGCTCTTCGTGGCAATGTGAACAGGTGTTCATACCAGGCTGGAGTACTCCCGGAGTAGTCAATCGATAAAAATCGGTAAATCTGATTTGATTGATATCTATTGTATCGATCGTTTCATTTTGATCAGTTGTCACTAGAGGATGTATTTTCTCAGCTGTACTATAAGTATTTAACTTATGCCAAAAAACATCAATGTGGGACTTACCGTTATAAATCGTTAAAATAATGAAAAATCTATAATATCGATTTGACACAGCAATTTAGTTTATCGATTTTCACCGATTTCCGTTATCAGTCGATAAAAATCACTTGATTGCTATCGATTTTTCTCGATTGACTACCCCGGGGATGGAGCACTTTTCATGTGGACATGATCAGCAATCCGGAATGGAGCGATTTCAATCACGTGGCCATCATCAATGCAAAGTTCTGGAGTAAAAGAAAGTGGTTGCATAGGAAAATAGTCTAACTCACAAAGAATTTGTTTGAAACACCAATATGGCCGCCGTTTCATTGTATTGAAACACCAATATGGCTGCCGTGACGTCATGTGAAAACGCTTAATTCGTGTTTTTGAATTCAATTAAGTAAACGTAAGCTATAAAATAAATTAACTTAACACTGATGACACTAACAAATGCCCAGATTCTGAAACGTATACAGCAAATCGAACTCAGTCCTCAGTGACTGATGGAGCACCTTCCAGGAATTTCAAGAATATAATACTGAAGCAATGACAATAAAAATTACTGTATTTGTTAAGGTTATGCAGTTGATGTAAGACGTTGCATTAAAATATTCTAATTATGCCATTGTTCCAAATAAGCGCTCTAGACCCACCACGTTTTGACGAGGACGGGTTACTGAGAATCGGTCAGCACTGCTGATTGAAACTGAGCGCCGCCTAAATAGAGCTGTAAAGTTAGTTTTGTCACCAAGCGTGAGAGTGATTTGTTGAAAGCTGGCGATGAAATTGGCCCATATTGAAAGTTGCCGTGATAAACGTCTGTTAAATGTCGTGACTTTACAGATACATGTACATTCGCTAGCTTCAGACGTTTTACTTTCAAACTGGGCAGATATGGTCAATGAGTTGTGTCAATGCTTTCCTTGGAAATAAGGCACTGTCCGAGAAAATGACGGCGAAAAATTTTAAGATGAAGGGTTTTAAAGTTTTTTCTGTTCCCTTTATTTTAAATTTCAATCTTTTCGAGTTACATTCTACTTTTTTATTGAAAGCATGTTTACTTATTCCTGGGCGATAAAAATGGTATGCTGCCCCTTTGTCTACAAATGAAAAAATATCTGATTGACTGACATTTTGCCTTTATGAGTCCACAGGTACCCCAAGCTCACGAGTGAGAATAGTTGTTTCACAACAGAAATATTGTAAGGGTTTGTATGGGGAATTATTTATCGTTATGTCTCCTTGTCTCAGTCTAAGGTGTTTTCTTAGCATTTTTAGCCGTTTCAAGGCGAATTCAGCGAGTTGTAGTTCTGTCGCACCGTTGTAACAACGGCAGAGCAAAATCTCGCTGGAATCGCCCTGAAACGGCCAAAAATGCTAAGAAAACACCATGAATTTAGACATGGAGACAAGGTAAGGATTTCTGATGTATTTTTATAATTATTTTTGACCCCTAAATAACGATAGCTGAAATCTCGATACAAACCCTTACAATATTTCTTTTATTCAACAACGATTCTCACTCGTCGAGCAGAACAACGCAGCAAACCATCATACTGCATCAGCCCTGTACTAATTAAACTAAACAACTAGTCTAGTTATCAGCCTCGTCGTAAAAAGACTTCCTGAAGTTCAAAGGTGTCCGCTTTGAGGCAAAAAGTAAGGAAAAGTCGAGGAATTCAAATTAAATAAAAAGTAAAATAACTGTTAAAGAGAGAACAAGTAACACGAATAACATGTTATCCTAAAACTGAACTGTAAAAAATTAAATTTTTCATTATAACCAAACCTCCTGAAAAGTTTATTGCGCTCAGTTTGCCAGGCTCTGTATCTAATTATTTTTTGCTGTTTATTGAAAAAAAAAAAAAGAAAGAAAAGAAATTTGGTGTTACCTGGATCTCCAAAAAGTTAAACAACAACAACAAAAACCATAAGAAAGCAACAACAATACGGCAACAAAACACAGGTTGTTTTCCTGACGCTAAATTAAGATGCATTTCTTCATTTATAAACGTCCTCTGTTGCTGGCAATTTATTAGCGCCCACCATGGTGCCTTAACAACAACTTAAGGTTATTATTGGAAACGAATGTCATTGTAAAGGCAACAGCATTTCAGTTTTTCATCCAAAGTGTTCTGGCTATAATATTAAGCTATATTTATTTGTGGCTGTTATTTCAACCCGTTTGTCTTGCTTGTCGACTGAATGATGGCGGAAAGAGATCTTTATGTTATGCTAACAAGTTAGAAGAAAATTAAAAAAATGTCAGCAGTACTCGCGTGGATAACTTTCGTATTTCTGGTAGGTATAGACTAGATTGTCATGCAACTCCCACAAACACCTCCCCCTTAAATCCTTTAAAAACAAAGTCATGTCAAACATCTTACAGTCTTACTGTTCGTGAGTCTTTTTTTTTTCTTTTTTTCTCCTTTTTCATTTTTTTTCCTTTTATCTATTTACTAATTCCTTGTTTTTTCTAGCTTTAGTGCCAACCTACCTCCTATGCCTGAACAATATTTAGCTTTACTCAGCTCGATTAGCTTTTTAGTTATTCTGAGTAAATGTTACCTTTTTTTGTATTGATATATTATACTGTAAATTAAGTTAACTTTTATTTGGTAATAAAGCTTTCATTTGGTAATAAAGCTTATGTTCGACATTCCTTCCTGATTAGCTGTATCTCAGTTTCGATGGAACGTCAAACCAAAATTTTCACCACTGTCATTTTATTTAGCAATACAGGTTACACAATTGGCATTTAATGTGAGTTTTTAGGGTTAGCATCTCAGTGTAGAAAATACACAATTTTTGGTTTCTGATAACAAATAATCGTTATGAGAAAAGGCGAGTAAAGCAAATTTTACAAGTTGGTTTTCTTTTATGCTCATGTTATTGCTTCACTGCAGGGAATTGAAGCCAGTTTTGTAAAGTTTGTCATATATATTGGCAGGATACAAAATAAAACATGATCTTCAATTGAAATCTTAAAAGTAGAAAGTAGGCAACGCTTCTTTTTTTCTACTCGAGCCTGTTTTAAAAACACACTCTGTCCAAAGATATAATAATGAAATTGTTCGTTAAATAATGCCACAGTAATCCTGGCCGAAAAAAGGTGGCCAAACAAAGAGAAATTTGGTCTGTCCCACAAAGTTTCTGACTAATAGAATAGTGTCCGTTAGGTTTCTCATACTTTCTGCTCTTCATTCCATTCACCAGACAAAAAAAATAACTGCGACAAACCTTCCTACCGGTTGGTTAAGCAAACAAACAATTCAACAAAAACTTGCAGTTAAGCGAACAAATCTACTGTTTTTTACTGTCCAAAAAGGATGGCAAGAATACGCAAAAATGTTTCTCAATAAGTGGCAACGGAGTTATCGTTCACACTATACAAATGCAGCTTTGAAGAATCCCTACTAGCTAGTAAGTAAGGATTTTAAGGACTCGAAAATGTTTTAAATGATAAATAAATTAAAACAATTATAGAATTCGGCTCTCGTATGAAGTGAAGAGCCGATGTGGATCTCATTCAAACGGTTTTGCAAGGGGACGATAACTAATTCAGACTTTTAAATTAAATTTTCAATTTTTTTCACAGATCAGGACATCAAACGGAGACCAAGGTATGAAAGGAGTTCTCTTTTATCGTCAATCATGGTGTTGACGAAAAATACCACAGTAAACTATCTCTAAATACCGATACCTTGGGGACCGGCACCAAGTGTCCGACTTAGAAAGATGTCCATCTTATAGAGGGTCAAATAAAGGGAGTAAAGAAAGGCAGGGACCAACTCTAGGTGTCCATTTTACTCAGGTGTCCGTCTAATAGAGGTGTCCGTTACGAGTGAGTCAGCTGTACAAAATACCTTTTTATCACCTGGGTAGGATGGAGAGGGATCAATGGGAAGGCGGATAGAGACTGAGTGGAAGTAAAAAAAGAAGGACTCTTGGGGGCACATAATAGGCCATTGCCGAGTTCCCCAGGGCCTCTGTATCAAAACGAGGTTAAAAGCTCAGCCTTTGATATGGAAATGATTTTTTTTTCCCTTGCAAGCAAAACTCATTTTCACAGGAAAGGTTTGTGCACTTGGCCTCATTTTGAAAGTGAGGGTTTTTGGGACTTGGAAGTGGCCTATTCGGTGTGTGAAGGAAATAAGATAGAGAGTTGCCTCACATGCACGTTCCTGAGTGGATCCTACAAAAGACTGCCATGCACGCTGTTAACTGTCTTCGCTTTCTGAATTTGATTAGAGTGCCAACAACCTCTGGGAATGGAAAATGGGGCCATTGCCGACGGTCAGATCACTGCGTCATCCTTCTATAGCTACCACCACGCACCCCAGGCAGGCAGACTGCGCTACAAGCACCTTTCACAACCTAGACTAGCTGGATGGGTTGCTTATCATGGCGATTTAAATCCATGGCTTCAGATTGATCTTGGTCTTCAGTATAACGTCACACGCGTGGCAACTCAGGGAAGGAGGGCATATCCTCAATGGGTTACTAGATACAGTCTGAATTACAGTGATGATGGAAGCATTTTTCAAAGCTATATGGACCAGCAAGGACAGAGAAAGGTAAAAAAAGTAGCATACATGAAATAGATCCCTTATTCCCATACGCATTTACAGGAAATTATGAACAAAATTTCTGAACAGGAAGTTAACTCGCTGAGGGGTAAAAAATAGTTTAACTCATGACCAGCACAAAACCCTGTGGTCAGTGTCATTATTTGTTCTACTATCAACTTTGTCTCTCTCTGGGTACCTGCGGACGTCGTTTTCTTGCGCGGTTTTTATCAAAACGTCGTTTTTACTACGAAATCGTCACATATCAAGAAGTGTTTTCCGAGGTAACGTTTCTAGCGAGTTTGAGCAACCACGACGTTGACAGTGCAGCGACGTGAATTTTGGCAGATTTTTTTGCCTTCGTCAAACATGATCCAGAGATGGCAAAGCGATCGTCGCTTTAATCACTTTAATGACTTCGATTTAGTCAAAAAAAACCATTCAGTCTCAACATCAGTATCGGCATCGATATCAGAGTCAGCATTAAAGACAATACATAATAATCCGTATTAACATCGTCATGAGTATCGTTTTGGCATCGCTTTGACTCAGCATCACCGTCAGGGCATCTTTGATTACTGATATTGACAGCAATGCTAGTGTCAATGCTGGTACTGATACTGAATCTGATAACGAAACACTGGTGTTAATTCTGGGTGATATTGACTGCTACTGACACTAGCGCTGATGCTGATCTCAGTAAAATCCTATTCTGAAGACGTTTATTTGATGAGAGACGTTTTGTTGAAACACTTTGTGTGTTTGCTTTACTGCTGTTACGTTTATTGTACCTTGTGAGAAAAATCGAAGCACTTTGGCAATTCTGAATCATTCTTGTCAGAATTTTTTATTCTAGAAAAACTTAAGTCCATTAGGTCGAGACATATAATTGAAAAGGGCTTCTCTTGTGTATTTCGGTATCAGGTAAAAATTTCGAATTATGATAAATATTCGCGAGAAAAAAGAAAAGGATGCCAAAATTTAACAGATGTTGAATTATTTCGTTAAATATTTGAAATCAGTGTTTGAATCGCTCTATATTACAGGTTAAGCTTTAAGAGACAATTTTTCGCTGATTTTATTTCAGGAATTTGACGGGAACTTTGACGTAAACACTGTTGTCTATCATGAACTAGCCCCACCAATTTTGGCGCGTTATATCCGTTTTCTCCCACTGGCTTTTTATGGCGCGAGAGTTCTCAGGGTGGAGATTTATGGTGTAAAAGAAGGTAATGAAGAGGTTTTTATCTGAAAATTCGTACTGGCACCTTTTACATTTTGCAAGAAAAGTAGATGGTGCAAGAGTTGAAAATATTATACAAAGCGAGAAAAATACAATGAGGACATCAGTTATTTCGTCTTACATCACTAACTGGCCGCTATGGAGAAGTTTTCACGCAGTTTGGACGTTTCCAATGATCCATCCCTTTATGGCAGACATTTTTTTGGACTTAGTATTTGTACGCCTCCTGATTATTTTAATTCTTTCTTTGTCTTTTTTGGTCTTTAGGAGGAGAGAAACCACTCGGAATGGAAAGCGGTGAAATTTCAAATGGTAACATCACGGCATCTTCCTATTGGGCTGTGCACCATGAACCCTATTTGGCCAGACTCCATCTTCAACCAAGGTGGGTAGAAGCTCGGGGCTGGGCATCTGGCACTAATGACGTTAACCAATGGCTTCAAGTTGATCTGGGCATCAAATATGACGTAACACGTGTGGCAACACAAGGAAGACCGGAATATCCTCAATGGGTTAAAAAATACAGCCTGCTGTACAGTGACGACGGAGTCACTTTTCATAACTACATGAACGAGCAAGGACAGACAAAGGTAAATATTCTAGACTTTCCAAGTGAACTGATATTTTCATTATTATTTTTTGTGTACACAACACAACAAGTGTACACAACCCTTCATTAAGGTGCCTGCGTGATGCAAGTAAGTCAGTGTGTTGCTTTGCTTTAGAGTTGCAAAGTCCTGTGGCTATCCCAAAACCTGCGTCCTGCTCGCCGTGTGAGTCGCCCATAGCTCAGTGGTTAGAGAGTCCTACCGGCATCTTGAAGGTCGTGGGATCGAGGTCCTGCCGGGATTTCGGATTTTTCTTTTGGAGCATTTCTTAGTTGTACTTAATATCTAGTCTTATTCTTATTCGTCTTCTTATTTTTATTATAATTATTATTCCTAGTGCTAGTGCTATAACTTGATTCTTGTGAAAATGAAATGATCAGCATGTCACGAGCGTGGCACAAAGAAAACATCTGAGTCCCCAACAGGATTGGAACCTACGACCTCCCAAACACCTTGCGGGCCCTCTATCTACTTGAGCTACGGAGAACTCATGGAGAGCGAGGCCATATACTAGGTTCATATTTGACTCGCGTCCCGCATACTGCTAGGATCAGCAATGTCTTTTTTTTTTTAGGAATTTACTGCCAATACCGATATGAACACGATTGTTTCTCACGAACTTATCCCACCTATCAAGGCTCGATTTATCCGCTTCCAGCCACTGGTTTGGCACGGTCACATTACTATGAGGGTGGAACTTTATGGTTGTACTCAAGGTATAAAAAGTGTTCTCTATTTTAGAAATATAACATTCTCTTATCTGTATATCACATATCATAAATATAGCCAGATTTGAGAAAACGCACCTCCCGAAATTTGAAGCTAGTTAAGTGAAAAAAGGCCAATTAAAAGCAGTTTTTTTTCGTCTGAAAGACCCGAAAATCACACTAGTGGAAGGAAATGAGGTACGGTAACTTTATATATTTTATGGCGCCACCGGTTACTCCATGATGTTTTTACACAGGAATGTCATTAACTTGCGCAGGAACAAATTGGCGTTGATGACCTTAGCAATTTCTCTTTGTCCAATAAATTTGAGTTATTTTAGTTATGTGCGTCATACCCTTATTTGGGTATGATAACGTCAAAGTTGACTTTTCATTGGTGGATTAAAACTAAGGAACGCATTCATTGGTTGATTCATGTTGTAGAAGAAATAAGCCCTAACTCGCCTGTAACTTAAAATCACGGGTCGTGACGTTATTATACAAGTTCAATGTCCTGTCGCCTTTATTGTTCATTGCAGAAAACAAATTGTTCCAGTTCCGGTTCACTGATTGGCTTATCCCTACCGTTTCGCTTGTCCACAATTCGCCAAATTTCTATTGTTTTCTCTTTCATCCCAATAGTTTCTCTTTTGACCCTGCAGTTGTATTTCTGACTTTAAAAAAAACTGAAAAAAAAAAAACTGTCTTAGGCCGCGGGTCACTATAAAGACTTGACAGAAACCGGAAACCGCGCTAGAAAAGTCTCTGGCACCCAGGGTAGCCCAAGGCGTTAAAGTCCCACAACCATTTGCCTTCCTTGCGATTTAATAGGCATATGACAATCTGCGGTAAGATGGTTGATGACATATCTGGTCACAAGCAATTCGATGTTGCGTCTCTACGCAAGCTACGTTACACCACGAAAAACTTGTAGAAATTTATAGTTCGTCCATTTATTTTAGCGTGTCTCTTAAAAGATATATATGTTATTCACCGGCTGGGAAGTCCGTATTGGGAGAAACTGAGCCCGAGGTTTTTTTCCTACTGAGATTTAAAAGTTTCAGGAAAATTTTACATCAGCCTCCGACCTATGTGTGTTGAAGAAGGGCGCGTTCGTGTTGATGTTACTCAAAGCGCGCGTTCGATTGCAAACCAAAACAAAGCATTACAACATGATTTTTAACTTGCCATTTATATTATCACAATTTTAGAATAAAGAAAGGTTTTTGTGTCTTGGTAGACAATTCATAATCTGAGTGTCAAACAAGGATAAATTAAAAGAATTGACAAACTTAAAAGCCACAGGAAAGAAAATTACCGGTTTTGCTCATTCACAAACAACAAACAAACTTGTGAATGAAGCTGCCAACGATTCCGCCCGGGTTAGCGGGCAAGATCGTAAAAAACCGCCCTCTCTCAGAACTAATCAGATTGCCGGATTTGGAGGATTCCGCCCTCTCACAAGCTTAGAAAAAAATAAAATGCATCGTGAAGAAATTTACAGTTAAGAGCTTAAAATATTTGCTTCTTCGTCTTAATATTCTAGAATGCCAAAGACCCCTTGGTGTGGCGAATGGTGCAATAACTGAACTACAAATCACGGCCTCAACAGAATATAATAGCGATTTGGCCCCTATGTTTGGCAGATTGTTTTACCTGGGTGGGTGGTCAACGGCTGTGAATGATGTTAGTGAATGGTTGCAGATTGATCTGGGCCAAAAGAATGTAAAAGTAATTGGTGCTGCTACACAAGGAAGACACAACTCAGGGCAGTGGGTTACCACGTACAAGCTGCAGTATAGTGATAATGGAGTGAACTTTATTTACTACAAGGAGGAAGGACAAACATCTGATAAGGTAAAAAAACTTGTAAAACATATTACTTGCAAACAAGGTTCAAGATTCAAGTTAATTAGGGTTAAAGCTCGATGATTTGGTTACTGTGTTACACAGATTGACCCAGTAGCAAAGGCCAACTATGCCCTGGCCGTTAAGAGCTGCAGAAATTTTGCGCCACGTTATTATGTGTAGTGATGAGGCGATGACAAATTTCACTCTACATAGAATTGTCCCGGTTTTATAAGTCAAGAAAGGAATGTAAACGATGAGATGCCACAACGCCTCCGTGGACTGTGATCTGGGAGAGGGGCAGGATTTCTTTCAATCTATTTTTCTCTTTTTTGTTAGTATAGGTTTTCTCTGGAAACAGTGACGATTTCACGACAGTTTTCCATGAACTGATCCCTACGATCCGCACACGTTTCATTCGTTTTCGGCCAATGACTTGGAATTATCATATCTCAATGAGGGTGGAACTTTATGGCTGCTTACTAGGCAAGTGACGATATTCTTTTTGATTATAGTACACATTTAACCTTTGTAGCAAATTCTAAGGAGGATCAAACATTACTTCTGAGCCTGGCGGGTGGAAATTGTATAATGTATTAGATTCCGGTACGACCGCCTTGTGAAGACCTACGAGACAAAACACTGTGTTTCAAAGCCTCTTCTTGTTTTAACTAACATTACAAGAAATACAAGGACATCTTATCCCTCATCTCATAGGTGTCCAAAAAGGGCACAAAAAATAGATCCAAGCTTCCGTATGGCTTTGTGAGTTGCTTTTATTTTGAATGGTAGAGCAACGCTACTGTTGGGAGACGATAACATGAGAACAAAAATAAGCAGTTGAAAAGCGTTGAGTTCATTCCATTCATTTCCCTGTTTTCGTGTGATATGTTTTCCCCCACCTGGGAAACACGTATCCCTAGTGATGTGGGGTGGTGTATGTAGGTAAAGACCGCAGATTGCCAGTTTGTGGCTAGCATGATTCAAAAGGTCCCCGTGCGCCAAAAGCCTGGTTAAACTAAGGTTAACCAGGGTGCAAGCCTGGTTCAACCAACACGGGTTTTCAGTGGTTGTCAAACCAGGCTTACCAGGATTTACCATTTGTGCAAGAAGCCTGGTTAAATTTACCAAGGTATTCCTGCTAAGCTGGCAAGCCTGGTAATTCCCAGAAAAGGAAACTAGGCTTCACTATGAAACAGGTTACCCTGGTCAACCAGGGCTTTCCTGGTTAGCCTGATTTATGATTAAAAAAAATCAGTAAATTAGGCTCAGCCAGTTTTATGAAGTACTGAATTAATCGGGTTTTAAACAGGCTTAAGCTAACTGAGCAAAAAGCCTGGTTAACCATCGAGGGTAATCTTGGTAAATCTGGTAAATCCTGGTTCTCAGCAGATCTTTCAAAATAGCTATACCAGGCTTAAACGGAATATAAACCAAGCCTGGTTATCTACTGTGCATTCCTTGTAACCCTAATTAGGAGCCAGTTTTTTTCCCTTGAACCACGAAAACTGGGCTTTAAATTATAAGTTAGGTCATTATACAAAAAAAAATTAAAAACGGAAAGCTATGTTATGGGACTCGAATCATAACCTCACAGTTATGAAAAAGAACCGGCCAGCAAGTAGTATCCCCCATTCAAGCTACAATAATAATTTTCAAAATTAATTTCTCTATTGAAAAGGGTATTCTTCCCATTGAGTTTGGACAATCAAAGAAATATAAAAAGAAATAGAAAATATAAAAATAGATTTTTTTTCAATATGCATGGTGCTGAAAATTGCTACCTTTTTTGTGTAGCATTTTTTTCGATGTTATTATTAATAGTAGATTGCATTTTTGCCCATTCTAGAATGCCAAAATGCTCTTGGCATGGAAAACGGCTTAATTTCTGACGCACAGCTTAGCGCTTCCTCACGATGGAATGACTTCGAAGGCGCCGACCGTGGCAGGTTGCATCTTACGGATGGAAAACGACTCTATTGTTGTAAGGTATATAAGGTTTTGACAGTTGTAATGTATTCATCTCAGCTCTCGAACTATCAAATTTTAAAATGCCGTCCGATGATGATCTCGCGAAGCATTTCTGAGCTCAAAGACGAGTTTCGATCTGGTTTATCTTCTTTAAAGAGAGAACTTGCACAAGGACACGACGCTGCGCTGAAGAAGCTCAAGACAGCTACTGCTAATGTTCCGAAGTTTTAAAGTATTCATCTCAGTTCTCGAACTATCAAATTTTAAAATGCCGTCCGATGATGATCTCGCGAAACATTTCCGAGCTCAAAGACGAGTTTCGATCTGGTTTATCTTCTTTAAAGAGAGAACTTGCACAAGGACACGACGCTGCGCTGAAGAAGCTCAAGACAGCTACTGCTAATGTTCCGAAGTTTTAAAAGAAAGGCAACGAGAAAGCAGTTCCTACTTAATTCTGAAGTTCTTGAACACGTCCAGTCTGCTTCGACCGCTTAATTTCTGACGCACAGCTTAGCGCTTCCTCACGATGGAATGACTTCGAAGGCGCCGACCGTGGCAGGTTGCATCTTACGGAAGTATGGGATCCACATCTCAGGTCAGGCGCTTGGATAGCCAAAACCAATGACATAAATCAGTGGCTCCAGATTGATGTCTTGGGTCTCAATAGGAAGTACGTGAGAGTGACACGTGTGGCAACTCAAGGAAGAGATTCTACTGCTTATGGCGGGGTACAATGTGTAAAAACGTACAAGCTGCAGTACAGTAACGATGGAGTAAATTTCCAGTACTACAAAGAAAATGGACAAACCACTGCTAAGGTAATCCCCTATCCGGGGGGGAAGTACTTCCTTATATTTTTCTTAGAGGTATGTGCCGCCTTAAAGGGTCTGATTTTTGCCCCGTTTGGGTTTGAAAACGGGTATACTCGCTTTGCCTAGTTTGGTCTGGTCTGAATTCGGGTATGGTTTTCGAGGGAATACGAGAATGCTTGAACGTATTTATCGTTTCAATTCCATGTTAATCATAAAGAAAAAGTAATATGCAAATTCGACGAGGATTTTAAGAAATCTTTTAGTTGGTCTTCTAATCCAAGTAATGATAACATAATTCCTGCCTACGCCTGGTCTGAAGACGGTTATAGATCTTAGACACCAGGTCTCAAAACGGCATGGAAAATGAAAAGTTTTTTTTTATCTGAAATAGGGTCAGGATTTGGAGAACCGGGCGGGGGACCCTCACTACGAATTCCCAGGAATACCCCCCCGGGTCCTCTATGTTGGTAAGGGGATGAAATTGCAAGTAATACTTGCTCATAGGAGTCCCTAAAAGTATCGAACAACCTAAGCTCAAATTAAAAATCCTCCCAGGAGTTTTCCAAAGCCAGTATTTCTTGTATCGAACGCCCACCTTTACTACTCAGGAAGACATACAAAGGCGACAAAAACATACCATTACGTCACAGACCTCTCAAAAGGTTTGGTTTAAATTAAAAAATCCTCCCAACTGGAATTATTTGATTGCATGTCTAATCGTTACTACGATATATCTCTCTCTAATTAGGAATTTCAAGGAAACGATGATAATTATACTGTAATTCATCACCACCTTAATCCACCAATCACTGAACGCCATATCCGTTTTCGGCCACTGACTTGGAATGTTCACATATCAATGAGAGTAGAGATCTATGGATGTACTCAAGGTAACTTAAACACGTACTACTTAACTTCGCAGACTTGAGTTCATAACTAGGAAAATGAACTGTTGTTCATATCTTTCAAGACGTAGCTAGACAAACGCTATTAACTGTGAAAGTCCTTTAAGAAGATGTAGATCAAGTAGATGTAAGTATTCTATTTTGTCATCGCGTTATACTAAGACCCTGATTTGCCAATAGGAGTTCTTACAAACCTAGAAAACAACCCAAAGCTACATTTATTGAAGGACTTCCTCCTCCTGCTAAAATTACTGATTGCGCACTTCTATTGCCCCTAATTCTGATAACCTTTGAAATTATGATTTAGACGCAAACACGCACAAAATAAAACAAACCAATACAAAATCTGGCTGTCACACAGGTCACTTTAGAAGTTTGTTGGTGTCTCTGTTTAGATTAAAACCCACCAAGAAATCATACACACTGTTGGGTGAAATATCAATAAAAATAACCTGTTATAGTAAATTTTTTAAAAAATTACTCTGCTGTTGTTAGAATGTGCTGCTCCAGCCATTGGAATAGAGACGGGAAGCATTCTTAATTCTCAAATGACCGCTACAACCGGAAATGGGTCACTGGCTCGGTTACATGGACGGTTTGCTTGGTGCCCATTAATAGACGGTTATGGCGAATACATACAGGTATAAAAAGATCTGTTTATACCACGTAGTCTGCTTCTCTTTTAAACCTTTATTTACAGGTTTCTACAACCTGCATGTTGTCATCAAAAAGTTGGGCGTGTTAATGTTTGGGCCCTTGTATTAATCGTTGCCTATGTTGCAGTCGTCACCAAATATCGTCCACGTATGCCGATTAGCAATTGAAAAGGCAAAAAGCCATTGGATACAATGATGAAATGTTCAAATTTCAAATTCTTTTAAGAGGTCATGGCCTATATTATCAGTCACATTTTCCTCATACTTGGAAATTTTAAAGAAATTTATTTAATGATTTTATCAAAAGGGAAACAAATCATGAACGGGTGTTAGTCACTTGTCGACAACACAAGTGTTTAATCTGACCCAATTTTAGCTAACTGTATTCCCGTTACCATGCTGGCTATAGAAACCCAGCCGCAAACAGTAAGATTTGATGTATAGTGGTAGTCAGAGTAATAAATTTAAGTAAAACTGAAACTATTTGTACCTCGGCAGGATTAGCTCAGTCGGTAGAGCGCTTGACTGCAGAGCGGGGGCTCGCGGGTTCAATTCCCGGGGTCGGACCAATACTCGGGGTCTTAAAATAACTGAAAAATGAAGTTACTACCTTTGCCTTGCAAATGGCTAGACCTTCGCGTGGCTCGGATGAGGAGACGTTAATACAGTGTCCACAAATAGCACTTCCATGCTAAATACATTGACACTCAAATAAAGTGCTTTTTTTTATTTTCAAATGTGTTTTAAAGGTTTTGAAATAATACGATAAGATTGCAACATGGCCTCTTTAAGTTAACAAATATATTCCGCTAACTATCGTATTTTCAGCAATCGTCTTGGTGTCACCTGTGTTATGAAACACATATATATGTATAACCACTTCACAACAGAAATGCCCCTAAACGGCTTCAAATTTTCCCTTTTAACTACCACATTTGTGCATGGTCTTACATTGTTTAAGATATAAAACAATTAAAAAAACATATTGGATTATAATAAATAATTTCTTGATTGTTTGATTCCCTCAGATTGATCTTGGTCGACTGTATCGAGTGTCTGCTGTAGCAACGCAAGGAAATCCAGCAGGAAATAAGTATTACTTGAAAGAATACAAACTAGGATGGTCCAATGATCAAACAACATGGGAAAAAAGTGTCGAGGTATGAAATTTTTGACCATTGCATCGATGTCAGCACCATCCATCAGAGCGAGTTTACCAAGTCTATGATCATCGTTATTGTCTGAATTTCACAGGTCACTGCAGGAAATATTAACTGTTATGACGTTGTCAAGAACTCCGTTCCAGCAATTTACGCTCGATATATTCGCCTCTACCCATTAACATGGTACGTCAGAGGATGTGTAAGAATGGAGCTTTATGGGGAACCTTGGCCAGAAGGTGATCAATCATGGATATAATTTATGTTATTATCCCAAGGTGTTAGTTGTACAGAAAACACACCTAGTCCACCTCAAAAGATCAAGTCATCTGAATCGTTGTTGCATCGTTGGATGCCTCTCTATTTTCGTCAAAAGCCTTGACGGACAACCTAAAAGCTAAAACCAATAGTAGTAAAGGACGCAGCGGATACTCCTTTTTTTTTGTGTTGGAGAAAAGGACAAACAGGCCATATTATTCGGGCAGTTCAGGCATGCTTAGAATGTCGAGGACTCAAGTGCTACTGTCAGCAGAATATGGCAACCAATAAAAAAGCAGGACATTCACGACCTTGCAATAAAGAAACTATCAAACAGTTTAAATTTCCTGAAAATAGCTCATGATGTCCCTTATCTTCTTAATGAGATTCCACTGCATTTTATTTATGATATAAAGACAAAACGCTATCAAGTCAGCGGAGTTAGTATAGTCCACCGCAATTTAATGAGATTCCACCGTAATAAAACGAAGTAATCGGTGCACCCTATACTACTACCAATCTTGTTCAACTTGTTTATTCTTAACAAATAGGCGACTTTCTAGATTTCACAAACACAGACCGTCTATAAATATTTAAGAAAATTCTAACGATTGCATTTGATTTTTATAGTTCCAGCAGCATTAGTTTCTCCCATTGCTCCTGATAAGACTCTGACCGGTCATGTGATCTCTTCTGTGAATAAAACTTACGCCATGGAATGCTTTAAAATGTGCCTGGGAACCTCATTGTGCAAGTCTTTCAATTACAACGGGCAGTTGAAGAAGTGCGAAGTCAGCAGTTCCAATGCAGAAGTACACGAAATGACAGATCAGGAAAGATTCTGCTATTACGAACCCACGTCTCACAAGATTATTTCTGTTTGAAACATGGATCTGTTGAGAGTATGCATTTCCCTTGAACTGTATATAGTTGTTTATTTAACAAAAAAAGCTTTCAAGAAAATTCACATGACTGAAAGTGGCTGGCACGGCTTATAGATTGTTGGTGTAAAATACAATTGCAAAGGTTATGATGATGTACTGGGTGCTATGAACATTATCTCTATTTATAAAAAATATTAGCAAATTATGAGCTCAAAGAGTACAGCCGAACGGTATGACTTCCTAGAAATGTTTGTACATTAGGCACATAGTTCTGAACATGTTTATGAGTTTACTTCAGAGGAGTAGCCGGGCGGTGGAAGAAAATTTCGACCACAATCTGGTTTACCCTGCTTCATATAGGGTATCTTTATGAAAAGGTTGAAAGTCTTCAACACAGCAAAAATCAAGCGGAATCTGAGAGGGTTAGGACTTTTCAATGCGAAAGTTAAAAACAAATTCCAAAACTTAAGTCTTAATTATCGAGGTTCTCATTTCTCATTTGCACTAGACCTTAGCGAAATGCGAAGTTTACAGTTTTAAACGCCATTTAAAGCTCTCAATGAACCCCTTAATAGAGATTAAGACCCTGTATTCACTGTAATTCAGATGGTGGCATGCAATGATGATCGCATGTTCTCAGAAAAGTTATATTACAGTTACAATAACCTTATAGAGCTTACGGAGATAAAAAAGTTAATAAGCTCATTAAACATGTTCTTTCTCAACATTTTTTGCCATTCTCCCGCCTTTTCAATTTTATCCTAAGAATTGAGCTGCGCCCTCCTGGTTTCGAGGCGCCTTTCCATGTTGCAACTTGCAAACCTGGGCCCAGCGGTAAAGAGGAAGAAGACTAGGACCAAAGGTGGTGCATGTAGTGGTGAGAACACTCGCTATCACTGCAGTGACACTATCTGGATTGAAGGCAGTGTCCTTGCCAGCGATTTTTATTTATGTCAATGCAATTTCTTTGTCTCGATAACACGTACCGTAAATGATCTAATAAACGCCAAGGGGCGTTTAATAGATGGGAGGCGTTTAAAAGAGAGAGGCGTTTATTCTCGTAACTTATTTTAACGAACTCAACCTAACTGTATACAGTATGCTTTCGGCTGAAGACGTTTTTGTGTTAACAGAATCTCGACTGCGGGCTGACGGCTTATCTAGAAATTGAACATGACATGATACACAAACTGATGTTAATAAAGCAATGAAATTAATAAAGTGATTGATTTTGCTCTATTTCGCCATTTCCTAGTATTTGGGGGCAATTTTCAAGGGGGGCGTTAATTAGACATGGGGCGTTTATTAGAGAGGGGCGTTTAATACTAACTTAACAGCGTCAGGGGGGCGTTTATTAGATAAGAGGTGTTTATTTGAGAGTGGGCGTTTATTAGATCGTTTACGGTAACTTTAGATTGTTGTTCAGTCGGTCATAAGCGTCGATGAGCTCTGCGTCGATGTTTTTTCGCGTAGATTCTATTTCTCTTGTTTTGCAGTTTGATGTGATTATATAAACTAAAGGCGACTTGACAGAGTTATTACAGAAGATTCGAAATGTTTCTGCGCACGAAAAGTTGCTGTTGCGTCAGTCTCTGTCGTGAAGAATAATTTTCCATTTAAAATATCTTGTTTTTTCCTGTTGGCAATTAATCTACACCACCATGGTGCCTGAATCGAAAATTAAAATTAAAATTAACAAACAAATGTTTGATTGTTTAAATTCTAGCATATTCCTTCTTCTATGGTGGAAGATGGCAAAACTAAGTTAAGTTCTTTTATAACCATGGTTTCCTGTTGTTTGTCTTGAATTTTTCTGAGCCGATATCTCTGAGCGACCAAAGCTTCCATAAGCAAGTACCTGCAATGCTGATAGAAAATACATTGATGTCAGAGGTACCTGCCTGCCTAATTTTTATATTTCAGGTAAGTTTGAGTAAATTTTTGGATGCATGCGTAATGAAACTTGTCGTCCATGTTTGAAAGAACGTTAAAACAGAATGATGAGAAATAACATTTCGTTAATTTTTCAAGACGATTTTGAAACGGCTCTTCTAAAAAGTAATGCATAATTTTAATTTTTTTGTCAACAATAGCGTGCAGAAAACACTGAGATTGAAGAGAAAGAAAGGACAATTATTATCAATCATTACTTCACTACCACATTGAGCTGGAAAACCACAAACCGTAACACATAAGTCAGGGCACTTTATTGAAGAGTGATGCAGTAGGTGGGCGTCAACTCTGTATAAACCTTAATACCTGAGTTTAAAACATTCCACGCCACAGACGAAATATTAAGGCAGAAAAAATGTGGGTTTCATGACAAAATCAAGAGGTAGAAGTTAACAAAAGAAACTTTTTTTATACCATGCGCAACAAGGCAAAAATAATTTATATTAATCTTAGATAAAGCATTTTTGGCTTTCAAGATACAGGCAAATCATGCATCTGACATGCAATCTTGTTAACTCTTCAAAATTCATTCCCTTCGCCAAGTGCAAATATAGTATAAAGCAAAGTGAAATCATCTAGGATTGCTTCATTATTTTATATGGTGCACAACTGTGAAACAGTGTAAGTTGGAAATGACGGAAAGTATACTATAAAACATATTGGTCAAAGAAAGGTTTTCAAGGATTCTTGCATGGTGATGTAGTATAGAGCAACTTAAGCAAAAAGTTATCTAATCAGAAGTTGAAATTTTTGCTTATCAGCTTATGATAGTCAAATGAAAAATTTGTTTCGAAAAATATTAAACAACTTTGCAAATAGCACTCAAAGCAAAACAATCAACTTTTCCCAACTATGCTAAGGTTAAATTGTAAATTATTTATGATGAAGACTCAATTAAACATTCCTTACAAAATGTGTGACTGACGACCTCTCTCAAGTAATTGACTTTTTTGTAAAAATGAGGACATTACTTACTGACTAAAGGACGTTTACTTAATGTAATTCAGTTGTTATTTTAATAAAAGAAAAACAAACAGATTACAGAAACGCAGAGTTATTTAGAATTTACAATATTGTCGGTTATTAGATCTCGTTGTAAAGCTCGACCATGTGGAAGCTTTTTATAAGATTCAAAAATTGAAATCATTTTTCATCGTGTTTTACAGATCGTGCTGTCAAAAGGCGAAAGAGGTAAATAAGACTTGTAATTTATGTTAACAAATCATTTTATTGTTAACAAACAAGAATACAACATCATTAGTCTTGGCCAATTAATGTCCAATGCATGGAGTGTGTCAAAAGGGGAAGGCATCCTGACGTATGGGGTTTGGTTCACGGGAAAGGAAGGTGACAGGCAGTTAATTTGGTGTCCAGTAGATCTATACAAATTGATGTTTTTAAATACATATATTTCAGCAAGGAACCTACTTAAACTAAGGTCCTTTTCTTAAATTTCATTAGAGTGTCAACAAGCTCTGGGAATGGAGAATGGTGCAATTGCCGATGGTCAAATTACTGCGTCTACAATTTGGGACAGTTATTTTGTAGCCCATACAGCCAGGCTACACCTTAAGCCATTTTTATCGTCATCTAGAATAGGCGCATGGGTTGCGGGCACAAACTATGGCGATTTAAGTCCGTGGCTCCAGGTTGATCTGGGTGTTCAGTTTAACATCACACGCGTAGCAACTCAAGGAAGACAGGAATACCCTCAATGGGTTACTAGCTACAATCTCCAAAAAAGTGACGATGGAGTCACGTTTGACTACTACATGGACCAGCAAGGACAAAGAAAGGTTCGATTCTTAAATATTGATAAAATAATGCTTAAGAAACAATTTTTTTCTAAAAATTCTCATTACTAACGACGACTTAATTAATTGAATTAGAAAAAAGATATTTTTTATTTGTGGAGATAACAGAGAGATTTAGAATGACATTTACTGCAAGCGAGAGTAAGATTCAAGTTGTCAATTTCTCAAATTTAGCAATGAGAAGGTAAAAGCTATCCAAAATCATTATTTGATGAACCTGGCATGGTACTCTTACTTTTTCTGAGTTGATATAACCAGTAATAAAAGAAAAAGGAAAGGGGAAACTTAGTCACTTGATACAAATTTTCGTCTGCCGTTTGCCCTAAACGAGATTTTAAATCCCTCCGTTACCACAATCCGTACCCCTGATTCTACCCATAACGATATCAGGCTGAAGATGAGGTGAGAAACAGTTTGATTTATGTCCATTTCAGGAATTTAGCGGGAACTCAGATAAAAACTCAGTTATTTGGCATAGACTTGACCCATCTATTTTGGCGCGTTACATCCGTTTTCTCCCATTGTCTTGGCATGGTGATATAGCCCTGAGGGTGGAGCTTTATGGCATAACAGAAGGTATGTAGAGGCTTCTGTCTTCAAATAAAAGCCGGGCTGAGACCTTCGACTGACTGAGGCTATAGTCGCACTATGCCGGATAGCTTTTGCGCATGCTCGAAACTTATACCAGATACTAGGGCTTCTGTTCACACGTATGAACGGCGATTTCAGCGCAATTTCGGCCAGACTGCAAAACAGTCGGTATTTTCTCAAGATCAGTAAAGAAATCAGGAAAACGTGGCGTAAGCGTCTTACGGGCGTGAAGCGTCTCTCCCCAGTCTCGCTCTCTGTTTTCAGCCTCGTTCCAGACCTTTTGTTTGACTGCTCGCGCGTCTTGAATACGCAAAAGTATGGACTGTTTTGTAGTCTAAATTTTGGGCGTAATTTCTGTAAAGAATTTTTGAGTGTGCCGCGCCGATCTCTAAATAGGTTGGGGAGTCAAAAATAGGTGTTCATATTATACTGGATAGTTGTCAGCACAAAAATGTGTCCGGTATACTGAGTGTGAACATAGATAGCCTTAATAACTGCCAATTTGATTAGCTATGTGTCTTTTTTGTCTTGTCATAAATCCAGTCAGTGAGGGTAATATTCTTCTTTGTTCACTTGAGGAATTTGTCCATAAGACATCTGTCTTGCTTCACTAGACTGTAGATATAGCTGAATATATAAGAGCGCATTCAGGAGTCTACTTTTTTGGCACTGAGGCTTTTCGTACCGAAACTAAGCTAATCGGTATAGTAGTGTAAACATTAGCCTAAGCAATAAAAGAAATCATTAATTTTTCAAAATGTTTTGCAGTTTCTGATTGCCTACAATCCCGGTTTATTGTTTATAAACAGCCTGCGCCTACCATATTTGGAAGATGCACGTAATAACCCAGCGATTCAATTTTAAATTTCTAGCAGCTTTGTTTCCAGGCACTACCGTTATGAAGATCTTTCTGTTTATGCCTGAGTAAACTAAAAAATGCGAAACAAATTCCAGAATGAAATTCCAGAATGCACTAAAAGGCAAATGTTTGAATACAACTAGAAGAATGCAAGGTTGTTAAGAACTTAGAAATATTATAAATAAATAATAAAACAATTATTGCATACGGCTTTCGTATAATGCGAAGCATTCGGTTGGGCGGAAACATGTTCACGTCATACTCCGCCTCATTCAATAATTGTTAATTAACTTCACCATGAAGGGGTCGTTTCTACTTAAATATACTTGAGGAAATGAAGATAAAAAGGACGTTCTCTATCAGTCACGTGCATTAAAAAATCTTTCAGCGCTCAAAACTTTTTCTACTTATCATGGGTATTGCTTTGCATTCTAATCGTTTAGATGGAGAATCGAGTCTTGGAATGGAAACTGGTGCAATTCCCGACGGACAAATAACGGCTTCTTCCTATTGGGGCCAATACCACGAGCCCTATTTAGCCAGACTGCACCTTCAAGAAGCTTGGAGCCAGTTCCTTGGCTCCTGGGCGGCAGGCTCGAATGATGTCAATCAGTGGCTTCAAATTGATCTAAGTATCGAACATAACATAACTCGTGTCGCAACACAGGGAAGGCAGGATGCAAATCAATGGGTTACCAAGTACAATTTGCATTACAGTGCTAATGGAGTTACATTTCAATACTATACGGACCAGTATGGACTCACAAAGGTAGCATTGCGTTCTTTCTTATCACTTCTAGCCAGAGTTCTTAAAGACAAATTGTCAGTGTCAGAAGTCCTCTGATCTGGTAAAATAGACGAATTTGAAATTCCTTTTCAGTTGCAATTGATCTATTTACCGCTCCAGATGCCACAAACAGATGCACAGAGACGTCAAATTATAATCCTGTTTGGACAACGTTTAAACTACCCAGCAGAGCAGAAACTTAGGATCGGTTATTTAAACGAAGTCTACTTTTCACGGTGGTTTATTAGGAAATATTTGAAAGGGTGGATTCAACCCCCCCTTTTTTTTTTTTTGATATTTTGTACTTATGTTTATAAAAAGGATCTATATAGCTGGCAAGTGTGGATTCGGCCATTAGGCCTTTAATTCTGACTTTTTTCGATCAGCCACTGCTTTGAACCTCCAGAACTCTTCCTAAGTGGGTTATGTTTAATTACGAATACAAATGGTCTACGCCGAGTTCTATCATGATAATGTTCACAATTTTAAACGGCGTTTCCATAAAAGAGTCAGTTCGGCAAACTGAAAATGTTTTAGAACGCCGTTTTGTTTAACACTAGCTAAACTCCGTTTAAATAACTCAGGCCCTAATATTGTTTAATTAATTGCAGTGGTCTCATAAAACAAAAGAAAAAAAGAAAAAGAAAGAAAAGTAAAAATAAATAATTAAGTAGTTATCCAAATACCATTGTAATGATGACTATAAAGTACGTTTCTAGGAATTTGCTGGAAACACGGATAAGAATACAGTGGTTTCTCATGAGCTAAGCCCGCCAATCACAGCACGGTTTATCCGTTTTGGGCCCCTGGAATGGTATAACCACATTTCCATGAGGGTGGAACTTTATGGATGTACTCAAGGTATCGATCTGCTTTAACCCTTTAAACCCTTTAAACCATGATATCAAATCACTTGCTGTCCCTATACTTTTTCAATACAAGTAGTAGGGAGAATTTGAATGTTGAAATATCAATAAGACTCCTCTTCCCTGATCATGTACTCATTTCTCTTGACCACTCTGTTTTCTAAGGCATTGATATTATAAGGAGAGAGGTCAGCAACAGATCAGCAATCCCTTGAAATGTCTGCAAAATGTTTCTCAGGCATCACTTAGTTCCTCTGTACCAGCGAATAAATTCACAACCTTCCCACTCTCCCTCGACCATACGCTAACTTACTCAGGCCGTAAAACAAAAGTAAATAACATCCTTCCGCTATAGGGCTCCAAAACGAATTTTCTTCCCACATTTCTGCCTTCCTGGTTAAGTCAAAATAAAGCCTCTTAAGGAAAAAAAATGATTATTCCGTGGAATGAGCACGATTATTTGCCAAAAATGTTATTTTGAGAAAATTGTTCATTAACCATTCTTTGTAAGATTTCTAAGAAAATGATTGACAGACGATTGCTATGGTGACGAGATCTGACGTGCATTTAAATGTAGGCATTAGAAAGAATTCATAGGCAGGAACTTCCTTGTCTGCTTACAATCTTAGATTGTCAACAACCTCTTGGTGTTGCAAACGGTGCTTTAACAGAGCTACAAATTTCTGCATCAACGGAATGGGACTTCGATCACTCAGCTAACATTGGCAGACTGTTTAAAACCTTTCGTGCTGGAGCATGGTCGGCAGGAATAAATGATGGTAATCAATGGATACAGTTGGATTTGGGCAGACGGCGTATAAAAGTAACACGTGTTGCAACACAAGGAAGGTATAATGGACAGTCGGTAACCACGTATAAGCTACAGTACAGTGAAAATACAGTCAACTTTTATTATTACAAGGAGCAAGGACAAACATCAGACAAGGTCGGTGATAATTCGAACCCTACTAAATTTCTGAACTCAAAAGGTAGTGCTTTTTTAATCCTATCAATCTTAATGTTTCGAAACTAAAGTGGCCCTATGTTGTTTTAATGTAATCACATGGTTGACCAAGGAGAAGTAGTTTTGAGCTGTGTTCTTCTCTTTTAATTTTTTCTCCCTTTTTACACTGACTGATGTAGGTTTTCTCTGGAAATAGTGACTCCAATACAGTAGTTTACCACGGGCTAAATCCTCCGATTTGGGCACGTTACATTCGCTTTCGACCAGTGACGTGGAATTATCATATATCGATCAGGGTGGAACTGTACGGCTGTGAACTAGGCAAGTGGCAAAATTCCTTTCGATTTACGAATAAATTACACGTAGAGTCCGATTCTTGTTGTTATTATTTTTTGTTTGCTAGTGTTTTTTCTTAAAGACACATCCATAGAAAAAAAATTGAAGATTCATATATGCTCGTTGTAAATAATTGTCTTTTTTTTTAGCGGCAAAGTCATTTTGGGGAAAGTTTGGTAATCCTGCTGTGTGTTTTTTACTTGAGAGACTCAGCTTCGTATGTATACTTCATACACATGGGGTAGTTTTGGCTAAGCCCCGGATTTCTTGTCCTCTGTAGTGTTGTATACTTTTCAAAAAAACCTTGAATCGTCGGGAATTTTTTATAATTTTCAGTAGTCTCAATAAGTTTGATGTAATTGGGTTTTAATTTTCAAAGCATATAAGAAAAAACAAAAAGCAAACTGCAGTGATAAACATGATGATATATATATTAAATGCATTTCTGGAGAGAAAGAAGACTTAAACTTGACGTTTCGTATGTTCCAACATACATCTTCAGAAGTAATAAACTGTTGAATTAACATAAAATAAAAAGAAGCAAAAGATAACATACCACGAAAATTTGCAGATAAAAGAAAACGTATGCAAATTACAGCAGTTAAGGTTTTTTTCCTGCTGTTAAACCATTTTTAATGATCATTGTAACTTGGAATGTTTCCTTAGCTGAAATTGTTTTTTTGGTATTGCCAATTAGGTCATGTTACTCTTTGTATCAGTCGTAAGCAACTGCCGATATTTACGTAATTATGATAACTGTTAAAGGTGTTGTTTATGACATTATTGTTTCTTCAGAATGCCAAGATGCTCTTGGCATGGAAAACGGCTTAATTTCTGACGCACAACTTAGCGCTTCCTCTCAATGGAATGATTTGGAAGGCGCCCACCGTGGTAGGTTGCATCTTACAGAAGTATGGAATCCACTTCACGAATCAGGAGGTTGGGTATCCAAATTAAATGACGTGAATCAGTGGCTCCAGATTGATGTCTTGGGTCTCACCAGGAATTACGTCAGAGTGACACGTGTCTCAACTCAAGGAAGAGAAAGCACTAGTTATGGCCAACTATATGTCAAAACATACAAGCTGCAGTACAGTAACGATGGAGTAAATTTTCAGTACTATAAAGAAAGTGGTAGTACTAATGCCAAGGTAACGAGACATTTTACTGTGGAAAGTGAGGACAGTGCCATTACTATTTTGCATAAAAGTTTTCATTTTTATCTAAAATTTTGCGCAATTGCTACGAAAGGATATTCATATTTAGAGTAAGGGTTGCAGTACAGTTTTCGTAAGAAAAGCCTGTGGCATTTGCAACACACGACAAAAATGCTTGCACTTCCACATACCCTTCTACCTCAACTGACGGCAGAGCGACTAGTTCAAAAAAGGCTGTTTAGATCTTTAACAACTTTATAGCAGAAGGGGCAAACGTCTGAAAATCAAGGCTCGGACTTAATCAGTACACACCCGACAGTAGAATCTTCTAGAATGTTTCATGGACTATCTCTTTGTAACTTTTAATTTTCTACAATTACCACGCAAACTTCGAGTACTGAGAGAATTGTGCAACCATTCGTTGTCTTGTACCAAGTGGGGCTTGTGTCTGATGGTTAACCATTTTTCATATCTTTTTTTTTTTTCAGGAATTTGATGGAAACATTGATCATTACAGAGTGGTTCATCACGATCTAAATCCATCAATTACTGAACGCTATATCCGATTTCGGCCACTGACTTGGAATGTTCACATATCAATGAGAGTAGAGATCTATGGATGCACTCAAGGTAACTTCTAGACTGGCTAAAGAATACTTCTTTCAGTTAGTAAAGATCAGTGAATTATAGGTGGTCTCCATACATATCATAAGTCTATAACCTCAACCGGTTGATAATTCCGACTTAATTACACTTTTTTTCTGTATTGGTAGAGTGTACCGCTCCAGCCATTGGAATAGAGACGGGAAGCATTCTTAATTCTCAAATGACCTCTTCAACCGGAAATGCATCGCTGGCTCGGCTAAATGGACGGTTTGCTTGGTGTCCATTAATAGACGGTTATGGTGAATACATACAGGTATAAAAAGACAGTAATACAACTTTTCTTTAAAAAATAACGGAGAGTATATAGTCACCACAGATAATGTAGTTTTATATCCAGCTATTTCCTTGGCTATTTTCATTTCATTTCTCAGTTGCTACAATCAAATTAGCGTGGGCGGGATAACTGACCCTATTTAGTACATCTAAATGCAGCACGATCTCGGCCTCCTTAACTTTCCCGGCTAGTTCCAACCCGCCAGATTGCCAGTATATATATATTCTCAATCTTGCTTCAGCAAACGAGCGCAACGAGACGAAAATGGGTGGAGATAATATATGTTTTTCTGATATATAATTATGGTAAACAATTAACAATTTGCCAAAACTCATGCAAAAAACTCATGTGTTAATCGTTTTTTTTCTAAATAAAAGGCATTCTTATTTTAACATGTTTACAAAGGTTAACAAATTATTCAAGCGGTATAGATTATTTTCACAAGACGTCACGGCAGCCATATTGATGTCCCAAAACAATGAAACAGCGGCCGTGTTGGTGTCCCATGCAAACCAATTCTGTGGGAGGTGAAATATTTCTTATCCAAACACTTTCTTTTGATCCAGTAAATTTGCATAGACGCTGGCCACGTGAGTAAAAACGCACTATACACTTGTAACTTCCCTCTCTTTGATTGCTTAACCAATCATGAGATGGCTTTTACGTTTTGTTTTTCCAACGGGTGCTGTGATGCTTGTATGCAAGTGATAGGGATAAAATTGGAAACAAGCAGTTCTCAAGGGTAACATCATATTGACTACAGTGGGAAAACAAAACATACAAGCTAAATAAAGAGTTTATTAATTCAGATTGATCTTGGGCGACTGTATCGAGTGTGCGCTGTAGCAACGCAAGGATTCCCGGGAGGAAACAAACATTACGTGAAAGAATACAAACTTGGATGGTCCAACGATCAAATTGACTGGGATAAAAGTGCTGAGGTATGACGTTTTATTTCAGCTGAAAATTTGTTTCGTTTGAAGTTCATAGAGAAGTAGTTTGGATTTCAAAAGGCCTTTTGCTTTATAAATGTACGGTGGATCTAGATCATCGTTGAGAACTACACTTGTTGAAAAAAAAAAATAACCTTTTCGTCTAAACGCAAAGGGAATGTGAAATTTTAGAAGCAATGTATGTCTTACTAGCTACTACTCGATGCAGAAGCGTTAAAGAGCGTTAAAAAGATTTCAATACAGTCAAACCCGGCTGTACGGACACTCGCTTAATACGCACACCTCATTATTATGGAGACTATGCCTTTTCGCTGGGGAAAGAAAGCCTTACATTTTCTATAAACACACCCCGCTAAATACGGCGACACCCCGTTAATACGAACTTTCGGCCATGGCCTCTTTGTGTCTGTATTAACAGGGTTTGACTGAACTGCATTTTTTTTCTTTCAGTCATTTTCTCGTTTCACTTGCAGGCTTATAACAAATCATTTTCCTGTTCTACAACAAAATAATACGAAAAGAAAAAAATGATTTAATTAATTACAGCAACAATACGGTAAAATTCCGAAGGTAAACCCCAAGGCTTCTTTTTTTCAAAGGCCCATTCTTAGGGGCTTATTTTTGGAGGGGCTTACCAAGGGAGGGAAATTTGCGCTTCAAGATCTATTGGGCTAGCCTTATAGTTGGAATTAAATTTACCGTTTTTGCTTTGTTTTAATTTGTATTTGAAGACAATTTTCCGAGTACAAGCCCCCGGTGGGCTTATATTTGGATCGGTTATTTTGGAGGGCTTATACATGGAGGGGATTATTTTCGGAATTTTACGGTAGTTTAAAATTATTAACTCTGTAAGTTATGGGTGAATATTTTTTTATGATATAAAGCATGCTCCGTAAGCATTCTTTTCATTTCAGTTGACCTCAATGTTTTGTATGAATTTTATAGGTTCTTAAAGGAAATAATAACTGTTATAACATTGTGAAGAACTCCGTTCCAGCAATTTACGCTCGATATATTCGCCTCTATCCAATAGCATGGTACATCAGAGGATGTGTAAGAATAGAGCTTTACGGGAAACCCTGGCCAGAAGGTGATCATTTAAGCATAACATTCGCTGAACACATTCGTTATCTTACATTTTTGCCGTCGATATAATCAGTACATAATCTTCTTCTTTGGCATCACTCAAGTAATATTTAGCCTCAAATTGCATCATGTTTGGAGTATTTTGTCTCTATATTTTTTTATTTCATTTCAGACAATTTTTCCCTTACTTGAAATTCTTTACACAATTCAAAAAGTTATTTGTGACTGCTACAGTTGGTTTATTCACCGCCCTTACGTTTTAACATTTGCCATTTTTTATTTTATAGTTTCCGCAGCATCTTTTACTTCCATTGCTCCTGGTAAAGCTCTTAGTGGCCACTTTATCCTATCGCTGAATAACACTAACGTTATGGAATGCTTCAAAACTTGTCTGATAGCAAGCCAGTGCAAGTCTTTCAACTACAACGAGCAGTTGAAAAAGTGTGAAGTGAGCGGTTCCTCTGGCAAAGAACATGAACTGACTGAGCAGGATGGTTTCTACTATTACGAACTTACATCTCGTTAAACTTTGTGTTAAATAAAACATAAATCTATGTAAAGGATAGCAAAAAAATGCAGTTTTTCTTTCAGTTTTTTCTTTTCATGTGACGTGAAAGGCTTTGCTTTCACGTTTTACATTATTACAACGTACCTCATGTGCTGTTTTCACAAACGGCTTTGACATAGTGGCAGCCATTTTGATTGAAGTCATTGGCTGATCAGTATGCTGAATATTATTCACTGAGTATTTATCAAGGGTTTCGACTTTCCAAAACCCAAGTAAAGGGATGCTTGCTCCTAGTCGGAGTAACGAGTATTCAGGCCAACCTTGTCAGTACCAACTTAAGACCTCACTGCAATCTGTCTGTAGGCAGGACTAGGTACAAGATTACTTGAGTCAGTGTCCCCAAGCAGTACGTACTTGTTGGTTTGGAAGAAAAAAGTTAACAAAAAAGGGAAAAGCAACATGAAGAAGACATTAAGAAAAGAAAAAAAAAAGAAGAAGAGGCAGAAAGGTTAACTAAAACATGTTGCATTGCATACCGAGCGTGAAAAAAAAAATAAAATTCTATTTCTTCTTATGCTTTGTTCTTTAAATACCTCCACACTAACCGAAGCAAATCAACAAATTGTTGCTATGCTGTCCTTAATCTGGGTATTTTGCTTAACTCACGTATCTGCTAATGTGTCGGTTCCTTCTCCAGCCCCACCCTCGTCCGCCTCGTTTTCAGGCGCTAATGGCAGAAGGGCTCTTGTCTCGCATTTCACTCATGGAAATGGTCGGTACTGCTTATTGGGCTGTCAAATCCAAGTTAAGCGTCTTCTCAGTTACAAAACATGGTGCTGAGAGATTTACCAGGGATTTATGTGAAGCTGGTAAATGAGTGTAGTATGCCGTATTCACGATGATATTTCAATGTTATTACAATAACTACAGTGTTTTATTTTTTTGCTAATGAAAATGAAGGATTTTGTTCTTCAAATCCAACGAGGAATTGAAAAAAAAAGGATTAAAAATGCGTTGCAAACATATTCGTTATTAGCCTGTTCCGGGCATTTAGATAGTTGGGTGCGGCGCGCAGTCAGAGAGCAGAAAAAAATAAGGGCAAAAATAAAACCTGAGAGGAAGAGAGAGAGAGATAAGGAGAGAGGAGGCTCTGACACCCCAGTCCACCCCAGGTTCGGTTTTTTTTTCCTGCTCAGATCTCCTTGCGCGGTCCCCACGATTTGAACGCCTGGAAAAGGGTTATTCATCATGTTTGTTAGGATAATTGATTTTCAACTTATACACGCTATTCATAAACGATCAATGCTTCCTCCTAGGAAAGTGACCATTTAATACAAGTGAGTATGTTAAAAGTAATTACAGTGACTAAGGATAGGTGACTTGTTGCTAATTTTCCAAGCGGTCATTAAAATAGACAAATTACTTTCTAGACTTTCCAAAAAAGTCCTTCGTTGGATTTAATATGGCGCAGGACCCCTCGCGACTTCGCCGCTCGGTTGGTCGCTTCGCGGCCTAAAAAGGCTCGCTCCGCTCGCCAAGAGGTCGACTTGTACCAAGTCTAATTACTCTCATGAAGATGACAAGAGACCACTTCAAATATTGGGTTTCCATATCCACCAGGTTTGACTGTCTATTTTTTTTCACACTCGGATTTAACTCATGATTGCAATAATTTATTGTTGATTCGCTATTCAGCTAACTACAGCAAAAACTTTTACAAGAGAGAATAGCTAGCCCTTGGAATATGCGAATTTCACCAAATTTAAGACTTTTCGGCTAATTAAACGCTTATAATTAATCCAAAAGTGGGTTTCCAGAGAGGTCCGCAAACTTGTATCCAGTGTTGTCAAGAGAGAATTCAACAGTCGCCATTACAATACTCTGCATTGTTTGCTTATTCAAACAATCCATTAAAATGTGCGGGCGTCTCAGGAATTACACCCCAGTTTAATTACAGCCTCTAAAAATAACTTGAGTAAAATTCACATCCCCTGGCCAACACCTTAAGATTCCGTCTCTGACCCATTCATTTCTCATGTTTTTTTACACTAGTTCTGTTCTGTTTGAGACGGAGGGAGGGAGGGAGCGCATGAACCGGACTTTGGACTTTGTGCAACCTAATTATCATTCTTGGTTTCTGGGTTATGGGAGAGGAAAAAATGGCCGATTTGTCTTGGTCTCCTCATTTATTTATGGAATGGAAAGGGGCGTTAAGCTTTTCCTTCTTTTCGGATATTCAAGATTTGTGGCTAAGTCTGTCATTAAATAAACGTTTGCCATTAAATGAACCGTTCATGAAAGTTTCAAGAATTGACACTTAAAGAGAGATTGCTTGGTGAGCAGGCGATTTAAAGAGGTGAAATTCTTCCCGTTCCTCAAGTATTTGCGCCTTAGCTGTAGAACCGCTCAATTCACACATCTTCAACCTCTCGCTTAAATTGATCGCCTCGCAGTGAGTGGTCCCCAAGCACATTTTAAAGCAATCTATGGCGCTGGTGTTATTCAGTGTGGAGATGACGTGACTTTGTAGTGCCTCATCTGAAGCCGTGGAGGTAAATATTGTAGTTGGCACTAGAAAAAAGGAGACAGTAACCAAAGTATTTACAAATATTCAAATAGGCTTAAAAATTAGATTTGAAAACTTTACCCGAGGGCAGCTGAGATAATAGAGACCTTTAGTATCAGGTTTATCATGGGAAACCGCAAACCGCAAACCGCAGTTTGCCGTTACGGGTTTGCAGTTTCACGTTGCCGAGATTTCAAATTTTAGCAAGGCGTTCAGTTCAGTTCAGTTCATTTTATTTCATTTTTATTTAGCCAAAATATAATACAATACAAGAATACATATGGGAATTGTAAGTTGGCAAGGGAGGCCAGAGGAAACCAGAAGGCTTAAGAAGCCTGGGCTCCACAGTAGCAAAAAAAGATTAAAGTAAAATAAAATGAAATTCGCGGAGTGATACGTCAGCTGATACGTTAAAAATATGAACTAAACAGAGACTTTTTAAGTAATGAATTCAGTAACAAGATAGAAAAAAATTTAACTCTGGATTAATTAGAACAGAGAACTTTCTTATGTTTATTGCCCCATGTTGTTTTTCGTCAAGTCGAAGTGCATCACTGCATCACTTTTATCGCCCAAAAAACAGGAATAATTCATTGATTCGGGATCAAAATCCAACAAACACATCGCAAACGGATATAACAAGCTAGTTCGTACCTTTAAACGCGAGGCTGTACAATTTTTAGTGGCAAAAAACCTTGCCGTAAATCACTTTCCGCTAGAAGCCCTTCCGTGCCGGTTCAAACTTGAATTGCAAACTGCAAACGTGACCGCAAGGCCGTGGTCACGTGACATTTTGCGGTTTGCGGTTTCCATGAAAAACCTGATGCTAAAGGTCTCTAATACTTTGCTCTCACGAAAACAATATTATTTTCTGACGTTATGGAACTTATTTTTAAATTAAACAAATGTTGTATCCTTACGTTACCTTCTAGCCAGGGCTCCCCATAAAGCTCCATCCTCACACATCCCCTGACGTACCACTTTAAAGGGTAAAGGCGAATATACCGAGCGTAAATTGCAGGAATGGAATTCTTCACAACGTCCCGCCAGTTAGTGTTTCCTGTGATAGCCTGTAAAGTTGGATAGTTCTGGAATAAAGATCTAAATGAAAAACCAAGATGATCCGTACCTAAAGAACGCTATCAAAAGAACTTTTCCACCCCTGACCAGGTAGGTATAATATATAATAAAAAGTATATATCTACGGTTATCGTGAGGGTTACTGGGGGTACTTGTGAAACTGGCTATTATGAAGGTTGAATTTTTTCACCTGTCTCGTTAAGGGGGGTAAGCGATTCTAATGCAAAAATACTAAATCATTACAATAAATCGGACTGTGTATGTTACCTAGGTTTCACGTGTCCATACCTCAGTACTTGTTTCCCATGCAATCAGGTCCCTGGTCCACCCCAATTTGTATTCCTTTAAGAAATGCTTATTTTTTCCTGGATTTCCTTGCGTGGCTACAGCACAAATGCGGTACAGTCGACCAAGATCAACCTGAGCAGAAAATTAAAGAATTCTGATATTTAACAAAATACATCAATGAGTCAAGTGTTGGTAACATGCAAAACGGGTTGCAAATTATATTACACATAATCTTTAACATTTGTTTTTTCAACTATAATCTGTGACCGCAGCTGGTCGAGAGGTTGCCAGCGTTTACGAAAATACAAAGTGGTTTTTCTACGCAGATATGCTTTGTTAGTTTCCGATCATATGAAATTGTGAGTTTATCCTTTATCTCATTTAATACTTCGTCAATAGGCGTCGAGTTTTCTTAGCGGCCCTTAGGTTTTCTCATTTTATCACTAATTATAAGTGGTTAACTTTTGTAATAATCGAATCCTTTTAAAAAAGCTAAATGAGTGTTCCACAGGACCGCATGCAAGGAAAGAATGCTGAGTACAGTTTATGATATCATAAACTTCTCCTACCTGTATATATTCACCATAACCATCTATCATTGGACACCAAGCAAAGCGTCCATTTAATCTTGCCAGCGAAGCATTGCCACTTGAAGCAACGAATTGAGAATCAAGAATTTCTCCCATCTCTATGCCAACAGCTGTTGCAGTACATTCTGCGAAAACAGAGAGCAAGCAAATCATTTCTTTACCAACTCTCCTTTCCAGTGTAGCTCAAAACTCGTCCTAAAGTAGAAAATCCTCCTTTCCTTTCTTTCTTTCTACTTTGATCTTATGGAATGGTGTGTGTGTGGTAATATTTTTTTATGTGAGTTTTCCCAGCTTTATATTTTTTCAATGAAACGGCCACATCTTTGACAAATTCATTATTTAATGAATGTTGCATTATTTCGTGTCCCAGTAAACAGAGCTGACTCAACTTAACACTTCTGCCAGCAGTGCTTGACTTAATATGTAAAGGAAAATAAAGAAAACATAAAAATTTATATTATTTGCTTTCATAGGTTCCCCTAAAATCTATCATTTACCTTGCGTGCATCCATAGATCTCCACTCTCATTGCTATGTGGATATTCCACGCCATTGGTCTAAAGCGGATATAACGTGCTCTGATTGGTGGATCAAGATCGTGCTGAACAACGGTCTCATTAAGACCGACATTCCCAGCAAATTCCTATACGATGGTAAATTTTTAACATATACAGTAAAACTATAGCTATGACGTAAATGAATTTATTATGTATATTTACTCTACATTGGTGATGTTTTGTTTAGCGGGAGCAAAAATAATAACCAACACTTCTAGCGAGCTACTGTCGCTTCATGAACAACTTTGTTGAGATCCTAAGTCTGATTTTTCTTAAACCTAGCTCGCATTCCCTATTGGTGGGTGAGCAATCTATCACTTGGCGAATTTTCCTCGCAATGATAGGAAGAGCCAACATTGAAGGATCAAAAAGCAACATCGCTATAAAAGCTAGACTGCCACATGCCAGTTATCTCTGCGGTAGCTTTTTTCACCACGGGAGCAAAAACTAACAGTATTACTTCCAGCGAGTGGAATAAGCTTTAAAGAAACTAGGATCTGGTTGCTCGAAGGCTTGATAGCACTATCCTCGGAATAAACTATCCAGTGGATGTGTGTTAGAGAAACCAATTAAGTTACAGTTGGAGAGTGGAAAGCCGACGTTTGCAAGCATAGCCAGGTGTTTTGTCCACTTTGCAATCATTTAATCCGTAGATAATAACAGTGCGTTTTTAACAACCGTGAAGTTCTTTATGTCATAATACCTTGTCCGCAGTCTGTCCTTGTTCTTTGTAATACCGGAAATTCACTCCATCATTGCTGTACTGCAGTTTATACTTGCTCACCCAGTGCTGGTAGTTTTCGTTCCTTCTTCCTTGTGTAGCTACACCTGTTATTCTGGTGTATTTATTACCTAAACTAAAGAGATCAATTTGCAGCCACTGGTCGGCGTCTTTTGTGAGTGAAATCCATGCACTCGCCTTGCCCAGTGCTCCTCCGTCAAAATGTAACCTCCCCAAGTTGGCAGAGTGCTTTTCATTCCATTCAGAGGATGCAATGATTTGGTTATCAGAGATTTCACCGTTTTCCATACCAAGTGGATCATGACAATCTAAGGAAACGACGTAGAGATATTTATCCAGCTTCGTGGTAAACGTCTCAAATTATAAGCTTCCCATCCATATAGCTGGCCTCTATTCCTACCCATTACATGTGTGATGTTATACCCTCACTTTCGGATAAGGACGTTGGTCACATCCTTGTATTTTTAATTTCTGAGGTATTATGATAATTTGGGGGAATTCGACCCTCGAAATACAAATCATTAATTTTTGTGATTAATAAATTAAGTTTTTTAGCTTCTGTGTTTCTGAAAATGATGTTAGCAAACGTACAAATGATAGTCATTTGTCCCATGCCAGTAGCCGATTAACTCTTGAATTCAGATTATTGAGGTCAATAACTTTCTTTTTTGTCTAGTATCTTAAGAAGCGGAAGCAGGTTTGTTATTATTGGCATCATCATCAGCATCATCATTAGTAGTATTAGTATTACACTATTATTATTACGCACCTTGTGAACAGCCAAACAATTCCACTCTCATTGAAATATGGTTGTTCCAAGTTAGTGGACGAAAACGAATATAACGCGCTCTGATTGGCGGTCTTAGTTCATGAGAAACCACAGTATCCCTATCTGTATTTCCCGTAAAAACCTAAACCATAAAACGAAACAAGTTGTTAGAAAAATTTGAAAGGAAAATATTATCCCAAACAACCCCGAATAAGCTCACCCTAGAAATATTTCAGATTATTATTCCATTCAAAATTCTTCGTGGTTTCTGATTGGCTCCAATCTCCCTGGATAATTATTCAAAACCAATTGGCGCTTACCATATTTGAATGATGCGAGCAATATATCATCGATTCAATGAACACCACGCATCGATTCGATCAATAAGGCCAATCCTTTCCCTTGAATATGGTGGTCCTCCCTTGCTTCCCATCCCGAATCGTCAACAGCGACAAGGAGCAATGAGAGCAGGCTGTTTTCGCTGGCTACAGTTGGATTCAAGATAGGCTCGATTTCCGCCTCCCTAGGATCTTGTTCGGGGGAGAAGCCCGGGCTCCTTTGAAACAGCGACTGGTAAAGAAGCCTATATCGCCTAGATCCAAGATTGCAATCAAAAAGACTCTAATTCATTGTCAATCTAATGAGTAAGTAATTTTACCTTGTCTGTTGTTTGTCCCAGCTCTTTGTAGTAATGGAAGGTGATCGCATTGTTGCTGTGTTGCAGCCGGTACGAGGTCACCCACTCGCTCCAATCAGTTTCTGCTCGTCCTTGTGTTGCCACACGAGTCACCTTTGAACGGTGACCACTCAAGTCGATCTGGATCCATTGATTTACGTTATTATAAAGGGACGACCATGCTCCTCTTTGTAATTTGTAAAACAGTCTGCCATAAGTAGCAGCATGAAGATAAGTGTCAAACTCTGAAGAAGCACTTATTTGAGACCCAGTGATTACGCCATTTGCCATACCGAGGGGTTGTTGACATTCTGTAGTTATATTTAAGAAAGTCTGTTACGCAATGCGCGCCCATGACCTAGGGGACTTAACTATTGTTAATTGTGTTATTTTAATACCAATAAGTAAATGTTGTCTTGTCGGCGTAATCAGTGGATCAAACCGAAGGAAAAATGAATAGAACGCCGCAGACGAAAATAGGATGAAATGTAGTATCTATTCTTATTTCGTGAGTTTTAAATTCAAATTACAACTGTTCAACTGACTGTTTGGGTTCTAAATGAGTGATGCACGGCATGCCGGAAGAGAAGAAGGCCTGGTTCAGAAGTTCTTTACCTCGTCACGCCTTTAGAAGTTCTCTTGGTTATTTTTTCTCAAGTGTTACCTAGATTTACACATGCCTATCTCTTGGGCAGCCTGTAACAATTTGAATGATAAGTGGATAAATAAAGTAGACGCGGAGATCAAATATAAAAACAACCTTGAGATTAGTTTAGAATGTAATACGAAATGAGATCTGAATGGAATAAAGGAAAACAATTATTTTATTTCGCATGTAGTTCAGCTGTACAGAATAAACCTCTGATCTTGTCTAATTGATTATAACATAAACGTAAATATGTACAAAGGGGAAAGAGATAAAAGGGGGTGAGTGCAGTGACGGATCCAGACCTTGAGATAAGGGGGGGGGATCCGGTCATCCAGACCCTGAAATAAGGGGGGAACAGTCCCCCCCCAAATTTTTTCGGCCCTTTGGGCCCCATTTTGGTCTAAAAATAAGGGTAGGGCGGGACCCCTGGCCCCTCCCCTAGATCCCCGCCACTGAAGTGCGGAAGGGAAGAAAAGCCCGACGCAAAGGCTGTCTTCTGCCCTTTCACAGTATTTAAAAAAACAATGCCATTTGCCTCGATAAACTGCGTGGACTACTTCACATTTTACCCGGATTGAGCGATGATAAACAAGAAAACGGTTTTCAGTCGAGAACACTGCCGGCTACTCCTTTAACAGCCAACACAACGTGGATTTAGGCAGTCGAAGGCATCGGTGACGGAAATGTTCAAAAGTGGGTAGTTCAAAAACCAATATTCTTGTCTGGGTTTAAGGCAATCCATGATCCTTGGAAAGAACTTTTTTCTTCGCTACACGTAAAAAGAACTAAATACAAGAAAAGTACTGTCACTAAGTAATTATCTTTTTTTATTTCTCTTAATTTTTTTTATGAAATTCAAAATGATACTTGATAATAATGTAAATAAACAACGCCAATACCTTGTGTACACCCATAAAGCTCTACGCGCAGCGATATCCAGGTTTGCCAAGACACCGGCCGAAAACGGATGTAACGTGCCTTAATTGGTGGGTTCAGCTCATGAGAAACAATTGTCTCCTGGTCGGTGTTTCCATCAAACTCCTACACATTGAAAAAGAAGATGGAGCTGGCACTTAATCGAAAATACACTGCAATTTCGATAACACCTTATCCAGACTGGGGAAGGGTTGGAATAGTAACATCCTCTTAGCTGTCCAACGTCTAAGGGGTTGAATCTGTGTCTGGAATATTATCAACCAGTGGACGAAACCTCTTGCATGTGTTTTCATGTGTTTTCTGTGCTTAAATTACTGCCGTTTTGAAACTGATATCTTAGCCTCGGACCAGGCTCCTAAGAATTGGAAAAGGGGCAAATAACAGGGTGATCGCGAACAAAGAGGCGAAGTTCCTTGCTCGACTTGATTCCTTAGCCAATATTTTTGAGCAGTTCACTCCCTTATTCGCCTTTTTCCCCTCGAAAGAGTCTGGTCCCACTACTATTGATACTTCATTCCCTTCTGATGAGGTTTCTTGCTCAGTAGCTTATGAGTACAAATGGAAGCAGAACGACAAAGGTGTTTAACCGATAAAAGTTTCTCATTAGTCACAAAATAGAAACGATACTTTGAGTTCATAGAATGGTGGTAAGAATGAGAGTACCTAGACTACACAGGTAAAAAAGGAGCTCTTTACCCAGCGCCTTCTTCGGTTATCTCCTCCTCTCATAATTTTCTGAACTTTTGCCAATCTTGCCAACATCTTTGATACAAATGTTATGATTGTGATGTGATGTGATGTGATGTGATGATTGAAAGTGGTGATTATGTGGTGATAGCAATGGTGATAATGATGATAACAATTAAGTATTCAATCAATTTTCTCACGATGTAGTCCGATTTGTTCTGTAGATCGTTCACGTTTCGACTGATCTAGTGGCGAACATGAACATCTGGACAACGACGTATCATCATCATAATAGTTATAACTGGTCCTTAGCTCATACAGCGCCCGCCCTATTGTAGTTCTAACTCAAAAGACAACACAGGAATGGGTAATCTACATCTCGCTTAATGATAGTTTACCTTAGCTTGCCCTTTTTCGTCCGTATAGAAGTGAAAGGTGATAGCATCATTACTGTACTGAAGGTTGTACTTGGTAACCCATTGAGGATAATCCTGTCTTCCTTGCGTTGCCACACAAGTTACGTTAGTGAACTGATCGCCCAAGTCGATCTGAAGCCATTGACTGGAATCATCTGATCCTGCACTCCATGATCCTTTTCTATTCCGCTGCACTGGTTGAGAGTTTAATCTGGCATAATGCGGTTTCGAACTGTGGTATGACGACGAAGCACTGATTTGGCTGTCAGGGATTGCACCGTGTTCCATTCCTACAGGTCGTTCTCCTTCTAAAAATGAAGCAAAAATCATAAGAGTTAATTAAAAACCCATATTACCTGCACCTATGTCTTTTAATATTTCAAAGAGCACACTGATTAATTTTCGTTTAAACACTTTTTTTGACGTATCTCTCATTCTACCTGGTATCTCATTCCATAACTTAGCGCCATTCAATTTGGCCTTAATTGACTGTAGCTGTTTCATAATTCCATCGTACTGACCAAGTAAACAGATTTACTTTGCCCAGGTGAAAGTGGAGACAATGGGGCGCCATCTTGCTATTTGCCAGTCACAAGCTTCGAAAGCCTCTCAACCTCCTCCTTGGTCGCTTGTAAATCGGTCCTCAACTTTTGGTTTCTTTTCTAAGTTTGTCGATATTTCTCTTCCGCTTTGCTTTAGGTTTTAGTGATAGAAATTTAAGAGAGATTACACCGAACTAGAGCTCAAAAATAGCGCGGCCTACTCGCTCGAAGGCCATGCGCACAATTAATAATTGTAAAAAGGAATGTGCTCAAACGACTGTGAGAAGACTACAGAACAAAAAATACCCAAACATTTCAGCAATGATTTCTTTTTTTCCTTTTTCAGTCACCTAGCCAAATGACTATGTCTTTCAGGTTTGGGGTGGGCCGTATCAGAAAAAGCACGATTTTCAACTATCAATGAATTTGACGAGGGTGTTTGTTCACTACAAACCCCTCTCAAATGTAAAAAAACGAAGAACCCCGTGAAAATCACTTTAAAACAGCTAGGAACGGCTTCTTGACCCAAGAGATGAGCAAGAGACAACAAGATCTTCAACTATCGATGAATTAAATTGAACAGGGTCTTCGTTTTCTACAACCCACCTCAAGACCCTTATAGATTGTGGGGGTGTCAGTTCACTGATAATTAAAGAACTTATTGTTTTTTTACACATCTCAGGTCGAGATAGTTGATTGTACCAATTTATATACCATTTTGGTGGGAGGTCTTCGTTTTTGGGTCTTATATTTTCTACCCACCTTACTGGTTTGTATCTAATGAATTCCAATTAAAAAGGCATTGTTGAGCATGTCCAAACAACTGTGAGCAGACTACAGACGAAAAAAAGGCCCCGAAAAATTTCATTTAAGATTTCTTTTACATTTCCAGTCTTACAAGGGGTGGATTCATTTTCAGAGTACTAGTAGGGCCGTTGCATTTGCTAGCTCGAATTTTTTTTATTGATTTTGGCAAAGCCATGTCTCTTACTACACTGCTCGTTAAACGTTTAAAAATCGAAGGTGCATTACACAACCCAAATGGTATCACTATGCAACACTTAACACTGACACAACCAAATTACAAGCAGTTAGTGTTGTTTTGTCACTACCCTTACCCTCCAAACTGTCAAAACTGGCTTCTAAATCAGGCGTCGAAAGCCGTTTTATTCAGCCAGTCGGTCTTCATTACGGGAGTTGACGTTTAAGTCCCGTTAGTCGTAACAAACCTCACTACTACTAGGGAAAAAGAACACGTAAAAATGAGACCTCCTCGACTTGGCCGTATTTGCAGTTTCTTGCTATGCTAACGGGCAAACGCAACGGCTAAACGCGTACTCTGCAAATGAGTCCACCCAAAAGTTTGTATTTAATGAATTGAAATTTAAAAAGACAATTGGTCGATAAAAATCGACTTATTATTTCATTCAACAGAATTTTTGAAGCATTTACTAATTTGTATTTTCTTATTTTCCTTTTACTCTATTACCTTTGTTAGTAACATAAACCTCTACCCTCATGCAAATATGCCGTTCCCACGCCAAAGGTTGAAAGCGGATGTAGCGTCCAAAGACGGGCGGGTTCAGTGAATGAGAGACAATAGTGACCGGGTCTCTGTTTCCAGTAAATTCCTTCATCAGAAAATAGAAAACATGTTAATGGTATAAAAGGTACGGTTAAAAGGCCGGTTATCACTCCTGACAGATACAAGGCGCATTTAAATGTTTTAATACGAAATCTTATGGCTGCGATGTTTTTTCACGTGTCAATAAATATTTCTACCGAAGATCAAATATATAAGAATTAATATTTTCTGTGTCAGAAAAATATTTGTTTGCTTGTATGTTTTATATGTTTTACAGCTTAACTAACCTTCGTTTTTCCTTCTTCATTCTCATAGTAGAAAAAGTTGACACCATCGTCACTGTACAGCAGATTGTACCCAGTAACCCATTGTCGGAATACCCGTCTTCCTTGTGTTGCTACGCGTGTGACGTTATACTGAAGACTCAGATCAACCTGAAGCCACTGATTAACATTATTACTGCCGGCTATCCAGGCTCCTTTTGTTATCGAGGCTCGTTTTAAGTTCAGCCTGGCAAACGGCGCAAGAAGCTGGGAATCGTATGATGACGACGCGGTGATTTGGCCATCTGAGATCTCTCCACTTTCTAAGCCAAGAGCTTTATTGCAGCCTAATAAAAAAATTGTATGACATAAAAAGAGTTGCAGGGCCATTATAGTGAAGCCTTGAGAGTACGTTTTACAATTACCCATGTACCAACAAGTTACTCAATACTTAAGTTAACATAGAAACCAAAAAACCTTTAAAATTTAAAGGCTCAAACCTAATCATCTAAATATCTCCATACAATGTTTTTTAGATCACTACTATTGCATTAAACCTCTAGCGTACAAATTTCTTCCTCCGGTTGTCAAACTGTTAGCCAGGTATGGAACTATTTAAAGCTATATAGAATACTTTTATAATTCAAGATGGTGTTCATCTTGTCTATACATGCCATCAGTTAATATGACGTCACACAGCCCCCACTTATGCCATGAAGGAAAACGAATACGGATCTTTACGAAACAGGCCGAGTCGTGACAGTAATTACTGTTATCATGGAGCTATATCCGGGGGCCAATTTATCGGCTTCTGCTATAACATCTAAAATCATAAAGAATCAAACTTCTGACAGCACAATCTTCAATAAAAACTGCTTACCTTGGTCTGCCCAATAACCCTCGTTTGACCGCGCTATCTGTAGAAATGAATTAAACTTTAAACTGAAAATTAATGTGAATTCCCGATTTTCTGTCAGCGATAAAACGTCGGGCGATTCTCGTAGAAGAATCGTGTCGTGTGAGTAATTCTTAAATTACTAAAATTCAACATTGATGGCAGTGACAATTGACAGTGACAGTATATTAACAACAAACCTTAACCGTTAAGGTGACTCGACCCAGTTTTTTGGGGGGCGTACCATCCTACTTTGAAGCTCTCTGGTATCCCCACCTTTACTTTTATCGTAAGTCTAACACATAGAATGGATAACATATAGATCAATCTACGATATAACATAAAATTTTTGGCGATCGGAGTAAATGTCACGTGGTTCTAATGCCACGCCCCTTTGAGGTCTGAGTCGAAAACCTGCTGTTGCCGGCATTTTTTCGTGAAAATCTCTCGGCTACACATAGTGCGCATTAGTGCCTTGCGCTGAAGAGAGTTTCACCAAAATCGCAAAGACCCAATTCGAGAAATTCAGCGGTTTCCAAATTTAGGTCATAATTTATGCGAAAATGATAAGCAAACTTTACACGGATTATATCTAATAAACTATGAGATTCATCCCTTTATTTTGGGCATCGTTATAACAGATGGGGCCTTGCAAGTCAGCAAAACGCTTTAGGGCCCTGTAAATGCGCGCGATTTCGAGCAAAGCAAACATATAGAAATTATAGTTTTCGCTATTTCTTGACGTTTGTCAGCGTTTAAGAGTCCTTCTCACGAAAAAAGCATTTTCTTAAAAATTCGTAGTTTTTTTTCCTTCAAATTTTTTCAGGGCCACAATTGATTAACTAACTACCCGGACTCTGAATTTCATGGTCATTGAAAAACTGTGACACTATCTTTTATAAGCCCAAACTTGAGTAAACATTGAAGATTTTTAGCGTTTTGGCTGAGTTTGTGCTTTGGGAGTTGTCTATTGTTTCTAGTCTGTCATTATACAGTATTCTTGTTCTGCACGCGTGCAATGACCACGCTTGGCTGACTTCCGAATGCTCACCGAGATATTCCCGTCACGAGTTGGTTTAATTATTGGCTTGCATTAAACCTATGAAAAAATGATATTTTTGTCATAGTAAGTAGATTTAGTGTGTAGCACTTCTTGATTTTTTTGCAAAGGCACAAGAATTGATTAAAAATTGTTAGTTAAACCTCTATGTATCACGCGATGGCCTGTCTCACTGTACCAAAATTATTATATCTCGGTGAGCATTTGGAAGTCAGCCAAGCGCGGTCATTGCACGCGTGCTGAACAGGAATGCTGTATAATGACAGACTAGAAACAATAGACAACTCCCAAAGCACAAACTCAGCCAAAACGCTAAAAATCTTCAATGTTTACTCAAGTTTGGGCTTATAAAAGATAATGTCACAGTTTTTCAATGACCATGAAATTCAGAGTCCGGGTAGTTAGTTAATCAATTGTGGCCCTGAAAAAATTTGAAGGAAAAAAAACTACGAATTTTTAAGAAAATGCTTTTTTCGTGAGAAGGACTCTTAAACGCTGACAAACGTCAAGAAATAGCGAAAACTATAATTTCTATATGTTTGCTTTGCTCGAAATCGCGCGCATTTACAGGGTCCTAAAGCGTTTTGCTGACTTGCAAGGCCCCATCTGTTATAACGATGCCCAAAATAAAGGGATGAATCTCATAGTTTATTAGATATAATCCGTGTAAAGTTTGCTTATCATTTTCGCATTAAGTATGACCTAAATTTGGAAACCGCTGAATTTCTCGAATTGGGTCTTTGCGATTTTGGTGAAACTCTCTTCAGCGCAAGGCACTAATGCGCACTGTGTGTAGCTGAGAGATTTTCACGAAAAAATGCCGGCAACAGCAGGTTTTCGACTCAGACCTCAAAGGGGCGTGGCATTAGAACCACGTGACATTTACTCCGATCGCCAAAAATTTTATGTTATATTGTAGATTGATCTATATGTTACCCATTCTATGTGTTAGACTTACGATAAAAGTAAAGGTGGGGATACCAGAGAGCTTCAAAGTAGGATGGTACCCCCTCAAAAAAACTGGGTCGAGTCACCTTAAAGGTTTTAATACGCGCTTCAATTACGATATGAAGCGTGAATAGCGAGAAGCAAAAATTTTTGTTTTACCTACCAGAAATGCAAACCAGAGATGCATCAAACGCATAACTCTAACTCTTCTTTGATGCGTTGATAAAATAGATTACCTACATATATGAATCGCGTCTCTCAAGTCTAAAATGAGAAACGTGTATTTTTAGGTATAATCTGTGAGTGTCCCCAGTTTACATTTGCAGATTTTTCCTAACCAAATTATTTTTGCTACACAGTGTGTGGTTCAGTCAAATTAAGTCAACTATATTTTATCACAAAAGCTGATGATATAAACTCGGGATGTGAAGGGAGGTGTAATGATTTCGGATAAAACGATTCGCTTGTCGATGGTCAACAATCAGCGTGTATTGTACAAAACACAAATTATATATTAAAAGGAGCGTTGTTATGGGTCACGTCGTGGTCGAGATCACTTTTTATAACTGCAAAGTTCATTTTCGGAGAGTGTTGTCATACTGTCAGCTCGACCCGACTCGATATTAATTATATCAAGTGTTATAACAGCGCACAAAAACAGAAAGTTGAATGTAAATGATTCAAGAGCGACCCGCATCATCCTCTGTTAATAAATTATGTAAGATGATTCCTGCTAATAATCCGATCCTTTCATACGAACTGAACAGAAAGGTAATTATAGTCGTTGTGCTTTAGTTATAGATTGTAAAGGAAACTTCTAAGGAGTTCCAAAAAGATTATCAATGACATCTGCTTCTCTTGTTTTGGGCCGCCTGGAAACTCTCGGAACAGTTTACAGAATTTAGCTAGGAAACAATAACGAAATAAATGAAAACAATAGACACAAGCCCTAAAACAATGACAATCCTTGTCACGAAGAACGAACGATCGAAATTTCAAAGTTTCGAAGAGCTTCGTGTTATCAGATTGGGGTAGCTCGATAAAATAAATTAAACCTTAGGAGAAAAACCTCTTGGTAGGTGTACAGAAAGAACTTCCTGCTAACTTTGCCACACGACAAGGAACTGGGACGGCTCACACATTCCAGGGGGTCGGGATAATAGGAGAAAGCTAAAAAGGAAGCAATTAAAGTAATTGCTTGATTTTATACAAGGCCTATAACTAGACGCAAACATGCAGACAATGATATCAATTCAATTCAATGATCGTCTTTATTAATAATGATTGATTACATAGCGTTAAAAAGACAGAATATACTACAAGGATAATATATTAAGCTATGGCTTAAAAAGAGAGAGAAAAAAGAATGGTTTGAAAATATTAATGACATAAAAACAGCTATCTTAGGGGGTTAAATATTGAAAAAGAAATGGAATGTATCGTTTCATTTCTTGACGTTTAATATCGGTCAGAATTGGGCGGGAGCAAACTCTTTTTCCTCCTGAAATTGACGGTCATCTGGCTTCCACTACGTAATAATTTACTTTGGTACAATTGTTAAATTTCTGATTTCGAGACATTCTTATTTCGAGACGCACGCAGCAATCGATTGAAGTGCTAGGGATTCTCTAACCGCCTTTGGAAAACAGGTTAATTTACACTAGCAACAATGTAACCTGCGATCAGGCGTTCTTTTTTCGGGAGGGAAAATGTCGGCGAATCCCGTCATACAAAGAACAAGGGAAGGACGCCTGATCGCAGCTTAGAAACAATGACGTAGAGGTTATTTCATGTAATTACGTCATAACGCCTTCAGCAGTATTATCACTTAATACCTATTTATGTTTATTTTTTATTACGTAGTGTGCTACTACTCTAGTGAGAAATATTTGCAAGATCACCACCACTACGGTGAAATTCTTTGATAGGAAGGAGGTTCGTAACAACTGAATCCCTCTTCGAGTTCAACTCCACTCTGCAGTTCAGTGGTTGAGGAAAGCACTTCGCACCTCTGCATTGGGTTATTAAATTTGAACGATTTGCACTGTTCGGTTTCCAAGCACAGTTTTAAGCAATCTATCCCAGTTTGGGTGGTATTTATAGACGAAATCACTTGATTGTGAAGTGCAGGACTACAACCAATGGGGGAAAACAGTGTCGCTGGAACTAGAAAAGGCAAAAAAGAAATATTAGCGTTTTATAGTAAATTAACCCGCCTCGAATTTATCATTTTTTCTTTAACTTAAACTCTTTTAAAAGATCAATTACCAGTGAGATTTACGAACACTAACTACATCAATTCATAACTTCGTTTATTCAATTTCATGCCAGCATTTCTGTGAATTGCCTGGCGTTGCAATTTTCCCCGATAGTGTCTGTAAACTGGCTGGATAAGCCGGCTAAGTGCACTTCCCACTATATAACAAACAAATAACTTTAACGTTTTCTTTGTAGTGTTGTCCTTCCAATCCATATTTAAACGTTAACTGACAATAACAACAACAATTAAAGGAAACGAAAGAAGGAGATGATGAAGAGATGAAAACCTTGTAGTTTATCATTGTAACCATCATTTCTTTGTAAAATTTGACTCCATTTTGAGAATCAGATATCGAAGAAACCGCTTACGTTACGCGGGCGCTTGGCCGCAATAGTTGGCGATGAAAAACATAACGAGGCAGTACAACTTGCAGCACATGCCTACCTTCAGGCCAAAGTTCTCCATATATCTCTATTCTCATACATCCTCGGCTGCCGTACCACTGAATCGGGTAAAGTCGAACATACCGAGCGTATATTATTGGAACATAATTCTTTATTATGTCCCGCCAGTTTGTATTTCCAGTTAGAACCTGTGGAATCGATTACATGAAATGAAAGTTTAAGGTAACCATATTAGAATTATTAGTTTCTTTTTTATGTGCGTTCTCGTGTCTTCTTTTTGAGCCAATATCGATGAAATATCTACTGCATTTTATTATTATCAAGAGAATCGTTAAATGAATTTTTATCTGTATTTTCTCTTTCTATTTTAGCTATAACACCTTTAGTGCATCCAACTGTCAATCTTAACGTTTAAATAGGGTTTGAGAGATAATCAATAAAATGAGTTGTTCCTCATGTTTCTGCCCTTGGTTACACCTGAAAATCTAAATCAGCATTATTGGCCTCAACCCATGCTTGACAACTTGTTTAACTTTCGTTTTCTTAGTTTTTTCTACTGTTTTTGTTTAAGGGAGATGAAAAATATTATCTCAGTGCGAATGGTGGACGGAAAGTATCCCAAACCCTTTTGGTCTGTGACGTAATCATTCATAATCAATCCTTAGGAAGCAATAAGTGACTCGGGACTGCGGGGTATACATTTTTGGACCAAACTAGATTCTAGCCGGGATCTTCACTGTCGCGTAATTTCTACCTGTGTACAGTAGACAGGTAGATTGTACAAGGGTAAATAAAATAGAGGCATGTACGAAGTGTCGCACGTGAACGTAAAAGTTGAGGTGCAATCATATATTGCCTCAACATTGCTAGTACCCGCGTAAATTTTACGCGCGTTATGTATCGGTCAAATCGAAGCTTCAACATCCACCCCCCGGGCAACCCCCCGGGAATTTGACTTTTTTGAAAATTGTTGTTCAAATTCCCCCCTACCCGGGCCAAAATGCCGTTCAAATGCCCCACACTGGGGTCCATTCAGGTGATCAAATGCCCCCACCCCGGGGACATTTCACAGGCACAAAAATGACAGAAAGACGGCGGAAACGCCTTCAGTTGTCGAACAAAACCTTTATAAATATAACAAAAACTGAGAAACCCTGTTAGCCTATTTACTACGAACCAAAGTTTCATGCAAAGCAGCGGAAATCGCTGCTACAAGGTATTAAACTGAATGCTCAGCTTTTTTGCGTGATGCAACATACAAAGCCTTCTATAAAAAAAGATCCCACCTATTGAGATTACTTCATCATGACCATTTCAGTGACATGCATCATCGCTCACCTTATTAATTAACATACTTGCAGTAGATCAAAGCAGTTGACCTATACATTCATACATTCAAAGCCTGAAGCCAATATTATAAATTTCAAAATTTAAATACTTCAAATACGGCACAAAGCTTGTGTAAGCCCTTTCCTCGTAACCAACTGGCCACAAAGGCATAATCTTTTCCACGAAAATCCTCTAACACCGCGTCCCCCGTGATAGCTCACCACGCCAAAGATTTTACATGAAATCGAGGGTGCAGTTCAAATTCCCCACCCCTAAAGCATGGGGATCAAATTCCCCACCCCCTAGAAGACTCTGAAAATCAAATTCCCTCCTCCCCGGGACGGCAAAGGTGTCAAATGCCCGGGGTATGCCCGGGGGGGGGGGGCATGTTGAAGCTTCGATTTGACCGATACATTAAGTCGCATTTTCATAACGCTACAGTGAAAGTCCATCCTCTGGCTTGCATTCGGTCAAAACGTTGCCGAAAACATTATCCTTACTACAAAGGCTGCTAAGCTAAGCTGTACTTATTTAAACTGGTCCTACCTCTGAGCTTGTGTCCCAGTTTACATTGTCGTTAGACCACCTCAGTTTGTATTCTTTGACAAACCTCTTTTGTTCACCAGGATTTCCCTGAGTGGCTACAGCGCAAACACGGAACTTTCCTCCCAAATCAACCTGCATGTTTAAACGCATAAAAGACATTAATGACCCTCTGAGACACGCACAAATGCTCATCAGTAGTTTATGTTTGGGCAAAGACGTGACCGAAATCAACTATCAGACCAAGTACCTGTATAAATAATTTTTTGTGTGATATTTTTTTCAGAAATATATAAAGGAATAGTTGCATATTATTTTCAAACAATATCTAGCTAATCAAATTAAAAGTGTAGCTATTATTCTCAGACTTTAAAACAATGGCTACACTTGTAAATTACACGTGTAAAAATTTTATTAAATTGACCTTTGGCGTTAACCATTAAGCCTCGTTAAGTTAAGCCAAGGCTTGAATGAAAGTGACTCAATAATTCAAATTTACCACTGCCGCAGTAACTTAATCCTCCTCCGTATCTTCCTAAGTAAGGTCATCTGGATTCCGGAATCCATGAAGTGTTTGCCTGCGGAATCTGGAATCCTAGGCTTTGGAATCCGGAATTCAGATCCAGAAAAACGCTGAGCTAAGATTAAAAACCGGAATCCAAGCTCCACGGACAAGGAATCTGGACTCTATTATACCTGGAATCTGGAATCCAATACTGTCTTGGACTACATGTACCTTGCATGTATGAGCCAATCCTTAGACGTTCTTTTGGCTCGTGTCTCATAAGATTTCGCACTATTTCTTGTTACATATCAGATCAAAAATCGATTGTCGTTTTTTGTTCACCTGTATGTATTCATTAAGAGCGTCTGACGAAGGACACCAAGCAAAGCGTCCTTTTAAACGAGCAAGTGATGCATCTCCACTCGACGCAGTCATCTGAGAATCAAGAATTTTTCCTTTCTCGATGCCAATGGATGGTGAAGCACACTCTACAAAACAAACGACTTCTTTTTAAGGACTACAAAATGTTCTCAATATTTAGCGTTCAGAGAATACAAAAACCTTAGTGTACGAAAAACGGTAACGAAATTAGCGAAAAGACTGAATGACTAAACGAATAAAAACACATCGAAACAAACTACATAAACATAAAAAGATTTTAAATCTTACATTACAATGAGGAAAGTTCTAGGTAAGCTTGATTTAAAAAGAGGTTTCCCGTTTTACTACACATAGTTGGCTTTTTGTTGTTAATGTAGTTTAGTGAAGTGTTGTATAGTTTCCAAAATCGTTTTAGTCGAGCAACTTTAATTATGTGATAATCCGAGCAGTCCATTTTATGCCGGTTCCTTAGCACAAGTCACATCCTAAAAAGCAGAGCAGTTCTTTCTCTTGCTCGATTTTGACGTACTCGTGAAAAGCTCTACATGAATCCCAGTGAGATCTTTGTTAATTTGTTGAAGGTGTGCTGCTTGTTGCTGAGCCCAGGACTTGGCCGTGCGCCTGGTAGTGTGGGCTCGGTTATGACCATCGGTTTATCAATAAACAGATGTGCGCACTCGAAATACCGCCGACAAGAATAAAAAACTTGACGGGTTTAGAGGTTCTTGCTGCGGGGATTTCAGAGGCTTGACGCGATTCAGGCAAAAGCTCCTCAATCAAAAAGAAATCAATAGCTACAAGATTCTATACTAAAAAAGGCATCAGATTTTAAAAAGCTGAAATCATAATCGTTTGGCATATTTCAGTCTTTAATGAGGTCATATTTTATCTTGTTGGCTAGTACCGTAGGGAATAAGTTTGTTGATGTTCTACAAATGAACCAATGAATCCACTCTGAACAAGGATTCATCGGTTCATTTGATCCACAATGATCTAAGTGATCTCGGATCACTGACCCAGATCCGGATCATCCCAAAGGAACACACCCTAAATATATATCCAGTTACTGGAAAGACTCAATGGGCCACTTCCGAGTTCCAAAGACCCTCACTTTCAAAAACAGGCCAAGTGCACAACCTGCCTTGTGAAAATGAGTTTTATTTGGATGAGAATGAAAAATTATTTCCATATCAAAGGCTGAGCACTTAGCCTCGTTTTGATAAAGCGGCCCCGGGGAACTCGGGCATGGCCTATTCAACTTTAGCTTCCATCTGCTACTGCGTTTTTCTTTTCGAGCGTACTACATAAAATTTGAATACGTTAAAGGACTAAGTTATCATATATAAAATATTGGATTTAAAAACTAAGAATAATTGTCTTTTATCACCTTTCGTACAACCATACAGCTCCACTCTCATGGCTACTCCACCATTCCACATTATCGGTCGAAACATGACGTAGCGGGCCTTAATTGGTGGGTTAAGATCATGGTGAACAACGGTTTCCTTATCAAAGTTTCCAACAAATTCCTTTTTGAAAAGAGAATAGTGCGACAACGAAATTAGACAACTAGTTACTCAGTCATCACACACCTATGTTTATTATTATGACACAATAGAATTTATGTAAGGTCAAAGTTAAGAGCAATCCAGGATGACCTTTATGTTTGATTATGTCATAATTAAGAGGTAAATAATCACTGGTTTTTTAGACACACATAAGTTTACTGAAACTATTATAGCTTTAGGGAGGCCGTGATAACTATACCGATATATTAAGTTTTAAGGTAAGTTTCTCTCTATCAGACCTTGACACTATTTTGTCCGTGTTCCTTATAGAATTGCCAGGTGACATCATCATCGCTGTATTTGACCTTGTACTTGGTAACCCAATGGGATACAGTAGAATGATACCTTCCTTGCGTTGCTATACCCGTTACTCTAACGTACTTTCGCCCCATTCCTAGGACATCAATTTTCAGCCATTGATCTGCATCAGACGAAGCAGGTACCCAAGGCTGTGGACTGTTGTTCAGTCGACCTTTAGTAGCAGCATACAAATCACTATACTCAGAGGAAGCGCTGACTTGAACGTCAGGGATTAAGCTGCTTTCCATACCAAGGGCATGATGACATTCTGAAGAATATATTTGAAAGACACCAAGTCATATCATACAAATGCATTGCGCATTCCTATATAGCCAGAAAAGGATAAATTATTCATTCAAAATATTTCGCAATTTCTGATTGGCTTAGAGCCTCCGGTTAGTTCTTCATTATATATAACCAACGGGCACTGACCAAATTTGGAAGATGCTAGAAATATACCATCGATTCAATGGTATATTTGATCGAAAACGAGGTTGATCGATGGTATCTTTGATTGGAAAAGAGGCTGCATGGGAAATAGACCGTCGATCAACGTCGTTTCCACGATATTCACGAGTGAACCAAAAAAAAGAATGGCGTTCACGACTATCCTAAGACGAAATAGCTGAATTTATGTCTAAAGCTGAATGGAAGGAAAGCAAGAATACGCAAAAGTCATTGCTCGATGGACGTTATCTACTTAATGAGGTGTATCTGCAAGAAAAAAACCTGTGCCGAAAATACGCCAAAGTTTAGAAGAACGTCTACGAGGAGTTAAGCTTGTTAAGAACTTAAAAATGTTATTCACCTTGGCCAGTCAGTCTCGGTGGATAACATCGTCCTCGATCTGCATAATTCTTCAAATGCTACTCAGCCTCATTCAATAATTGCTAATAATCGCATGCTATTTTTAACATGTACCCAAAAGTGGTTTATCACGAACAAGTCTAATGTGCCAGTCCCCAAATGTCCCAATTTATTAGCGGTAATGCACCGTCACCGATAAACTGGTGGGATATGTACCTTGTGCGCAGCCGTACAGTTCCACTCTCATTGATATACCTCCATTCCACGTAACTGGTCGAAAACGGATGTAGCGAGATCTGATTGGTGGATTCAATTCATGAGATTTAATGGTGTTCTGATCTGTGTTTCCAGTAAAGACCTTAAAAATTGAACAATAATGAGTAATCAAAGTCAATTAGTTATGATTTAAAAAACATTAATCAGTAATTTTGGGGCAACAAATTCAAAATGTTCAACTGACATCATATTGAACCTAGTGCTGGAACTAAGAACAGGAAAATTCGAACGGATAATTATTCCAAACCGTTTGGGAATTTAGATTTCTTTTTGTATTATATGCATTAATGAAGTCATGTAGGTAAAATCAAGTGAGAAAATATTATTGATTCTTTAAACTTTCAACTGCTACTTTGAATTTCACCTTATCTTCGGGCCGCCCGGCTTCTCTGTAGTACTTGAAATTTGCTCCATCGTTACTTTGTTGTAGCTTATATGATGTAACCCACTGGCCGTAATTTGCCCTGCCTTGCGTCGCCACAAGCGTCACTTTGATGTTTTTTCTGCCAAGATCAATCTGAATCCACTGGGAGTCATCGGAAACTTTTGCTACCCAAGCTCCTGAATTTAATGTATAAAATAATCTACCAAATTTGAGGGAATGTGTTGTAGGATCATGCTCCGAAGAAGCGCTAATTTGTTCGTCTGTGATTGCACCATTCGCCATACCAAGAGCTTGTTGACATCCTAAGACAAGTAAATTGTGGTATATATATATAAAGTTATTAATAGGTGGGAGTTTTTCAGCAAGATTTTTTGATGGCTCAAGCTTGGACACTGAAAGTTAAAAATGGTAAACTGGTGTCAAACAGCACTAGTGAATTTTTGTCCAAAACGTCTTCCAAACCTTGTATGCAGCCATAAAGCTCCACTCTCATTGATATATAGTTATCCCACGTCACAGGTAGAAAACGAATGTATCGAGCCCTGATTGGTAGGTTCAAATCATAAGAAACAACATCGTTCGCGTCTCCAGTGTTTCCAGCAAAATCCTAAATACGTAAGAAATTAAAATTACTCGTTAGAAAGCTATAGTTTCAATTCACTCTTTGGGAATTCATTTGTCAAGATGATAATGATAATAATAATAATAATAATAATAATAATATAATAGTAATAATCTGCGTTTCTGATATCAGCAAACGTTGACTCTTCAGAAGACTTGGAGATTAGTAACCAAGTGTAAAAAAATTGTCAATAAAAATTCAGTAAAAACTGTGGTAGATCGAGCCCTTTTGATTTGAGGATTTGGATGACCACCACCAGGCGAGATTGAACTTAAAGTTTTTTCGCGTATTCTCAAAACCTAAACACTACGGAAAGCTTAATTGCTTACCAGAAAAGGTAATGAATAGAAGAAGATTAAGCCCTCTACCGATCTCAAAATGATAAAACTACTAACATTTGATAACTTATTTCCGCTGCCACTACGACATTCTCGCGAAAACCCGTAGTTGAATGACGACGGCTATCACATCAGCCCGCTCCCCCCCCCAAAAATGAAACTGGTTTATGCACGCGCATTACTTAATATTGAGAAAATCATCGTAATCGTCTTCTTTTTAGTGTAAGAAGCTCTCGAATACGCTTAATGTTTTTCATTTAACATAAAAAAACTACCATGTAGTCAATGACGTTTAAAGGTTGAAATATTACTAACCTTAGGTTGCCCTTGATCGTTTTCATACCAGCTGAAAGCCACTCCATCATCACTGTATTGTAAGTTGTACTTGGTTACCTTCTGATTAGAAGATTGTCGTCCTTGTGTGGCCACCCTTGTAACGTTATAGTGCCGATTGCCTAAATCAATCTGTAGCCACTGTGAGGCATCGTTTGGTAAGGCGGCAACCCAGCCTCCTGCTCGCGCATCCGAGATGTGCTGCAAATGAAGTCTTGCCAAGTAAGGACTATGATCAATCCATGGATGAGTATGAAACGATGACGCAGTGATTTGACCGTCGGAAATTGCACCGTTTTCCATTCCAAGGGCATCTTGGCATTCTTTATGTCCCAGAAAATGAAATACATAAATTGTTCGAATCGAGAATTTGACATTAAACTTACCTGTAAGCGGTAAGAATAGTAATTTTGTGCAAGCTATAAAGTAGTTTTTACATCGCGCGCTCATTGGTCGAAAGCTATGGTCGATAAGAGTTTCTACCATATGGCGAATATTACGCGCGTTGTGATTGGTCATTACCCATGATCTATTAGAGTACAGATTCATGGCGCGTGGTTTTGAAAATGTTTGCGAGATTATTTCGGGTATTATAAGCACTTGAAGACCTCGATAAACGTTCAGAAGGAACGATTACTGTTTACAAGTAACAAAAAAAGAGAAACTGAGACAAAACGAGTTCTATGAGACTAGTTTGTTACCCCTTCTCTTTTAATTGTCTGAAAGGAATAGATTATTCTATGTTGCCTTGGGTCTGTTCGGTAATAGATCATGGAAGATGTCAAAATGTGGTAAGAACAAAAGTGGCATTCGAGCCGCAGGCGAGTGTGTCACTGATGTACTTACCATATTTATTTGACATCATCTGTGATCTATTACTGAACATATGCACGGCCACATGGAATCTGTTTGTTAAATTGGCCATGGAACTGGTTGTTCTTTAGTTTGTTAAAAAAAAAAAACGGAAAAAGATGTTGATAATAAAGATTATAGTAACCAAAGTAACAAAATGTCAATTACAAAACAACAACGGTAACTGCAACAAAAATTAATTCAAAACAAATGAGCGTCATAACACTAGCGTCTATTTCAATCAAGAACCGTCTTGTAGACCGTTGGGTAGCTGAGGTTTATTAGAGGCTGAAAGTATTTCATTTACTTGTTTCTTATACTCCCCTCATTGTTAACAGGATGTATTCTGAACCAATATTCATATTTTTTTGACAAACATGTCAAACATGTCAGCACAAATTCTATACCTTGGCTCGCCTGTGTTCCGGTGATCTATGGATAAATCAAAGATTTGTATAATTATAATGATAGTAACGATAATAATAATAATAATAATAATAATAATAATAATAATAATAATAATAATAATAATAATATACGGAAGTCAAATGATTGTCGTTTTAAAAAAGTGTGCATGGGAGCGCTAAGCATGATTTTTGGTCATTTTGGCTGGCACATTATTAAAGCTTGGAAAACGGCCAATTTTGAGATTTGACTTATGTCCATCCTTGCCTTCAGTAGCAAAAGAAGTACGACAGCACAGGGTGCCCAGAATCACAACAGCCTACTTGAAGCCTTATTATAAGGATTTGTATGGGAATATGTTGTGAAATCTGTAAAACGGTTAAAATGTACACAAACAGCTATTAAAGTATACATATCTCATAAAGAGTTGGGTCTGTGTTGTTTTCATACTGTTTCCTGTCCTATACTCTGAACGCCGTTTTAGCAAGTTTTAATGTTTTGGTTTCTCTGCTAAAACGGCGTTAATAGGGTAGGAAACAATAAGAAAACAACACAGACACAACTTCTTTATGAGGTATGTACACTTTAATAGCTGTTTATGTACTGTAAACCGTTTTATCCATCTTACTATAAATTCCCATACAAATCCTTAAAATTTAGCTTCCAGTAGCCTATTGTGATTCTGGATGGGCTCCCTATGACGACAGTAAACAATCTGGACCATTAGTTTTGAAATTCCATTGATACGAAGACACGTTTTACATTTTAAAAAAGATAGAAAATAGCGCGACATAGCCCCTTTAAGCAGGCTGAATAAAAACTGTTAGAAAACAGTCTACTCACCTCAAACACAAGAGTAATCCAGAGCTGGAATCTGCTCAACTTAATTATTAACATCGCTAAGATTTGTTCTTAAAAGCGACAAATGGAAAAGCTTTTCAAAAAACTATGCTAAACTTGCTAGAAGTGTACTCGACTGAAAATAACCTTTAACTTAAGGAAACATAGTCAAAAAATCAAAAGACAACGTCGCATTAGTATTTTCCGATGCCTACCACAGCAAATGATGCGACATTGTTATTCAACCGGAGGGCGGGCACCCTCATGGGCTTTGCTTCAAAATTTCGTTTGTTTTCCTCTTGAAAAGGGGTCCCGCGGATAAACGTTTATTCTAATGTTTCTTCTCTTCATTTTTAACAAAACAAAGCAGCGTACACTTAAGATAAATAATAAATGAATTTATTAGGAAGGTTTTTAGTAAACCTCAGGAGAAAAAATAAATAGAACAAACCAGAACAAAAAAATCTGTGTTTGACTCAGCAAAAACAAAGTTTAATTAAACCTTGACGATTTGAACGACTACCTTCGCAAACGTTTTGCAACGATTTCAGTGTTGTTAACAAGATTTTTTAGTTTTGGCTCCCTAATAATAACAAGTATGAGACTAACCTATAGTGACCCTCTGTTATACCTTACAATACATTTTATAAAGTAATCGAATGAATAAGTAAAATTTTGTTATTAACTTTCTTGGGGGAATCAAAATTTTGGTTTCTATAACATCACAGTTGATATTTATTAATTTTAGATAGACCACAATTCCATGCATGCAAATCTTAGAAATTAAAGAAAAACTTCAAATTTTTTTAAAATTTATTAAGTGGCATTCAGGATTAAAAGACCACTGTTTGAAAATATAAATAATATGTTGCTTACTTATTCAGTCAACTAGCAAATCTGGCACTAACAGTTTGTAGATCGTCGTAACATGCCAAGAAGTGTGCTTTTCTCGTAAATTGAGCGGGGAAAATTTAGGAAGTTCTGTGCCACATTTTTGCGAACGTTTGAAAACTGACAAATGCTGATGCTACACTTATAATAACAGTATTAACCATTCGCTCCAGGAGATTTTGCCGAAAAACGCGTTTTGAAGCTAGTCGAGTGGTTTTCTGGTCACTGTCGTGCTATAAAGAGCTAAAACTTACCACAAACCGGTTTACAGGTCGTACACTTCGCGGCCTTCTGATCCAGATGCAAAATATCAGCTTGCGAAGTTCGGTCATGCAAAGAAAGCAAAATGCAGTCTTGACTTTTACTTTTCGCTTTCTCTCCTCCCTTCTTTTTTCGCTTTTCTTGCCTCATTTTTTTTTTCTCTTGCTGGGCATTTAGTAGGCTTCATTTTGGTGGGAAGAGTTTTTAGGAAAGCTTTTAGGATCTTAGGATTAGGTGAAAGCAAAGGTAGGTGAGCAATGGAACAAGATTTTCATGGAGATTTTCAGGTCAATGTCACGTGGTTTTTTGCTTCTTTCTCCGGTGTCCTTGACTGAATTGTGCTCATTCTGGTATGGTTTGAAAGATCTCTTCACTCCACACAAGTTACCGAAGAAAGTTGTCCTTGAACGTTAAAACTGGTGACGTCACAAAGGGTACTAAGGACCTGGATCCATACTGGCAGTTACGGGCGGTTCAGGGGCGAATGGGTTAATACACCTTTTCCCGACCTTTTGTGCTGCCTTTATTTTATTATGGAGTGGAAATCTATTTACAATAAGCTGAACTTCAGTTACCTTCTATGACACTTAACAACTATATTCGTCTCAGAAAGACTGAACCAAGAGTGAATTGTAAAATAGCCCTGTACACGTTTGTTTACATGTCTTTAATAGGTCATTTTTACGTTGGAGTTATTTACAATGGCTAGAACATTTACTTAGTGCATGCCGGTTCCTATTCAAATTTATCAAGTGGTTTAAATAAAGATAGTCCTAATTGGTACTCTAAACTAAAATCTCTACTTGATCCTTTTTGGTGCAAACGGTTGCAGACGGTCTGGGTATATGTCACCCCAGTATCATATCATCGGCGACATGGCACAACTTTGATGTTTTTCCTTTACTCGCCTATCACAGTATGTTGAACTGCTTCATAGTAGTCGAAATCTTTACTCTCGCGGTAACCATTCTTATGTTTCTTGGCAGTGGAGCTATTCATTTCACAAATGCGCTTACTTCCACTGTAGTTGAACGACTTGCAGTCCTTGGTCGTCAAGCAAAGTTCCATACATCTTAGAGAATGTGCTGCATAAATTGAAGAGATCACGTGGCCTGACAAGGTCTTGCCAAAACCAAAGGTGGAGAAGAGCACAACTTGATCTGGGTGAGAAAATAGTATAAGGAAGGTATTATTAGAAAGGAAGGTTCCTTTGCGGAAAGAATTTTAGCCTTTGAATAGATCAGTTTTCGATATTCAATTGGTGATGATCCTGGCTTCTGTTGCTCTTTAATTATTATATGGTACCAGTTAAAAAGTTACCTCGACGAGGATAACAGGGGGTAGACTTTGTATCTTTGTTTAACTAACTAGGTACCGGCTCGTCTCCAGGGCTTTTCCCCTCTGCATAGAGACGAGGTTGATTCTTCTCGCTGACAGAAACTGAAGACTAATTGCTTCGTACTTATGCCAAATAATTTCGTGTTTATTGTAAAATGTAAGGAAAGGGACAAGGGTGGCGTATTCTCTCCTTTCAGGGAAGTGGCCTGGGTTCGAATACCAGAGGCCATATGTGGCGGTTCCGGTTTTTGCTAAGAGAGCTCAATTTTTCTCCCGGTATTTTCTTTTTTCCCGCTAACTTCAAAAACCAACATTTCCAGTTCGAACGACGCCTTTGCTGGAGTGTTGCCACTAAATTGTTGTTTATTTTTTTATCATGAGTTATTTATATCGGGTAATAGGGAAAACAACTACATGAAATTCTAAAATGAAAGACCATGCTCTCTTTTCTACAAATAAAGTAATGATGATGTATTTGATTGCATTTAAAGTCAACGGCTAAACCTTGCACATATTCCTAAGTCTTAGACACTGGTTTTGTGATATTGCATCATTCTTTAGTCAGTTTAGCTTGATAAAGATATATAGTGATAAAATATTGATGGTTGCAAATAGATTCACATTACCTTCTGGCCACGGGCAGCCGTATAACTCCACCCTCATCGATATGCGGGCACGCCATGCGAGTGGTCGAAAACGGATGTAACGCGTCATGATCGATGGGTTCAAGTTGTGAGAAACCACGGTGTTTGAGTCTGTATTTCCGGTGAAAACCTGATTCCTCAAGAAAAACCAAAAACGTTTGGACAGTAAAGTATTGTTGAGTCCCTAGCTCAACCACTCAGAAATAATTAGAATCTATCTTCTGCAACACAACTACCCCCTCTTCTTTTTTGTTGGGGGTGCGGGGGAAGACTGTAAGGGGGGTCCTTTAAACAGAGAGGCTTATTCTCGGAATTATATGGTACCTTGTTTGTGGCTTGGTCTTGTTCCTTATAGTACTGAAAGTTTTCCCCATCGTTACTAACTTGCAGACTGTACTTGGTCACCCACTGAGGGTAATTGTATCTTCCTTGGGTTGCTATTCGTGTTATTCTTGTCCTTTGCCGACCAACATCAACCTGTATCCACTGACTCAGATCAATTATCCTAACCACCCAAGCTCCAGAGCCTGTTTTATTATAAAGCCTCCCAAAAGAGACGGAATGTGAAACCGGATTCCATTCTGAAGATGCAGTAATTTGAGCATCTGTAATCACTCCATCTGACATGCCGAGAGCGTCTTGGCAACGTCCTAAATTGTGAATAAAATGTTGAACAGCAAATTCAGCGTTATTGGTTACATTAATTAGTGAATGCAATAACTTTTAAAAGTGCTACTTACACGTCAGAAACTATTGCTTTTGAGCTCTAAACAATAACTTACTGTACTCAGTGTACTTGTTTCCCTCACTCATTGATTCATTCGTTTGTTCATTCATTCATTCAATCATTCAGTCATTCATTCAGTCATTCATTCATTCAGTCATTCATTCATTCATCCATTCATTTATTTTTTGCTAATTCAAGGTTATGTTGTAGCAATTAAGCTGATGATCATGAAAACCTCCACCTGTTCCCGCTTCTTACTAGAAGCGTGTATGAGAGCATGCGAAGGATAATTGAATGAAAATATTCGAACTCGGAAATCAAACTGTAAGAACATTTCATCATTTTTCTTCACTGTTTCCTCTACTGAAAGAAAGCACTTTATTTGTTTTTCAAAGTATTTAGGACGAAAGTACTAATTGGGGACACATTATTGGGACTGGAAGAGGCCAAAGGATTGAATGTTAATTTAGTATTCCATATTGCCATGCATGTTAACTGATTCATTATTCCATCTCGAAAGTTTTATTTATTCTATTATTCCGGCACCAAATAAAAGATTTCTCGAAAATTGTTGTTATTCTTTTCCATTATTCCTCTTCATCTCCCGTCGCTCTCAAAACACCTTGTTAAGATTATATTCAATATGTATTTCCGAAGGAAACACTGAAATGAAGTACTCATTAGCATCAAACAACTTTCTGATGTTCCTTTTCGTGTAAGGCTTACTGTATTTTCCTGTTTGCCCTTCTTTCCTAGCAATCTGTGGAATAAAGAGATTAAGATGATTCAAGTAAAGCAGAAATTCAGTGCTTGGAAAGTTCATGGCACTTTGCTAACCGAATTTTTTGCTCGGCAAAATGGCTACCAAAATATCTTTTTGCCGGGTCGGACTATGGAAGTAACTGAAGCAAGTGACTAGAGGATCTGCAAACAGTTTTACACATCTCATCCATCCCTATGAAGTCTATTGTTTCTTATCAACTAAGTAACAAAGATTTTCTTACCAGAAGCACCAGAACGAACAACGTGGACTTCACCTGCATCACGAACTTGGCTGACGCGCAGTTTAGTAAATATCCCTTTTTGTTTTGTTTGTTTGTTTGTTTTCTCAGTGTACTCGCGGGAAAGGCACTTAGCAAAGACTGAGCTGGAAGGGCGTCTTTACTGCCTTGTAACTCAGTGGACTATTTAGACGAAAACAAAGCAACACTAATTAAACACTTATATTGAATACAGTATTTTTTGCTGCAATGAGAATGTCTTACAAAAGATATAATAAGCCTAAGAAGACCTTCTTCAAGAGTCACTAAATTATTGATTTTGTATTAAATTTTAATGAAAATTTTGGCGGCCCGAGCTCATCTTGACAGCGGTTTTCCACATTTCTAGTACCATTCCCCACTCGACAGAGTACTTAAAATGGCGGATGGTGCTTCTCCAAGTGAAACCGGTGGGATTGCAGTCTTATAACAGCCTTAAACGTATTGAAAGGAACTGCGGAATTGAAAAATTGAATCCTTCAAGGATTTATATTGCAAGCCTCAACCGATTTTTGCGATCTGTAGGTACTTTGTACGGGAAACCCTAGCAGTAAGCTTACACATGGTTTTTAAATTCTTGTGTTACTGTAAGATGGTACAAAAGGATTAATCATCTATTTTAATATTATACAATTTGTTCAGATTGATTGTTTCTCTATTTTCTGAAGGCCCCACCCACTTTCCATCGGATAGATCACTATCCATTGCACAAGGGAACAAATTGCGCTATCCAATCGATAGCTGGAGAATTATCCAGTGAATAGCATCCACCGTTTGACAAAAGAGGCCTGAACTTTGTTTATAGCAGGAATTTTTCTGTTACACATGAGCAGAGACTAGAGTAGCAGACATGTCTCTGACGTATCAGGGGAAGAGAATTTTAGCCCCCATGGTCCGAGTGGGGACCCTGCCCATGAGACTACTTGCTCTGAAGTATGGAGCTGATATTGTGTATTCTGAGGTGAGACAGTGATTTAAAAATTACACAAATTATATAATTGTATCTTAAAGAGGTCTTATTTGAAGGTTCATCCTTTAACCCATTGACGGCTGTGCCGGCCAAAACCGGCTGTAAAAGACTCCATTGCTTTGAAACATTGCAACTTCCTCAATCGCGCGAACATTGCCTTAACTGTCAGTTTTGAGCATTGAGTAGAAAGTCCTTCAAATTGGGATATTCAATAAACGCCAAAAAGTCAGTGCTTTTTGCAAAATATCACCTTTTGAATTTGGATAAGAACAAAAATGACCCTTTTTAACAACATAGAAAAACGACAAAAATAACATTTTTTGTCTTCAGGTTTTTTACAGAAATCATCATTGCAAAACCAAAAGATCAATATTCACAGTAAAATTCATTCCTTGTTCTGGCTTAGAAGTGGCTTTTGTTGTTCTTATTCATTTCCTGGGTCAAGCTACAGCCTTTTTTTCTAGTGCATCCTGGCCTTGCCTCCATTTCAACATCACAACTGCATTGTATGCCAGAATTTTTGACAGTGTTTGTTCCTTCCTCCACTTTTTTTCATATTTATACTAAGTCCACAGCCACTCAGACCTACCACAGAAATTTCATGCTTGTTGTCATTTTCAGTGGATGCAATTCCAAAATTTTTGATTCATCAGTGTTTTACTTTGTTTCCTCCACCTTTTTTTCAATTTATGAGCAACAAGCCAAATTCCCAAACAAGTTACATCACCTTAAGTCCACAGCCTCATCAGGCAGCCACCAAAGATCAGACCTACCCAAACTCCAGAAATAGCTCAACGCTTGTTGATGTTTCATTTTCCAGTGGGATCAGAACAGCAGTACTTTCCATGGTAACCCCAGATACAGAGTCACAAAATCCTATGGACTGTTTAATTTGTATGTAGAAAATCACTCGAAAACGTAAAAGTCCCGGGTATCAATGGCTTAATCTCACAACAGAAACACTTGTAGCTAGTAGTAACTTTTGACGTACATTCATGTTAAAGCCAGGTCAAAATACCACAAAAGACTGTAGCCTCTTCCTTTCCATTACACCCTACCTCTTCTTTGAAAACTGGGTCATTTGTTATTCCCAGGTGATATAGCATTTAAATAAATGCGGATCGATCAGCATAAATGTTCAAGGAGTGTATCAACAGAATATTTTTTTGCAGGACAGAGTAATGACAGATTTATTCTTGTTTTTTTTTTAGGAGATAATAGACTTTAAAATCCTCAAGACAACACGGTTTGACAATAGTAAGTGATTGTTGGTGCATTTAAATCTCCACCAGTTTTTTTTGGCCAATTCATGCAGTTGCTTGTTGGCCTCTTTGAATATCATTTACTCAAACTGTCATTGGCATTTATTACTAGAAATTCTTGGCACAGTTGATTTTGTTCTACCTGATGGAACAGTTGTATTCAGGACATGTGAAACAGAGAAGCAGAAAGTTGTGTTTCAGATGGTGAGAACACTGTACAAGATCATGAACGAACAAATAGAGTGCTATACTTTTACAGTATTGTTTAAAAAGCGAGCAGGAGTGTATTATCAGGTTTAAAAACTCAAGGCGAAGCTGAGAGTTTTTACACTTGATAATACTGACTCCTGCTCATTTTTTGAATGGCTTCAAAATCTCTGATACAGATCAACTCATTCTTGCACTAATATTTAGATTTGGGGTTATTTTGGTCCAAAAAATTGGATGTAATGGTTTAACCATGTCTTTATCAGATGTAAAGACCACTCATTAAAAATCTATTTTTCTTTCGTTTTTTCTTCATGAATTATTAATGTATTTTTGAAATGTATTTCTCTATATGCACAGTAGAGCACATTTCATAATCTACGTTTTGCTGTAATGCAAACATTTAATGACACTGTGTCAGTTTGTCACTGAAAAAATTATGGTACTGTGTCGATGGGGGAGTGAAACTTAAATTACCATTACAAAAAGAAGAAAAAAAGATGAGAAGAAGAAGAAGAAGAAGCTTATGTGTTTAGAACAGCAGCTGTCCATTGTTAGAATTGACTTGCTCTTTTTATGGTTGTGTAAATTAATTGACTTAATAATAAATTGTTTAAAAACTGATCTTATTTTAGGGCACAGCAGATCCAGAGAGGGCACTGAAAGCTGCAAGAATGCTGTAAGTTATTGATCTGTATAATAGCACAGCACTTTATTGAATGGTCCCAAAGGTGTCCATATCTTAGAGGGAGCAACAGTTGACTGTACTTATAAATACTATTTTTAATGAACAGCGAAAATGATGTTGCTGGAATTGATGTAAACATGGGCTGCCCCAAAGATTATTCTGTCAAGGTAATCAATTTGCAATATTGATATAATTTATTGATTATACATTTTTTATGGAAGAATCCCTTTATGCAATTATTTCCATAGGTTTGCAAATGACGACCTTATTATGAGATTAAAGGCCAAATTAATGTTATTTGCTTCCCAACCTTGTCCCCAGGCATGGTTCTCCTCCTCTCGTCTCTAAAGAGCGAGAGAGAGACAGAGGCTAGTAGGATTGGAGTGAATCCTGGAAATGAGGTTGTTTGTTTCCATCATTTACAGTCAAGCATACCCCCTCCCCCGAACCCCAAGATTCCATAAATAAATTTATGTTTGAAAAGGGAATCCGTTAGTCATTGCCGCAACCAGTGTCAAATTGAAATCTGCATTGCTGCTTGCATATAATGATCAGTGATTTCGGTCGGATTGAAAAATCTTCAAATAGACAAAATTGCTTTGAAATTCAAGAAAATATCCTTACATGTGAATTCACTACTCGTTCCACCGTTACACATGTAGGCATGCAGAGATGAATCTGAATTTTGGTTAACAAATTCTTTGTGGAATCGGGGGGTGGGGGGTTGGGGGGTGGTGGGTACACTTGGCCTGGCTTGACTGCAAATGGCACTGGAGCTTTAAACATGATTAGGTGACCTCTGTATTGTATTGTAGTTTTATTCTTGTGTTGATTACAGGGTGGAATGGGTGCTGCCTTATTGACTCAACCTGACAACGCTTATAAGGTACTGAAAAACTCATGAATAGATCAATTCGGCTAACTCAATGTTGTACCCAGTTCAAACCCTTTGGGAATAAAACGCTTTGTTTCAGGATTTTCCAAATCATTTAAATTTGAATGCCACATTGTAATGCAAATACAGTAAAAAGAATCTTTTGAAATTAATATAGGTATTTAAATTAATATAGGTATTCTTGATGCTTGTGATCATGTGCTTCTAGTAAGTGCATTAAAGAATTAAACTAGGGGACAAAACCAAAGTGTATCTTGTTTGCTAATTTTATGGTCTTATTTCTATGCATAATCCTCTGAAAACTAGTTTCAAGATTTTGGATTTGATTGATTCAACAGGAAACCATGGCTAGTTCATACATGAAAGCACTGGGCCATGAGGCTTGGATTTGTCAACCTGTGGTATTCTAATCCACTAAACCTTTTTTGTTTTTGTTTAGATTCTTGTTGCCCTTGTCCAGGGTATAAACAAGCCAGTTACTTGCAAAATACGAATTCTGCCAACCGTAAGTTTCCATCTGAAAAGTTTCCTTTTTTATTTACTTAGGTTCGCCAATGCTTGGCAAGGTTACCGCAACAGTGCATGGCGCCCATTAACGCAGGCCCCGTAACAAAACAGCCCCTCCCTCCATGAGAGTTGGACCACCGCACCGGGACTATACCCCCTATTCTATACGAACAGTACGCGAGTACTTTAATGACCCACAGAATTTATATATGCAAGGGTTGTTAAATGGGGCCTACGGTTTATAGTCCTTATCCGAAAAGACTAGAAAGTCTAACTGTTTGCAGATATCTTTACAAAGGCAGCACTTTCTCTTCAGTTATTTTAAGACCCTCAGTGTTAGTCCAGCCTTGGTTTAAACAAGCGGCCTCCAGCTCGGCAGACGGGTGCTTATCTAATTGAGTTAACTGGGCGACGGTTCATGAGAATAAGGGGCGCACAATATACATGCAGTTTGGGCCCTTAAAGTAATGACTTCTTCCAAGTTGTTTATCTTAAGTTTTATTTTCCTTTTATAATATGTATCTTTTTGAAGGTTGAAGAGACCATCACTTTTGCTAAACTTTTGGAAAGTACAGGCATTGTTGCCTTAGGAGTACATGGAAGGTAAAGCTACATTGATGTTATTGCAGTTTTTACTCTTGTTAGGTCACCTGCCAGTCAGCTCTACCTTCCTCTCCAATCAGACCGGATGTTCATTATAGGTACTGGTTAAACCGCAAACAGCAGTGTTTTATCAAGTTTCAAAAAATTCGAGCCTTGTCCGTATTTCATACATACATACATAGCCCTTTATTATTTGGTCTGGTCATTCTAGTGCAATCGGCACTAATTAGGGACACGAATTAAAGTAAACTAAAATACAAAGCTAAACTAGAATGCAAGATTATTTAGAACACATCAAGGCCATCATTTTTACTTGTTACACCCATAACGCGCAGATTTTTTTATTCCCGCCTTACTTACGTTGTGGCCCTGTGGTAGCCCTGTGATACTTTGCAGTGTTACACATCATGTTACAAGCCCATGTAAGGCTATGGTTAATGTACGTGACGTAGACGATCCCAGGAAAGACCCTTGTGGCACCTCTTAGTTTTTAAGTTTGTTTTGTCGTCATTTTGTTTCTAACAGAGAAAAGCACGAACGATCTCGGGAGCCTGTTCACATCGATGTGATACGCAAAGTAGCCGAAGCAGTCTCGATACCAGTTATTGCAAATGGCGTCTCTTCACTGGTCAAAACGTTCGAAGACATTGAAAAATACCGACTGGAGACCGGATGTTCTTCTGTTATGTTGGCCAGAGCGGCTCAATGGAATCCGTCCATTTTCAGGTGAGATGCCGTTTCACTTTGGAGCTTTTTGTTCTTGAATAATCCGTGACTTTTTGTATGTTAGTGAAAATCATCCAAGAGCGTTGTAATGCACAGCGTTGAACAATTGTGTTGGCGCGGGCTTGTAGATTTAAATATCCTGTATGTATTTTTTGTGGGTGATATTTACTTAAACCCCTTTAATGTACGGTGTAGGGAGTACACGTTGAGGTATAAAAACGATAATTTATTTAATAGATACTGGTTAACCAACTTTACTTGGTTTGTTTCGGCAGAAAAGAGGGTCGCTTACCTGCGTCAGAAGTCATAGCAGAATATATCAAGCTGGTAAGAGAGTATTGAGAAATGGCCTCTGGGTCTTCAGACCGTCATGTATTTTATCTCATCATGTTCTTCGTAATCCTTGTCCGTTGTACGTTATATAACAACAGGCAATGGTTTTTTTACCATTTACAAAAAGTTCCCAAAAAAATCGGGTTGGGGAGTAAATAAAAACGGCTTTTCGGGTCGTTTCAGTGAAAAATTTCCAGGAGCTACGGAAGTTCCTGAAAAGGTAGTCCTGTTTTCCCGGTCGGATTGATTCAAACGGAATCGTGTTCGATTTCTTCAAAGCCATCTTTGATACCAGTTTCAGACTTTCGTAGTCTTTTTTCGTTAAATGGAACCCCATTTGCGCCAGTAGATAAACGCTATTCCTAGGCGAAATTTATCAGTCCTGAATTTTTCTTACCATTTGCCCAAACCGTTAATTGACCGGTTTGACCATGTAAATGATAATTAGAAACAACCAATACTGTCCGTATTTTCTTAAGTTTTTTTTTTTTTCTCACTGTCCTCTAGTCCGGGTTATCTCTCAAAAAACGACGTTACTTTAAGTCCTCATCTACATGTATGTGTGCAACTCTCAAGCTTTTTTCCTATAACAACAACATCAGGTCGGCTAAAGGTTTAGCCAGTCATTATTGCATGTAAAACTTACTTCTAACTTACAGTTCGATTTTTGTTTTTTGTTTTTTGAGTTAAAACTAGTTCTCACACCTTTTTGTTTTTCCCTTTATTCACAGGCGGTAGACTTTGACAATACCGTTGGGAATACGAAATATTGTCTTCAAAGATTGTTGCACGAAGATACAACATCCAAAGAAGCTAAGGACTTGCAACACACCACAAATATGAGGGAAATCTGGTTAGTACTGAATGCGCATGCGTCGGTGCTCACGATCGAGGTATTGACTAGACTTTGACTTTATGCTTACCACATGCTAGACTTTCTAGTGTGGATTGATTTGTAACGTACGCGTATAGCTGTCGCATTTGCCCGATGGAATTTTTTTATTATTTTTAAGCCGCTGCAGAAAAATCTCCCGCTCGCGCTTCCCGCTTGAGAAAAATTTTGAGCTGTACTTGAGGGCAAGTCCAAACACATGCACATGTACTGCAATTGTAAAGGAAAAATGTGTTCTACCAACAGCGAAATATGGAATCTTGTCTCTTATTATGAAGATGCTATTCAAAGGAGAAAGTCATTAGATGAATCCTTTGAAGACGAGGTAAGAACAATTTTCTAAACTACTCTCTAAAACGCGCACCGTCACGACCTGCTCTAACTGTTCTTCTAAGCGGGTGTATAGAGAGTTCATTTAGAGTATAGTGATTGAAGAGTCAGAAGGTAAGAGAGCAACTTTATGTGTCCGTTTAGAGGGAGTGGGTAAGCGTTGACTGGAGGTCGATTTATGGGGTACTTATTAAACGTTGTGCGGGCACGAAAACAATATCGAATAGGTCTTAAATTGTTCACACGTAAGAACGGTGATATCGGAGCGGGTCTGTAACGAAGCGAAGCTGCGCCGCGCCTATCTTGAAAGTCAGGCTCCCGGTGAAGGTGGATTATCAAAATATCGGATAGGTTTCTGTGCCACTCTGCGGCATGCTGCACTGGTGTTTATGTACCTGGCCGTAGTATTTTTCACGTGAACATGATCAGCTATTAGACGGTATACTAATATAGACATAACCTTAAAGCCTGTTTACATGGAAGAAGGGGACCCCAGATAGATGAGGTATAAACGTGATCAAATTAAAATGAGAGATTATATAGACAGGCGTGTAACCCCACCTTAGCGGGTTACCTCACCTACCTGGGGTCCCCCACCTCCGTGTAAACAGGCCCTTAGTAGTGCCAGCCTCCTAATATGCTTGGTTGATTATATTTGTCGGAAATTGTATCAGTTAGTACTTCAATAGTTTAGATTGACAGATCGGAAAAGAGACTTAAAATAGGTAAACGGCAATTAGTATGATACGTTTGATAAGAGCTTTTGTAATTGAAAACCAGGTAGGGACATCTTTCGTACACAGCTCGTGACTAATACTTTTACTCAATAATCTGGAGAGAGAGTGAGTTGTGATAGTGGAACTGAACAACTCCTTGTTTGTGATTATACTTCTTCTACATTTAAGAGAATTTTCGTGGATTTCATGGAAGTCCGGAGGCGAGTCTGATTTGCGGCATATTAATTGTCTGGTACGGTCCATTTTTCCACAGAATGAAACGAAAAAAAGAAAGTTGCCTGAGAATACCAGCGACATAACTGAGATGAAAGTCAAGTATCTCAGGTAATCTAATCTTTTTTATTTCATCCATTCCGAACCATGCATAGGCGAAGACGCCTTTCTTGCTTTGACCCAGGGGAAAGAAAGCTCTTAGTTTTTTTCTAGCTTCAACCCGCTTAACACAAACACCTTGTTTATACGGCACTTTCTATTGCTCACTCCGTGTTCATATTAACGGAGTTTGACTGTAATAAAGATCACTTGTAATGAAGACGGCATGTACTTCAATGATCCTGACCATCTGTGTCTGTTTGTTTGCCTTTAGAAAAAACTATCCCCACAGTGTCACCCCCAAGGTTCTTCTTCTTGAATGGACGCGGTACGGTAAAGTATTTTGCTGCTGTGAAATGACATAAAAGCCTGGCAATTGAAAAGATAAGGGTAACGTTTTGGCGTAATTTCACCAACAATTGTTTTGTTGGTTAAGCCGGGTATAAAGTTAACCGGCCAAAGAGAGGGGGGTCGGCTGACGCATGAACAATAATCAGGGTAAGAGAATGAAACTCCACCATTGATACACGTGGACATTTCAAAGTGACAGAGAAACAATCTTAAGTCGCCGATAGGTTACGGACCTTTGACCTCCCCAAAACCGGGCGGAATTTTTTTTCTCTACAACGCTCGTGACATGCTGATTGTCATCTATCTCACATTCCTGTACCGAGCCAGGCCTGGTATCGAGCTTTAATTTCGCCACCTTTCAGCTTATGGTCCCCATTACTCTAGGCTTTGTTCTTGAAAATTTGTGTGTGACAAATTGCTTGGGACGTTGTCAAGTGTACTGCCTCTCCCGCAACGTAAGCGAATTGTGGTAACGATCGCCGCAATCTTAGCCTCTGCGAGGCTTTCAGATAGTAGAAAGTCGCAAAAATAAAACATGCCAAGCAAAAATAAGACGCGCGCGATCTCATTGACTCCACGACTGCACTACTATCTTGGACCCTGGAACAGGCTACCGCAGTCTCTGTGAGACGTTCATGGAAACTGAATTGTGCGTAGCAACAAAATTACATGACAAGTTCCCCTTCCCCTCCCCCTCCTAAAAAAACTAGTTGGTGCATCAGGGTTTGATTTAAACCTCTTTTTCTTTCTCTAGGAGAAACAATCTCAAGCAGCCTACCTACGAAATAGTAAGTGAAAACGAAAGACGCATTAAATCGAGTAAAAGACGCTGTACCTGTCGCTGGTTTTGGACAACCACCTTATCACTGCAGAGGTTACACAACAATCAATGTTTCTGTTGGTACTTGAGTAGCGCATGAGTACGAGGCTACGTTTTAGGCAGCTGTATTATAGTATTTTTCAATAAAAAACAGAAGAGCTTTTCGATACATGTTTTGCTTTTGTAAAATCGTGGTTAAACAACACTTGATAAAGACCAACCATTTTTGCTCACGAAATGTCGTGTAACATTGTGCCTGAATGAATTCAAGGGTGGGCTATCTTACAGTGGTATATTCTTCTTGGTAAGAAGATGGACTTATTAAATGAAGCATTTTGTTGTTGTTGTCGTTTTTGCAGACCGAACGAAAAGAAGACAGATGGTACAAAAGTATTGTAGTCGTGGACAACAAGAAATATTCTTCAACTGAATGGTAAGAAAATACTTCATTTTGGCTCACAGACTTACAAATACGAAAATCGTCTTCCTTCTTCCAGCCGTCCGATGTCTTTACAACCGCATTTTACACGTAAGAGCTGTAAAGTGCTTCTTAGAGTTCCTCAAGTGTTCAGCATCTTAGCATATACATGTAGTTTGGGCGGTCTGTGTAATCAGGTGCGAAACTGTGATACAGTACACTTATTCCTGCTTTGGATGAGGGTCGGTCTTACTTTTTGTTTTTATCCAGATAACTTGAGAGGTAGGGCTTCCTCGTATTAGGCAGAGGGGCGAGGGGGGAGGCTTAAATGGCAAAAGAACGCTTAATAGAGACTGTGTCAATGTGCTTTCAGGCTTTGCAGTAAAAAGTCCGCTCATCAAGCCGCCGCCATTGTATGTCTACAATCACTGGGGATTCCAGACGGACGAACAGGAACAGATGTCACGTGACCAGCGTACGTTTTCGCCAGCGGACCCTCCTGACGTTGGGAAGAAATTTTTCTCAGCACTAACGATCTTTCTACCGAAAAATGTCCTATATCATTACAGAAATCTTGTGATGACATTGCTGGAAAAGTGACGATTACATTTGCAAGAGATACTCTATGACAATCAATCGTTAAAAGCGTATTTTCCTATTTCAGGAACGGCATGCGAAATCTGCTGGATCTAATGGCCATCAGCTTCATTACCATAACGTTTTGCAACACTGTGCAGCAAAAAATATACTATTCACACATTCTTCCGGGGAATGATGGCCTCGACCATAGCCTTGCTTGTGAAAATGGGAAATACGTTGGAGGAAGGTGTAACATATTAACAATTTCACAACTGTGATAACTATTTATACGCGAAAAAAAGAAACGAAATCAAATCGAAACTGTATGGGCTATCGAGGACAAGGTTGTTGGCAAGTATTGGTTTTTTCAAAAAGTTCTTGTCTTTCTTTATAACGTCTTAAAAGCCTCAGGTCAATAACTAACAGTAATCAGCATCCAACTTCTCTTTACAATCATTTTTACTTTTTAACCAAACGGTTCTGTTATGAGAGTAAAACGAGTGGTCATGAATAAAGACAAAATGTCTCGTTTGTTTTACAATTTCTTCTTGTATGTAACACAAAAAATGTATAGTGACCAGAGAATATAATAACTCTTTCTCAATGGTGAATCACTTTGGAGAATGTGCATCAGAGCTAAAAGATTACAGTAGAACCTCGAAGTCTTCAGGTATAACGAACGAACTTCTTCAACCCAGTAATTATAGTAAAATATATGAAAACGATCCTAGATAGTAACGAAGGGCCAAGAGACTGGCAGAATTTGTTCGCTGTAATCAGTGGAGGATCCAGGGGAGGGGCCCGGGGGACCCGCCCCCCCCCCCTTTCATTGTTGTTGTGGGACAGTTTATGCCATCATATATGAGGAAGATAATGCTAGAAACCGGTCTGAACCGCTCCGGGGAATAACACATGCGTAGCTTCTGTACCAGAATAGATTAGTCTGTCTCGTAGTGATTAAAGTGTTGTGTTCTCAGTTCTACTCGTATCAAATCCTTCTACATTGTTAGACCATACTGAGGCCCGAAAGGCCGAAAAATGTTTTTTTTTTTCTGAGACCGCCAACCCCCTTTATCTCAGGGTCTGGATGACCGGGCCCCCCTTATCTGAAGGCTTGATCCGCCACTGATAACAAGGTTTCGTTATATCGAGGTTCGTTTTCATATATGTTACTATTACTGGGGTGAAGAAGATCGTTCGTTATACCGAGGACTTTGTTATATAGATGTTCGTTATATCGAGGTTCTTCTGTATGAGGCAACCTCGGCACAGCGAACAAATTGTGCCAGTCCCTTGGCCCTTCAGTCCCCGGGGGGGCACTTTAGGAATTTCTGGGTGGGGATGTGCCGCTGGGACCCTGGAACCCTTAACCTATACCAGAGCTAGTTGAGCTGAATTTTGGTACCCTATACTAGAGTAAACTCCCAAAATCCCCCTATCCTAGAGTAGCTGTTTCCCCAGTCTAGATAAAATCTTCAACCAACTGATCAGTTTCCTGAAAAATGATACCCTATTCTAGACCCAAATGCTCTGATTTATACACCCTATCCTAGAGTAAACTGCTTGAAAACCATACCCTTCACAGCGGCACATACCCATATAGCCCATATATGGAAGTACCCCCCCGGACTTCAGTCCTTATATGCAGGTTTCAATGTAATACAACAAATTTTTGGCAACCAGAAAATACTGACACCACACTATCATGATATTTCACGACAATCCATGTATTTTCACTTTTCTTGTTTTCGCGAATTCATTTTGTACCATTTCTACAAAACCAGTTACTACACTAATTAAATTAAATTAAATTAATTTTATTTAAGCTCGATAGCGTGAGGAGTGGTTGCCCAATCTCCCGAGCCAGGGGATCATATGTATTAAACGCTCGAGCATTCCGGATCGAATTGGAATTTAGAAATGTTGGTTTTTGTGGCGAAAAGTCGCGAAAATTTTATGTCAAGCTTTCTTCGGCAAGATAAAATCGAAAAAATAATAAAAAATTGAAAAAAATATACAAACACAAAGAATTAAAGCCCAAATTTCATGCAATAAGGCAAGCTCTTACAACTTTCAAAATATTAATCGTGCCCATAAATCATGAAATGCACTCGCAATCATGCTTTCGTGCTATGATTACATGTTTGTCGCTACACCATTTCTGTTGGGATGCTACTAAGTCAGGGAAACGGGGAGCGGGAGAATGAAAAAAATTGGATGAAAACCAAATTTGAACCCTAGCCCTATCCATCGACAATGAGGTGAATAACCTATTTTAGTAAAATCCAGTTAGTGGTCAATTATCAATGCTGCGTTCTGAGTGGTTGAGCTACTACTATGCTATATGTTATAGCCCACTAGTAGCGAAAAGCGTGGGCTTTTTGGCGGCAAAAAAGGATTAAAGTCTAGCTTTAACTAGCTAACATTTCTTTATTCTCGATTTTTTTGACCAACTGGTTGGATTTTACTAAAATCAATCATTTAATTTCAAATAAACTTAACTTGTACCTCCTAAATGATCATTTATGTTTTTTATTTTTTTTACTTGAAAAGAGTGTTTTGTATCAAGATTGGTAGGAATGAATAGTGTAATTTAATTAGTCTGAAATTTGCACTGGATGCAACAGAAACGATGACACTGTATCGGGGAACGGAAATTGAAAAAATGGGAACAAAACAGATAGTCTTAATTTTACACTGCCCCGCACTAAACTACTTTCATTTTGTTTCAAAATTCGAGTGTAAACTCGGGGCGTGAAAATAATTATGCTTATCCGCAGAACATTAGATGCCAGAGTTCTTGTTTCTGAAGAACAGCACCTTTTCCAACTGCATGGTAGGAAATTCTACGCACACCGCCAGAACAAACGCTGAAGCGTACGCAAACACCACTATCGACACAAAGTAAAAAGCCTGCAATAAACAAGAAGGTCATTTCTCACTCTCGTTAACAGTTCATGACAAGAAAACATGTGAAATAAATTGCAATCCTAAGATCCCTGGTTGTCTTGCTGGTAAGGCTGGCTGACTGAATGAATGAATGTTTGACTGAATGACTGACCAACTGATTAGTTGACTAGTTGACTGACTTTTTAAGAGACTGACTGACGGGCTGGTTGGTAGACGGACAGGCTGGTGAATGGCTGGTAAACTGTCTGACTGGCTGACCAATTGGCTGACTGATTGACTGACTGACTGGCTGACTGACCGACTGACTAACTGTCTGACCGGCCTACTGACTGACTGCCTAACTGATTGACTTACTGGCTGACTGATTGACTGGCTGGTGGAGTGGTTCACTGTAGTTCTGACTGACTGACCACCTGACAGCATGGCTGACTGACTCCGACTCTAGGGTAAATGGTAGGCAGTTCACTGATGCACCAACCACTGAAGAAGTAGCATGAGAAGGAGGTACTGGCAAAGGGAGGAGATGTTAAATGAACTTACGAAGATCTTGTCTGTGTACTCTGTAGTATGTTGAAATGACCCAAAATATACATTCATAACGATAGGGTGAAGCAGATAAGCACTGTATGTCAAACGGCTCAGTGGGATCCAGTACGATGCAGAAAGGAACTTGTTCACAAGACCTAGAATAAAACAAAACAAGTTCAACCGTTTTAATGCAACCTTACGATATGTACAGCACACCCTTAGTAATGCAGGAAAGTTTTTACACCCAATAAATCCTTTTTTTTTTCAGGGAAAAATTAAGCGTTCGCACTGATGGCTGACAGCTTTGAAGCTGGCTGCTATGGCCTTTGTCCAGTTGAAAGCATTTTGTCTTGATTTTCCCCAGCCAAATAGACTAACTAGAAGACGATATATAAATTTTCATCAGATTTGCATAACCGTCATCAAATAACGCGGAGATGTTACATACGTAATCAAGATTTATTTAGACAAAACCCCGAATATCCGACCTCCTAACTCATCCCCAGTCGCGTGCGATCACTTTATGGAGATATTTGAGCGACTGTGCTAAGGAAAGCGGGGGCGAAAGGAGTAATGGGAAGGAACAAAATGCGAAGTGACTTGCCCCTTTCTCTCTCTTTTCTTCCCATCACTCCCCGCTCGCACTCTGCGCTCGTTCCCATCATCCCCATCTCGCGCTTCTCGCTTGTTCCGTGCTCCACACTTAGCCTTGGGAAAGCCTATGGAGGAGGCAGTCCGACCTCACTAATATTGACCGCCATGTGAATACGTTAAAACAGAATCAACCAAAATACCAAGACCTGGGTGCTTACCATTTACACAAAACCACCCGGGTGGAAATCTTGCGCATAAACATAAAGCTGCAAACTTTGACGACGTGGAAGAACGATCTGCCACAAAGTAAATCCAAATCAGCTGAACGCACTAAAATCACAGCCCATATTTCCTGACGCTACTCAAACGAAATTGCGCGAAACACTTGATTTTCCGACAGGAATTTCTGGTTTCCCACGTAGATGGTAAAATACCCGTGGTGTGTACTTATGTTAAATGGATTTGAGTAATCTGAAAAGGTGGTCTCAGGTGTAGGTTTAGCTGTAAAAAGGTTCTACAACATTAAAGTAGTAATTTTCTTACTTCCATATCCTTTGTGACAGGCATAGACAACCCAAGCAACAGCCAGTCCCCAAACAAACCGACTAAAAGTGCCATAAATGATGTTTTCTGCTTGGTTGAACGGTCTACCTCCTTTCTTATTGACAGTGTATATTCCATATACAACGGTTATGCCAAGACCAGCGCCCACAAACCAGCCGACCAAGCAAACAAGTTGCCTTGGTATTTTATTCTGAAAAGAAAAAAAGAAATTGTCATATGTATGATACAAACGATAATTTGCTCACGGAGGTCACAAAATGTTGGAAAATAAAGGGGTGGTGGCTAGTCCCTCGGCCTCATTATTCCACGCGGCCTATGCGTTTCGGGTCACGTCACCCGAACGAGTCACTGCATTGACCGAGAAGGCCAGGGAAGACACCGTGCAGGGACTAGGAATAATTGAATGTGTTCCTTTCACTGAGGTGATCCAGATCAGGGACACGTTTCTCGAAAGTCCCGGTAACTTTGCAGCCCCGAAGGCAAATTTTAAACTCAAAACCAGTTGTATTGCTGGTTTTCTATGTCACGCCATTCAAAATAGATCAAAATAAAAATCAAAACCATTCGACAGATAAAGTCCAGAATCTGGGAAGTGAAAGGAGGTAAATATACAAAGACCCTCGCCAAGATTTGGGTCGAAAAAGTTATTCTTATACGAGATATCCGAGGAAATTTTTTACCCAAATTTATAGAGCTTTGTATGGAGACGCCATGCTAGAGCTCAACCGGATGAGCTCCAACATGGCGGACGGAAACCAACAGAAACATCTGTTACCGAGGTTTGCTACAAAAGCGTGAATTTACTCCTAGAGGAAATCATAAACATTAAAGTAATACTTTTTCTAAGACTTGAACTGTTTAGATAGCAAAATTCCACGAAAAAAGTCAATTTTTTAACCTAAATGACAGCTCTCTCGGCCGTCATGTAAATGCAGCGTCACGCAAAAGCTTAGAAATTCAAGCGCACTCCATTACAAAACCAAGAACTCTTTTGAAGCGAAAATTTGTTTGAAAATTAGTTTTCAGCTGCTTTAATACACCATGAAAGTAAAATCTCAGTAGGATCGATAGTTTTGTGGTTTGAATTTTAGTGACGTCATGTGAAAACCAACAATAGTTCGCTAAATCCCATCGGACAAGGTTTCCTCCGGGTACCTTTGATGTACCAGGAATATGCGCAACAAACAACTTCAATTAACGGCGAAGTGAATTCGTGGGATTTGCTGAATAAAAGCAAGCTAAGGCAAATGCAAAGGTTTGACTGTAAAATGCTCAACCGAAAAAATGATGGTTTGCAAGACAAATGTTTAACACGCGATCGTCAAATGAGTGATATAATTCAAAAGTATACTCAGACATGAATTACTCAAATCTGATTTTCACACCAGAAAGTCTTTGAAATGCAGAGCTACTGTTATGTCTCTTGACTGGCTCAGGTAGCACTTAAAAAGGTGACTCTAACCTCTAACGTCTCTACCTACTCAAACAGTCACCTCTTGTATTGGGAAAGTACAATTAAAAATCGAACTCATCTGTCTGCTACTCACCAAAGGATTCTTGGCCGGAGCACTTTTTTCAATGAAAAGCAGGTAGCCAAGTGCAATTCCCACGAGATAGGGAGCAATACGGCAGTATGGCTTGATATAGACGATGTCTGTGTAACTACCTCTGCCTTGTTCTTTCTTAAATCTAAATTAAAATCCACTCAAACGATTACTCTGACGGTGTGGTCTCTGCTAAAGTCAATTCCCGTTCGCACGGACACTGCGGAGGCCATAGAAAGTGTTCATATTTACGGGGCGTCCGTATTAAGTGGGTTAAATTTTAATAGAGAAAATGTAAGGGCTTTCTTTCCCCAGGGACAAAGCAAACTGTCTGTAATAATGAGGTGTCCGTATTAAGTGGGTGTATGTATAACCTTTAGTTGGAGTTGCATCGCCAAAAATCTTTGGAACTCCGCGATAAAGCGTGTGGTTTGAAAAATGAACTCGGCGTTAAGAAATCAATCTCCCCGGCAAAACTCCTACTAAAAGAAAAAAGAGCATCACGGGACAGGTGCCGCAATGTAAACTTTTCAACAAAAGTTAACATTTTGTGCCTTTGCTTTGGGTGGACTATAAGAAATGAAATATACACAATTACACTCAGCGCACAGCCGGTGTTTGCTACACGCTTAGGAGTGATTTCAACGAAAGGACGGGTGTGAACTCTCAAGATTTTGTATGACACGGTGCAGTACAATTCAATATGGATGCCACTCCATGTCCAGCACGCGCCGATCGCACGACGTGCAACAATGGTTTCACATCGCCAGAAAAAGTGAAAAACGTTTTAAAATATAGAAAACGAAACAGGGACATATTAGCACAACAAGAACTTACACAGCTCAACCAACAATACTTACCCAGTCTCAATTTGTTCAGCCTCTAGGACATCTGTGTTGTAATGACCAATTAATACCCCGGTGACGAGAAGAGAAGCTGTAAGAAGGCCACCAACACCCGCACCAAGACCAATCCACCGGAGTCTGACAAACAATAAAACCTACATTTCATCCAATTGTAAGACGTAAACTAACAACAAGTACAATATTAATAACATCATTAACATTCACTTTCACCATCATCATCACCATGATCATCATCATCATCATCATCATCATCATCATCATCATCATCATCATCATCATCATCATCATCATCGTCATCGTCATCGTCATCGTCATCGTCATCATCGTCATCGTCATCGTCATCATCATCATCATCATCATCATCATCATCATTGTCATCATTGTCATCATTATTGTCATCACTGGTATCACTATGACCAATGATCACCAAGCTCTTTACCACCATGACAATTCTCATCATTCTAAGCTACAATTACCATCATCATATAGGTATCGCATTATCATGGTAATCGATCATCATCGTCGTCATCATTATCATCACCATCATAACCATCACAATCACCATCATCATCATCATCACCACCTAGTGCTGCCAGAGAGGTTCTCTACAACGGTCACACCGCCGCACTTTTTTACCGCCTGAACGTCTTACGAAACGAAACGAGCGCCAAACATGCATATACAGGCTCGTTCTTTTAGCCACGACCTAAAAAAGGCCATTACACACTTGAAGAGACGAAAGATCTCAGGGAACTGTCCTAACACGATAGCGAAACGACTTTAGACGGTAGCGAACAGGACGTTGGCGAAACGAACTTTGATCACCTGTAGATGATGAAAAGCAGCAGAGGACTGATAATATAGAACTGCATATCATTGGCAAGATACCACGACCATCCGAGACACTGAAAAATGAAAAAAGGACTTATTACATTTACTTTTGTAAACAAATCAGCCAACATGTTTCAGTTCATAAACAACTTCGGCAGGAAAAAAATTACCGCCATGTACCAAAACTGGACCATTCCTTGAACGGGGTCACAGAAATATTAAACACGAGCAATCTAATTACTAACGATTGACAGTTCTTGCTTAAAACTCATGAAGAACTTTGCATTCTTCGTTAAATCCATGGGTGTGCATGTAAAATGCAAGGGATACATTATACATGGAAAAAAGCCCTTACTGATTCTCGATCTCGCGCCAGGTTCTGCCTCTCATGAAGAGACTTATTATTACGTTTCAATGACCCTCCCCCGTCATCCAATCTTTCTTGCCTGCTCAATAATAGCCAATCATCAGAAGAAGATTGTTCCCCCTCTTAAGTTATACATTTTTTGGCATTTCAAATCCACCAAAACCTCCCTCCCCCTTCCTGATAAAAAAAATTAACGGTCACTAAGTAGTTTCGAGGGAGAATCTACAATCCCGAGCAAACGTCCTTGAGAGAGTGATGCAATAATCCCCGTAACTTCTGGGTGCCTTCATAACACAGTGCTACTTTGCAGTTCTCCCTACTCCCCCACCCCCTTAACCTATGTTGAAAAATTCTGGATACTCGCGTCCAATGTTGTTTGTGAGGGTGGGAGAAGGAGTTGAGTATGTGTGACTTAAAAACAGACCAACAAATTCAAGTTTGCGTCAAGACTTTTGTCCATGATTGTAGCAATATCTTACAGGTACCCAGTCAATTATTCCTGCTATTGCACGTCACAAATGGAAAGTAGTGGTCATAAACTCACTTCCTTGACCAGGGAATTAGGGTGAAAATTATTTATGTAAAGCAGATTAGTCCACCAGTATTTTCCGCAGGTTGTTGGCTGTTGGATACCATACCACAAGGGCCCATCGCCGAGAAATTTCATAAGATTATGGTAGAACAAGATAACAAACATGTAACTGGGCGTCAACCTGTCGAATACAATAATAATTGGTGTTTAAACTCCTGAGGATGGTTGTGTTGTTTTGGTCAACACTCCAATGAAAACTAAGGAACTTAAGGGTCCTTTTTGCTTTTAAAGCTAGGGTCCCTAGATCTTCTTTGAGTGGATGCAATTTAAAGAGTGGGAGGGGAAAGGACTGGTACTAAAAAAACGTTTTTTGGAAACATTGATCTGTGTCTTTCTTGTAGTAAATATAATAAAATTAACATAGCTCTCTATGCACATGTAATTAATGCACGGTAATGTCCAGAGCTTCATCGTACATAAGGCTAGTGGTTGCAAAGATGTATTGATAGTAACCAGTCCTTATGCGTCCCTGGGACTCTCGGAGGAAGCGTGCGTCCCTTTCGATTTGTGGTAAAATGCGCACACGTGTGCGTTTATGGGAACGCTGTAAAAATAATCAGCATAAAATTGCAAAAAAAGTTTTAAATACAGTGCTTATGCTTCTATGCGTTTAAAATAGCCACATTTCGGTAAAGTGCACCTATTATCCTCTAAAAAGCGATCTTCCTAGAATAAGCAACCCCGGCCAACCACGAATAAACATCCCGCTCCCTTCACCCCACTTTCTTGAAATACTAGTAAAAATCGAAGGTTACGCAGTGCGGGCGATAGCGATCGAAGGCAAAAACGCTTTTGCTCAAATGCTGTGCTTTGGGCAAGTTTCATGTGATAGATGGCAAAACATGCGTGATTAATTACGAGTGATCGAAGTTGTAAACGCACGTGATCAGTTTGCGTTCGATGCACTCCATTCATTCTTTGTGGAAGTCCAAACGAATTCGAAGCTGGCTACATGCATGCTGAACATGCGCAATAGCAACCAGGAGATTAGGATTGCGGGCTCCTCTTGTAGCGGTGGGGGGAGGGAGACTTCCTTCCTAACCGTCCCCCGGCCCCTAAGTAGATTTGACACTTATCCAAGATGGCCGCCCGTAACGCAAAGTATTAGATCTCGACGATCTTACGGAAAAATGGAGGACTTTGAACAGCCTAGTCTATTTTCTTCTTCCCTACCCCTACCCCCTTGCGCTAGCGGGCAAAAAATCACGCCCCGCGCTTTTTTTTTTATACGCGCGCGTGACGCAAATTTAAGAGAAAAATAGAGGGTCTGTGAACAGGCTACACCGGACCATTGCCACAAAAATGACGCATCTTGGTTCGAAAAAGCACGGTAAGGAACTTTTGTAGGAACACATGGGACTGAATTCTTTTGTTTAATTTGTAAAGGTGAGATTTTACCTCCAAAATCGATGAAAGTAAAACTGAAACAGAGGAAGCCTGCCGTTATTCTTATCCATGCGACGAAAACCAAGGTACGCCACGAGTAAACCACTGAAAAAAAAGAAATGAAATTACCTGCTTACATCAAAACTATACCGTAAGGTAGTAATACTTGTATCTTCCTCCATTTTCCGTAAATTGAACCTATGTTTCACTTTGTTTTATTTTAACTTCATTGACGGTGCCAAAGCAATATAAACCAAGAGATAAGTGACACTACAAACATTAAACTAGAATATAGCATACATGAATATGCAATAATACAGGCGGGGACCTGTAACGCAAGAGCAAGCGTAAGTTAGTGCTGGTCCATTAAGGGGATGGACATATTGAAGTCACTAAGGGGACCTAAGCGAGGGTTTCCATAGCTGTTACCAGCCCCCCCCCGTCCCCCTCCCCATGCAACAAACGTGGCAAGAGTTTATCGATGGTGGGTATGTTGCAGGGCGATGAAGAAAAACTGGCAGCTAAGGTGGAAGTCGCCGATTAAGCACTCAGCAGTTTCAACTCTTTTCCTCTAATTGGGCTTTTAGGAAATGATCAGTTACATGATACGTAGTTTAAGAAAAAGCGGAGGCCCATGAAGCGACTTTCGCTTGTCCACACAATTGGAACAGATTAGAAATTGAATATGATTAAACGCAAGCAAGAGGTCTTGATGCAAGAATTGTCACTCTAGTAGTTAAGGAGGCCTACCTCAGGAAGAAAAAGCTGTCCACGGAGAAGAAAGCACTATTCACAGCTTGAAAAGAAAACCTATGAGTAATGTTCAGTGCCAATCCTACATTGTCTGCAAAATCCAGAGATATCAATGTTAATTTACTTCAGTTTGTTTGCACAGAATCTATCAGCTTCTATCTATAGCCATCCCGGGAGACTGCATTGAATAGGACTGTATCAATCTAAATGCCTCTCCTGTAGGGCGGCACAGGTGCGGTTCAACACCTCTGAAATGGTAGTTTCCCATCATACGCAAGTATCTCGCGAGCTCATGTACAGTAGGATTTTGTAGGTGGTAAAGAAAAGCAATTTTTAAAGTTTCCTTTGTTTTCTAGGGCTAGGAGACAAAGGAAATGAGAGTCGACCTAGGTTAAAACAACCTTAACCTGACATCAAATTTAACCTCTAACATATCTAAATTTATCATACAAACACCAATGAAATACCACGTGGGCTTTCGCGCGAAACATGATATCTTCACATGAGAAAAAACATGTTATCTTCACGTGTGAAAGTGTGGCCCATAAAAAGGAAAGCTGTGTAAACTTAATAATTTTTCATATAATTCATTTATTTCCTTGTGGCATGTGAGAATCGGATCGGATCACAACTTGTATATTTTTTAGAAGTACTTCTTTAATTTTAGTAAATTTCAGGCTGTTGCAGAAGGTAAATTTTACTGGTTACTGCCTAATAAGGAGAACACTTGATTCAAACGAATCACAGTAAAAACAAGTACATTGTTAACTTACTGAGGATTCGGAGAATGAGAAGCCACAGATACGTGTGTCCAAGGATAACCCACCACATGCTGAGCACCCGCACACCATTCAGACAAGTTATAGCACCGGGTGGTACTGTGCAGTCCATTATCTTACTGGCATTACGAGCGACGGAGAAACAGGTCAGAAGTTGGATCAAAAATCCTGTAAAAATAGAGATAAAAGCAGTGAAACAACTGCCAGGTATTTTAACCTACATAAAGTTCCATAATTCAGAAATTGGAAACAGGTCAATCAAAAGTATTGAAATTTATGCTAAAAATCAGGTACCTGCAGCTGTAATTTACTTACATTACAAATAGACCATGGCTTCATTCATTAGATGCAATAAAATGAATGACTACACAAGATTCTAGTGACACTTTTTTCCTGACTTTTTCTAATTACCAAATCTCCAACTAGGTGACATTTATTTAACCCTTTTAAGGTGCAATATCCTAATACAACTAAGGGCTGATCTCGATACTTTTCATTTTTGATTAGTTTAGACAAAATATTGCTAAAAGATAAAAGCATTTTCCCTTTGGTGGTCATTCTATTAATTCTCATCTTGTTAATATAATAATTAAAATTTGGTTTAAATGAGATGAATTCAAGAATACAGTCAAACCCCGCCTTACAGACACCCACTTAACATGGACACCTCATTATTACAGACAGTTTGTTTTGTCCCTAGGGAAGGAAAGCCCCCTGGGTAGCTCAGTTGGGAGAGCGCCAGTCTGCCGAGCGGGAGGTTGCGGGTTCAAACCCCGACCGGACCAACAATCAGGGTCTTTAAATAACTGAGAAGAAAATGCTGCCTTTGTAATGACATCTGCTTAGACTTTCTAGTCTTCTCGGATAAGAACGAAAAACCGTAGGTGCAGTCTCACAGCACTTTCACTGATTTGTTCTTGTGGGACGTAAAAGAACCCACATCACTATTCGAAAAGAGTAGGGGTCGTAGACCCCGGTGGTGTGGCCAACCTTTAAGGGTTGTGGGATTGGGTACGGATGGCACCTCGCATGGGACCTGGGTCCCGTTCGTGCACATTCCCTCTGGGCAGGCCTGTGTCCAGAAAAGCTGGTAAATAAATAAATAAAGCCCTTACAATTTCTATAAATTGAACCCGCTTAATATGGACACTCCTTTAAAACAGACACTTGCTATGGCTCATTCAGTGTCCTTATCAACGGGGTTTGTCTGTATATAATAATAAACAACTCTTCAGAAAATTCTCAAAAATCAGATATGTCAGCTAAGTGCACCTAAAAATCGTAAGCAAAGAAGGGAGAACAGATTATGGTTACATGTGCTTTCAAAGCTAATGTTGCTTTTCAAAAACTTGTGAATTCTGAATTACAAAAGCCAACTAACGTTTACGTTCTCTGCTGTCTTCAATCATCTTAGGGAACCTCTTTGGACTAGTCAGATGTTTACTGTTTACAAACAAGTTCAAAAGACCATAGTTTGTGATTTGCAATTTATTGGTGGATTTTGATCCATTTTGTGTGTTTCTGTGTTTCAAGGTTCGTTGCTTGTGATTGTAATTATAAAAACTGACAGATGCGAAAACACTTAAGCTGGCTTTTAAATTTCAGAGTTTGTGTGCTATTGAAAAGCCCAGTAACGTTAACTGCAGTTACCTCTTTCCTCCAGGCTGGGCTGCATGTACTGAACAGAACGCAAGCCAGTGCTTTCTGAAAGTCCATTATTAATGAGTAAAGGTTCAGTTTGGTTGCTACTTATACGAAAGTCACTTTCTTCTGCTTGACGTGGTTCTTCTGCAGTAACCCAAAATTTCCATGATCCTTGAACAACCAACAAGTCAACCGCTGTTCCAGCCAAACACAAACATGCAATGACAGCACAGATGACTCTACATGAAAATGTTACAATGAGAATCTTACAGAAAAGAATGACTTGCCTTGTACAGAAAATGTCAATCAAATATAAACAACAATGAAAAATATATGCCTCCTCTCACAAGGTACCTTCTATTTCAATTAACTGCAACTTTACAGCAAGCATTCTAAGTCAAGGAAGTACTCTGTGTATGATTTTATCAACTGTAAATAAGTTGTATTTATTAATGTTAAAATACTTATTATTAAATACTCACAGAGTGATGATTGGGCCTGTTGTCCATTTGGATGGATGAGCACAAGCAATGGACATATCTTTGTCAAGGGATACATTGAAAGGCAGCTGGTTTTTTCCTACATATACTAGTAAGAAATAATTTATTATAGCACATTAAGTTTGCAAGCCAGTGACAAAAAAAAAAGTAACAGGTACTACTTGAGGGTAGAGGAATTAACGGTGAGGGGAATGAGAACAATAAATTGTTTGCAGCTATGTCATTTAAGTGTTGTGATTAAAACCACTATGCAAGAGAGTATTAAAGGGATGACTGGAAAATGACAAACCAAGAGTTCATTAAAATGGTAATTTTCCTGTAGCTATCCAAATGCAGTGATTTTGTCACGAATAGTCATGGTGAGTCCTGGAACTCATCTTGTCAAAAATCATGAGTCCCAGTCAAAAAAAAAAAAAGAAGAGTCTGAAATTGAAAATGATTCCGCGGCCTTTACGTAACCAGACAATAAATCTGTATTGCAGTAAAAACTGAAATTAAAAAATAGTCCTTCTATTTTAAAGCCCACAACAAAGATTAAAAGAAATATGCCTTGATCAACAACAGCCATAACAACTGCCACACAAATTACATGAACAAGCAGGATATTTCTACAAATACACATGTTCAGATCGATCGATCAATCTTCGCGTCTAATGGGACACATGCCATGAATTATCTTGTGTCTTTGGGGATTTTTATGTGTTAGGGACACAGGATGCAGAGGTATCAAAATCACTGCAAATGGCGTTTTTGTACCACAGGAATGACTGGCTACAAAGGGCAAGCTATTCTTGAACCTTAACTAGGTTTATTACATGACAATGTATTATATTGTCTTCAGTTGTTCATAAAAGGGTACCAGTAAAATATTGCTCCCTGGGGGAATTCTGCATATGATAGGGGTGGGATGATCGTCGTCTCGCTTAGGGGCAAAAAGCCATTATATTTAGCCATGAAGGTCTCATTTAGGGTTGCACGTGAAAAAATATAAAAATATGTGTATTGTCTGTGTTTTAACATGATCTCTTTTAGGGGTCAAAAAAAGCTTGGGCTACGCCCAGATCAGTCTCTTTAGGGGTTTAATTCAAAATTTCCCAAAAGCAAAGGGAAAAGCTTTGATCTGCTATCAAATTCTCTGAACCAATTCTTGCAGGAATTGTATGGAGATCAGTCTGGAGAGTTTGTATTTGGATACTGGGGCTTACAGGGGTAAATACAAGATGAAACTGTTACTAATATAATCTTATGATATAATGGCTCCTCACTTTTAATCAAAAACTGGAATCCAAAAGCAACATCTCTTTCACTGCAGTTGGAAGGTACACAAACAGCCCACTCGGCAGGTGCTTTCTAATCAAATAGTCAAAGGATACAGTTAAGCTTTACACTGTACATACAAGTGAGTCAAAACCAAACAAAAGCTTTCATTAAGGGCCTTAACCCATTACAACTGTTACTACTGAGCTCACTTGATGTTACAGGTGATGAAAGTGGAAAGCTAAGGGCGGCACTATAAATTTTTGCGAGATGTTATGGGTTAATAGATCTTCATTTGCTATGGCTGCTTCAAAACTTAATGATGGCCCTGACAACAATCACTGTAAGTTCCGACAACTCTCTTTAAGGCAAAAATGTTGGGTTGGGACCATCTTGCCAGCTTATAGAGTCAAAATGATGCGGAATGTAGGGACCCACACTACTAGGCATCCATTCAAAAGGGTGATCCATCTTATAGAAGTCAGTGCTAGACTTTTTTGGACACTAGGCAATGGGCTAGTAATTAGCAATATAAATCACTTAAGCCCACGTGGACAAGCTGGCCACTTGTCCAAAAAAAATTTTTAAAAAATACCAGCTGGGTTAGAAACCAGTCTTCTCTATTCCATTTCCTACATGGTTTCCATTTTGCAAGTATGTTGTAAACTACGTAAAGCGTTTTAGATAAAGACCTTCCCAACTTAAAACATTACAGAAAATTCATTTTGTCCACTAAACTAATCGGTCTAGGTAGTAGAGGTATATTTTTTACTAGCCCAGTTCTAGCCTGAGAAAGCAGCCAACATTTACCGACACTACCACTGGTTTCCCCACCAAATGACGTCTGAGAAACAAGCGCAGAAATTCCATACTGATGACTTGTCAGTAGTGGGGCGAAATGTCGGCTGATTTCTCAGGCTAGCCCAGTTCATGAAGTTTCACTAGTCCATGGCTAGTGGACTGGCGTGAGTGTCAAGCATTGGAAGTCTCCACTGACTGAAGTAATCCTTATTCCATTTCTTAGTGAAATGAAGAATACTTACAAATCCTTTGAGTTCTAAAGTGATTTTAGGAGCAAGACAGTAATGGGCTTCAGACATATTTTGGCACAAACTGTAAGAGCCCAGCCACACAAGATTGCCTCCAGCCACTCCACTTCCTGGTTTTCCTGAGGCATCCTTATCTAGAATGACATCAACAACAAACCATAATACTTGAGCACCCCGGTTTTTCAGTTACCCCGCTAGCAGGGTCGCTTTGATCTTTCCTAGGTATAAGTCAGAAAAGAGGAACGACTCTGCCAACATCTTCAAAATCCTTTGATTAATTGCCGATCGAGGAAAGATCAAAGTGACTCTGCATGCAGGGTACTTTTCAGTTGGTCGAGTTGAGGTTTGGCAGTGTGACAAGTAATAGTACATAGTAATTAGCTAACAAACGGTCACAACTTAACGATAACAGGACGTAACATGTCAATCAAAGTCGATCATCGAAAACGTAGTCGATAAGTCAATAGTACTCAAAATTTGTCGATAATTGTCAATCGACAAGTCAAATTTGTCGATAAAAGTCAATAATCACAAGATTTTTAACTGTTTATCGATTTTATCGACAAATTTTTCAATTAGCTACGAAATTCAAGTAACCAAACCAATAATAGCTCGAATGACTTTTTTCAGCTTTTTTTATGAAAGTGTAAAAAGCTCTAAAGTAAATCTCTGTAAATCTGTATGGCAATAAAGCTAAACAACCAAGTGGTCTGTTATTCATTGTAGAATAGAATTAGAATGTTTAAATTACCTCGAGAAATGATCGATTAACAGCTTCAGCTGAGCGAAATCGTGATCCGTAACATAACTCGGACCAACCTAGTTCTCAGAGTCTCTCTTGGCGGGAGAGATGAGAGATCCTGGGAACTCGAAGTCGTGTTTCTTAGAGGGAACAGAACAGATCAAAGTTTAGACTGGATGCGGGAAAAAATTGAGGCCAGAAAAGTAATTAAAAAGTAAGGTAAATTGGCATTTTATTTTCGTCAGTGATTTTACTAAGTTCAACATTTGACAAACACAAGCTGCGGCTACAACTCTCCTCTCTCTCCGCTAGGTTGGCTAAATTCGCCGGGTTTGTATGCCCCTTGCTTCTCCTTGCGCCTATGATTGTTGTACCAGTCCGCAACCTACGTATGACAGTAACAATACAACGAATTGCGATTGCTCAGTATCAGAAAATATGAACCCGTGTACAAACAGTTAATCTCGCCAGATCTAGCCTTGTTCAGACCAAAACGACGTCAGTCACAGGTACTCAGCAGAACTGTTTATTAATTCCAGGCGTAGTTGAATTTGTTAACAGTTGTGTACATTACATCATGTTCAGTTATAACAGCTTTTAATCGTTAGAGTGACAATAGGAGCCAAACAACATACTGGGAAATTAAATTTTAACTAATTGAAGTTTTGATTGATAAGCGCAGGAGTTTAATTAGGTTTAACACATATGCATATGCATAAATCATTGCTTACAGTGATAACAGCTGCTATAAAACACATACTTCAGAGAGAATTTCAGAGATTCCATCTGAAATGATTTGCTTAATAAAATATTTTTGCTGGAAGAAAAGGGTAGTTTCTCTGTGGTTATTCGGGTTTATATGAGCGGTAAAATGAAGTCTTGGCATAGCCAATGCTGCGTTATTAATCTGTCCTCGACAACTGTACTCTTTTTTCCCGCCATACATCGTGTTTTGTATTTCCGATTTTGTATTTGTCGATTGAAATCGATCAAAATCGATCAAAGTCGATCAAAATCAATCATAATCGAACAAAGTCGATAATCACAAGAAATTGTGTGATCGACTTTTATCCATTTCCGATATTTGTCGATTGATTTGTATCGACAACGATCGACAACAATCGAATTTTATCGACTATCGGAATTATCGACACGTTACGTCCTGACGATAAGCTTACTTTGCAAGCAGAATATATAAGCTTGAGGAAGTGTTCAATTGTAATTAAGGTAATTTACTTGTAAACAAAACATTGCAAAAATAAAAAGATCGTACTTACATCGAATTAATTGAGTGTATGGTGGTCTTATTAGTCCCAAAAATGCGTCTTTACATGGTTGGGAAATGTTTGGAAATGGGTCTGAAGACACCTCGCCATTCGCGGTCACCGGCAAAACGAACCTATTTGCTTTGTCAAGTCCACTTATTTCACGAATGGCATGTTTTGGAAGTACTCCACTCGCCAACTGGACACAGAATATGAGCAAATTCGAAACAAACAGAAGCCTCATGACTCGCTTTTAGCTACTGTAGCAGTACACTGCACTCCTCCTTAGTTTACAACTGAATCAACAACACCAGAGGTCACGAGTTTGTGTCACTCTATTCCTCTGAGGGTGGGACAGCTTAACTTAGATCACAGAAGCAGATCACAGACCACTCTAGACGAAGTGAGAACAACTCTTTTCCTTAACTAACAAGGGAAAACTACAAATATGAAGTCACCTAAGAATATGCTTTCTCACTGAACTCTATTTTATTATAAATATTTAAACCATGGCTCTCCTCCCCCCCCCCTCTCCCCCAGTAACAATGTCATTACGCAATCACGGTACAGTACCATGATGTCATTTACGTCATATGTTATAAATAACTGAGAACCTTACAAAAAATGATCATAATAATATAATTAACAATTATTGGACGAGGTTGAGCAAAACATCGTGATTTGTCTGTGGCGAGCAGATCAATTATTTGCAGAAGCCGAAGGCTGAGGCAATAATTGATCTGCGAGACACTGACAAATCACGATATTTTGCGATAACCGAGTTCAATAATTGTTTAGTTCGATCACCGAGTTTGTTTTTTTAATGAATATCCTCGGGAAGCGAAGCGATCTGCCATTTTCACGCAAGAGCGATCGCTAGAAGGAGAAAAGCACGGTTTCCTTTACGCATGTGCAGAATATTATTTGCAGCCAAACACTGAGCACAGTTAGTCGGCATTGCGCATGAGTAGACCATTATTTGAAGGCAGTTATTTGCAGGTCACGTGGTGAGCTGTCGGCCAATGAAAAGAAAGGAAAATTTGCTTCGATTGATAACAGTTATTATTTAGCCTCGCGAAACGTCCCTCAGCGGCGATGAGCGAGGAGAAGCGTCTGCAGTTCGCAGGCTAGTTATTTTATGCATTCAACTCTCTTATCTCTTTTCTGATTAGCAGAAAGCGTTCAGGATTTCGTGAAACACCCAAATGGAGAAAGGATGAGGAAAGAAAACTCACCTCAGTTCATAATCGTGGTGTGGGCACCGACAGTGATTGCTCAGTGGATTCACCACAACATCGTCATCAAAGCGGATATTAAACGATGTTGAATAGAGCTAGAGGAGTTCACGCCTATAGTTGCATCATGGGTAATCAGGGCAAGATGGCGGTAATTTAGAAGATTTGTATTAGAACTCAAAGCCAGCTATTTCTTCCTGAATTCACATATTTGATGCTTTCTCTTTGAAAAGAGTAACCTACGAGTCCAAAGAAACAATACACTAAATCTGGAGTGCAAAGAAGTCCGTGATCAGTTTTTAGAAAGCCTCAATTTTTCCGTGCATTTTCTGTAATTCGACAGTATCAAAATTACTTTCAGTTCCTGCAAACAAATTTTTTCAAAAGCGATCAGTTTTCGTGTTCTCAGAAAATTGATCCATCTGATTCAAACAAATAGCAGTCAACCTGGTGATTCGGTTCTCCTAGTAACTGTTAGCATTGATGGTACTTGGGCTAAAGAGGGGTTTTACATTCACCCATGGTGTTGGCTTAGTTAAATCAACTGACACGGGCAAAGTTCTCGATTATGCAGTCATTTCCAAGGCATGCAATGCGTGCAAAATTAACCAAAAGAGGCTTTTGCAGGAGGATTTTGAGCTGTGGAGAGCAGATCATGATTTTGCTGGGGGTTATGAGGGCTCAAGTCCAAGCATGGAAGCTGAATATGCTAAAATATTATGGAACAGAACTAAGGATCATGGCTTAGAATAACGCTTCATAGTTTCTGATGGAAATTCCAAAGCGTACAATCCTGTGCGGTATGTTTATGGGGTTTGTAGTGACTGTGACAAATATGAACGAATGGAGAAATCATCTCCTGGTTACGTAAAATGGAAAAAATCCCCAGAGTATAAGAACTAGGAAAATGATCACCTGTCTAGAGAAACTGAATGTCAAAGAGTCGTGAAATTAGACTGTGTTGGACACGTTCAGAAACGAATGGGGAAAGCATTGAGAGATGTCCAGCAACAAAAAGGAAAGCTATCAGATGGGAGGCTGGTAGGAGGAAGACACGCCCTGGGCGTTTGACAAAACCAGCAGTTAAAATTTGCAAAAGTATTATGGTAGAGCGATCAGGAATAAGGGACTGTGCAATAATTATCAGGAGGGGGGGGGGGGGGCTGAAAAACTAGAGTTATCTAGCAAAAGCTTAGACAGTACCCCCCTCCAAAACATACCAAAAAAAATAGTTCTAACCCCCCTCTGTTATGTTAAAAGTAACGTCGCACCCCCCACTCACACACACACACACACACCCCTCACCGCCACTGAGCTGCCGTCACAGCTTCAATAATGACAAACATTATTATGTAACATCTAGTATCGAGAAGGATGTCGATCGCTTGATTGAGGATTTAGACAAAGCATTTGCTAAGTACCGGGGTGCTTACCAAATTAGCTCAAAATTCAAAACTTCTGAGGCCAGAAAGAGAAAGGAGCAGAGAAAAAAAAAATCAAAGAACAGGAGATTGAACGCTTCAAATAACAGACGAACAAGAGCTTGCATTATATTTAGATCCTTGGGAGGAGAGCCTGTTGAACTTTGTTATGAGCCAGATATATATGGAATTCAGCAAATCGATTCAGTCGATGAAGAAACATTACTTTTATTCACATCTAAAACCGGCAAAGCTTGTCTACGAGATCTGTTTGATTCCCATTGTTTTATGGGGGAATTAAGCTGAAAAACAAGTTCATGATTTTTGCTTTACATAGGATCAGCTCTATTAATTAGAAGACGGGTTAAAATTGATCAGTTGTGAATTTGCTTTTCATTTTGATGGAATATTTTCAATAAATTGTTTAACAGCTGTTCGTATTGATATTTGTTACAGTCTATCATGGTGCCTGTATTGAGAATCTTTCATTGCGTTTAATTTTATTTACATTTCGAATAAAACTTAAGGCCCCCCCCCCTCCGTCAAATGAGTGATTTTACTTTGAGCCCCCCTATTTTGGCAGCAATTTTATGTAATGCCCCCCTCTAGTTTTTCAGCCCCCCCTCCCTCCCTCCTCCTTGCACACTAAAAAAGGTTCACTGACTAATGAAGAAAGAAACCAAAGCTGGCTTGTACCACAGCTGTAAACTGCCCAATAAGGAAAGGCATAAGTATCGTCCTCCAAACTCATGCAGTGTTCTTACAAGAAAAGTGGCAGGCCAGTAGAAAGCAAGAGCAACCATCTTGATCCTGTCTTCTCCGGTGTTGAACACTTAGAGCATCTATATGACCACTTGTCTGATGATAAGCTCTTGGAACGCTGCTTGCCATGGTATACTCAAAATCCCAATGGGTCAATCAACTCCCTGGTCTAAATCAGGTGTCCCAAACATAAATGGTTTGGAAGGAAGCGTGTGGAAATGGCAGGCCATCTCTGCCTCATTACGTTTCTGCTCAGGCGCTAAAGCCAAGCACAGAGTCATGAAATTGTAGGTGGAGAGCAAATTGTGCTTGCCAGCGAGAAGAGAGACATTCAGAGGGTGAACAAAGCTGAAGAAAGACCACCAGAGCTGTACAAAAGAGCAAGACGGGCTACGAGAAAGACTGCTGTAAGGATCGAGGAAGCTAAAATTCAAAGAGAAAGAGTACATATGAAGCTGGGGCCTTCTATAGGGAGTAAAAGGACATGTTGTTGTTTTACACTTCATAGTTTTTCTTTTTTTTTTTTATGGTCTATAAGACATAGTCTTGTCAGAAACTGCATTGTTTTTAACTGTATTGATGCTTAATGTAGAAGTTTCCCTTTTAAAACATTGAACACAAATTTTTGTAAACTAAGGTTTTTGCGACAACACAGTTGCTCAATTGAATATTTTCAAGAGGTTTCAAGTTAGTAGCTTCATTTTTTCACCAGATGTTCCTTGTACATGTAGTTATAAATACAGGATGAATGATTTACTTTTTAGTCAAACAAAATTTATTTTAAATCCTAGTGACTACTATTCCTTTCTTTTTGTTTTGGTTTCCATGGCAACATGGTTGACATTTTTGACAGTCTAACTCACTCATCCTACTGTTTTTGATAAGATGTACTGGTTGCTACTGTTTGTTTTATCAAATACTTTTTATGCAGTCTCCCAGTGAAACTGGGCAACAGAGAAAATTTGGTAATCACGTGACCGTATTACCGTCCGTCCGCACCACAGGCATACCAATGATAACTCAATCAACAGGTATGGGAACCCAAATGCAACTCAACGTTTTATTTGTAAGGAAATCACACGGCCGCACGGACTTTTAGAAAGAAAAAAGTCGTGTCTTTTTCGGCGTTATTTTTTATGTGTACACTAACGTGGATAACAGAGAAAAAGCTGGAGCGAGTTATTGAAAATTCGTTGGAAGAAAAACATGGAAATTCAAAGCGGCGGTGAGAAAATGAGAAATGCTAGCGGCCAGCAAGGTGAAAATGAGCGGAAGTGAAAAATAAAAGCGAACATGAACACTGGAAACAAAATATTGGGTAAGCATATACGACAATTTCTCCATAAAAAATAGTGTGTAACTAGGAAGTTTGACGTTTTACTCGTACAAAACAGTGTTGTAGTCGTGCAAAACAACGGCAAGGGAAAGACAGAAAAGCGTGCTGCAAGTGCAAATTTGCTTTTTGCTAATTAGAAGAAAAATTGTGCTGCGCGTGCAATTTGTTTTTTTTCTAATTAGATCTATTACTCTTGAAGCCATTTTCATTGTCGTCCCCCGTTTAGCGTTACACGATTTAATTTTTTTTGTTTACACGTATTATTAACCAGAGCTTCGCTTTTAGCCCTGGCTAAATCTATATATTAGAAGAATAAATGATAGGTGTGACAAAATTTTGCATTTCTAGAAACCTAAGACAGTCATTGCTCTGGATAAGCAATGCTGTTTTTATTTGGTCTGTCTAAAATATATTTTGTGGATTTCAAGTCATCCAATGTGTCCAATGTTTGCGAAAATGTGACTGTAATGTCCCCTTAAATAGACACCGAGAGGAGATGTCTCAATAACACTCCATCAAGCTGGCTCCATGTTTCCCATCTTTTTTGCCTATCAA